GATAGGTTGGCTGTTTCCTGCCTATTAGTATTATGCTGTATAATACTAATAGGGTCGTAGTTAGGCCTAGGGGGCCTAGGGGGCTTCGGGGGCCCTATAGGCGTAAGGGGGCTAAGGCTGTTAGGCATTAGTTATTCCCTTATAGACTCCGCATTGCACCTTATTAGTCGTAAGGTGTTCTCCCTTATAGTTATAGCATTAGGCCTTAAAGTAAGAACACCCTTAGCTAGCCTTATAGCTAGGGCAGCTATGATCCCTAGTTAGGTGCTTTTCCGGGCAAAAGGCATACCTAATAAGCTGCCGGTAGGTCCGGGGGTTATAGCAAAAGGAAAGGCATCTATAGCACTACGTGCGTATAGTATATTCCTTATAGGCCTCGACTCAAAGCTATAGGCCTGCTATATAGAGGCCTTTTTTCCGGTATTCGGCCCCTATAGCCTCCGACGGGACTGCGAAGATAATAGACCCTGCTTTTTGCGTTAGGCCTAGGGTGCCTAGCCACCTAGGCTGCCCTAGGATATCGATCCCGCTAAAGGTCTTAGCCTCTACGGCGAAGATATCGATAATAGGGGTTTCTAGGAGGTTAGGGACGCTCCGGGCTACTAGCTTAGTCTAGCTAGTAGGAAGGTCGGCCGATTCGATAGGCAGTCCCTTAAGGCATAGGGACTACTTATTCCGCTGCTCTAGAAGTTTCTTCGCTATATAAGGGGCTTTTATCGTTATAACTATATTACCTCTATTTAAAGTCGATAGAGCTAATATAGCTAGTTCCCCTATAGCCTTATTAAGCTCGTTGCGAAGAGTAATAGGGCTAATAGTCGGCGTTAGCGATCCCTTCTTTAGCTTTAGGATAAGCTAGAAGTCTTCTTTTATATTCCTCTTAGCCGGGGCCCTAGCCGGGGCCTTAGCCGGGGCCTTAGCCGGGGCCTTAGCCGGGGCCTTAGCCGGGGTCTTAGCCAGGGCCTTAGGCGCCTTCTTTACGGCGACCTTAGCCTACGAGCTAGCTTTAAGATTTCCTTTCGTGGCCTTAGGCTGCTAGGCGGCCTTAGGCTAGTGCGGGGGCTGTTGCGGGGGCTGTTGCGGGGGCTATTAGCGGTCCGGGGTCCCTATAGCTGCCTTTTCGAGCCCTTCTATAAGGGTCTTATAGAAGGGTTCGATTTTTAGGCTTCCTTAAGGGCCTAGAGGGCTTATTAAAGGAAGCCCTAGGCCCGGTCCCTTAGGAAGGGGTGCTAGGGCTGGGGCTGGGGCTGCTATTGCTATAGGCGTTGGAGTATAAGCCGGGTAGGCGTAGGGCTAATAGGGCTGCTAAGAGCAGCCCTCTTTCGTCCCTTTACCTGCTTAAGGGGCTGGTTTAGCTAGAAGTGGCTAGCCCGAGGCAGGGATACGCTAGGCCTAAAGATACTAATCTTAGGCCCGCTAGGCCCGCTAGGCTAGATCGGGCTAGTAACCTAGGTAGGTACTAGGCTTATTTCGTTATCTTCTATCTCGATATCCTCTTAGCCTTAGTCTTAGTCTCGGGCTTTAGGCTTCCCTTCCGGGGTCCTTAAAGGGCGTTAGCCTTCTAAGGCTTCTTCTAAGCGGGCCCTAGCCTCTAAGGTGCTTATTTCGTCCTATATATTAAAGGGGGTCGGGGGCCCGCCTAGGGTCTAGGCCGGGGTCCTAGGTCGGGTCCGGGCTTGGTTGCGTTTGCGGGGGGTACGTATTAGTCAGCGAGGGCGGGGAAGGGTTTTCTACCCATACGGGGGAAAACCTAGCCCAGCTCGCTATCTTCGGCAGCATATTACGCACCCGCTAGTAGCTGCGCGAGGCTGCACTTAGGGGGGCGTAATACGCTTTTCGCGAGGGTTCTAGGCGTATGCTTTTTTCGTATTTTAGGCTTGGTTTCGAAAAGTTAGCTAAAAAGACGTGGTAATGTTTTTTTTTCTTTATAGCTTTAAGGAAGGAAGGGAAGCCCTTTTAACCTTCTTAGCTAAAATAGAGATAGGGATAGCTAAGTAGCTCGAAAAGGAGTAACCTAGGGGCCCTAGGGCCCTTAAGGGGGAAAATCACTATACGGGAGGAACTAAACTAACCTTTCCTTTATTATTACCTTTATAGCTACCCTTTCCTTAATTAGCTATAAGCCCCTAGGCTCTATAGCTAGCTAGGACTACTAATAAGGGCCTAGGCCCCTACTAGCCTCGCTATAGCCCTAGAGGCTATATACGAGTAATAATATATATAAAAAAAAGGGGGGGGATAGCGTAATAGTAGAAGCGCCTAAAAAACCCGCTTCCTCTACGAGGTCGCGGGTTTAAATCCCGCTCCCCCCCCCTAGCTTATCTAGCTACTCTACCGCTAGCCCTAACCGGCTAGCACTAACAGTCCCCGCTTATAGCGGGGTAGAAACGGCCCCGGGGCTATATAACGGAACATCCTTTAGGCTATATAACGATAAGCTACTATAGCTATAACGCTATAACGCCTCTTAACCTTAGTAACTACTTCGATCCTCGATATAGGAAAAAATAGGGGGGGCCTAGGAACCTAGTAATAAGGGGAAAAAAATATAGCGTAGGACTAACTAAACTAACCTTTCCTTTATTATCTTTATATTTATATAAAGAAAATAAATCCTCCTTAATTAGTTATAGGCTATAAGGTTATATAATTAGCTAGGACTATTAGTAGGGGGGCTTCCCTTTACTAGCCTCGCTATAGCCTTAGAGGCTATATATAAGTAATAATATATAAAAAAAAAAGGTAGACTAAAACGATTATTACTATAGCTAAGGAAGGTATATAGTAAGGCACCTTATCTTAAGGTACTTAAACTATAAGAGGGAAAGAGAGGTCTTTTACTAGGCCTCGAGGGGATAAAAGGAGGCCCTTAACTTACCTTATCTCTATAGCTCTAAGGAAGGAAAGGAAGCCCTTTTAACCTTCTTAGCTAAAATAGAGATAGGAATAGCTAAGTAGCTTAAAAAGGAGTAACCTAGGGGCCCTAAGGCCCTTAGGGGGGAAAAACACTATATAGAAGGAACTAGATTAACCTTTCCTTTATCTTTACTTTTATAACTACCTTTTCCTTAATTAGTTATAAGCCCCTAGGCTTTATAGCTAGCTAGGACTACTAATAAGGGCCTAGGCCCTTATTATCCTCGCTATAGCCTTAAAGGCTATATATAGGTAATAATATAAAATAAAAAAAGGATATATAATTTTTTTTTAAAGTTATAATTATTAGCTAGGTTTAGCTTAATTTCTAGGTTTATAATAAGGGAAGGGAAAAAGTAAAAATAGATACTATAAGGCCTATAACCTTATTACTACCTTTATCTTTAGTTTAAGTAGCATAACATTTTCACGTGACACACGCTTATGGTTGGTTCGAACAGCTCGACTCCGTTGCTCCCTTGGCTCGTTCGTAAGCGTCTGGGTAGCAGCACCCATAAAGCACCCCTCAGCAATCCCTATGGGCCCGTCGTGTGCTTTGCTATGTCCAAAACCCACCGATTATGGCTTCACGACCCTCCTCGAGGGCCGTAGGGCACAAGAAGCTTGCTACATATGGGTCGTCGTCGCGCAAGAAGCACTCGAACCTCATCACGACCCAAGATCCCGATGCACCATGCCCATCGGCGCGGAAGTCTCAAAGCCCGACCGCCCGTCAACCAACTGGTCCCCCTCCTGAAGCCAAAAGGTTGCAGACGAGCGCCGAGAAGATCCCAACGAACGACAGAGAACATCATGGCGAACAGCAAAGCGGCAGAAAGCGGAAGAGGGATCACTCGGCAACGCATGCCATCAAACCCACGCCGGACCGCAGAGAAACTCTCGATAACAAACAGAAAACTACCATTGACGCACCACTAAGTGCCCCTCGAATCCCTTTTCTCGTCGATAAGAGAAATACCAAGAAGGCCGGGAAGTCTACTAGTGGCGCGGAAAACGAGCCTCCCCCCCTAGCGCAATCTCCGACAACACCCAATAATGAAACGAAAGCGCCAGCTGGCGATACACTTCGTCCGGGCCCCTTTACTACCGGCGAAAAAAACACCCCACCATCGTCTCGCCGCCCGCGGTTGATTGATGCTCTCGCGGCGCAACGAGACGTGAGTCCGGACCAGGGACTGACACGTACCAACAAGCAAAGTCCCGAGACGGTAGGGGACGAGGCTGGCTCGCCTCTGTCACGGAGAACTACATCTGGCCAAGACTTGCGTTCGCGCGCGGCCGATCGCCGGGGAGCTACACCGACGAGCAGAAAAATCAAGCTCACGTACAGCCAATCCAGAAGTGTCCTTAGCGAATCGCGAGGAATAGACGATCACGACCCATTTGGACCCGAGGTCGAAAACGACACAGGCTTCACGGGGACGCAGACGCTCTCGAGTACTGCGGAAGACGCCCGTGTGGACGAGCACGCGGACAATGATGCCGACTTCCAACCGGCGATCAAGAGCGTCCATGAGCTGCGCCGCTCTGGCGCAAATAATCGATTTGCCGATGAGATGGATGATCTTGTGACCAGGATTGGGACCCCAGGTGCTGGCTCCTTGACGATGAGGAGGAATGCGCTTTGCGAATTGGCTCAAAGTCTCCCGAGCGTGAGCTTCGCCGGGCAATTTCGCGATCATGCGTCTCGCGATAAAGTCGCCAAGGGCATCGGTATGGAGGACGACGTGGTCAGCGGGTTTGCTCTCGCAGCGGCACTCGTCATCTTCTTGAAGTCTGGCCCTGCACCTCATCTGGTCCGCCAACTTGCCCAGGAAGGGCTGGGTCGGCTTTTAGGGCGCCTACTACGAGTGAGCGAGGACATTGACTCCGTAGCGATGCAAAGAGCAATGAACCTACCGCGAACGACAAAAGCATCGGTGCATAACGTGAAGAGCACCTTGATGCGTATGCCGATATGGCACGGATTGGAGCCCGTCCGCTTCTCCCCACGCACTCTTGGCCTGCAGCTGTTGGAGACAGTCGCTCAGTGCGCGGATGAGCAACTTCTAGAGCAGGTGGCCATGGACTTGAATCAGGACCTGGTCCCTGTGGCCGCCGATTGTGCAGAAGCGGAAGCCACGTCAGATATGGTGGACTATACCTTTGCAGTGTTTGCACTCGAAGTGCTGTCCAGTGCAGGAGTAACGACGGGATCTGATAGCCAAGGACCGTCCAATGCGCAGCTTCCGCGGAGCATAGCTATATTTCTTGGAAACGCCATGCAGCGATGGCCGCTCGACCGCGGCGATTTGGAGGCGGCGACTCTCAAGTTGGCCATCAACACCACAAACACGGAACACGGAGCCGCAGCATTTGCCAACGCCGACCTGTTATCGCTCCTAGCCGATCGCATCGGAAGCGGATATAGAATGGTGCAGAACGCCATTGGCAGCGGTCCACTGGAGGGCGACTTTTACGACGAACTTGTCCTGCTGCTCGGGGTCATGATCAATATTGTGGAGCATAGCCCGCCAGCTCGGGCATCCGTGAGGGACGAGGCTCTGGACGGGCTTGTAGCCCTGTGGCACGGAAACCGCCAGACTGTGAGCGAGGTGCGTGGGCAATGTCATGCTTCCCCGGCACTAATGCCCCCTGATGTCTTTCTCTTTCTGCATGACCTGCTGACATGATGTCCGTACGAATGTACGCTCGCAAAGGCGGACTCTGTGGACAAATCAAAGGTCAGCGTAGCCCTCGGTTACCTGGCGGTACTACTTGGCTATCTGTGCCTGACGACGAGAGGAAGAGAGAGAATCAAGGCGCGATTTGGCAATGGCGAGGGTATCCAAAGCTTGGTTGGGTCCATTCGAGACTTCGTCGCCATGTACAAGACGGTTGACAGCAAGGTTCATGAGCTGGAGGCGCTTGTCAACGAGCTCCGCAGTCACGATGCGCGAGGCAAGTAGGAGAGGATACGCAAGGACAGCGAGTCGAAGCTCGGCGTCCGGAAGCAATGGAAAGAAACGATGGCTGGCGACGGCGCACCATGAAGGCATATGCGCCATGAGCGAGGATATGTTGGATTCAATGACTGTGATTCAAGGCTTCTCCTGCAACCGAACTACCTAGCTAGCTACCTTAAGTCCAAAGTGCTCCGTACCACCTACCTACAGACAAGTACTTGCAAGATATGGAGGGTATTTGAACAGAGCGCAAGAAAGGTGGCCCTACATTCTGTCAGCCCACCAGTATACTAATAATTCCCCAGACTCCTAGCGGCAATGCTACTAAAGAAAGCTGCGATGAACGAACCATCGAGGCGACATGACTCGCTGAGGTCACTGATTGGTGGAAAGACACCAGTGGTTGGCTGCTCGAGATCCCCGAGGTACTAACCGTTGCCGTTGGCAAAAGCAGTGCTGGATACTGGATAGTTGGACCCGAGCGACTCCGGAGCACCTTACCTAACATGGTCTCGGTCGCACTTCCTTGAACCTAGAGTTAGTGGAATGGCGAACAATCCCACAAACGCCAGCCAAACATCTATTGCTGTGCTTGAACCGACTCTGGCCCTCGACCTGTCTGCTGTCGAGCCGAATTCCTAGCCAGTTGGCGCGCAACGAACCAAACATATCGCACCAGCGCCAAACCGAACCATCCCACTCCCCGGCCTTTTCGTCCCGGTACCTCCCTCGGCGTCGCCCCCCGATGCCTTCACCCAAGCAGAGAAAGATGGCCATTGTTGGCAGTCGATCCGTCGGTGGGTCAACTCGACGGGAGTCCCTGTTGCCAATGCAGCCGTGGCTAAACAAACATAGGCAAATCTTCGCTGGCGGTGCAGTTCGTTGACGGACACTTTGTCGACAGCTACTATCCCACCATTGAGAACACTTTCAGCAAGACGATTCGGTACAAAGGACAAGACTTTGCGACCGAGATTGTCGATACGGCAGGGCAGGACGAGTACAGCATCCTCAACTCGAAGCACTTTATCGGCATCCACGGGTACATGCTGGTCTACTCGGTCTCGTCCTTGCCGTCTTTTGAAATGGTGCAGGTGATTCGAGAAAAGATACTCAACCATTTGGTACGTCGCTTTGTTTATTCTCGGGTCTAGTCATTTGCTTCTGCTGACGCCGGGGTCCAAGGGAACCGAGTCGGTGCCCATTGTCATTGTGGGCAACAAGAGCGACCTGCGGCCAGAGCAACGCCAAGTCAGTCCAGAGGAGGGCAAGAAGCTGTCGGCGAAGTTCCAATGCGGTTGGACGGAGGCCAGTGCGCGCTACAACGAGAATGTGGCCCGGGCGTTTGAGCTGCTGGTTGCGCAAATTGAGACATCACAGAACCCAGGGGAGGCGCCCGAGAAGAGCAATTGCTCCATCATGTGACGCCAACACGGGCATCGCGACGGCTATTGCGGGGGCAGAGCTGCAGGCGGCTTGGCTTCAATTACAAGCGAATGGATATATGCTCATTGTACCAATGCCTTGAGACTGGTGCCTTGTATAGCCAGGTACGGCGGACACATTTGCTTCAGTAGGTATACAAGATTCCGAGAGTCGGCTGCCGACGAGGCCATACTGATGCCTGTGATCGGGGAGCCAATAGAGGCGCGGACCCCCGCGCCTTTAAAGTCGGCGCGGACGTCCGCGCCTGTTATGTAAGCCCAGGCGGAAGATAGTCGGGCCGCCCCCTGACCTGTACTCTCCTTTTCTATTGCATGTGGCAAACTGTCGCACAGAGAGCCAGCCTCATATAGCATACCATCTGCGCTCAGAGTAGTTGTCCGCGGAAGCGATGCTATAATCCGCATATTAAGGTCGAGCGCCTGCATGCGTGGTGCTTGGACCCCATTGAGGCCAAAGCTCAAACGCAGGCTGCATTAAACCTCGCAGGCGGCCTCGGTTACAAGGGTTCTGCACCACGTCCACAAAGCAGGAGTTTCCTTTCCTTTGTGTATAAAGAGCTGCTCACTGTCGTGCACTACAGCTAGCTCTTCAAGATAATTCCAATATGGGGCTTACTGAATTCCCTGACGATTGCCTTCCTCCTGAGGGCCAGTTCGACTCGCGAGAGTCTCTTCTGCCTCAATTAATGCGTGGGCGGCTCCAGAGGCTATGCCTTCACCACAGGCAAGTCCACGAGAGACCCGCGGTCCGGAAGACGCACAGTCATATTTGCCTGCGATCGTGGAGGTAGACTTGGGGCTCATACAAGCAAGGACCAGAAGCCAGCTGATCGGCAACGGTCTACAAGCTCCCGTATCACTGGATGCCAGTTTTCCATCAATGCGAAAGAGAGCCTTGATAAGTCGTACTGGTATGTCAGGCATCGCCCAGGCGAGGAGAAGTCGGTCCACAACCATGAGCCCAGTCTGCATATTACAGCACATCCAGCTCATCGTGCCTCTCCTCAACTGACCAGTCAGCTATTGGGAACCTCTCAAGCGCTGGCATAGCACCAAAGGATATCCGGACATATGCGCCAGAGCTCTCAGACTGCCCAAGGAGCGACACAGCAAGACATATATAACTGTATCGCACAGCGCAGACGAGAGCTCCTTGCTGGCCAGAGCACAATGCATGCCCTTGCCAATGAGCTTGACAACGAGGGGTTCCAGAGCCGCATACAGCTTGATCATGATGGCCGAGTCACAGCAGTCTTATTCGCACACCCAGCGTCTCTAGGATACCTCAACGCATACCCAGAATTACTACTGCTAGACTGCACATACAAGACGAACAAATATAAGATGCCACTGCTCGATATGATCGGCGTTGATGCCTGTCAGCGGTCATTCTGTATTGCCTTTGCCTTCCTCAGTGGTGAAGACGAAAATGACTATATCTGGGCACTGGACCAACTCCAATCGATATACGAGTTATATGACATTCGCCAGCCATCGGTTATCCTGACAGATCGCTGCCTCGCCTGCATAAACGCAATTTCCGGTGCTTTCCTGCGTCCAAGTCTCTGCTTTGCATCTGGCATGCGAATAAGGCGGTGCTTAGCTATTGCAAACCAGCTTTCGACCGTGACGATGAGGACTCTAATAGTGATGAGAGGTGGGCTGAGTTCTTTGGGTATTGGCACTCAATCGTGGGCTCGAAAGATGAGGAGACATTTGATCAACAAGTTGAAGAGCTCGAGAAGCGCTTTGTGCCACGATACGTCAAGGAGGTTAGCTACATACGGAAACCTGGTTGGACCCGTATAAGGAAAAGCTCGTCAAGGCCTGGGTCGATCAATATGCTCACTTCGGCAATGTGGCTACTTCCGGGTGGAAGGCATCCACGCATTATTGAAGAGTCACCTTAAGAAGTCAACATTAGACCTCTTCGAGGCAACGAGGGCAATCAAGCAAGCTCTCCTCAACCAACTGGCCGAGCTACAAGCCAACCAAGCCAGGCAGCATATACGGATGCCAATTGAGCTCTCTGGAACCGTATATAGCACGGTACGTGGCTGGGTATCACACGAAGCCTTGCGACAGGTTGCAAAGCAACACAAGCGCCTCAACGAGAAAAACACCCCATCTTGCACAGGCAGCTTCACCAAGTCTCGCGGTCTCCCTTGTGCGCACGCATTACAGTCTCTCATAGTGGAAGATCTGCCCTCCGGCTACAACATTTTCATACACATTGGCGCCTTCGACGGGATAACAAAGAGATTGGTCAGGTCCTCATAGAGCCTCGTCGGCGACTAGACCAACTTGTCGCCGCATCAAGGATATCACAGTCATCCACACAGCGCGAGCCAAGTGCATTTGAAGCCATAGAGTCAGATCTACGGCCAAAGGCGCCGCCTACATGCAGCAAATGCCACCAGCAAGGGCACATCATGACATCTCGCAATTGTCCTTTACGCTATAGCGACATACTGCAGCGGGCAGAGGCACGGGCGGCACAGACTGCAGAGACTGCAGCAATTGCAGGGACTGCACAGACTGCACAGACTGTACAGACGGTAGCAGTTCCAGAGACTGCGCAGACTGCAGCAGTCATGGAGAAAATGACAGTTGCAGTCACTACGGTCTCTACAGTCTCTACAGCAATTGCAGAGACTACAGAGACTACAGAGAATCTATTATATGATGACCCACGAGCCATCTATCAGAGGTATGTCAGGGAAAGAGACTCTTGGTATAGAGCACAGCCTCGCGGCAGTCTCAAGACCAACCAGGCATACCGAAAGGCAATGGGCTTGCCATTGCGCTACAGCAAGACTGAATATGACTGGTGCCTCGACTGGAAGCAAATGTCAAGGAGCTGCGGCTCGAGGCAATGGACCAAGGTAGAGATGATGGCATACCTTGATTGGGATAAGGCAGAAGAAGAGCGATTAGATGCCCGGGTGGCCGAGGAAATTCAGGTGCAGCCTTTCTCACGAGAAAGAGGTACTGCAGGTATATGGGCTGACTGCGAGAGAGACTCAGAGGAACAGCAGGCATTTTATTCACATATATAAGTGGTGATGATGCCGGCGATGCGAAAATGTGAGGCAGATCGTGAGATCACCGACATGCACCGGCGTGTAGCACTGTAGCTGGCCAATTTTAAGGCGGTGAACTTCCGCGCACCCTCCTTGCCACGCAACAGCGGCGCCCTTTGCGTCACGTCAATCTACCAAATAGGGAAGGCTATGGGTTCGAACCCTAAGGGATATCCTCCTTGCAATTAATTGAAGCTATATGTATGCAGCAAGCATGCTGTATCGGTGAGGCCGACTGCGAGCGCAGTTGGCGGCGGCCCAAATGGCCTGCCAGGCTTACATAACAGGCGCGGACGTCCGCGCCGACTTTAAAGGCGCGGGGGTCCGCGCCTCTATTGGCTCCCCTGTGATCGGACTTGCTGACTCAGACTCTATAGGAACATCCTTCCAGCTTTTTGCCTACCCCGCCCCCACCATACCACAAACCACCCCTCGTCTGTCACACCCTCGACGACTGACTTCGCCCGCCACCATCAGTCACCACCGCTGGTCCGCCTCTTCTGCTCTTGGACTGCAAGCAGCGCCTCCGCCACCGACATCTCCGGTGCCTGCCTGTTCCTGTCTAGAGACAAGGGAAAAGCGTCCATACCGACAGAATGCTTGATGTCAACGACTTCATCGCGGATCGCGGGGGCAACCCGGAAAAGATCCGTGATTCCCAGCGGCGCAGACATGCCAGTGTCGAAATCGTCGACGAGATTATTGCTCTCTTTGACGACCACCGCAAGAGTGTGTTTGGTCCTTCGTGCTCCCTCCCTCGGCGTTACCCATGCTCATCGCTTCCTTCAACTTCTGCGCCGAGCAGCCCAATACAGCGCAACCCAGATCAACGGCAAGATTAACGAAGTCCAGAAGCAGATTGGGACAAAAAAGAAGGTAGTGAAGCCGCGCCTGCACCGCGATAACAGGGACCTTTCGTTGACGTATATCCAGGCCAAAGAGAACGCCGATGGTCTGCTCCAACAAAAAAAGGATCTCGAAAGAGAGAAGAAGAGCCTAGTTGACTCGGCCGGGGAGAAGGAAGCACTTCTCAAGTCAAAACTCAGGACCATAGGAAATATTGTGCACGATTCCGTTCCCGTCAGCGACAATGAGGTGCGACTGACATGGCCAGACAGCCGTTACCCCAAACCTCCGCTCCGTGGCTCGACTCCGTCGACTAACGCCTCACCTCTAGGACAACAACGACATTCTTCGGAAATGGGCTCCGGAAGACGTTGCTGTCGAGAAGCGCGACGTTCTCTCACACCACGAAGTTCTCTTCCGCCTCGACGGTTATGACCCCGACCGCGGCGTCAAGGTCGTTGGACACCGTGGCTACTTCCTGCGCCAATGGGGTGTCTTTCTGAATCAAGCGCTCATCAACTATGGTCTCGAGTTTCTGACTCAGCGCGGCTATACTGCGCTACAGACGCCACAGTTCATGCTCAAAGACTTCATGAGCAAGACGGCCCAGCTCGACGATTTTGACGAAGAGCTCTACAAGGTGGTCGATGGCGACGCCAAGAACGACAAGTATCTCATTGCCACCTCCGAGCAGCCCATCTCAGCCTTCCACGCCGATGAGTGGCTCCTTGCCAAGGATCTGCCCATCAAGTTAGTGAAGCCGCCACGGCAAGAGATGACTGGCTTTGCTAAGCCACCTGTCCCCCTAGGTACGCCGGATTCAGCTCGTGCTACAGGCGTGAGGCCGGATCTCATGGCCGTGATGCCTGGGGCATTTATCGCGTTCACCAGTTTGAAAAGGTAACGCAGCTCGGTTGCCTCGTCATGATGGCAGCCTCCCCTCCCCTCCCCCCTCTCCTCACCTCTCTCCGGTTGTGAAGATCGGGTGCGTGAGCTCCAATATAACATACTGACCCGCGAGAACAGATCGAACAGTTCCTCTTGACAGACCCCGAGAAGTCGTGGGAGTCACTTGATGAAATGATTGCAGTCTCGGAAGAGTTTTACAAGTCCCTGGGACTTCCCTATCGGGTCATCGCCATTGTTTCCGGCGCACTCAACAACGCTGCTGCCAAAAAGCTCGACCTGGAGGCTTGGTTTCCCTTCCAAGGCGAGTATAAGGAGCTCGTTTCATGCTCTAACTGCACCGACTACCAGTCGCGCGCCCTCGAGATTCGCTTCGGGGCCAAGACACAGACGGACACGAAAAAGAAGTACGTGCACTGCCTCAACGCGACGCTGTGTGCCACGACAAGAACCATGTGCTGCATTCTGGAGAATTACCAGACGGTCGAGGTAAGAGCCGAGCAGCACCTGGCCCGTGTGATGTACAACGCTTCTGACTGTCACTTGCAGGGTCTGCGGGTACCTGAGCCCCTTCGAAAATATCTTCCCGGAGCGCCAGACTTCATTCCCTTCACCAAGGAGTTGCCAAAGGAGTCGACTTCGCAAAAAGCGTTGCCACAAAGAACCAAAGGAGGCAAGTAGGGTGATGTAAGAGACCTGCCGGAGCGGGCCTGGGTTGTCGGTCAGCTGGTCTGCCCTGATAGGTAGTCTAGACTACCGCGGTAACCGCTAGGTGAAAGAGGCTGCGAACCTTGAGTCTCGAGCCTCGCCATTCGAGGTGCGTGGCCGGGTTCGCGCAAAGAATACGCGGATAACGTGTCGTGGCGGAGCTCTGTACTGTCAAAGGCTGCAAGCTGTCAGCACAGATGAATAAGCAGATCTTGCAGACAATGATGGTGTCTGGGAGGACAGTCATTCTTCACGCGTTCTCGGCACCTGGAGCCCCGTAATTGTCGCGACAGAAAGAGAGGGTCGATTCGCCTCGTGTCGCCAGCCGCCAGGTAGTCAGTCTACATGCTTTGTACGATTTTGTAGACTTGGTTGCCCGCGCGAGCAAAAGTCTCGTGGCGTCGTAGTGGCGTCTTCTCACTCGGCGTGGAACGCCTCAAGTATAATATATATGATCAAATGCTGGCTTTGTGCTGGCCACACTCTGCAAGTCTCACTCATCCAATGCCCAGATAGGCCAGCCGGGCTCACGACGAGTGCATCTGGCACTTCACACAGCATCGGTTCTCAGGAGTTATGCCGCTTTCGGCAAAGAGCCTATCGATCCATGCGGGTTGGCAAGCCAAAAAAACCAGTTGCCCTGAGCCTTCATTTATTATTTTCAACAGAAATACTTTGGTGGGGTCACTGTCTAGAGGGATTTCCATCCTCGGACGTGTACCCAGCCGAGCTTGCTTTATTTGGTACTCGTTGAGGATGGAACCGTTCAAAGCCAGTGAAATGCTGAGCCAGTATCGACGTGCATCACGAACGAGGTCCTCCGGTAAGAGATCAGCCGACACCACACTGTGTAGCAGTGCCAAGGTAGCTTGCCACGTACAGCACTGGATGGGGTGAGATGAAAGCCAATGCCGTCGGCGCCTTCATGAGCTGCGCTGCAAAGGGACTGGATAAGCGCCTGGCTGGTCTTTGAACCAGTCCTGGAGCTGCTTTAGGGCACGAGCGCGGTGTGATATCGTGTTCTTCTGGGGCCCGTCCATTTCGGCAAATCTAACCAGCCAACCAAGTTAGAGACACTTGAACGGGCGTTGGAGCCGGTTAGAAGCCGGCGTAACAGCGTGGGAAAGAGGCTGGGGAATGAATGGGCCTCGGGGACTGGGAGAGGGGGAGCAACAAACGTTTGGCCTTGAAACTCAAATACGGGATCCCATCCTGCACGGCCGCGGTTAGGCCTCATTTGCAGCACGAGGAGCAGCAGGGCGGGAGGTCTGGCGCTGGCCAGGTAAGCGTACCGAAGTGAGACGGCCCACGCGGGGGCACAATCTTGCCCTGAATATGAAGGCGTGTGTAAGAGGGAGGATACGTCGTATGCAGCACGGAGCGAGACATACCGCGCAGCGTCCTTGGAGGAGAATAGGCTTTTGGCCCGGTCCCGCCGAGTAGCCAAAGGTGCAGACGGCATCGGCGGACTTGTCCGTGTAGGCGGCAAGGAGGTTGTTGAGGCCGTCATGACCAATTGCCGACAGGAACCACTTACTTTATGGGCAGGCAGGCGCCGTGTGAGCAGACGAGAAGCGAAGGAGGGTGGCTGGCTGGGAAGACTTACATGTACGGGCCTGGCAGATCGCCCAGGGCATGGAAGCAGAGGGCGGTATCCTCGACCAAGACGGGACCGTTGACCTGCAGACAAGCACCGGGGTGTGTCGTGTCAGTCTTTATTTGTTCGCAACAATGGGTTGGTCTCACTAGATCGGCGGCTTTCCGGCACTTGTACTCGGTCACCTCGTGGATGGTGCCCTGGATCTCCTCGAGGTCGAAGGCAGTGCTTTGGACGCGGATGGCGGGCTCAAGAATGGCCTTGACTTCGCGCAGTTTATTGGCGTTGCCGGTGACGAAGGTGACGCAGGGGTCCATCGTGTCTGTTTTGATTATCGATGGCGCCTCGTTCAAGGAAAGAGGCCGCGAGGCCGGGCTGAGAAGACTGGGTGAGACAGTGAGAGTGAGAGAAACGGTTGCCTCTTCGACAGGTCGGCCGCCCTCCGATTCGACGACGAAAAGGGGTGTACAAGGTACTTGGGATCTACCTCCGATAGACACTGATAAGAGAAGTACTCGTACACGAATACGTACAGTGAGGTCTCGATAGCTTCAAGTTCAACCCATCAAGACACCATACCAACTTTTCCTCGGCCTCTCTCTCGCCGTGGCGGCTGCTACGGCCCCACGGGCACCGTCGTGTTGTTGTCGTGCCTCCATTGGTTTATCCATGTCTCGATGCGATCCAGGTTGCCCTCCATCTCGTCCGAGGAATTGCTCGTCAGCTCAATCACCATCTCGTCGTCAAACGCCTCCCGCGCCTCCTGCAGCAGCACCTCCATAATCTCCGAGTCCAGATTCTCCTGGAGCTTGGCTTCCGCGTAGTTTCTGTCGTCGAGAGCTTCCCCGTTAGCGCCCAACGAGCCCGTGGCCGGGGGCTCAACCGTGTACAACTGACCTCGCCTTCAGACGGTCGTAGAGCGTCGTCGAGTCCACCCGCAGAACAATCACCAGGTCGATCCAGCTACGCGGAAACAGGTCGCAGGCGTGCCAGTCGATGATGCAGCCTCCTGCCTCGGCATCCGTCTCGATGGCATCCAACAGCTGAGGCGCAACAGTGTCCCGTCAGCAAGACCGCGTCCGGCTGGGGGGCGTCGACTCCTCCGCACCTTGTCTTCGTCCACTATCCAGCTCTGGTACTCGTCGCTCCAGCCCTCGTGGCACTCTTGATCCTTGACAATCTGGTTGACCGACACATGCCGTAAGCCTGTTCTCTCGGCCAGGCTCTCGCAGTGTGTCGTCTTGCCTACGCCCGGGGTCCCGGTGATGATGATGTTTGGTGATTGCCTCATGTCGCGTCAAGCATTTATCTCGTCGCCCGCGGCTTTGACCGTCGCTGCAACTTTCCGAGCATAAAGACTCTGCTCCCGTTCAGCCACTTTTTTCACTATCGGGCACTCCTGGTCCGAAGAGAGCACCTGAAATGAAAGAAATTTAAAATTTGAAGAGAGTCCGACGTTTCTTTTCACCCACGGCTCATCCAGCGAGGCGGCGGCAAGCTTTTGGTCCTTGTTTGCCATGCGTCTACCGAGGCGCCCACTCGCTTTGCTGCGTCACGCTACATAGCTAATGAATGATCTGCCGGTGGGTACTGGGAGGTACCTACCTTATGTATGTACCTACGCGGATGCATTCACACGCTACCACAAACGTCCTCGACCGCCAACTTCTCAGTCGAAGGTGTATAATCGTGCCGACACAAAGGTATGAATCGGCTGCGTGACACACATGGCTGGCAGTACCCATCGAATGCTTGCTTGCATTGGAAGTGCAACCTTGCAGACAAAGAGCCTCACTCCAATACATGTTTGCTGCTGTCCTCCCCCGTCCGTCGTCACGGCCCTCTACCCCCTCTCCCCCCAGTAAAAAATAGATATGGCTCCGTGGCACATGTCATGGCAATCGTTGCCAAGATCCGCCCGCGTCTTGACGCCCGCTACAGCGAAAAACATGAAAAGAAGAAGTGGGAAAATGACGAGGGGAAGCCTCAGCCGCGGACTCACTTATCTGAGTAGACGGTGCAGCCCGGCATTGGCCCTCAGACGGCGCGCCTGCCCGCCCTCACAGCTCCGCTGCTGCCCCTTCGGCATTCGTCTCGTCCGCCTCGGCCAAGGTTTCTTGCCCGTCAAAGCCCTCGCCATCCGCATATTCAAGCTTCTCTTGCTGCGCAATGGCCTGCGCCGAAACAATCTCCGCCAACCGCTTCAAGCGCGGCGTTTGCAGCCCTAAAGTTGTCCATTGTTAGCCACTTGCGTCTTGCCCGTGATGCCGTTAGGTCCACCTACATGAAGGTGTGTACGTCTCGAGCGCCGTGATGGACCGCGGCTCGGCAATCTCGTACGGCCCGCTGTCATCCATGTCGACTGCCTGGAGGAGCAGCACGTCGCTCTTCTCCGTAACCCGCGAGGCTACTGCCTTCATAATCTCGCCATTGATTGGCTGCTCGTAGTCAGCCACCAGGTACTGGTTCAGCAGCTTCTGGATCTGGTTCGGCGAGAGCATCCAGCAAATGTCCTGAATGATCTCAATGTCATTCAACGTTGCCTTCTTGAGCTGCAGCAGCTTCGTCGCCTGCATCAGATGCTCCAGCTGAAGGGTACCTTCGGGCATGTCATGGCTCTTGCACCATTCCTCGATGCGCGTGATGTTGTAGTTGATCTGCAGACCTCGCTTCCACGACAAAAAGTTGCGTCGCATCAGCAAGTCGTTGAAAGCCGTCACGCCCACAAGCCGCAGGAGTTCAGTCACAGTCTGCGTGATAATCGAGTCCTCGAGGTAGAATGCCTTCATCGCCCGGAAGACGCTGTTGAGGAGGCTGAGCAGGTTGTCCATGCTGTAGGCTGGCGCCGAGTTCGACTGCAGCAACTTGCCCAAGAACCGGTTGCTCTCATTGGTGATGAAGCCCGGCAGCGACTGCGACTCGATGATGGCTGGGATGATCATCTTGTGTAGCTTCTTCTTGAGCACCTTCATCCAGGTGTGGTAAATGTTGAACTCGAGGCTCTCGAGGTCATGTTTGACAATTTCCAGTAGCCGGTCGTACTCGTAGTTGTCCGTCTTTTGCGTCTCGTACCAGTCCTCGGCCAGGAAGACAAAGGACAGCATCTCGTGCACATTGGATAACCAGAACGCGCCGGGGTTGATTGCCTCGTCACCGTCGTGCTGCATTACCTCCTGCTGGATCGACTGCATCACGTTGGCCAGGAAGCGCTCCGATTCCTTCACGAAGCCGTTGTTCCACATCTCAGAGGTTACTAGGTTAATTAGGTACGACGGGAACAGGACTTCCTTGTCTGAAGGAGGGGGTGTCGTGTTTGGCGACGGGATCTTGAGATTGCGGATCAGGCCCATCGTCACCTCCTCGTTGAGACCATCCTCGTCGGCGAGAAGACCCTCGAGCTCCATCTCGATGTTATCGACCCCGGGGATAAATGTCGTGCCCGACAGATTCTGCCGATGAGCCGTGCTGGTCACAGCCATGGAGACGGGCCGTGGGTTGTATGCTGCGCTGAAGCGATCGAGGTCCCGTGGCTCCGCTCCGGCGCTCCTGCGCTTGGGTTTCTTTGACGACACCAGGTTGATCAAGCCAGTGGCCACTGCAGGCGTAGACGCCCCATTGGTAAGCTCCCCGTTAATTGGCGCGCTTCGCTTCGCCACCTCCAAGGCGTCCCGGAGAGCTTCGAGCTCCTGTCGAAGACTGAGATTATCCTTTTCGCGGTCACTGTTGGTCTGCTTCGTCGTCTCCAGCTCGTGGTTGCTCAGCCGGAGGGACTCGCGGAGTTCCCTTTCTTCCTCCTGCATCCGCTTGATGTTGGCCGTCGACTCGTCAAAGGCCGCCTGGAGCTTCTTCATCTCATCCTCCATGGCTTGCAGCTTGGCCACCGCAATGCCCGCCTGGTTGGCTTCTGTCTGCAGTTCCTTGGTTCGCGCCTCGAGCGCATTGTGGCGGTTCTTCCACGACTTGATTTGGCCCTCATAGTTCTCCACCTGCGACGCAAGGTTTTTGTTCTTCTCCTTCATCGAGCCGAGGGATTGAGTGAGCTCGACCACCTTGTTCTCGAGCTTGTATGATATTTGTTTCAAGTCACGGGCCTCTTCACGCATCCCCTTGTACTCTTGCCGAGCACTCTTACCGCGCCACAAGCTCTGGACCAGGGTGACCTTCCGGCGATATTGCCTCCAGGACCGCAACTGTCGCCGAGATCGCCACGCTCTCTGAATGACGAGCGCGGCGTTGCCCACCCGGGTCTCCATGATCTGCTTTCGACGCAGATAACCTTTGGCGGCCGACTCAAACAAGACCATCTTTTGCCTGATGGCAAGGAAGTTCTTGCGCTGCTTCTGGCCGCGCCAGACCCGCTGAATAGTGGTGGCGGCTTTGATGGTGCGCAAGCCCTGGGCCCGCTTCCTTGCCATATAAGCTCTGACAACGGACTGGGTGCGGACGACGGACTCGCGAGCGGCCAGGTAACGGCGTCGGTAGAACTTGGCCCTCAGGTTCTTCTGGATGAGAATCGCGCAGCCGTTGAGGCGACTTGTGCGGAGGTTCTCCAAGAACGCAAGCATGCCAGCTCGGAAGAAGATCTTGGTCAGGCCGAGCTGGTATTTGTCAAGGCCCTTGCCCGTGCTCGTGCCCAGTGCCTTTGTCAGAATGGCGTTGGCCATTTGGCGAATCTCAGAAGTCCACTGGCCCGAATGGACGAGCATGTAGTATCGAAGCGCAAATTCCTCATAGGTCCATCGTGTTGGGTACCCGGCGCAGCTGATGCGAACGGTCTCCAGAACACCGCAGGCGCGCAGTTGGCTGAGAACCATGGGGCCCTCGAACCGCCAGGCCTCCTTGGCCTCGTTGGGCTTGATGCATCGGATATAGTGGACATCCGTGTTGTTGATTGTGTTCATGAGCTCAATCAGCGACGATCGAAAGATGCCGCCGAGCGTGGGCTTCCTGTTGACGGCCACGCCAATCTTCCTCCCGCCAGCGGGCTTTACAGCGTTCGACGAGGCCGAGGCGACATCCTTTTCTCTCACAGCCGACGCTGCTTCGAGGACTTGCTTGAGGAAAGAGTTGGTCGTGGCCCGCAGGATTGCCATGTGCTCGTCGGGAACGGTGTCTCTGTTCTTTTCGATGAAGCCCTCGGACTCGTACGTGACGTCGATGGCATAGTGACAGACGGTGAAGGCCGATTTCCCAAACCTGGGCTTCTTGAAAAACTTGTGCTGCTTGTCGGAGCCAAAGTTGCCGTGCAGCTTCGTTACGAACTGTTCGTCCGAGCCCATGGGAAGCCGGGACTCTTCGTCGAGCAGAGACAGGATGCCCATCTTGCCTTCAATGAGATCAATGCACGGCTGATTGTCCGAAAAGTCGATAAACGTCCAGTCGATCTGCTCCTTCAAGTACTCTTCTTGCTCGAGCTTAAAAACGTGTTGGTTGAACTCTTGCTGCAGCTTCTCGTTGGCGTAGTTGATGCAGAACTGCTCGAAGGAGTTTTTGGCGAAATGCTCGAAGCCGTAGATATCCAAGACGCCGATAAACGACGAGACACGGTTCAAGACATCCTCGGTTGCCAGACTGTGGTTGATGACGTCGACTAGCCAGTCGAACAAGCTCGAATATATGAACTTGGCCACCGAGTCGCGCACGACAACAGCCTGAGCCTGGCTCAGGTTCGACGTAATCTTTTCGCCCCGAGTGACTAGTTGTTTCTTAACAATCCACTTTGCGAACTCGGCTGCGTCCACGCCGAGAATGCTGCAGGCCCGCTCGAGCGATGGCTCGGTCGGGGCAAGCACGCTATCGTTGCGCGAGGCAGTGATCTTGACGTTGCCCAGATGCAGCAGGCCGGCCAGGATCTTGAAGATGTCAGCCTGCTTGGCCCCTGATACACCAATTGTCTGGAGAGACTTTTTGGTCGACTCGAACTCGGCCTTGTCGTCCACACCGTCAATGGTAGGGCAGTCTCCCTGGTTCAAGTACTCAAATTGCTCAACGCGTAGGATATCGAGCTCTTGCCGCTGCTCGTCAGAGGCGCCGGCCACGAGCTGGTAGAAGATGTGGTAGTTGCGTTCCTTGAGCGGTTGGAATACGAGGCGTGACCGCTCCAGCAGATATGTGCGAATCTTGGCACCGATGATGTTGGTCTTCTTGTCAAACATGATTTCGATGTACTTGCCGAATCTGGACGAGTTATCATTGCGCGTGGTCTTGGCGTTGCCGAACGCCTCCATGATGGGGTTGGTGGCCAGGATTTGCTCCTCAGTCTCGCTCATGGCCTCGGGACCTCGCTTGATGCGGGCTCCAAGGTTGTCCGGGGATTCTCTGGTGGCGAAATACCGCATAATGTACTTGGCACTGACGGTCTTGCCAGCTCCGGACTCTCCGGACACAACAATGGTCTGGTTCTTGCTGTCTCGAATCATGTCCCTAACATCTTGATCAGCACCACAACCAGGCAAACATTGGGCGCAAGTCAACGCACATGAAAGCTTCTTCAGCAATGGCAAACAGGTGCGGAGCCTGCGTGGCCCTCTGCTTTCCCGCGTAGACCTGTACCATGCCCGGAACGTAGAGGGAGTCGACTCGAGCGAATGGATTCGTGGCGATGAGGACGATGCCGCTGTAGGTGTAGATTTCTTTCTGTAGATAGCGCAACCGGATGGCCTGTAGAACTGCACGTAAAGTCACAAGTCAGTCCCATTCCCCGCGTCAAGCAGGTTCTGTGGCGGCTTACCTGCAGGCTCGTTGAGATGGGACAGATTCGTAAGATCATCGCTGGCTTCTAGCATGGTGGGATTCATCAATGGCGGCAAGGAAGCATCGGACCCAGACTGCAGCGCCTCGGCAGGCACCTCGATTGTCTTGCTCTGTACAGAGAGCCGGCACAAGGCCCAAGAATCAGCGGCCGGTCTGGTTTCGAGCTAGAGCACGGAGCGGAGAAATAACATACGTCGCCATTTTCGAGCTTGAAGACGAGTTTGACCTTGGTGCCTTCGACTGTTTTGTTGACGAGCTCCGAGGCTATCCAGCCCAAGGCAGGGTCGGGCTGCCACGCTCTCGTCCCGACATCGTAGGTCGATGCCATGAGGGGGAAGCTGCCGGGACAGGAAACGAAATGGTATCGAGGTGTGCAAGAGGAGGCTCAGGGGGAGAACTAGGATGAACTCCGACGAGAGGCATTCATTGACGGATCGTGGGTCAAGAGGTATCGATCCGCGGAGTCGGTGTCGGCGGCGGATGGGACGACACGTCAGGGGGGATGATGGAAGGCTTCCGAGAAGAAGGGAGTTGAGGAAGCCAACGAAAGAAGGGGGGAGGAGGCGGAGGAGGAGGAGGAGGAGGAGGAGGAGGAGGAGGAGGAACAAGACGAAGATTATGGGAGACCAAGTCGTCGTCGTCGCCGTCGTCGTCGGCTCAACTGGAAAAAATGATGGGGGGGGGGGGAAATTGAGGTCGACGATGAAGAGGTCAAGTGCTGTGTCGGCGGCGGCGGCGGCCAGCAAGGGGCTGCAGCAGCTGGAGCACTGATGTTGATGATGCCAGCACGCGTTTTTACGGGCCGAGGAGGCTGGCTGACTTGTACCCAGGTACAGAGACCTGGACTGGCACGCACATGGGCAGCCGAAACAGAGTATCTATACAGACGTTGGGTGGGATCAATGCTGCTGGCCGATGCGCGCTGCATGTCCGTGCCTCTCCCGGCAGCCGTAGCCAGGAGGCAGGCAATACGTACCTGCATGGTAAGACGCCGGCCCGGACAGGGTACCTGCGAGGTACTCCCGACTACCTACCTACTGGCAGCTCCGTCTTACGCGACGGTGAATTGCAAGCCGTCTCGTCCTTCCTCGTACGACGGCATCTTCTCAAGCCCATCTACATAGCTCTCTGCGCAGACGCCGTCACCAGTCGAGCAAAAGAAATGCCTCCTTCGTACGTCGTGGTACGAGACGCGCAAGCCCGAGCGTTGTCTCTGAGGGGAAAACAAAACAAAGAGCTCCATGATCAATAATAAACGCATTCAACAATGCGCCTACATCCAATTTCGGCGCCCCGTCAAGCACCTCCTCCGGAATCCGTACCACCGGCCGCTGCTTCCTTTCCGACATGTTCCTGGTTCCTCATGGCCAGCGTTGATACCTACCGTGAAAACGCCTGCCCATCTATCCCTCATCTTGGCCGGCAAAGCCCAAGGCCCAGCGGCGCTCGACGTTCCTGTAGCCTTGTCCGCCTCGCAAGACCCCAAGATCCCTTTCTTCGAATTCTTTCTTGTTGAAGCAGCACCTCCGTCCCTCGACAGTCCCCCGACGCGACGTTGAGTGCGGACGGTCGGTTGACTTTCCTCTGCACATCTCGCAACCTCCTGGCTCCGGAGCATTGGCTTGTCTCCTAGTAGAGCATGCGAGTCATGATGCATGCTACGTTTATGCTAGCATCAGCGTAGTACTTGGGTCGTATCCGGTCGCGTAAACTTACAGCTAAGAGCATTTAAGCTTTCTGAGATGTCCTTGATCTGTCCGTACCGCACATTGCTCACATCGGCCATCAAGTAAGCCACCTGCCCAAGTCTCGGTTAGTGCATGCGGTTCACGATAATAGTTCCTGGTGATTGCCCACATCGCCTCTGCTGTCGCTGATCTGCTTGTCGACGTTGTGATCCCCGAGGATCTCATTAACTACGTTGACATTAGCATGTTGGGTCAAAGCATGCAACGGGGTTGCCAACCGGGCCTTCAATACCTTTGCGCAGGACACCAGGGACGTTGCGGTGGATGTAGATGACCTGTGGTCCATCCGAGTCAGCCAGGCCTTGTTGTATCTACTGTTCCGGGGCATCGGTTGAGCACGAACCCGTGCATGTTCGGGCTCGTCCAGCGTTAGGGAGCGGAGTTGAGCCTCGGGCATGTTGACGCTTCCCACCGTGATGCCCTGGTTGATGTATCGCACCAGTGCGTCGGCCACTGCGAGCCGTGTCAGTCGGTGCTGAGAGACGACGCCAGGAACTGGAGAGGGCATGCAGTCATGGCAACAAGGCAGTCCTCCTCACCTTCGGTGCCAATGGCGCGCTGAGCCTCTTCGGTGCTTCCACCAATGTGAGGAGTGAGGATGATGTTGCTCAGGTTGCGAAGATCCTCGGCCCACGAGTTCAAGTTGTTGCTAAAATAATCGCCATTGGCTGCGGGCTCATGAGGGTACACGTCGAGAGCAGCGCCGGCAATCTTGCCGCACCGCATGGCATTGATCAGGGCCGCAATGTCCACGACGCTTCCGCGGCTGGCGTTGATGAGATAGGATCCGTTCTTCATGTGATTGAGCTGCGCAGCGGAAATCATGTTTCTCGTCTCCGGAAGGTCTGGCACATGCAGCGTCACGAAGTCGGCCTCTTCGAGAAGAGACTCCAGGGTCGGGACCTGGCGCGAGGTTCCCAGAGCCATGAGGGTGACGACGTCATAGTATATAACGTTCATGCCCATGGCCTCGGCAAGAACCGAGAGTTGCGAGCCAATGTGTCCATAACCGACAATACCTGCCAGCCAGCCACAGTTAACACGATCCGGTTCCGACAAAGGCAGGGAGGCGAGCCATTCGCGCAATCGACCACGTGAAGTCGTGCGACAAGGCTCGACAGAATGGGCTGCAGCTGAGGCGGAAGCAAAAGACACTCACCCAGCGTCTTGCCTCGCACCTCCCAGCACTTTGCGCTGACCTTGTTCCAGGTGCCGCGGTGCATCTCGGAGGAGCGGTCGCCCAGTTGGCGAGCAAGGGTGATGATTTCGGCTATGACAAGCTCGGCAACGCTGCGGGAGTTGGCAAATGGGGAGTTGAAGACGGCGATGCCGTGGCTGGCGGCATAGTCGAGGTCGACCTGATTGGTGCCGATGCAGAAGCAGCCGACGACGAGCAGGTTCTTGGCCTCGCGAAGGACGCGCTCGGTCAGCTTTGTCTTGGAGCGGATGCCAATGACGTGGACGTCGCTGTGCAAGCCAGGGTCAGGATCGCCACGAGGCCGAGATTTACAGTGTTGACTCACCGAATCTTATCAATGAGCTGGTCCTCGGGTAGCGACGTCTTGAGGGCCTCGACTTGGTAGCCCTGCTCCTTGAGGGTGTTCTGGCCCGTCTGGTTGACGTTTTCGAGCAGCAGGATCTTGATGTCCTGGGTGTTGAAGGGCTTCAGCTGCTTGGGCGCAACGCGCTGGGCCAGACCACCGCCCCAGCTCGACAGAGGGGACTGCATCGTGGCCGCTGGTGACGTCGACAGCGTGTGCGAATCGGCCCCCTGCGCCGCGAGCGGGTTTCCCTGGATATCTCGGGCGGGAGTCATTGTTTCCAGGATTCAAGTCGTCGAGAGCTAAAGGTGTAGGTAGACAGGAGAAGGTTGGAAGAGCGACGGTTTTTCCCGGGCGCTGAGTGCACTCATTGCCTTTCGGCGGTCCTCGGCGAGGTACCCTGATGAAGAATGCGCGACTTTGGAGGGTCCGGGACCACTTTTAATGCTGTACGCCCGGCCAAAAATGCTGCGCAGAGGGGCAGAAGCCACAGGAGGAGTCATGGCAGCGGTACTATTACTCGCGAACGAGCCATAAGCGCCCCGCAGATGGTTGCCGTTGATGCAGGTGACGCTCGAAATCTACGGATGCATGTACTACGATACCACCCACGGGCGAAACCTCACGTACAGTACATACAAAACGGACATGTTTTCGAGCATGCCCATCCGGCCATCCGGCCAGCGTCTCAAATGCTGGCTGGGACAAAGTCCCTTGACCCACCACGCTGGAGCCTCTTTGGAAGAAATGCCGGGTCAAGCCATTCATCCCTCATCGGCCGCCATCGGCCGCCGTTGAGCTGCCGCAATTCAAACGCCGATCTCGGGTGGGCCTCTAATTAGAGTCATACTGCACTAGTGGTTGGGGTTGGACGGTCGAGTCTGACCGTTTCGGTCTTCTCCCTAATTAACTGAACTTATTACTTCTTACGCTGGGAGGAGACGGCATGTCATGCACGCGCCGTGAATGCTTGAGAACCGCCTGTCGCCGCTGACGCCCAGAAACGGGCCAAGGCCTGACTTGAGCAGCCAATATCAAACCTTTACTTTTCGGCTTCGGCCCCTCGATGCAGCACCGCCTTGACCGTTATCGAGGGAAATAGGTACACCCGCTTACGCCCTCATTGCGCGTCTATGAAATGGATCCAGACTTCTCACGCTACCGTCTCACCACAACAATTCGCTCCTCCTTGCGGCCAGAGCTTTCGCACTACTTCTCGCAGCACTACAGCTGCCAACCTTGGTAGGCCACGGCTGCGCCGCCTTTCCGTCACCTTTGGCCATTCCCTCGTCCTTCTAGCTACTTATATCGAGGCCCAAAAAAGGAAGAAAAAAGAACCAGCGACCAACGACCGACGACCATCCCAAAGGCATAGATTAGTCATGCCTGGACGCCTCCAACTTTCAGCCCTCAGCTCTGCTTGCACTCAGCGGCCTCCTGCTTGGGCTTGCCGGAATCATCCTGCTTGTCGCGTTAGTCCGGCACGGCAAAGGCACGGTCGTGCGCGCATTGTGTTACTCACGTCTTCATCAGACTCCTCCTCCTCGTCGTGGTCCTCACTCAAGTCGTCCTCGTCGTCCTCATCATCCTCGAAGTCGCCGGGCTCGAGGTCGTCATCGTCAACCTCCTCATAGGCGAGAGCCTCTCCAGTGAACCAGTCAATGGCACGGGGGATCAGCTTCTCCTTGATATCTTCGCCGAGCTGATAGTCGAGTTCTAGGCGTTCCTCAATGTCCGAGATTGCGTCGTCTTCGTCGCCGTCCTCGTCAGTGGGCGGTTTCGGTGGTGAGAAGAAGTTGAAGAAGGACTCGGTAGGAACTGTCTTTTTGACAATTCGAGTCTGCTTGGTGGCTGTTGGAGCGTCAGCAACGGGCGGTAAAACGGGTCCTGTTGCAGCTGCTCACACTTATTTCTCTGCTTCTTCGCCTCGACACGGACCGTGAGGTCCTTGCCAGGGTGCCAGTCAATCTTATCGCCTTCGGCATGGTCGTAGATGAAGTCGCCCCCGTAGCCGCTCTCGTTCTGATAAAAGTAAGTCTTGGTGATGGTTTTGTTGGTGAAGTACTCATTCTCGCGGAATTCGAAGATGAGACGGAAGCCGGGCTTGTCGAGATACTCCATGCGCACGTCCGTCAGGTGCTTCAGGGCGGCCTCGTCACGGTCCGTGATCATTTCGGCGAGGGTGACCTGGTTCTTCATGGCAGACAGCCAAAACTCGGGAATGCCAGACACGTTCTCGGGCATGTCGGCGTTTTTGGGTGCGCTTTCGGCAGAATCTCCTTCGCCCTGGGGCTGCTGGCTGTCGCTGTCCTCGCCGGCCTTGACTTGTTCCTCAGTTGGCTCAACATTGCCGTTGACGATGTTGGCACGCTTCTGGTACAGAGGGGTGAACTTGGCAAAGTACTTCTTCTCGAGCTGGAGGACCTCTTCTTGGAACTCGGCCTCGAGCTTGGAGTGTTCCTTTTGCATCGCTCTCAGACCAGACACTCTGCGGCGAACAGGGGTGGGCAGAGACTCGATGTAACCAGAAGACCGTCCGATGAGGGAGCCGAGCCGGCCCTGGATCATCTGTACAAGCTTCGGGTTCTGGGCAAAGATGGAGGCGGCAGCGGCGCGGTCCATGTCCTCTAAGGGGGAGAAGAAGAAACGAACGTCAGTCGGCGTAGGGGCTAGTTGATGCGACGGCCATCTTACCTTCCTTGATGCTGGCCACACCGGGCTGCTGGGCGTGGGAAGAGATGGGCGCATTGCTGGCCGGTGTGTTTTGCGGCGTGCTAGAGCCGAGGTTGGGCGATTAGCATCCATGCAAGAGAGAGGGTGTATGCGATGGGGGAAAAGAGTCTCGCTGGCAGGCAGTGGGTGCAAAATACGGAGGAGGGAGACGGGAGGGCGCTGGGGCAAACTCACGGGGCCGTCAGGTCGGGGCGCTTGTTTCGGATAGGTTCGGCCATGTTGCCTACTCAGCGGATGCAAGAGGATTGCACAAGCAAGCGGATGAGGGTGGGCGGGAGAGGGAGGAGATGAAGGAGAGAGGAAGATGGGAGAGAGGAGTGATGGGCGTTGCTGATTTTGGCGTTTGGCTAAATTTCGGTGGGGGAGGGGGCGATAAGTCAGTGATGAGTGGATGGCGGGCGTGCGCGGGTGCCCACCATCAACGACCTCGATGCTGCCTGGAGACCCACCAGGCCTTGGGTAGGTACTGTAGTAGTACTAAGTAGGTAGGTAGGTAGGTAGATACCTCAGCTTAATAGCGGGACAGAGGGGGGGAGCAGGGGAAAGGGAAAAAAAAATCTGCGGGCGACTCCCCGGTTGTTGGGCCACCCCATTTGGCCGCTCCCAGCAAAGAGCTGCGCGCTGGAGCCAGTCCTGCAACCTTACCCGTCTGGGGCGCGCATGCCTTTCTCTTGCCCCCGCAGTCGGATGCGCCCCGTACAGTGTCAGTCCGGAGTCTGAACCGACTTGTGCACTGTATTGCAAAACGGCGCGGCTTCTGCATGTATGCGGAAGGGGTATCCGTACTGACGGGGCACGTTTCCGAGCTGGTCGCAACGTCTTCATGGCAGCAAGGAAAGTGCCGACGGATGGTATCAGCCTTGCGCATCTCGTGCACAGTACAGTATTTAACGTACATAGTTGCCCCTGTCGTATTCGTCATTGGGCCAGGAGAGCATCAAATGAGTCCTGGCAGGCCCTCTGGAGATTAGCTGCTCTCGGCAACCAAGTCGACTCTCCAGACTAAGCCCCATTCCCCGGAGAGCACCTTTCACTGCTGATAGTTACTCACCTGCATGTTCTGGCGGCTACTTTTCAAAGTAGACGCAAGCGGCTCGGAGTACGGACGTAGAGGCATCTGCAAAGACTCATCCCGGCGCCTGCGACAGTGCCAACGGCGGCTTCCTGCCACCCGAGCATTTGCCGCTGAGTAAGGCATCTGCTTCATCAAGCCCGGCTAACGTTACCTGTCCACTTGCCTAAGTTGTACTGTAAGTCTTAATATCTGAATATGCCTGGATTAAGAAACAAGAATTGAACCCCGACAGATGAGATAAAATCACACAAACTTGTACATGCTTGAGTTGAATGTTTTGGAAATTCTCTTCACCGTGGAAAGAGGCTGCTGGTAGTTATGCTTAGCTAAGAAGCACATCCACTTCTCCCTCCAATTTACCAACATCAGCGGGGACGGATTACCTCGGAGCCTCGTCTGCCAACTTAAGCTCGACGAATGCTTATTATTGCATCTTCAATACTGCGCGCTCTGCAATGCATAGAACCGCGAGTCCCCCAACAATACTCCGTTTCTTTCCTGGCCACCCGGTCGACGACCTAGCCAACCCTGCAATTGTCTCTCCGTCCCTCTCTATCCCAACGCTGTGGCGCGACGCGTCTTGTGTCACGCGCTCTTCACCGACTTCCTCTGCGCGCAGCGAGTCGATCGCGGTCCCGGATGCCTTGCGAAGCTTCGGTTGGTGAGCCTGGGCCATGGACGACACCGAGAGCCCTGCGACGGGCCACGGTCGCAGCAGCCTCTCGAGGGCCAGCTCCAATCCTCATCCGTCACTCTATCGGTTGAACTCGAATCAGAGTAGCTCCAGCGTCTTCGAAGACGTGGAGATGGCCCATGAAGAGGTCAGCATGAGTGCCTTTTCGCGCAATGGAGCGAACCCCTTCCCTTCCGGGACCGCAGCTGACGTGTCGGGATGGTGTCTTACGTGCAGCAATACTCTGGCCCTGTAGCGGAGAGTCTCCCCTCCAGCGTCTCGGCATTTTCTCATCGCAGAGCCCGTGCCGCCTCGACAACAAGCTTCACTTACTACGAGGAAGACCCAGAGGCCTTCTCCCCGTCCCCCGAGCAGCCGAATACGTATTTTAGAACGAGCACCAGCGACGGCTACTGCAGACGCAGTTTCAGCGAAGTCGGTGACAGTGGAGACTTCGACTTCTCTGCGTTTGACGACGAGGACCAGGCCGAGGACGGATACCGCGTCACTCATGATGACTACCTGCTTCGCCGCTGTTCCTCTGCGCAGTCGCACATCTCGGCTCGTGCAGGTCTGTTACGTCGCGATAGCACTGCGACGGCTGCGAGCTCGCGTCACCAGGCCGGCCGTAACAGCCAGAAGGTGTACATGACCAACGAGGACCTGACCATTGCAATCGCCGGGTTCCGCACTGGCCTCGTCGGATACACGGCTTACATCCTCCTGTGCATTCTCTCGTGTGGTGTGGCCTTTCTCCTATTTCGATGGCTCCCGCGCTGGTATGTCGGCGTTGTCGGCCAACCTTGGCCTTTGAAGGACTGCGACTGGGTTGTCATTGAAAACCAATGGGGCGAACTGGCCGTAGTATCCGTCAAGTCGCAGCTGTACGGTCGGCCAGTCTCCACTGTCTTTGGACTACCCGAGAAGATGTTCTCGTATGGGTTAGACGACGAAAACGATCCATTGATGGACAACTTGCGCATGCTTGATTATCGTTATGTGCGTCTTTGTTTCCATCCACTCAAAGACAAGTTTGTCCTGTCAACTGGTTGGAAGGATCCCGAGTGGACAGATGTACGCCTGGTTCGCTGTGGCCTTGACAGCGACGAAAAGGCCATTAGGGAGGTTGTTTTTGGAAGTAACCTTATTGACATTGAAGCAAGGTCGTCGGGCCAGATACTAGTTGACGAGGTGAGTTCCCCGCGGGTTCTAAGCATCGGTCCGCAGCTGTCCGGTTCGTTCTGACGGGGAGACCTTTCGCAGGCTCTACATCCGTTTAATATCTTCCAGATCGCCAGCTTGATACTCTGGTCGATGGACTCGTACTATTACTATGCTGCCTGTATCTTCATCATTTCGGTCGGGAGCATCGCCACGACGCTGATTGAAACGCGAGCGACAATGAAGCGGCTACGCGAAATCTCACGGTTCGAATGCGACGTTCGGGTTTTGAGGAACGGATTCTGGAAATACATTTTGTCTAGCGACCTGGTTCCGGGCGACGTCTACGAACTAAGCGACCCGAATCTGAATCAGTTTCCTAGCGACAGCCTGCTTCTTAGTGGAGACTGCATCGTCAACGAGAGCATGTTGACTGGTAAGCCAACTCAATGTCCGTGCCGGCAGTCAAGACGCATCTTGTACTCACAACAGCAGGTGAATCTGTGCCGGTTTCCAAGATTCCCGCAACCGACGAGACACTACGAAGCATGGACCTTGGCGCTCCCTCGGTGTCTCCCGAGACCTCCCGACACTTCTTGTTCTGCGGCACCAAAATCATTCGCACGAGGCGCCCACAAGAGGATCAGGGCGAAGACGCCGCTGCCCTGGCCCTGGTGGTCCGGACCGGGTTCAACACCACCAAAGGCGCTCTTGTTCGATCCATGCTCTTCCCGAAACCGTCCGGGTTTAGTTTTTACCGCGACTCGTTTAGATACATCAGTGTCATGGCCGCGGTCGCATTTCTGGGCTTCATTGCCTCTTTCATCAATTTCATCAGGCTGGGCCTTGAGTGGCATCTGATCGTTATCCGGGCTCTGGACCTCATCACGATTGTTGTCCCGCCCGCGCTGCCTGCTACGTTGACTATTGGCACCAATTTCGCCATTGGACGCTTGAAGAAGAAACAGATATTCTGCATCAGTCCGCAGAGGGTGAATGTCGGTGGCAAGTTGGACATTATGTGCTTCGACAAGACAGGCACGCTGACCGAGGACGGCCTGGATGTGCTCGGCATCCGCGTTGCCACGACTGACACCAACAGGTTCAGCGATCTAATTTCAAAACCGCCTCTGTTGGAGAACAGAAGCGGTACGCGAGCCGCTCGCCTGAGCCCCCTACAGGCAGCGCTCTACACGATGTCTACATGCCACTCTCTGCGTGCGGTGGACGGAGAGTTGGTTGGGGATCCGCTAGACGTCAAAATGTTCAACTTCACCAAGTGGTCCTTTGACGAGGGCAAGCAAAGGACGACGGAAGGAGAGGATGAGGCGCAAGGCAGCCTTGCGCCCTCGATTGCACGCCCCCCCGATGTACAACACCCTGCCCATGCCCGTTTTCCAGCTGCCCTGGGATGCTGACCAGCTCGCTTCAGGGGTCCCGAGAGCTGGGTATTCTCAAAGCCTTCGAGTTTGTCTCTCAGCTGCGGCGGGCAAGCGTGATTGTCCGGCAATTTGGGCAAAAGAGTGGCGACATCTTCGTCAAGGGGGCACCTGAGGCTATGCGGGAAATATGTCGCGAAGAGAGTTGTGAGTAGCATCCTCCACAGCCCAGCTCTTCGAGAGGTCTAACCTGGCCAGTTCCGAGTGACTACGAAGAGCTTCTGTCCCACTACACCCATAAAGGATATCGGGTCATCGGCTGTGCAACCAAGTATCTGCCGAAACTCAGTTGGGTCAAAGCACAGAAGATGACCCGGTCCGCAGTTGAGAGCGAGCTTGACTTCATAGGCTTTATCATTTTCGAAAATAAGCTGAAGCCTACGACGGCGGCGGTGCTGAAGGAGCTGCAGGATTCCTGCATTAATACCGTGATGGTGACCGGAGACAACATCCTCACAGCCGTCAGCGTTGCGCGAGAATGTGGGCTCCTCGATCGCAACGCACACTGCTTTGTGCCCCGATTCGCCCGAGGTAATTCGACTGGGCTACCAAGAAACCTTTGTCTGTTTACTCGAGTTGGCTGACCAAGAAAGGTAATGCCCGTGACCCCCTGGCCGAGCTACAGTGGGAAAGCATCGACAACAGCATGTACAGTCTCGACGGGTCGACTTTGTTGGTAAGACTCCTTGGGAGATGATTGTTTATCAGCGTTGGTCGTCTAACGCGTGGCCAGCCTCTTCCGGCCCCTCCAGAGGGTGATGCCTCTCTTCCATACGACATTTCCAACCTACGAAACTACTCGCTGGCAGTCAGCGGGGAAGCATTTCGGTGGATTGTGGATTACGCGCTGCCAGGAGTTCTCCGGACAGTATGTGATCCCCGTACGCATGACTTGAGCTTGACTAACAGCGTGGCAAGATGCTCGTCCAGGGGAAAGTTTTCGCAAGAATGTCACCGGACGAGAAACATGAGCTGGTGGAGAAGCTCCAGAGCATAGACTACTGTTGCGGCTTTTGTGGTGATGGGGCCAACGACTGTGGCGCCCTGAAGGCTGCAGACGTTGGCATCTCACTCTCAGAGGCAGAAGCTTCCGTGGCGGCACCGTTCACGTCTCGCGTGTTTGACATACGCTGCGTCTTGGAGGTGATCAGGTGGGTCACGCCCAATCCCGGCTGAAAGGCTGCGAGCTCACATTCATGCAGGGAAGGACGAGCTTCGTTGGTGACGAGCTTCAGCTGCTTCAAGTACATGAGCCTGTATTCGGCCATTCAGTTCACGTCTGTCAGCTTCCTCTACGCGAATGCATCGAATCTGGGGGACTTTCAGTTTCTCTTCATCGACCTGCTCCTAATCCTGCCCATTGCCGTCTTCATGGGATGGGCAGGGCCGGCGCCGACGCTTTGTCGGAAACGGCCGACGGCGGACCTGGTATCGCGCAAAGTCTTGACGCCATTGCTGGGACTCATGTGCATATGCATCTTAGTCCAAGGTGTGGCGTACGTGACAGTCCGAGAGCAACCGTGGTACAAGCCGCCGAAGATGAGACACGGCGGATCCAACATTAGGAATTCGGAGAACACGGCGCTGTTCCTGGCGTCATGCTTTGAGTACATCTTTTCAGGAGTGCTGCTCAATGCTGGACCTCCGTTCAGGCAGCGCGCGGCCCAAAATTGTAAGTGATGCTGCTATTCCCGGCCCATGGCTGCCCGCTGTGCGTCAAGGGTGAGGGACGAGGGCTGACCGGAAACAGGGCCTTTCACGGCGACAATCATGCTGGTGCTGGCGTTGACGGTGTACATGGTGGTGGCTCCGGCGTACTGGCTCAGCAAGGTCATGGATCTGACGCACATAAGTTGGGGATACAGGATGTTCCTGATGGGGCTGGGCCTCATGTACTTGCTCATGGCATGGACATTTGAGAAGCACTTTGCAATGCCGATGGCCAGGTGGTTGGGCGTCGCGAAGCAGCGCTTGACGGGAAGGGCCAAGCGACGCAAGGAATACAAGACGATCCGGGAGGAGATATGGAAAGCTCGGTGATGACGAGGGTGCGGGCCTCCGACTTGTTTGAACCTAGAGTAATTACCGGAGATGCTGCTCATATCATACTTGGTCACCGGAACGTGTGGCATATCTACCTACCCGAAGGCTGAGCGGAGAGGCCGAGCGGAGAGGCCGAGGCGTGGTGCCGCGATGATGATGGGGGGCGGCGACGCATTGCACCAGGATCAGCTACCGTATTCAAGACGCCGCGCGAAGCACAGAGGCAGCACTTCTGAGGGCCGGTGCTGGTTTTCGTGCAGTAGCCTTGCCGTCGACGAAAGCGGCCCACCGAAACGATGAACAGGGATGTTGAGGGGCCACCGGGGCTTAGGCCGCCCTTGTACCTCAATGGCCTCGATGACCTCGATGACCTCGATGACCTCATCATCCCTTGCACACGCCCAGAACACGAATAATCAACAAAGCAACTCCTTCAACTCTCAGCCTGGACCAATTGCCCGATCAATTCACTCTCATTCTTCATGCCCGCAGGCCGGTCAGACGTCTTGAACAGGCAAACCATGAACTACGGTGTGTATCTTTGCGCAAGCCGACGAGGCAAAGAGGCAGTAGACTGACCGGCGCTGCCTCGGTCAATGTCGAGCTCGAGCGTAAACAGACTGGATCCTCGACGGCGGCTACCTCCCTCAAGCCGTCATCCGTGTCGGCATCCGGAGACAGCTCCGTGATCGGCTGTCGTCCATCGAGGCCTCGGGGCTGAGCGAGGCGGTCGAGGCCAAGATGGCGTATCTAGAGCGCCTTCGCAAGCAGCCCATTGCCATCAAGACCAACACGGCCAACAAGCAGCACTACGAGGTGGGGACCGGCGTCCTGACGGCCTGCCTCGGTCCGCGCATGAAGTACTCCAGCTGTCTGTATCCCACGGGTAACGAGACGCTGGCCCAAGCCGAGGAGGCCATGCTACAGTCTTACCTGGACAAGGCGGAGTTGAATGATGGCATGAGCATCCTCGACCTCGGGTGAGTCTGCTCCGGTCGACCCAGTGCGTTTAAATAACGAAGGTACAAGGCCATGTGAAGCATCGTGGAAGCGCCTCACCAAGGGCATCTGGCGCCCAGTCGATTTGGAGCACTCGGCGCTTATACTTGACCAACACTTACAAATTCGTGGATGATGTAGATGCGGCTGGGGCTCCGGGGCTTTGTTCTTCGCCGAGAAGCTGCCAAACGCGCGAGTCACGGCCTTTTCCAACTCGCGAACGCAGAAGGCGCACATCGACGCCGAGTCCCGCCGCCGGGGCCTGAGCAACGTGGCCGTCATCACGGGCAACGTCGTCGACTACGAGTTTGAGCACGAGAGCTTCGACCGCGTCGTGTCCATCGAGGCAAGTCTACTGCCTCCCGACCCCGCAACGAGCTTGGACGAGGTTGCTGACTGCTGCGGGCGAGGGTGCACGGATGGGTCGGCCAGCTTTTCGAGCACATGAAAAACTATGAGCTGCTTATGGCCAAAATCTCGCGGGCTCTCAAGCCTGGCGGGAAGCTATTCGTGCACATGTTTGCCCACAAGACGACGCCATACGACTACGAGGAGGGCTGGATGACAACGCACTTCTTCACTGGCGGCACCATGCCGTCGGCCGACCTGCTGCTCTACTTCCAGCGCCATCTCACGGTCCAGAGGCAGTGGTGGGTCAACGGGACGCACTACTCCCGAACATGCGAGGTATGAAATGGGTTGGCTTCTGCTGCAAAGCGGCATCTGGCGCTAACACGACGACAATCCCACCAGCAATGGCTATCGTCCATGATTGCAAACAAGAAGCAGATGTGGCCTCACCTGGTGGAGACGTATGGAGGGGAGAGCGAGGCAATGACGTGGTATAACCGGTGGCAGGTCTTCTACATGGCGTGCTCTGAGCTGTTTGCCTATGACGGCGGGGACACTTGGGGCGTGGCGCAAGGCCTGTTTGAAAAGCACAGCGATTCGTGAGCATGGCAGCGGTCGTATTTAGTAAGTAGTACACCAGCCTTAGAACCACCTCGGCAGGGATAGATACAAAAGGCGGCCGACTGGGCACCGGTGAGCCACGCATGACCGCTCGCCTCCCCCTCGCGCTTCAATGGTCCCAGGGATGCTTCCAGCCTAGTAAGACAGGGCCTGAAGAGTGTCAGTAAATCGGAGCCGGGCTTATATCAATCGGGGAGGGCGGAGGAAGCCGTACCGTCCCTCTTGGCCCTGTACATCAGCTGTTTGGAGCTGCGGTCAGCGTCATCCTCACTTTGTCGGGGAAAACCCATGGCCGTTGCGCTGGGTAGGGGGAGCTCACCCAGAACCACATGCCGGCACCTAGAGCCGTGGCGGTCAATCGATAGATGGGAGCCACATGGGGCACGGGGGGCTTCGGGGGACCCATTGCAGGGATGATTCTGGGCTCGTCGGCCGCGGTGTGGGCGATGGTTCGGGCTCCCGTCCGCTCGGGTCGGCCGATGTCAGACGACTCCTGGATGCATTGTGTGTCAGCCTTCTGAAACTGTGGTGCGAGGATCTCCTCTGCATCATCATTCTCGTCTTCAGTTGGCTTCGGCCTGCTCTCCAAGAAGTGGGCAGGTTGCCTCGGCGGTAGCCGGTGGATGGAGGAGGTGAGCATGGCGGTGGTGTTGCGAGGGAGGCGACGTCGGACGCAGGGCTTCTCTGGGGATCGGACAAACCTGGTGTAGTAGGAAAGAGTCGTTCCCAAGCGTCGGTTGGAGTCCCAAAGATCAACAAGTGTGCGTGGACGTGGGTATGACCGGGAGATGGAGAGCATCTGCTGGTGTGCAAGCAGGTTGCCTGCCGGCGGCTGATTTGCGATGACTAATCACGATAATTCCAGGAGATCGCCACCGTCGCAGGTGTACAGAGTACGGAGTATCATGTACTGTGTACCTCGGCATCGGGGCTTGTTGGCGCGACCGAGCGGTAGGGTGAAGGTAATTAACTAGTTAGTTACCAGGTGTCTTCTACGTACTCCGTGCTATATACCTAGGTAAATATGTACCTAGGTACTATCCGTAGGCGCCGCAATGACACGCATCGGCGTCGCAACTCAACCTCGCCCGCAAGTCCATGGCCACGACACATCCCGACGGGCGCTCCTACATACATTATTCCCAAATTCAACCCTACTGCCACCAGGTAAACCCGCCGCTCCACCCGGCGTCTCCTGGCCCTTTCAGCAGGCTCCCACGTGCTAGGATTCACATCCCGAGGCATGCATCTGCCGACGAGACACGCCTAAGGTACTGCAGCACCGCCGCACCGCCATCCCCCATCTCTCGAGATGCCTCATGCTGACGGGCACAGACACGGGAGCCAAGCTACCGACTTTCCATCCGCCGTTCCTCGCCGTTCCTCGCCGCAACAGCAGCCATGGCGGCCGCCGCGACCAACACGACGCCCCATATCAGCTCCAAGTCGCCCACCATCCGCCGCATACGTACGTCTCGTTCGCAACATGAAACTCTCTTTCCCTTTCCCTTGTCCCCTGGATCTAACTCGCCAGACCGACTACAGTCCGAGAAGCTGCCGAGATATCCAACTCGCCCTCTCCAGACTACGCGGCCGAGCCCCTTGAATCCGATCTGTTCGAATGGCACTTTACTCTCCGCGGCCCTCCCAACTCCGTCTACAGCCAAGGCCTTTATCATGGCCGCATCCTGCTTCCGCCAACGTATCCCCTAAGACCCCCAAGCTTCCGCTTCACCACGCCCAACGGCCGCTTCGAGGCCAATCGCGAAATATGCCTGAGCATCAGCGGTCACCATGAAGAGACGTGGCAGCCCGCCTGGGGCATCCGCACCGCAATCGTCGCGTACGTCCACTCCCCGTCCCTTGCTCGCCCCCCTGATATCGTGGAAATTTTGCCAATAACTCGCTTTCCTTACCTGACGCACAGGCTTCGGAGCTTCATGGAGACCGACGCCCGCGGCCAGCTCGGCGGTGTCGACACAACCGACATGATCCGCCGCCGCCTCGCCCAAGAATCCGGCCCCTTCCGATGTCAAACATGCGCTCGCTCCAACGCCCAAATCATTGCTGATGCCGAGGAGCGCGCTCGACAGAGTTCTGCCGCTGCCGAGGATGTGCAGATCCCTCAAGAGCTGAGCATGGGCTGGAGAGACGAGATGGAGGCGAGCAAAAAGGCCAAGTCGGGACCCGGCGCTCAACCAGAGTCCAGCAACACCGCCCCTTCCCGACTCAGCGACAGCGACGATGCTTCGGTGAGCGCAGAGCTCGCCGAGGGTTTCGTCAGGACCGGCTTGAGGCCTCCTGCCACCGGCCAGCCGCTGCCGGCGCCTCTTCCCCCTTCACAGCCAACCGTGCGGCATCCTCAGCGCCAGCGACAGGCCGCCCGCCCAGCGCATCCCAATAATGGCGTTCCCCTCTGGATCGACAGAGCCATCGTTGCCTTGGCCGTCGTCCTGGCTGCCATGCTCCTCAGAGTCTTCTTGAGGATGTGAATGGGCTGCCTAGCCCACGCACTTCCCTACGACGCCCGCAATATACGGGAACCACAAGCCAGGCTCTTCCTTTCCTCTCTGCATCCGGCCTGAAAGCGATGCTTTTCCAGGGGCTATGAATCGTCCACATCGCTGGGATTCTTGGCTCGTAGCTGTCGAGGGCAACCCAGATTGAGAGGTGGGATTAGAGGAGCAATTATGTTTTAAAAGCGAGCCATCGAGCAGAAGAACACATCAATTGCATGTGAAGTGACAGCCTGAAAACTTGAACCTGTCTTGCTGCGCCCCGTCTATGAGGATATCTTTTTTCGCCGTGAAGCATATATATTGCGGATATGTTCGCTCCCCCTGACCCGAGTGCAAGTAATGCTCATGTATGGCTCAACTCTGAATCCCTTCTTCCCCCCCTCCTTCCCCAATTCCTCATTGGGCCATCTTCTCCGCCTGGTCTCCCGTCTGATGCCGTGACCAAGGCACCGCCAGCCACCACCAGTCCCCCACCGTCGTCCCCACGTTGTCCACGAGGTCGGTCAAGACTCCCGTGCGCGTGCCCCACGCCACGATGAGGTAGGCTTCGAACTCGTCAAGGAGCGGGCTGAGGGCGCTGCAGATGCCCTCGATGGTCATGGACCCGCGTGTGGCAAAGGTGAAGCAAAAGGCCCCCAGCAGCTCGGACCACCGCTGCACGTTGCTCTGCCCGAATATGTCAATCCACTGCGGCGATTCGCCCTGCGGTCCTCCCCGCGGCGGGCCCTCCCGGACGACATCTCGGAGCACCTTGATTTCCTCGTTGTACTCATACGTCGCTGTCGGGACCGCCTCGAGTGCGAAGTGGTAGTACGACTTGGGCGTCTTACGGCTCTCGTAGCTGCCCGGCTCGAAGCCAAACGGAATGTTGGGCACGTCCACGGGCACCAGCCGGATCCTCCCCGCCGCGCTCAGGTTGGTCAAGGCCATCATGGCGCCATCGTTGAGCGTGTACGGCACCCTCATGGTTTCCTTGCGCCGAAAGGTAGAGTCCAGCTCCTCCTTGAAGGCCGCCGCCTCGTCGTACTTGGAGCTCTGCGCCATCTTGGCCAGCGTTGACAGGTACCATTCGTTGAGGCGGTACGGCCGGCCCCGCGCGAGCGGCCTCTCCTTGCGGCAGATGACGCGCTGCTGCGCCAGCTGGGCGGCGGCCTCCTTGAGCAACTCGGACCTTCGCTGCTTGTCGCGCGCCGCCAGCTGCAGGAACTTACTCCTGACCTGCTCCGCCGAGTATCTTGTCTCCGCCGTGCTGCACAAGGACTTGATCCAGGACCTCGCTATGACCAGCTCGTCGATGCGAGGTGGCTCGTGGAACCCTCGAGAGGCTTCGCCCATGGCGACCACCCCCGGTTCCGAGGAAACCGCCTCGTACCGCGCAAAGAAGGAAGACAAGACATGAAAGTACTTCTCTCGCCAGTCCTCACCGGTAGCCTTGACATCATCCAGCGAGTACTGCTTGGTGAGAGAGTCCCTTGACTGCGGCAACTGGAAGCCTTCCTGGCGAGGCAACTGCACCGTCCATTGAATCAGGTTACCCCAGTCATAAGCAAGGGGCTTTTCGAAGTCAATCATGGGGAGCTCCTCCTCGTCCAACGCCGCGATGAGCCGCTCCTGGAAAACGCGGGTAAAGTTGGATATGTAAGCGGCCTGCTCCTTGCGAGCATCCGCCCAGAACTTGCGCAAGTACGTGAGTCCAAGGCTCGGGAAGATCCTGACCAGGAGGCCCCAGTCTATCGCCTTTTCGGCGCCTCCCAGAAGCGAGCGGACGGCAATGAAAGCCGCCATGAGCTCGGCCGAATCTTCAATGACTTCAGCAGCGTCTCCCGTGCTCTCGCTTTGCGCGGGAAGGGCTGTCAGGGCGCGGGTCACCAAGGCAACTCGTTTGATCCTCGGCGGCTTCACGCCCATGACGGTGGCGAATTTTATTCCTCTTCTTCCGAGCCTCGGCGCCTTCGTCTCAGCAAAGGGGTCCTGGCTGGATTCCTCGTCTGAAGACGACACCACCTCGCCTTCAAACTTGGAGACCATGTCGTGCGTCGACGTCAACGTAAGCTGCTCTTCGGCAGGCCAGACCAGATTCAAAGGCAGCCTGAAAGCATCTTCGCCATCTTCGCCAAGGCTTGAAACGAAAATGTTGTGGGGGCCAGCCTCTCCGGGAACCGCATTGGCAAAATCCGGCTTCCATGATGCCTCCACCTCCACGCAGGCCCGCAACCTGTTGAGGAACCGTTGGTATGGGCCCTTTGTCAAAGCCGAAGAGGACAAACGGGCCTCCCGAGCCGCAAACCGCTTCTCAATCTCGTGGCCGAAACCTGCCCATCTGAGCCATTTCCTGTCGGGAATCCATCCACTCAGCGTGAAGCTAATGCCAGGTCGATCAAAATCGTGAGAATCGAGCTCAGGCCAAGACCCGCAAAATCCGAAAATGGGTTTTATGTCGCCAAAGACATAGGCGTCTGGACGAATCGGTGTCGGTGATTGCGGTTGCGGATCCGGCTCTTGCTCCTCTGCTTGTCTCAACTGGGGGTCAATGGGCATCGGGGTCTCTTCAAGTTCAAACGGAGGTGATTCGTCTTGCAGGTATGTGTTGGGTTCCAGGAAACGAATGGTTGTGACAGGTTGTATATACGGCAGGGCATCAGCAGGGTCGCCGAGCCCTGTCCCAGCGTGACGCTTGCCCAGCCCACTGACGGCGAATCTAATCCCTTTTGATGCCTGCGACTCTGGGGGCATCACAGGGCCGTCCCCATCCCCCCGTTTCTGTTGCGCGGAGTACTTGGCACGCTTGGGGCGGTGCGGACTGCCAGAGGCGGCTTCCGCAGCTCTCTTCGCGGCCACCTGGGCAGCGTACACGGGAGCGTCCAAGATGGCGACCTCTTTCGCGAGGAGTCGGCGACCACGAGCACGAACCTTGTTGCTTCGCGACTGCGCATTGTCGGGGCCATCCATCTGAGAAGGCTCATCGAGTGGATGCTGATCGTCCTTTGCCATGTCGACCAGGTGCATGGATTCAGGGGAGAAGGCGTCGATGCCGAGCCGCAGGATGAGCTGACACTTTGCAAATAGTCCCTTGCGGTCTCGGAATGCATGCCAGTGCTCTGTTACAACTTTCTTCCTGATCATGGTGTTCACGGCTGACTGGCAGGCCCTCGATGTGGGCGGTGGCAGGTCGGAAGCATTGGTCTGCCATGCTGCCGTGACAGCATGCCGGAGAGACTTTCCTCCCAGAATGACACCATTTTTCTCATCGAGAATGACTTCAATCAAGTCACAGATCCGATCTCTCGGTGTCCTCTTTTGCTTGGTGCTGCCGGTGCCGCGGGCATCATTCGGCGCGTTTCGCATCCCAGAGCTCGAGTGGCAAGGCTCCGGGGGTTCCTGTTGGACAGAGACGCATCGGCCGTCGTCCTCGGTCGACAACGTACCGGAAACTGGCACAGCTTCTTCTGCGTCCACTCGCGGCGCCAACCGGGCCAGGTCAGCAGCCTTTTCTTCCTCCCGAGGCCTGAATGCAGGGCTATCCGGACGCCTTTGGTGGCTATTGAGGGTCAATATCTGGCGCGGTACAATCGATTCATCCCGAAGTAGCACCCCAGGATTGGCATGCGGTGGAGAGAGCCGACTGCCTTCTTCCCCTGTCTCTGTCGAGCTCAACTCCGGGCAAGCTTGCTCCATTCCCAATGTTGGGATCTCTTCTGCGTGCCCTGGCTTCTCAGCGGCCCGTTCCTCATCCCGGTGGCTGTGGATGAGGGGTGATATTGATGCATCCTCAAGTCCAAAGCCGTTTCTGTCCGGGCACGGGGATCCGCTTCCTATCAGTGACCAGGACGCCACGCCGTCCGACGGACTGGATGCCTTTGGCCTGAAGAAGCTCGCCTGCTTCCCCTTGCGGGTTGCGTGGAGGACCGGGGAAGTGTACGACGGGTTGCAGGAAGTACGAGACTTTTCGAGGTGATATTTGAGGCCAATGTCGTTCTTCCAGCTTCCGCCGCATTTCTCGCATCTCCAGGGCCTCGGGGGTGATGGTTCGGCCGTCCGAACTGGAGACGGCCGTCGTGCACGACCGCGACCAGAGCCGCGGGGGCGACCACGGGGGCGCCCAGTCCCACGCCCACGCCCTCGAGTCAACGTAGTTGGTGGCTGTGCATCGTCTTCTTTTGAGTCGGATTCAGACTCGCCGCTTTCAGCAGGGTCAACTCGAACCACTGGGCCTGGTGCTTTCAGCGAAGATCTCGTCCGACGCTGGGCAGAGCTTCCTTGTGGGTCCGGAGGCGACGTCGGCCAATTTTCCATCGTTGCAAGGCGTAGAGTCTCTGGCCGAAGCTTCAATGTTATAAGGCGGCTTGAGCACCGCCGCGGTTTGCGCTGTTTCTCGGGCGTGTTCGGCTTCGACGTCTCCGGTTCCGCCACCTCCACTATCGCCGACTCTGGATCCGCCGTCTTCTTGACACCTACATCGGGCTCTGCCGGGCAGCCTTTGTCTGGTTGTTGCTTCTCCGCGTGTTTCGATTTCCTTCCCCGTCGCCGCATCCCCTTCCTCCCTTGCTTCCCGGGCAGCCGGAGACCACACATGGCAGCCAGAGAACTGGACGGGTGGGCTGGTACGGCCGTGGCAGGCAGGAAGCCGAACATATCACCTGGACAAGCTGGAAGGTCCCCGTTTTCAGGCAAGGCAGCTTTATCAACCGGGTCTGATGCCGCGGTCTCAGCCGAAGTGAGGGGCGGGGGCAAGTAAAACAGATACGACGCGACTTTCCCGGTGCGGATGTGCTCATTTCTCATCTGCAAGTGTCGGAGGTGCAGGGGTTGAAGGTCCGTCGTCGACAAAGATCCAGTCATGGACGAGAGGAAGCGGTTGAAGGTGGCACCAAGCGTCAACATGTAAATGTCGGGATTGGATAAACCGTGGTCCCCGAGAGACTGCACCGTCCTCGCGATCGCTTGCGGCAGTGGCTTGTCCATAGACCAAGGGGGGCACATGCTCAGGCGAGCGTTGTGGGCCCGCTGCATGCTGAGCCGCTCGTTGCCATTGTCCTCGTCGCTCATGATGTGTTCGCTGCCTCTGGCTGGTTTCCCGGGGTGCTTGCCCGTCGACAAGTATATTGACCAGTCCTCGGCCGTCATATCTCGAGTGAACTTGACACAGTCCTTGAACACCCGATTCTCGAGTTTGGCGGCAACGTACTGGATCGCGCCGCGCGAGTTCAGAAACCGGCAGGTTTTGGACACAATCTTCATCTGCCAGCGCATACCCAGAACGCCCAGCTTTTCCTTGAGGTCCCTAACGCGTATGACATCCCATTCCTTGGCAACGGCCATGATTGTGGTGGCCAAGGCCTTGTAGTCGATATCCGGGCCGGTCCAGCGGATGCGCCAGGGGACTGGGTCGAGATTTTCGGCCAGTGTCTGTCGCGATAGGTTCATGTCGGCCTTGGGCTCCTCGGCAGGGTCGCTCTCTCTGGGCAAAGGCGGCACGAGCGATCTCAGCCACATTTTGCTCGTCTTGGTGCCCCTGATGAGTGTCGTTCTTTTGACGATGTAGCCTTTCTTAACGAGGGCATCTGTGCGTTTGGGAACGGAGCGCTTATCCTGGTCGACGAGACGGCCCAAGTCTCCCTGCAAGATGCCCTCTGACTTGCTGGATGCTATGCCGAGAAGCAAGAGCCATTCGGATCGAGGAACACGCTTGTGATCGACTGCGTGCCCGGTGATGGCCTCCCACATGGTCGCCTCCGAGGTTCGAACCCTAATGGCGTCCTCCGGGCTTGAATTCGAGCCGTTTTGTATGCATTCCTGAGCCCGGGTTGCGCCTTCGTCGCCCTTGGCCTGGGGACCGTTGCTCGCCAGGGGGTGGAGCTGTGGTAGGGACAGGAGCTCGGGCAAGGAGAGGTGATTATGCTCTCTCCCATGGCCAACCGACACATCGCTCCTCCGTACCAGCCACGTCCACACTTCTGAAGCTGCCCGATCTGGCGGGGCGTTTTGGGCATCTTGAGATGAAGAGCCCGAGGGGGCCAATGAGTCACCGATGGCTCCCAGGAGCTCTCGCACAGAACAGCCTAGCCGAGCCTCGTTAGCATCACGCCGTACATGCGCCGATATTCCCTCTGAAGGTTCCAAGGCTTTGATTCCCTGCACTAGAACCTGCCTACGTGCAGATCCAGCAACCTTCTGTCCATGTCGCTTTCACTCTGGGATTGGGGGAAGGCCATGAACTCACCGTGTTCGCCGGCGCAAGATATGAGCATCAGCAGATGCGCAATCAGTCCCTCAAGCTCCCATGCCATGACTTCCGGGGCCTCTGTATTTTCATGATAGGGTGGATGAAACCAGGAGGCGATGTGCAGGCTGGGCGTTGATAAAAAGCTTCTCGGGCGGGGGTTTGAACGCGCGACCAGTTGGTCATTTGCAATTCCGTGACTAGCTTTTTGCTATTTAGCCGGAGCTTTGCCGGACTGACTTGCTGACATAATGACCTTGCTTGCTCCTCGGTCGGCAATCATAGGTATAGGTACTATTAATGAGTATTACTATTTGCCCCGGAGCAAATCTCTATTCGGCCCGGATTCTCAAGAAATCCTCCTTTTTAATTGGATGATATATATCTTAGTCATCATTGCGATATCTTAAGTATTTTCAAGTCTCGTCTTGTACGTCGCGCTCACCTCGTGCGGGGGATAAACCCCCACAGTAGGGCCCCTCCCCAAGGGGGACCCCTCCCCTACTGGCTCGGGCGCTCGAGTACGCTTTTCCGAAGTAAGAGCTCTCTAGAAATTTCTAAGGATTTTCTATTAAGAGATAGCCAATATAAAGTACTAGCTAGTAACATCTAGGTACTTTCACTTTAGCGGGTTAGGCCGAATAGAGATTTGCTCCGGGGCAAATAGTAATACTCCTATTAATTACCTTACCTATCTGTCCATCTCTTCATCGTTATCACACGCCTGGGCTGAGACTGGGACGCTTCCAAGAGCAGAGGTAGCATGAGGACGTGTGCACGAGCAGACGGAAAGAAGAGTCCGAGGCCTGACATCAAGTTGCACCGGGACATTCTCATCCATTTATCACAGCACGCTGTGGGCATCTAAAAGCTTTACGTCCGTCTTCTTAGGCCATCGAGCTTTGCCTGCTCGTGCTCTCTGATTTTCCTGTACGCCTCGACAACGTCATTTCTCGCCATCTGCAATTCTTCGCGCCGACGGAGACTTCCGGCAGCCTTGGGTATGTTGTCAACATCGGCGGCGGCGTCTCCCACCTTGAGCTGCTGCCGCATCTTTTTGTGTAGTTCAGGAGGAGCTTGAGCGACGTCATGAAGACCAACTGGAGCTTCCGCTCTCTTGCGCTTGAGTTCGAGCCAGGGGTCCTCCTCTTCGGCCTTGGCCCGCCGCCGCCGGCCTCTTTTCTTGCCAGACCTCTCCTCGTCCATGCCGGCCATCATCAGTTCTGACGAGAGGGTGCCGGCCGCGTCGTTGTCCATCTCCCTCTCGGCGGCCTCCTCGAGCTCCTCTTCCTTCTGGTCTTGGATCTTGCGTTCCTCTGCTCGCCACTGGTCGTAGAGCTTGTGCATCTTGCGTTCCTTGCGGGTGCGGTGCACCTTGAGTCCGATCTCGTCCTTTCCGTCCTTCGCCTTGGTCTTTTTTGCCAGACCGGCCAGGGGAAGTGCCGCATCGACGCGAGCAGCAAAGGATCTCGAGTCTTCGCCAGGGCGAATGCGCAGGGGTTCCGGGGCGAGATCTGCCGCTCTCTTGCCCTTTTCTCCGTCGTCGAGACCCGACCTGATTTTTTGGCCTTGCGCGACTGCCATGAGTCTCTTGAAGGCGCGTGGGGCATCGTCGTCGGCGCTGCGATTATTGCGTCGCTTTTTGACAGTGCGAGGTCCTGGTTTGGCGCCTTGCTTGCTCGACGAAGCGGGCAGCGGGCGGGCTATCTGGGTGGCGGGCAGTTCATAGCTGTTTTGCGAGTCAGAAGCCTATTCTGGAAAAGCAGACATGCGACGGCACGCGGTGCTTACTCGCCGTCCTCGCCTCGCTTTCTCTTGTGTTTGTGGGGCATCTCGCAGCTGGCCGGCCGGTCCCTCTTGAGGTTCGTCTTTGAGCGTTCCGGTCAATACCCTCACCGGAAACTTCGACTGTCGCAAGGGGGTTGTTCTCGGGGGATAATTGGCGTGCTCTGTTGTCGGTGGATTGGCCAAGGTGCGGATGGGCGGTGGCGCTCCATGGAAGATTTGTCTGGCTCCTTTTTTCTTGACTTTTTTTTTGAGTGGATTTGGCACTCGCTCGCCATCTGCATAACTTACCCTATAGCCTTTCCTCACTTTCCCCTCATCCCAGCTCCTAGGCCGTTCACCCAGAGACCTAGGCCTGCGTCGACACCAACAATCACGTTGTCTCGACAAGAGAGGACTTCAACGGAACAAGCAACTTGCCACCTGTCCCGAAAAATCACGGCTATCACCCCAAGGTCCCTGCTGCTTGGTTCCAACCCCTTGCTGCCCCCCCCCCCACAAAACCTCTCCTCTCACGTCAGGTCGGCAGCCAGCAGCAGAGGTAAATTCCAGGTTGCGTGATCGACAATCAGAATTCCAGGAGCTCTGACGCTCGGCAAGGCTTCCGATCAGGCAACGCGCAATCGGACCCCATGCATTGTTGGGAGTTCCCGGAAGCCACCATCTCGCACTATAGCTATTATTCTTCCATTCTTCCTGAACGACCCCACAGAAACTGCCCGGCAAGGCTAGCTCGATGATTATGGCATGCCGCATTAGTGAGCATAGCTGACGGGACAAACAGGCTCTCCCACGTGGCTGCATCCCTCAAGACGAGGCCCCGTGGGTCACCAGGACAATCCGAGGCCTTCCCGGATCCATGGAATCCCGTGTCGTCCTCGTGTTGGCAGGGGAAGCGCAGCCGCCAGTTTGGCCCCCGAAACTGGAGACCCATATCGTGGAACCGCGCATGCAAACAATGGAGAACCGACAGTCCGACGGTCCTTCGTTGCTGCGACGGGACAAATGGACCAACGCTTCCCGTCGAGCCGAAGTGAATCCCGGACCGGCCCAGAACAGCCCTTAGGAAAGTGTGTATGCTGTTCAAGGTCGCCCAACCACGCTGTCATCGTACCCTCGACGGAAGCGAATGCCTATGCAACGAAAGAGAAGCCTTGGCAAGGGCTGCGTGCTACTCCCGATCAATCGTTTGTTTCTCTCATGACGCCACACTCATGTCCGTCGTTTTCGACTTGGGGTGAGCCAGAGTCAACGCGCTGCGCTGCCTCTGCCCCGGACTGGGAGGGCGCATGCCTTCATTCCCCAGACGAGGCGCAATCGAGTGGATACGAAACCTGGAGTCATGGCTAGATCATTCGCCTGAGCATCGCTCTGCCCTCCATGTATGTCTCCGCCCTGAGTGAGCGGACTCGCTTCGAAGCTTTGAACAGCCCCGTGCAACCCCTCCCACCTCGGCCCGGATGCTCGACGATGTGGGACAGCGGAGGGATGTTGAATCGGCGGCGCTGTGCACAAGCCAGCACGAATACTGATGATTTACAAGTTTACGGCCTTGGACGGGGATTGGAGTACCAGTCGATGATGGTTTGAGCGCGCGTTGGCGGTCGGTGCGACCCCCGCACATCCCAGAACCCATCACGGATTGGGAAGTTGAAGAAACCGGCGACGATGGTTCAGCCGATTGAAATCAGTTCAATCAACTGCTGGCTTGCGTCAGTTGCAGCCATTGGCGTCGGCTGGCGTTGAGCACAACACATGCGAACAATCCCAGCTCTCTCGGGGCCTTGGCGCTTGAGAGCGCGGGCAAGCATTGAATGCGAATTGACACCGCGCAACAGCCTTTTTTTGCCACATCAGCTGAGAGTCCATTAAGCATTCTTTTGGTGTTACGGCTGAGTCGTGCGCCAATTTAGCCTACGGGGCCGGTGGTGGCCCTCCCCTGCCGTGAGCACAATACTACGAGACAATGTGAAGCCCGAGGCATTGTCTGGAAATCGCCAAGCCTGGCACCCCAGGCAGTACCAACAGGGGCAAGCATGCCAAAAGGACCGAAGAACGGGCGACAAACCCTCACGTCAAGGACGAATATAAAGTCATCCTTTGACCAGGGATGAAATTGCGCCTTGTCTCTGCAATACGACGACAACTCGACTTCACCAGACACTCTGTTTCCACACCATCCTCTTGATATCATCTTCTTGGCCATCTCCTTGGAAGACTTCCTCTCCTGCTTCAAAAACCAGACTTCGACACCATGACTGAGTCCTCGACAACGCCCAGCTTCAAGGTCCACAAGACCTTTTCCGCAAGGAAGAAGACTTCCACCGCAGGAAAGAAGAGACATCTCCGCCTCGGCACCGACGAGGACAAACGTTTTGCGCGTGGCGGCGGCTACGCTTGCATCGTCATGTAATGACGTTGCCGCCACCGGAGTGGGCATATTGAGTTCTAGGCTCAGATGCCATGGCGGGGGCGCTCTCGAGCGCTCTCACGGCTAGCACGCATGAGTTGGTGACGGCCGGATGTGCAATACGAGACGAGACGACACAGGCATGAAGAAGGATACGACACATACGCATATGGATCGAACGTTTTGAAAACGGCACAATTTTCCAACCTAGGCTCTCTGATGAACGGACGCTGCACCCGCTTCTACGGAGAGTTTTTTTGCACATCAGACCACGACTCGATAATCAGCGTCGGGGGATTCTGGAGTAACAACTTGATGAATCGTCGACTCGGCACCGAGCTGGAGTGGTTCTCTTGAATTATAATATTTTCATTCTTCTTCCTATCGGCATGCCCGGCGCCTGTCGGTCTCCCTCTCCGGACGGGCGGCCGATGTCGAGGGCAGAGCACTATGGGGTTATACGGGCATCATGATTCTGGCCGACTTGGAAGGCCAAGGAGAGGGGGAACACGGAGCAGTCAAGTTCCACGACTGAGACTAGGTACCCGGTGAAGCATGGCGAAACCGCGCTTTGTGAAGTTAATGCATTGCGAACTAGACTCGGAAATCCGAGCACTGATGAACCATTTGCTGCCGGTTGTTCCGTACCGGTAACTTATTGCCTTTGTGATTGCTGCCCCCCCCCCAGCAAGGGGAATGAATTCCTGCTCCGTTTGGACCTGCTCCTCTGGGTATACGTTCCGTACTCTGCACTAAGTTATGCATAGACATGCAAGCAGAGATTGAATTCAGGGGTCATGAAATTCGAGCATCCCATGCCGTCCATGCTCCGTATAGTGTCAAGAGCCCAGTTTTAGAACGACCCTGTACGGAGTGGTGAGTCCTGTATGCTTTGCAAATGTCGCTTGGCGTGGCTGAGAAATTGGCCATTTACGGATGGGCCCGACTAACCAGTACATGGCTCTGACTATCCGGCATACAAAAGGTGGGGAGCTTGTGGCGCATAAGATTGGGAGAACTTAAGCAGCCTTACCTATTTACTTTTTAAATATTATAAATAGATATTTATATAGTCATCCCTAAGCCCTAAGCTAGCCTTAAAGATTTTATATAATATAAAAAAGCTAAGAGGGTTAAAGTATTAAGTTTAAGTATTAGCTACTTTATAATGCGCCTTTCCGTTTTAGATGCACTTGCCACACTCCCCCCCCCCCCGCTTTTGGTGTGCTGAATAGTCAGAGCCGTGTGCTGGATAATTAGTCAGGGCCTTTACAGCTACCTGGGTACTGTACCTAGGCACTCAAGCACTGAACAAAGTACGGAGTAATTACCTAGATGGGGTGACTGGAAAGGGCAAAGGCGGTGAGCGTCTTTGGTCCGGCAGAATCGGGCAATTTTCTGAAAGTCCCTCCAAAGTCCAAACCGCAATCGCCTGCCTGCACGATCACGGCCGACCAAATCTCGAGTCGAGCAGCCCAACCCGTCCGCCCACCATGGTCACCAAGAGCAGACTGCGGATGGCGATAGCCGCCGAAAAGGGAGTCGACTTTAAGAAGTTGAAGCAAGCGAAAAAAGAAAAGGCGGCGCTCAAGCGCAAGAGGTCGGGTGCCGGAGCGTCGCAAAAGACCGCCGCCGACGACCAAGACCTGAAAGCGCAAGGAGCAAAGAAGGAGGAACAAGGCGAATGGGCGGACGAAGACGAAGAGGAAGATGAAGAGGAGGAAAGCGAGGAGGGAGAGGATGTGAGTCGTAACCGCATGCTCTCCCAGGCCAACTATTGTTTCCTTCAGCAGCTGACTCCCCCCTTCGCAAACCGCAGCTGAACCTCGACGCCGTTGACGACAGCGACACATCTGAATCGTCCATTGAACTCGAAGAGAAGCTCGCTCGAAAACCGCTCAAATCCGGACAGAGGCTAGCGGCAGACGAGCAAGCCAGGGAAGAAGACGCAGAGGATGACGAGGAAGACGACGAGGACATTCCTGTCTCGGACCTCGAAGACCTCGACGAGGAAGACAAAGAAGACCTCATCCCTCACACCCGCCTCACCATCAACAACGCGGCTGCCCTCCAGGCCGCCCTCGACCGCATATCCATCCCTGCAGACAAATCCACACCCTTTGCGTCTCACCAGTCTGTCGTCGCTTCCGTCGCCACCGCTGACTCGATTCCCGACGTGTCGGACGACCTGCAGCGCGAACTTGCCTTTTACTCCCAGTGCCTCGAGGCCGCGCGCCATGGCCGCGACAAGCTGCTCGCCGAGGGCATCCCCTTCTCGCGGCCCAAGGACTACTTTGCCGAGATGGTCAAGGAGGATGCCCACATGGAAAAGGTCAAGGCCAAGCTGGTCGAGGAGGCGTCGGCTAAGAAAGCCGCCGCCGAGGCCCGCAAGCTGCGCGACCTGAAGAAGTTTGGCAAGCAGGTGCAGGTGGCGAAGCTGCAGGAGCGGCATAAGGCCAAGCGCGAGACGCTCGACAAGATCAAGACGCTCAAGAGAAGTGAGTTCCCGCCCTGCCCTCCTCTTCCGTCCCCTGTTATATCTCTCCGAAAGAGATATACTCACATACCTCCCCCCTCAATCTAGAGCGCCAAGAATCCGGCGCCGATCCCAGCACCAACGAGGCCGACATGTTCGACGTCGGCGTCGACCACGAAATCGCCAAGCACTCCCAGCGCGGTCCCAAGGGCACCCCGGCCGGCTCGAAACGCCTCAAGAAGAACGAAAAGTACGGCTTCGGCGGCAAGAAGCGCCACGCCAAGTCGGGGGACGCTGTCAGCTCCGGCGACCTCTCGGGCTTCGACGCCAAGCGCATGAAGGCCGCCGGCGCAAAGGGACGGGGGGGCAAGGGCGGCAAGGCGGCGGCGGCGCGGCCAGGCAAGGCCCGGCGCAAGGCCATGGGCGCGAAGTGATATTCGACGCGAGGCGAGGGCGCGGGCATCGGTCTTGTCTTGTCGTGGGTTTCTTTAGCGCCCGTCTTTCCGCCGCGTTTTGATCGCCTGCAAGGGGGCTGTTCGCCTCCCATGGGGGAAAGGAGATGGGACCAGGGAGCTTGACCACCGTTGAAATGCCGTTGTCGCCCGACCCGCAGCGTTGCCCGTGCGTAAATTAAACGTTCATTTCCTCCGTCGATCCAACGGTGCTCACGGCGACCCCAAAGGATGAGCGGCATGGGAATGATCGTCCGTGTCGGCCCTGATCTACACTGAAGACACCATCTGTGCCTAAGCCGACGAACCCCTCGCAACGCCAGCCTTACAGGTACATCATAACGTGGCACAAACCAAGAGGCGAGTACTTCTATGCAGCCTCATAAGTCGTTGATCCATTCATCTATGAAGCAAAGGGATATGTAGTAGATTCTGTCCAGTCTCGTGTGCCCTGCCTGAAACCACCGCTGGGTCGGCTGGCACCATCGGGCCTCCCAACACTGCTCAACGCGGGCTCCCCATCGTGTTTTCCGCATGCGCCAGCCCGTAATGGTCCACGCGACGGCGACAGCAACCGACAACTAACTGTAGGGAAGAGTCCGCATAGGTGGACGTGCAGTATGTATGCATTTCTATGTATGTGAGAGTGGCTCGTCGCAATTAAAACCTGTCGAGCCCTTGATCCAAAGACGGCTAGGCATGTCGAAGGCGGCCGCGATGTGTGCCCAAACATGGTGGAAGACTAGGAGACGGAAAATGAAAAGAAGCGGGCGAACTTGCCACAAGTGACCATTTTCAAATGCTGGTGTTCGGACCCTTGGACGCCGTGAAACCCGTGGTATCGAGAAGAAATGCCGTGCGCTGTTCAAACGCTTTGCTGCGCTATGCAGTTGCAACCTTTCAGTAGCTCTGAAAATAAAGGAATAGAAAAAACCAAGATTAAACGCCGCGAGTCCACACAGACGGCCGTGTTGCTCTTTGCCGCGCATGCGTCTCGACCGATAGGCTCATTGCAAAGCAGCCACGCACCAATGCCGATGGAAGGCCCAGGCGCTCTTCTGACATTCTTTGCTGCAATATTTCGTTCGCCTGCATCGGCGACATTTGGCAAATTGCCGCGTGTACTCCTCCCATTTCCCGCATTGATAGTACGCACACTGTCGAATGCCCCCGCGCGGTTCGTCCTTGCGGCAGAGATTCCGCATGACGACGCCCGCCCAGTATTGCATGTCGGTGCTGTGGTACCTGACGGTGAACTTTTCGACGAGCGGAAAGAGATTGAAGTCGTTGGACAAGAGGTACTCCTCATCGGCAGCTACAGCCATTTCTTCCGCAGAGCCGTCTTCCTCGTCATCGAGCAGCTCGAGGTCCTTGCCAATGGTGAGCCTCGGCACGAGATGGCTCTTCTGGAAATAGGAGCGCAGGCCGCAATATTTGGAGACGTAGGCGAGGAGCTGCAGGGACATGAGAACATCCTCCTCACGAGGCATCGCCGTGAGCATGTGTGGGTTCGGCACGAGATGTCGGTCGAGCAGGTAGCGAGGCACGGCGGGGTTGGGGCCAGCGGGTTGCGAGGGGGCGACCAGGGCCGGTCGGCTCGGCGAGGAGCCTATCGGCGGGACCGGGGTTTGGGTGACATTGTTTCCAATACTTCCGTCAATAGGAGCGCCGCGATGCGTGATGTTGAAGGCCCCGGCATCTTGATGCGTCTCTGAGACGGTTGGGTTTGTCAACTCGAGGGATGCTCCCGTCAGCATGCTTTCACCTTCGTCCATGGAAATGTCTTGGATGCCGACTGCGGACTGCATCTCTGCAGTGCCCGTCATCTCGGCGTCTGGAGACTCGTCGGAAGGCATGCTGTCGACGTGCAAATCGTCCGTCTCAGCCATTGAGTTTTGATGTCTAATCGATGGTCGCCGTCGCGGTCGGTTGGACGCGTCCATATTTGTTGCTGGCCGAACGGTCGGGGAACGCAGCTGAGGGGGCGGGAGAGGCGTGGTGGGCGAGTTTGGCAGAGAGGTTGTGTCTGCCGGGCCAAAAGACGCCATGGACACCAAGCGCTCGACGTCGCGCACCGGCCTGACGAAGCCATCGATGCTGTCCATTGTCGGGGCGGCCGGTGCCAGCGACTGCGTGGGCTGGCTGGGAGCGGGAGCGCCGGCAAGTCTTGCGTCGGTCGCACGGAAACTGTGATGCGAGCGGCTCGGGGTTACAATAGGTCGCTCAGGGTTGGCCAGAAAGCCCCTCGCCGGGGCGGCAGCGGCGGGGTCCAGGCTGGACTGAGCAGTCGCGGTAGAGGGACCTGCGTAGGTGGCAGATACATCAATGGGAGGCGGGCCGCTCCTGCGGACAGATCTCTGATCTAGATCGGAGCGGCCAGCACGGTTGGCAAAGGACGACGATGCCTTGGCGGCTCGATGGTCGTGAGCTCTGTGTCGGCGATGATGATGGTCATGCATGTGCTTCTGGTTCGCCTCTTCGGCCTTTTCGCGGCACTTGTCGATGACCTTGATGTAGTTGTCGAGGATGGTGGCGATGATGGGCACCATGTCGGCCTCGACGACGCGAGTCCGCACATTCTCGGTACCCCTGACACCAATGTTGACGACGCACTGAAAGGCCAGGTTCCACTTCCACATGCCCATCATGTCCTTGCTCCGACCTTGTTTGAGGATGCAGACGAGGCGTTCGATGCCTCCATCGACGGTGAGGATGTCGCGAATGCGGGCCGACGAGGTGGTGAGGTAGGCGAGGTGATTGAGGGAGTTGATGAGGGGAAGAGTCGATGTACAGTCGAGAGCACGACGGTCGTAGAGGGCCGTGGTGATGCCCACGGACGCCTTGTTGACGTTGGGGATGCTGAAGTTGACTTCCCTCATGCTGGGCCACGGAACCCGACGGGGAGCGAACAGAGGCGAGAAGGCGTGATTGCTCGTCGACGGTTAAGATGGCACGGCAACGAGACGGTGCCGTCTAGATGCCGGGGCTCCCTCAGACGAGAGGGAGAGTGACAAGGACTGATGCACTCGAGTGTTGTTGTATGATGGGGACGGGGATCAAGATTTGCTAAGGGAGAGGCGACAGAGGAGCGCGTGACGTGGCTCCAGGACGTCGTCTGCGAGCGGAGGCAGTCGGCAAGGATGGCAGGGCCGGTCGAAGGGGGGCCACGAAGATGTGCTGTTTGTTGAATGATGATTGTTGTGCTTACGGCGAGGGAGAAAATGGAGGGCAGAGGATGGCGGATGGCACAAGGCGGTTGGTGTTTCAGGCCTGGGCCGGTGCTGGACGAGGGTTCGACGACAACCGAGACAGACGAGTCGGGAGACGAGTCGAGAGAGATGGTTGAGAGAGGGAGGCGGGCGAGTCCAGGGAGCGGGAGCGGGAGCCCAAATGCCTCAGCTGCAGCTGGCAAACGGCACGCGCTGCAAGGGCGATGAAGAGAAGCCGACCAGGGGATCAAAGGACGGAGAAGCAGTAGTGGGAGGAAAAAAGTTCAACAGCAACAGCGACAACAACAGCAGCAACCGCACCTTGGACCGTCGTCGTCTCGTCGAAATGAAGAAGACGAGGCAAAGGGGCAAGGGGGGGGGCGGAGAAGGGGGGAAAAACGGCGAAGGCTGCTAGGTTGAGGTAGGCAAGGTAGGAGGAGGAGTAGTAAGTAGTAGGGTAAGGTGGAAGGTAAGGCGGTGCGGAGGCTGGCATGAGACGCCTTGACTGCAATATCAGGGCACTCAGGGCGCGCGCGTACCGCAAGTTAGTGCATGAACCGACCAAGCGAACCCACAGGGGATCACAGGGCTTTCAGAGGGTCTGGTGCGGGCTAGAGGGGAGCACTCCAGGTACCGCACGGATAACAGTGGCTACCTGGGCCGAGTCCTGACAGGTAGGTACGTAGGTAGTAGGTAGGTAAGTACCTTTTCGGTACTTAGTACCCCTAGGTCTGGTACCTCCAATATCTCTTGTGCAGGGCGGTACCTACTAGTAGGTTGGTACATTTACAAGTGGTACGGTAGTACAGTACCTACCATCTAAGTTGCTGACTGCAAAGATGGGTCAAAAGACAAATGTGAAGACGGGAGAAGACGTGGCGAGGTAGGCATCCATCTGTAGACAGGCACAAGAGAATTTGCCTTTGGGGGGATGAGGCACCTACTCTATTCTGCCAACGTCGCCGTCCGAGGCTCTCTTGCGACCATACGGTCATGCTTGTTGGCCGAGGAGCGGTTGCCCTCTCGACGCATTCTTATACGGCGCCCTCTGCTGACTTCATGAAGAGTTGGGCTGGAGAGGCATGGGCGCTACAGTCCGTGGCAGCCAGAAGCACTGTGTCGCCCAAGTACTGTACGGCAAACGCACACCTGCACGCTTTCGCCGCCGCAGCACGCCACGCCAAAAGGCGTGCACCGCGAACGGGCGCCCGCCCGTGCGGCAAATGTTTGGCCCGCATCCGGTGGCAGCGGCTACATCTGGTACATCTGTGGACAGTGCAGACACAGGGAGCGGCGACACGTTCACGCCCCTTGCGTCCGCTCAAGCAGAGGTGCTTTCTCAACTGGACGACGACGACGGTGGTTGGATGAGCTCCAAGACAGTCATTGGCACCACGCACGTCATGGCATGGCCATGTCCGAACGTCTCTCCCCTCGGTGCGTTTTTGCCATTTTTTAATGACCGCATGGCCGAGCAAACAGTCCATCGGCCCCCTTGCCTTGGCACCGCGGTGGCGATTATATGTGCCGTGGCCAAATACGTACATACATATATGGATGTATTGGCCCAGATCCAAGTTGCCACCACCAGCTCCATGCATGTACAGTGCACTCGTTCATTGGAGACGGTCAGGTCAAATCGCGGTTCGCGCGCCAAAAAAAAAGACCGATGCGACACACCGCCGCGGGCAGCATTCATCGAGAATGAAGCCGTCCGTCGTGCCAGATGATGTGCCCGGGAGACATCGAACACACATGCAGCTGGCCACCCCGACAGACAGTCTCGTCGTCGAGGCAAGGTTGGCTCGGGGCCTTGCAGCCGGTCCAGCCCCAGACATTGTCCAACCCCATGCACAACGACGCCTATTCAGGTTCGCATCTTCCCGTGTGTGCCCTGTGCTAGAGACCCCCGAATGCCTCGGGACGTCCCCGTTCATATGTGTAGGTTCGCTGCCGCGGCCCGTAACTGGCTTCGCATGCAGCCCCAGCCTATCAGCTTCCGATGACAACCCCTTTTCGCTGCACGTGTCTTATGGCACTCGGCCGCGTCTTCGGTGTCGTCCACGACAACGCCTTGAGCGTGTCCGCGTGCAGCGCGCGCTTGCATCGTTGGGTCGCGCGTGCCCATGGGCTCAGGTCGTTCCAAGTCTGCCGCATCCGCCCTCAGTCCCCGCTAATCTTGGCGTGTCGAAAGTACTTCATGCCCACCCAGGCCACCACCACCCAGACCCACGCCATGACTCCCGTCATGATGATGAGCGCGGGATAGTATCCGACAATAGGCAGCGTTGGGTCGTCTTCGAGCTCTGGTGGCGCGTACGGCGTCTTCCCCACGTCCCACGCCCAGCTCCAGACGTCGAGACAAGAGCCCATGCCCATGACAAAGACGAACCAGGTGACTGTGAGTACGACCCAGCCCCACCACTCCGTCTCTGTGTAATCGCTGCCCGAGTCGGGGGGCGGAAGGGCATTTGTGGAGATGCCGCTATACGACAAGGGCGACTTGGCTTGCTGGAACGACCGCTGGCGGTTTGCGGCGCCGCGAGTCGCAAAGTAAGACTCGGACCCTGAAGACATGGACAGGGAGGCTCGTGCCGGCGGCGAGGCCGAGGGCATGTGAAGCATATCCTCCTCATCCGTGGTCGAAGCATAGACATGAGCCCGTTCTCCGTCTCCGTCGGCTTGAGAGACTGTTGCAGTACCCGTCGCTGACGCCAATGACAAGGTCGACCTCTCGGAAGCAGTCTGGCTCGGCTGGCCATGGTCCTGCGCCGGTTGAGGGGGCCCGGCAATCTTGAGACCCAGCGCATCGTGCTCGGCCATGGCAGAGCTGCCGGGAGACAAAGGTTCTGGGTCGGCATCGGCTGCCAGCCCCGAGTCCATGGCCATGTATTTGTCGTCTCTCTTGTCGCGCTGGGCCCCCCTTCCAAGAAGCGCCACCTTTCTAAGGGATCCTCTTCGTCGCCGCGGCCTGTGCTGCTGGACGGGGACAGAGACGGCGGGAGAGGGGGCAGCAGGCACGTCCTCATCGTCGGCTTCCGGACGCAGCTTGGCGTCGGCTGGTGGTCTCAAGAACGGGAGCCGCGAGAGCAGGCCCGAGCCGGAGGAAGCTCGTCGGTGCGATGAGGCCGGGACGGGAGAATCGTTGTGCTGGCAGGCGATGCTTGTGTCGTCTTCCATGGCACAAGGCGCAAGCCACAGGTACTCGCCCGGCGCAAAGGCCCGGTGGCCAAGACGCACTCAGTGTCATGAAACTGGGCTGTTGCAGCGTGCGAGGTCGGTGGAGCGCCGGTCGCAAGGGCCGCAACGACGCCTCAGAACGTTTCGGTCACGCGGCTGGCGATTGAAGGACAAGCGTGGAACGGGTTTCTGCGGATCGGGAGACGAGCCTCGAGAAGGAGATTTGACTTTTGATGTTGCTTTGACGGCGAGGAGACGAGAGCTTGAGGCGGTCGGTATTAATTATGTACAAACACTACCTTGCAAGGGCGAGATATTTGCCTTAGTAATCAATCAAAGTGGCCAGCACCTCTACTTGACCGCAGTCGTCGACGACAATTGCATTACATCGCCAACCCGCCCCGCCCTCGCATACTGTACGTGCTTGCTGCGGTCGCTCGCACGAACCAGTAATCTCAACCCTCGCTGGCTTGGATAGGATTGGAGGTCGCTGCGCCCATCGACACCAGGCTAGCGTGCTGCCGCACCTTCGACCTCGAGCATCGGGCCGGCCAACTACGGAGAGCACCGACGGACAAGGAGAGGCATGGCTGTGACTGCTCAGACCTGCGTGCAAAAGAGCCTCCATCGTCCAGAACCAGCGCTGCCTGCTATCGTCAACCCAGATAACTACCGCCGTGTGCCGCCGCCGCGATAGCTGTGGGCTCATGGAGTCCATCAATGCCCGGTCCATCGCTCAACCTCCTCCCCCAACATTGATTGTCGACGACACCGACGCCCCTACTTTGGCCCCTACCGGTCGCCTGCCTCGCGAGCAGCTTCACCTTGATTCTCCCGCCTCGAGTATGCTGTCTCCGTCGTCCGCCATGTCCAGCGACGGTGACGCCGGGGAGGCGGCCTCGGCCCCTGAACCTACGAACCCTTTCAACTTCACGACACAGGCCATTTCTTCGTCCCCGGTCAAGTCTGTATGTGACTTGGCCCCCTATCCGTGTTGCTGCAACTTGACGCTGACGCTTCCCGGGTAGAACATTGGCCAACGCCGCGGCCACAGATACAAGCACAGCAGCATCTCAGCCCAGCACCAAATCTTCCAAGAACCACCCCAGAGACCACCGCCCGTCCTCCCCGCCTCGCTGCCCATACCCACAGTCGCCGAGGCGTGGAAGAGCATGCACCGGGACCAGCGCACCCGGCTCTACTGGAGCTTGTGCCACCTGGCCGTCGCCGTCTTCATCTTCTTCAGGTCCCACGCCTCCCTCGCCGCCATGGCTCTGTCGCACCTCGTCTTCTTCGACGCCGGGAGCGCCGCCGTTTGCGCCGCCGTTGACGTGCTCGGCAACTTCGAGGTCTGGAGGCGGAGCAGCATCCGGCACCCCTTTGGGCTTGAGAGGGCAGAGGTGCTCGTGGGCTTCGCCCTGTCCATCTTCCTTCTCTTTGGAGGCTTCGACCTCGTCTCTCATAACCTCAAGCACTTTCTCGAAACGTTGGGCAATCACGAGGCCCACCATCACCATGCCCATGCCCACGCCACCCCTGGATCCGTCGGCCTGGTCGCCGCCATCGCCATTGCGAGCACCCTCGTCTCAGCCTACGGCCTGAAGAATCATGCCCGCATCGCAAAGGTCATGAGGGTTTCGTACTTGGCCGCGCTGCCCAGCGTCTTGTCCAACCCCTTCCACTTCCTGACCCTCTTCTTCTCGGCATTGGTTGCTGTGCTGCCCTTGCTATCCATCTCACTCTATGCCTGGCTCGACCGGCTCATATGCGCCATCATTGCCCTGGCCATGTTCGGCCTCGGGATCCGCGTGGCGGTTGCCCAGGGCCTCATGCTCCTCATGTCGTACGGAGGCAGTAGCGGCAATTCCGGCGTCACGTCGGTCTTGCGTGAGATTGAATCGGAATCCGCCATTTCCCGCGTCCAAGAGGCCCAGTTCTGGCAAGTCAACTACGGCCTGTGCATGGCCAACGTCACGGTCAGCGTGGCCAAGGGGTACGACGAGACGGCTCTGTGCAAGCTGCGGAACCGCATCTCGTCACTCATCCAGAACCGGCTCGGTGAGGGCTACGGCACGGGGGGCAACATCCGGTGGGAGGTGACTCTGCAGATGAATTCCGAGGGAGGTGCCTGAAGGCTATCTGACGATTTGTTTTTGAATGCTCCCTTCACCCCTGTTTGGCTTCCAAGCTGCTCTACGCTACATATTAGCCCTGCCCTTTCCTTGCTTGTCATCACACTGCTACTCTTCATTGGGGCGACAGCATCTGTTTCCTTCACTCTTGACATGGCAATGGTTTTATATGGGGAGGGTATCCTTATAGCTACATCGCGGCTGTCCATCTATACCCGTGCGTGGCCTGGTTAATAGTAGGGAGGGGTGTCCGTATACTGAGAAGGGAGCGCCCAAGAGACCAAGCCCGTTGCCCCATCAACTCCCCAAGGGCAGGGGAATGAAGATGTTCGCGACATCTCCCCCGCGCGCCCAGCAGTCTAAACAAATGATGAGAAAAAATAACAAAATATTGGCGGGAAACCGAACAAAGACTCGTAAACATCACGTGTTGCCGCAACCAAGAAGAGACTGCTCCGTAGAGGGCATCAGAACAAGCCCCATCGCCCGCGCGCCTTTTCCGAGTTGCGTTTCCGCCCGCCCGCCAGCCTCTCCCGCTCGCGGCCCTCGAGCTGCCTTAGGCTCTCCATTTTCTCGAGCACCAGCTCCAGCAGCTCCTTGCGGCGGATGACCTCGAGGTGGCGGCGGACCTTGGGGTCCTCCTTGGCAAATTTCTCCACCTCGACCTGCGAGAGGTGGCGCCCGAGGCGGAGGTCGAGCTCGCGCGGAAAGTTGTAGTAAAACTCGGACAGCAGCTCGACGTTGAGGAAGAGGACGGCTGTCGAGGCCAGCTTGGAGGCGGCCGCGTCGAGGAACACCTCGGGGCAGTAGTACTTGTTCTTGACCGAAGCGCACTGCTTTGACTTGATGGCCATGAGGCGCAGCCCGAGGATGTCGGCCCGGTCCCGGAGGAAGACGGCCTCTCGTCCTGAGGTCCCTGGATCAGCGTCATGCAACCAATGGGGCACGGCCGGGGATGAACCTACCTTTGCCAAGGAGAGCAGCGCTGAACCCGCCCGCACCGCTCCGCCCATCGCCCTCAATTACAATGTCGCCCTTTCGGGCCTTGTCGACAAAGCCCATCACCTCCTTGAGCTTCCTCCGGCCGCCCACCGCCGCCTCGAGGTGCTCCAAGGCCGTCTCGCAATGCCGAAGCTCCTCCTTGAGGACGTTGCTGACGTGCTGTCGGCCCTGCACCCACTCGCGCTCTTCCACGTCAACTTCAAACTTGAAAGGCTTGATGCAGTTTTCCACCTGATCGCTCGTGCCGTAGAACTTCTCGTCGAGAATGGCCGCCGCGGCATCCTTGATGGCCTTTCTGGCAAAGGGATGGGTGGCAAAGTTGGAGTTGTCGAGTAGCTTGTCAACGTGGGACTGGAGGGAAGACGCGACAACCGTCGTTGCCAGGCGCCCAACGCCCAACTTGGTGAGCGAGGAAACGGAAGCGTCCAGCTGTCGGTGCCAGTAAAGCGACGACGGGTCAGCCTTGGGAAGGTCGGCAATCGGATCTGGGTCTGGGGGTGCGGCCGAGAGGTCTTCCACGGGCTTGTTCCAGTATCTGGCAGCCAACAGGTCCAGCACTTTTTGGTCTAACTCACTCTTCAACAGCTGTCGCATTTCGGGCCGACCAAACTCGTCGGCGAACTGCTTGAAGGAGTGCTTGAAAGCGTCCAGGCTCTCAGCCAAATAGGACTCGGCCGAGAGCGGCCGGTCGTTGTACTGCACCTTGAACTCGTAGGCCGCTTCTTCCAGCTCTTGCTTGATGGCGTCACTCGTGCCTTGGAGGCTGGATGACATAGTCTGTTCCAGTACCTGCATCAGCTTCCTGCGGAGGGTCGTTGTCCCTACGCTTACTCCAGCATCCGGGCCATACTCGAGAGGATGGGCGGAGAAGAAGGAATTTTCATGCTTGGCAATGACGGCCAGGGGGTTCGCTGATCCCATCTTGAACAGGCCCGGCGACTGCGGCGCCTTTGAAATCACGCCGACATAGCCCAGTCTCAAGGGATACTGCTTGTCGTTTAGGATAGCGGCCCCCTTGATGGGGTCGACCAGGTCCATCTTGGTGATGACGCCAATGGTCCGCTCGCCTCGTGGGTCTACTCTTCTAGAGGCGCGTAAGGCCGTCGAGTTTGCGAGATCCACGTCGGCTGCTGATATCGCCAAGATGACATTCGGGGGCTGGATGTACTTGTCGCATAGCTCCGAGATCTTTTGCTTGAGTTGGAGCGGTTGGTTTTGGCCCACCACTTGGATGTATCCCGGGAGGTCGATGAGGGATAGATCGGGCACGTTTGGCGAGTAGACGGTCAGATGGATGGGGTCGTCGGATACGCATTCGGCATCCGAGACGGCGAGGTTGAGCTCGGTGAGGGTGCGCTGGACAGAAGAAAAGTCGGACATGTGCCGCAGACCAAGGTCTGGGAACTCGCCATATTCCTCCGTTGCTCCAGGTGTGTTGACCAGCGTCAACTCGATGGGCCGGCGGGTCACCATGTTGGATCCTTTTGGCAGAAACTCGTGGCCGACTATGGCTTCCAGGACGGAGCTCTTGCCTGAAGACTGCGAGCCGATGACTACAATGGATGGTAGCGTCAGGGAACTTGACTGGCCGACTTGCTGCAGGATGCTCCGAATCTCAATCATTTTCTTGGTCAGCACCATCATCTGGTCATCTCTGGCTACCACATCGGCGTCGCGAGGGTCCTCTTGGTCCGACTCGTCGTAGCCGTAGGCAGCCGCCGATGCGCCAACGACTGCTGCAGTGCCAGCCCTGCTCTGCTTTGGGTCTCGGTCGCCTCCTGGTCCGCCGGACCCGCCGGTGCCAATGTCCTCATGGATGCGCAGCACCTTTTTGAGCCACTCGGGAACCTCGACCTGCTCCGTAGTAGTGTCCCAGCCCTGGCGCGTTTGCTCGGCCACGTGCTTGGCGCCGTCGAATATGGTGGACGCCGTGCCGAAGACCGAATCCTTTGCTGTGCCGAAGAGCTCGATGGCGAAGTTGCTTGCTTCTGCGAGGGCCTCTTAGTAGGGACGGGGGCATTGGGCAGACGAGAGACTAACGAGTAGCTTGGTATTGGACCCAGGCAAAGGCGCCGATGGCCAGGCCACCAAACATGGCGGGTATCCGGACAAACTTGACGACGAGCTTGGGCAAGAAACGGGCAAACGAGGCGTTGCGTACCATGACGGCATTATGGAAAGCGTTGTTGCCGAACCACACGCGCTTGCGAGTGGCACGAATGGAGGCGTCTGCTCGGAACAAGCCTCCAGCAGAGAATCGATGGAGATGTCGGGCGGATCTGGGCGAGGAACAGGGCGCAAGGGGCCGCTGCGTGACGGCGAGGACGCGTCGGCTCATCGTGGGGGACGAGCGTCTGGTGAGCTATGATGCCGTCGGACACGCATGGGAGAGACCTTCACCAGGCCCTGGAGGGAGAGCGGCGATGGACGGATTGGCGCTGGTGCATTAGAGAAAGGAGGTGACGGAGGCCTGGGCGGAGTTGAAGACATATACACAGTGCACGACGCTGTAGGTAGTTGGTAAGTACGGAATAGGCCGAGGGAAGGAAGGTCATTTTGCATCATGCACTAAGCGCGCGGAGTTGTTTTCAATGCGAGGCCGCGTCAAGGTACAGGGACTGCCGCGTGTGTGTGTACCTGTACCTCCGGAGACCTTGGGTAAGTCAGCCCACCTAAAGTCTGGCACACCCCAACACCGGCACTCTCCACAACACCATCGCGTCGTCAAATACATTACATTGCAACCGCGTTTTCTCGTGCATCTCTTGCCCTATAATTATAAAATAAATACTATTTATATCAGCGATGCTCGGCTTTCTAAGTATACCGAAAACCAGCTCTAAGAAGCACTCGAAGCTATTAAAAACGGGATACCTTAGCTTTATACTAGTCGAAAGTAGGGTATTCTAAGAGGGACCCTCTATATACGTCTTAAAGGGGCTCTACCTATTAAGGAGGCAAAAGAGGCATATTAGAGGCTTAGCCGAGAGTAGGAAAAATACCTTGCCGACTAGGTTCTTGCCTAGGTCGTCCTTAGGCTACCTCTAACGCATTATTAGGTTAAGGAATTTACCGGCTATATCGTTAAGGCCGGCGGCGATACCCGTCCGCTTAGGAAGTAGTAGATTTCGGGCTTTTTAGCCCGGAACCTAGAGATTAGTACTATTAAAGGTAGATCTCTCAATTCTACTCGTTAATCTGCGCCTATACTGTATCGGGAATAGTTCTAATTACTTAAGCTACCGGCTATATAGCAATCCCACCGAGTCCCGCTTTAATATAGACGAAACGGGCATCCTCGGGGCCTCGGCTCTAATAGTCTAGTACTAGGAGCTTAGAAGCGAGAGACTCTTAAAAGCAGCTAGGATCGCGTTATTACTATAATAGTCGAATACGTCTCTACTATAGGCTAGGCCTTAACTCCCCTTATAATTTTTAAGGGTTAAGACCTTTAATACTAATAGTTCCCTAATAAACTTAATTTTCTATAAGATTAAGACTTTATTGCCTCCTTAAAGGGCTAGATAAGTAATACTATTGCTATTTAGTAGCTAAAGTAGGTTTTTATCCCTTAAATAAAGCACTATAAGTAAGGTAATACTCTTCTTATTATTAACGGCTATAGGAGTTATTAGACTAATAATTTTATATACGAATGCTTTTAGAATAGTATATATCTCCTTTTCTTACTATTATACTCCTTATATATCCTCTAATTACTCGATATCTATAAGAAGGTATAAGTAATAAGCGTAGAATTAGGTAATCAATAACGTAAGCGGAAAGATTAGTCGAAGGAGTATAGGGTAGGATTTCGTCCGGAATTTATAATAAGTATATAAGGGGCTGAATAATATATTAAAAGAATAGCGTTGTAAAGGATACTTATAAACTTACTTATTCTATCTACTACTCCTAGGGAAATCCTTCGTTTTTTATAGACTATTGCTCGCCTACTAGTAGACTAATTAGTTAGATTTCTAGCATATTCTATAGTGCTTAAAAAGCTCTATCTATAGTATATCTTCTTAACTTAGTAGGTGGTCTAATTATAGCGTAATAGTTAACGTAAGACTATAGGTTCTAGCGTAAGTAGTAGATTTAACTGGAACGTTCTATGCCCTACCTATTCTCGTATCGCGGATATCTTCGGAACTACTAAGCTAAAATAGGTAATAGGGTATCCGTTCTGCTCGTAATTAACTTATATATTTTATATATATTTTTATTTATAAGGATAGGTTTATCCTAACCCGCTTTTTCTAGAGGAAGGTATAGATATCTAGTAAAGGTCTTTATCTTTAAGGGTTATTCCCTTAGACTATATTATAGAACCTCTTTTTACTAGCTTATTCTATAGAGCCTCCCTATTCTTATTATTTCTTTATAATAGTAAAATAGGAATATAAGGGTATATTCTTATAATATCTTAGTTTTCTCGTCTATTAAGGCCGTATACTAATATTAACTTAAGAAAATTATATCTTTCGACGATATAGCGCTAATTAATAAGGCTACCTTCCTTTATATCTACTATAAAGCCCGGTAGGCTAGCCTAACCGAAAAGAATATTAAGGGAGGTTAGTATAGGTCTAGTTTATAGCTAATTAATATAGTAAAGCCCTTATTAAGCCGCTTCGTCTTACTATAGCCGTTAACGCTATTAACGCTATTAAAAAGGAAGAATATTAGCTCTTTAGCTAATAATAATACCCTTAAAACGCCTAAACGATTATTAGAAGTTCGCCGCCTCGTTATAGGGCTAGAAAATCGCGGTTAAGTTAACCGTATAATCCGACTACTCTTTAGTAAAGTTAGCCGCGCCCTTAATAATTAAAATTAGTAGCTTATAGCTACCTAGCTTCGAATATAATAGCTTAAGTATTAATTATATCGTCTATAGCCTCGAAAATAGAAAAAGGTTTTATAGGATCCTAATAGCCGGTTCGTACGGATTAATTAAGTTATTAAGACGAGGCAGCGGCTCGAGCGCATCCTCGAGCTAGCTGCTATTGCCGTAGCCAATTAAGACGTAGATTTTAAAGCTCTATATAGTAGCTGGCAGCTTAAATAGCTAGAAACGCTATAATTAACTATCGTAACGTTAAAATGCGGCTTTAATTACTGTTGGAATGTGCCTGCCTTGGTGTTGTGGAGAGTGCCGGTGTTGGGGTGTGCCGGACTTTAGGTGGGCTGACTTACCGCTGCGAACCCGAGTCAGTACTAGTACCACTACTGAGTTATAAGATACTAGTACCTGGCAACTTGAGGGCTGGGTGGGGAAGGTGGCCGTCGAGGCACCGAGTACGGACTTTTCGACATCATGTATTCCCGAAAACGTTGTTCTCTTCTTCCGGAGCTTTGGACAAGTACATCTCGACATTTTCCAACCAAGGATCAATGGACTTGCTGGTCGCTTTTTTGCCGCTCCCACAATGTACGAGGCAGAAGCCCAAGTACTGGTACATGCATTGTTCTCCAACAAACCCCCCACCAACTTGACCCACCTGTCTACTCTTGGCGCTCTATCTCCACGTGACCGATCCCTTTTATCGACCCTGCAGCAGCGACGAAATTTCAAAAGACTTTGGGTAGATGCAGTTTTCGAACATCCTGCTTCCCTGCTCAACCACAGCTCGCCGTCATGGCGATTCAAAAGAAGCACGGCAAGGGCCGCCTCGACAAGTGGTACAAGCTTGCAAAGGAAAAGGGCTACCGTGCCAGATCTGCCTTCAAGCTCATCCAATTGAACAAAAAGTATGGCTTCTTGGAAAAGAGCAAGGTCCTGCTGGATCTTTGCGCCGCGCCTGGTGTAAGCTGCACCTCGTCTCTCCCCCGTTGTCTGGGCTAACCCTCTACGCAGTCGTGGTGCCAGGTAGCCGCAGAGGTTATGCCCGTCAACAGCCTGATCGTCGGCGTTGATCTGTCCCCCATCAAACCCATCCCCAAGGTCATCACTTTCCAGAGCGACATTACTACCGAAAAGTGCCGTGCCACCATCCGTCAGCACCTCAAGACGTGGAAGGCCGACACGATCCTCCACGATGGCGCCCCCAACGTTGGTGTCGCATGGACCCAAGACTCTTTCAACCAGGCCGAGCTCGCCCTGCAAGCAATGAAGCTCGCCACCGAGTTCCTCGTCGAGGGCGGCACCTTTGTCACAAAGGTTTTCCGTTCCAAAGACTACAACCCATTGCTCTGGGTGCTTAACCAACTTTTCACAAAGGTGGAAGCCACCAAGCCTCCCTCCTCCCGAAACGTCTCTGCCGAAATTTTCGTCGTCTGCAAAGGCTTCAAGGCCCCCAAGCGAATCGACCCTCGCTTCTTGGACCCAAAGTCTGTCTTCGCGGAGCTGGCCGGCGCGACGCCCAACAACGAGGCCAAAGTCTTCAACCCAGAGACCAAGAAGCGCAAGCGAGACGGCTACGAGGAAGGCGACTACACCCAATTCAAAGAGGTCCCCGCGAGCGAATTCGTTCAGACCACCGATCCGATCGCCATTCTCGGCAGCTCCAACAAACTCACCTTTCAGCAGCCGCTTGACGGAGACGTCGCGCTTGCTGCGCTCGACAGACTCCCCGAAACGACACCCGAGATCCGAACCTGTTGTCAAGACCTCAAGGTTCTGGGCCGCAAGGAGTTTAAACTTCTCTTGAAGTGGCGTCTGAGAGTAAGAGAGATTTTCGGTCTCGGCTCAAAGGATCCAGCGCCAGACGAGGTAGCAGAGGAAGTGGCCGAAGTGGAGTCGATGGACGACGAACTCAAGATTCAAGAAGAGCTGCAGGGGATGCGAGACAGAGACCAGTCCAAGAAGAAGCGAGAAAAACGCAAGGAGAATGAACGCAAACAGCGCGAAATCGTGCGAATGCAACTCAACATGGTTGCGCCCATGGACATCGGCATGGAAGAGGCAGGCCCACTTGGCGAGGGCTCCATGTTTTCGCTGAAAACCGCCGACAAGAGCCAGGCGATGCGGCGACTGGCTCGCGGCAAAATGGTTGCAGCATCATCCCGAGACAAGAATCGCGACAGTGGCGTCGGCCAGACTGGAGACGACGATGACGACAGTGATGACGAGGAAGACCGGCTAGAGCGAGAGCTTGATTCCATGTACAACAACTACCGCGAGCGCAAGGCCGAAGCCGATGCAAAATATCGCGCTAAGAAGGCGAGAGAGGAGCGCGGCGACGATGAATGGGAAGGGCTGTCGGAAACTGCAAAATCCGAGGGGGATGAATCGAGCGAGCTGGATGAGAGTGACGACTCATCGGATGACGACGACGATGAGCAGCCTTCGGCGAGCCTGTTGATGGACCTCGATAATTCGGAATCATCAGGCGATGGGCTGTCCAGACGAGCGACAGCCTTTTTCAACCAAGACATCTTCAAAGATATTACCAACGTCATTCAAGGGCCAGAAGCCGTCCGGGGCGTAGAGGCTGGGCGGAAGACAAAGGATGTCGTGCACAAACCAAAGTCGGGACCTGAGCGAGCTTCTCGTGTCAAGTCGACAACTGTCCAAGTGCAATCTGCAGCTGACTCAGACTCGGAGAATGGGCAGTTTGAGGTTGTCAAAACTGCGGAAGTGGACGACTGGGAAGAGGAACCGAAACGGCGTTCAGATGGACGGTTTGGTGAGTTGCCCCCTGGCATCTTTTATTCTGCCCGGTCCCCTATTCTACGTTTCAGCCCCTTTGTCCGGGTTGGGCACTAACAAGGATCAACCAGACATCGACATCGTTACAGCAGAGGCAATGACACTGGCGCACCAGCTCGCCACTGGTCAAAAGACGTCACAGGATGCCATTGACGAGGGATTCAACAAGCATGCCTTCCGCGACCGGGACGGGCTTCCGGAATGGTTCTTGGACGACGAGACGAGACACGATAAGCCTCAGAAACCCATCAGCAAGGCTGCTGCACAAGCAATCAAGGAGAAGATGCGGGCTTTCAACGCCCGACCCATCAAGAAGGTGCGGGAGGCAAAGGCCCGGAAAAAGTTCAAAACTGCCCAGAGATTCGAGAAGCTCAAGAAAAAATCGGACATGCTCGCCAATGACGAGGGCATGACGGAAAAGGACAAGGCCGAGAGCATTGCTAAGCTGCTCAGCAAGGCTGCTCGGAAGAAGCCATCGCAGCCGGCCAAGCTGGTTGTGGCCAAGGGCGCAAATCGGGCCATCCAAGGTCGACCGAAGGGAGTCAAGGGCCGGTACCGGATGGTGGACCCAAGGATGAAGAAGGAGCTGAGAGCTCAGAAGAGGGTGTCTCAACGCAAGAAGAGGTAGAGCAGCACGGAATCGAACGAGAGCTTGGATGTCTCGTCGACGATTGACTTGTCGCCGGGACGCGCATTATCATGAATTTGTCTGTCAACCGCCGATGCCTTTGCCAAGGGTTCGTAGGAAAGTGGAAAGGGGGAACAGTGGCCCACTAAACTCCATGTCATACCTATGGAAGTGAGATAATGCAACGTGGAGAGGCGAGGTAACCCATGGGATGGCCAGATTTCCTCGTGATTGACAGGAAGACTGACCAGTAGTTGATGGCGACAACGAACCCCTCGCCGCCTGCTGGACAAGATTGCGTGACCTTGTGGTACCTTTCGCGAGCCGAGTCAGTATTGGAACGACAGCGAAGCTCATGCGAAATTGGAGTGACTCGGGGGCCCATGCTCCGATGGAGAGCCCAAAACGTTCTGTACTCACCACATGGCTGGGAGGTAGAGCATATCTCCAGGCTCTAGAGTCACACGCAGTGGCCTCGCCAAGGGCGAGAGAGGGGTGGCGTTTGTCTCGGGGTCATCCGGGTCCCAGGTGGCAAAGGGAACGGGCTCGCTGCCGTCGTCGAGACAGAGGGAAAAGCCCTCGCTTGTGCGGACGTAGGTGGCCGGCGGCAGCAGCTCCTCGTTCATGCAGGGATGGCACAAGGGCGGCAAGAGGACAAACGTCTTTCTGCCGACAATCTGGACAAAGATGTTTTCAAAGTTGTCCTTGTGGGTTGCCGTGACGGAGTAGGAGTTGCCTATCCAGAGGTTGATTGCATCTGGCGACTTTTGGAGGGCTATGCGGGCAAAGGGAATGTCCTTTTGGGCATCGGGGAAGAGGGTCAAATACTCGTCGCGGAGATTGTCGTTTTCTGCGAGCAACATGGGCGGTAAGGACTCAGCATTACATTCAGACAGGGTCAAGGTGAGAAAGGGGGCGTCGAACGGGTCTGCGCGTATCTTTTTTCCGACTCGGGGGGGAAGTCCGGGTCTGTTTCTTGCTGGATGACGTATTTGAGGAACTGGTCGAAGGGCTGAGACTCTTCATGAGGCTTTGCGAGCACCGTCTTGTTGTGCTTGGAAGAGAATGTCGGCGAATCGGCATTGCTGAGGGTTGTCGTCATCAGCCACTGTGATTTGAGTAATTGGCCGAAGTCGCACGTGGATGTTGTCTCATCCCGTCTCCATCTCTAGGAAAGCGAGGAACACGGACGAGGGCAGAGGAGGCCGGACTCACCCCTCGGGAGTGACGGCCACGTTGACGGAGTGGTCTCGCAGGGCAGCCTTCAAGTAGGCGGCGTCCCACTTCTGGGTGGCGTTCCAGGAAGAGGCGCCTCGGCGGACGACAAAGGGCGAGTTGCGGGCGACGAAGCGCATGAACTCGAGGGGGCTCGGCTCCTCGTCGAGCTCCAGGACTGAAGGGCTGTTGAGCTCGTTGAACGTGGTGATGAGCTCCTCGAGAGCGGACTCTGTCGTCTGCATGGCCGCCATCCGGGCCAACGGTGAGCGCAATAAAGAGCAACGGGCAGCGATTTCCCAAGGCTGTTGCTGCAGCTGAGGAGGCTCGAGGTCTGTGAAGTGGGCGAAGTTGGAAGAAGCAACAGGGACTTTGCGGCTCTTTCGGCGTGCCAAGAGGAAGAGCCAAGGGCAAGGACATGTGCAGGCCACGTGGAAAGGCCGAGGAGAGGTCGTACAACATGTACAGTACATACAGACTCTACCTTACGGAAGAAACCGTTCAACGGGTGGGCCCAAGGAGAGAGGCTGGCCATGGAGAACGTTGGATGACGATTGCTGCCCCGTTGGTGGGCTTTGGACTACAGTGTGAATATCTTTCGTATGTGGAAGTCGGCACGGAGTACGGTATACATTGGCTGTGATGCTCGGTCGACTGCTTCCATCCATGGTGCCATGGCGGGTGGCATCAAGAGGCGCAGGTGAGGCGGCGTGCCAATCCCTGCTGCCGGAGCACAGCATCGGCACGCTTGAACGGCCAATGGTTGACGGCATTGAGCACCGAATTGGCTCGTTCCACGACCAAGCTGGAAGGGCCATGGGGTCGATGCTCTACTGGACTGCTATTCTCTATTGTGTCTTTCTCCAGTGTCACTGACTTTAACCCAAGAAAACGGATAGTCAGAGGCGGTCCATCCTGCCGGAGAGAGTCCTGCCGGAGAGAGCCACGATGAAACCTGCGAGGGCCGGACGTAGGCCAACTAACAACCTCATCCGTTCCTCTCCTCCGCCCGGAGAGAGTCGAGACTGCAGCAACAAGGACCCGAGCCAGCAAGAGCCTTGGCTTGTGGGAACTCGGCTCGGCCGGATCAGACTCGCCGTCCCTGCCGGCGCTTTATGAATTGTCCGATGAATAGTCCGGAGCGAGGGCGGCATAGCCCACCCCGGCCGCCAGCCGCTTGCGCCCCGCTCCAACATGGATCCAGCTCAGTGAGCGAGCGGGCCGGCCGTGTCTGCTCAGCTCTGACTCGGACTGGAAAGGCTACAGCCCCCATGGTGTAAACACGGCGTGCCAGAGGTACGACATCTTGACCTAGTACGAGAGCTTTCCGAGCTTGCCTCAACGAGCTCCCCAGATACCGCGAGGGGAACGGACGGCCGGCCAAGAAGACTGGCCCCAGGCCCAAGGGCGGCGGGCAGCTGCCCAGGTGTGGCATAACTGTATGAGTGCAATGACGGACTTGCTATATAGACTTTGAACCACATTATAGACCTTTTTGTTGTTGTAGAACATGCGAGATGACACTTTGCCATCTCCGATTTATCCGTCTCGACAGCTGAGGAGCTCTCGAGTCGAGAAGACGCGCCGAGCACTTGCTGACAGGCAGCGGGTTTCTTTCCTTTTCGCCCAAGCAAGTACAGTGTACATAAAGTAGGTAACTGTACCTAGGTGGTGATAGGTACCCTTCCTTGTACGTACCGATTGCTTTAGCTTGTTATTGGCCTTGGGCATTGGGCAATTATACCTACGGTACGTAAGGTAGGTACCTAGGTAGGTAGGTGCCTAGGTAGCTAGGACGCCGCTTGCATCAACTTAGCTCGGCGGTACGTACTACTCTGTACTCCACCACCCAAGCCAAGCAAGCAAGTATCTTTACATAAGTAGATACCTACCTAGGTAGGTACCACTGACAGACCCGTCGGGTGTGTGTACCTACCTACCTTACTGACATGTCCCGGCGTCAAGTATAGGGTACGAGACCAAGTGCCAAGGTGTCCAGCTTTTCCATCAGCCGCATCGAGATTCAACCTCTCAGCATCCAAGCCGAAGCCGACGGGACCCGTTTCCCCTTGCTTCGTCCGCTCTCTCTCGCGCTCTCCTCCCCACTCTCAATCATCGAGCGGCCGCGTGAGCAGGCCTAGGGCTGGCCCGCTGGGTGCCACAAGTTTCATCCAGTCTCACCATGTCATGGATCCATCATAACTGGTCACCGAACAAGCCAGCACATGCCATGCTCCATCGACGACGCCCGGCACATCTCTCCACCCGCCCTCGTCCTCATGCTCTACGACGGCGCCGGGCCATGCGACGTCGCTGAGTCTGCCGAGCAAGCCTTGCTCTAAGAACATTCGCTCCATGATCTGGTATCTCCTGTATCCGCTGCGAGGGTAAGCTGCCCGTGGCTCGTCGCCCTGCCCGGAAAGCTCGCAACCGGCTAACCATACTCCTCACCCTCAGAACCACGGAGGCGCCTACCCTCCCCTCCTCGCACCCCCTGCGCGCCGTCTTTGCTCGCTACGGCCGCTATGCTGCCTGCCACGTCGTCGCCACCCTCCTCGTCACTGCCGCCGTCGTCACCATCCTCATCTACCCCATCCCCTTTCTCTTCACCAGCGACTTCATCAATGGCGCCTCCAACCTGCCGCGTCATGTCTGGACCGTCGCCCAGCCCTTGCCCTACGACACCGCCGTCGAGCCCGACATCACCATGCGTTCCATGTGGGTGCACGCCAGCTATATGCGGGCTTTAAACGCCGACCTGCTCACCTCGGCTCTCGAGCTCCAAGACCATCTCCTCGGCATCACAAAGAACTTCAGCCCGGCCCGCGCCCATCGTCCCGCGCCTCCGCTGCCCGCCGCCCTGCACACCGACGCCCTGTCGCTGGCCCAGCGGGACGCCGCCCACGTTGCCAACGGACTCACCTCGCGCTCGTGGTTCTTCCACTCGCCCCTGCTGTATTGGGGCTGCTCTCGTGAGCGCATCCTGGCTGATGAGGATATCCTGTCTACTGTCAATGACAGGAAGAACCAGTCTACGTCTGCCAATGTCACGCTCCGTCATTCAATCGTCTTCAGCGGCAAGCGCTTCGAGGACCGTCGCCTCTTGGCCGCCGATGCCCTCGTCATCACCCTCCTCCATCTTCGCGACTCCCCCGTCGGCCGCGAGTGGGAGAAGAGAGCGCTCGAGCTCCCGCAGAAGGTGGCGGACAAGTGGAGCCTCTATCCCGCCGACGGCCGCGCCTCGTCGAGCCAGCTGTACGAGTTCCAGTTTCGGCCCATTTCGGTGCAGGACATGATTACTCTCGCCCTCGCCTACGGCCTCACCCTCCTCTACTTCCTCATGAGCCTGTCCAAGCTCAGGGCCGTCAAGTCAAAGGTTGGCCTCATCGTTACCATCATGGCGCAAATCATCTTCTCTGTCATGTCCAGCTTCACCCTCTGCGCCATCTTCAAACTCGACCTCTCGCGCATTCCACGGGCCGCCTACCCCCTCGTCGTACTGGCCATGAGCCTCGAGCACATTTTCAGGCTCATCAATGCCGTCATCATCACCCCCCTCGAGGACAGCGTCAACAACAGAATAGGCCAAGCCTTTGGCGAAACCGCCCCCACGGCCCTGGCAAGCACCCTCCAGAACGTTCTGATACTCGCCGGCCTTTCTCGCCTGGTGTCGCCGGGCGTATCCGAGTTTTGCGTCTTTGCCGCCATAGCCATCGTCTTCGACTCCTTCTACTTGAGCACCTTTTTCCTCGCCGTCCTCAGTGTCGATGTCCGCAGGATGGAGCTCGGCGACGCGCTGGCCAAGGCGTCGCGGCGGCGCAATCGCGGTAGACCAGACGGGCGCGCCAACCGTCGGTCGTGGTGGGACCAGGTCCTTCAAGGCAAGATTGCCATGTCGACCCGCATCGCCGGCACTATTGTTATGTTTGGTTTCGTGCTTATTGCGCAGTGGCACTTTTTCGGCGACGAGGGCTTGCTGAGAAAACTCCTCCGATTCTACAGGGGAGCGGATCCGGAGCAAGCTCTGGGCAGTGCGACGTCGTCTCCGCTCGAGGACATCCACCAAGCAAGGAGCCCCACATCGTGGTTGCGGATGCAAGATCATGAGACGGCTCGAGAGGTCATCAACATCATCAAGCCCTCGTCGTACGGCTACGTGGCCCGCGTGTACGATCCTCTCGTCTTTGTCTTGAAGGACTCGGACCGCACGCCACCTGGAAAAGAGCCCACGCTACTCCCGGCGGCGTACGATTTCATACAACACGAGTCGGCGCGGTTCATCGTCATCGTCATTGTTGTCGTTGCCGCCCTTCGCCTACTGACCAACTTTCTTCTGTGGGAGGGCGACGATGACCTCAAGGACCAGCATGAACTGGACGACTCTCCGCTCTTGTCCGTCAAGTCCATGGCCAGGGGCCACGGCATGGATGTGATTTTGTTGGCGGCGTCTGCGGATGGTCTTGTCGTCTCCGTCAGTCTCGATCACACCATCCGGGCCTGGTCGATCCGCGGCATGGGAACGAGCTATGTCATTGCAAGTGGCGACGAAGCTGCAGCCACCATTTTCCCAGTCATCGCCATGGCAATTGATGAACGGTCAAAATGGCTCGCGCTGCTGTCGAGGCCCAAAAGAGCCGCCCACCCCGGGATCTCTTTCTGGAACCTCAAAGACAGAGTATGGGGCCCGTCGGTCCAGGCCGACAGCTGCAAACTCCGGCCAGTGGCCCTCTTGTTCGACCCTAGCGCGCCTTGTCACGAGCCGAGGGCTCTTGTCGTGCAACAGGACGGCTCGTTGACTGAGATCGTGGCATGCGAATCGACTGAGCGTCAGGCCGGGCCAGTCTTTCCCGGGCAGCTCACATGTGCTCGCATGCTGGCCCGAAAAGGTATGGAACGAAGCGCGCCACCCCTCCTTTGCTGCTCTGAAAAACGGACACCCTCTAGCACCCACGGAGACACAGCTGACGGCGGTATGCCTGCAGAGCACGGGGAGTCGACTCGGCAAGCTATCATTCTGGCAGTATCGAGACAAGGCGAGGTCTGCATGGCGTCTCGGAGCACAGATGCATGGCGATGCAGACGTCTTGCGATTGACGGCCGAGAGGAACCAGGCGCACACGTGATCGAGGTCCTACCCGCCCTGGATCTGTTTGTCGTGGCGGCGGGCGACCGCGTCCACCTCATCAATGCCGGAGAAGGGCTCGTACTGCAGACACTGGAAACGGAAAAGATGCTCACCCGACCCCTGAGATGTGCATATACGTGCCACCGGCTTTCGCAGGCCGGTTCGGTGGGTCTGACGTCCTTTACGCTCGGCTATGTCGAGGCCAGCTCTGGAGATTGCATTTTGCAGACGTTTGTGCCTCGAGATGACTGCGACGCCATGTTTTTGCAGACGCCATGCGAGGCGCCCAACAACGACTGGTGCACGTGGGACTCTGCTAGGGAGACGCGGAAGCGCGTAGCGGATCCGGGTGTGTGGGACATGGTTTCCGACGGCAGCGCCGTGGGGATCCGATACAATGCGCCGAAAAGCAGAGGGTGTCAGGACAGCGGCTCGTCGGGGCTTCGGAACCGCCATGGCAGATGGACACCGGAGCCAGACCCACTCGAGGGCTGGCAGGTCTGGACAGCATCGTTGGCAGGCGGGCGGCCCGAGGAAGACGAGTCGCAGCGGCTGGTCAAGGAGGGGGAGCAAGCCGAGCACCTGTTGGTGACGGAGGTGGGACCGAGAGCCAAGGCCGGGCTGAACGCGGTGGCCTTTGGCTTTGGCGACATGGTGAAGCTGGTGATTGTCGGGGGCCAGGTGCGGCTCGACGAGGGCGCCGAGGACGGGAGCCAAGAGTCGTGGATGAACACAGGGTCCAGACGACGCAAAGCAGGCACCGGGACCCGAACAAGAGGGCCGACGTGAGCATGGCAGGATTCGTCGACATGGTAGACGATTGATTTATATGTGAAGGAGGTGTTTGGATTTGTACAGTGCAACAGCGAGGCGCAAGGGCAGGGGCGTGAAGCGCAAGCAGAAGGCAGCGAGCCCAACAGCCAATGGGCAAGAAGGACTGCTCTGTACGGCGCATGTAGACTAGTTTATTGCACACGTACGAAGTGTAGGACAGAGGATGCCGTCCAAAGCGGATGAGGCTGTTCCGGGCCAAGGTGAAGAGGGCTTCACCGCCGTTTGTTGGGGGGGAGAAGAATGGCACGATGCAGTCTTGGTGGAGGAGGATGTCCGGAGAGGAAAAGGGAGGAGGTTGGGAGAGTGCGAGTAGGTGCAGTAGTTGCAAGTTGGAGCGCACGGCATGTTACGGTGGTACCGATGTGGATTCTGTAATTACCTGGCATGCTGGCCTCTCTACCTTGTGTATCTGCTTACTGTACGGAGTACCATATGATTAACCTTGGCTCGGTACCTTAGGTAGGTAATTAGGTCGAAGCCTACTGTAATAAGCAGGACTTATCGTGGGGTCGATTTGCGGAGTAATTTCGGGAAATCGTATGCGATTACATATCTACCATCTGATAAGTGCCCGGCGCCGCGCACGCGAATATCTCCACGGCCAGCAGCCCAATCGAGGCCATTCCGGGGCCTGGGGGACTACTCCACTCCGGCGGCGCGTTTGGTCGAGGAGCACCCGTATAGGCTACTGTCCGTCGAGATATTTGCGTTGCAGCGCCGCGAATGGGTAATGGGGCTAGGCTCGGCTACAGGAACTGCGAGATAGTAATGCACCGATCCTACGGCCCTTTGATCCTCAAAAATATGTCTAGTTACATGGATATAAATATGTATAAAGACTCTACGAGGCGGCTGGCTTACGTCGACGAGGGCGGTCCGCTTTCCCAGCCGGGTCCTCCGCCCCGACGGCCCTGACCTCGAGTTGGACCTGGTCCGGCCTGGACCTGGGTCATCGGGCACGGGGTCCCTACCTGTACCCGTATCTGGCCCTGGCCCTGGCCCCGATCCTGGCCCCGCCGTCGGCGCTGTTTGAGCTCGTCGACGAGTCGGTTCAAGCTTCGGCCGGCGCGTAACAGCTCTAGCTCTGCAACGGCCGCCTCCTTGCATTTGCCGGACGCCATACGGGCCAACAGCTCGTCCCAGATCACCTTCCGGCGACAGAACTGCACTCTGACCCCGTTCCCCGGCGCCAGCGGCTTCCCACGTCTCTTCCAGCTCCCGTACGGCCTTCTGACCTGCAAACCCTTCACCCCATTCCTTCCAGACGTCCCCCACCGTAAAGACCCTTGCCAGGGCTGTGACGATAGGCATGCCTGGTACCAGAGGCTCTGGGGCGGGGGCCGGGGCCGGGGCCGGAGCTGTATTGAGATTCAAGGTAGGTACTGTTGACGGGGCCGGGGCCGGGCTGGGGCCAGCGCCTCTGCTGACCCGGCTCCGAAGTAGCCGGTAAAGGTGATAGGGACCTTGCCTTGGAGGAGGGCATCGAGGCCGCCCTGAATCCCGTCCAGCCGGGCCTCAAGCCGGATGGCGAGCCGCTGACTATTCTGTAACAGGGCCTCCCGCGTGCTCTCTATGACGCCGCTTAGTTCCGGCAGCGCGCGTCGTACGAGCAGGCTTACCGGCTCCATAGCCCCTACCGCGGTGGACCGCACGGCGACGGCGAACTCGTCCCACTCGGGCCCGCCAAAAGGGGCGTAGGCGAAGAACGGTAGCGACGGGTAGCGGAGCTGTAGGACGGCCAGGTCCTGCAGAAGTACTATACGCAGGCGCCGCATAAGCTTAAGGAAGCCGTCAGCGGCTAGGTCGTCGTCGTCGAGACCGCCTTCTGCCCAGCATTGCCGGCGCGCCCGCGCCTCAAAGCGGGGTTCCCACTCCTCGATCCACGGCCACAGCTGCTTTTGTAAGACGTACGGGGGTTCGTGAGCCGCACGCGCGAGGAAGTAGTCCCCCGGGGAGGCCGAGAAGCCGGCGACGATACGCATGAACTGCCGCGGTAGGTGCGTAAGATATGCCTGGCAGAGCACGCTCTGGTTCCAGCGGCCGGCCTGCGAGATCTGGGCGAGCGACGTGCCATGGGTCTCCGCGTCCTGGGCGCCCACCCTGCGCGGGAGGTGCGTCTTCTTCGACGCGATAAGGCCGGCAGCGCCGAAGATACGCCAGGTCTCTTGTAGCTGCGTCGGGTACGAGAGCTCCTGCTCGCGGTCCCGCCCGACGAGGACCTTGATCCGATACCAGTCCTGACGGCGCCGGAAGGACGGGGGCGGTTCGCCGGCGACGTGCCAGCGCCAAAAGAAGAGCTGTGCTAGGGCCCCTTGCGTACAGAATAAGGGGTCCTTGTGCCGGAGCGCGCCCATAAACTCCTTCCTCGCCGTCTTATTTAGCTTGCCGTCCCGTAAAGGCTTACCAGGCAACCACAGGGGGTCGGGCCCTCCGAAGGCGGATAGTCGAGTAGGGATAGGTCTGCAAGCTCCATCTTGCGCCGGTTCTCCCCCCGTAAGAGGTAGTAGTGGCCGAAGAGGAGGTCGACTCGCGTACGGAGGTTTTGCGGCGTATACGCGGCGCCAGTGAGAAGGAGATCCTGGATCCGAAGCCATTCATCGGGGAGGTAGCCGGCCTGGATCCCGTCGCTTCCGCGGTCTTTAAAGGAGGCGCGGTCGTGCTTCCCCCGCTGCCGGCCCCGTTGCTCAAGGAATCCTCGTACGGCGGCGCCCCGGGATTCTCCGTATTCGCGTTGCCGTGAGCCACCTGGAGCCTCCATAGCTCGATAACGGCCGCGATATAGGCGTCGATAGTGCCCTCGTAAGCAAAGACCCTTCGGTAAGGTCTACTGCAGCCGTCGCGAGGCCTGTGGGTGGCACGTAGCCCTCGCGGTCGTCAGCGAGCAGCTCGGCGGCCTCGGCCAGGGGGACCTCCAAAGCTTCGGCCAGGCTTTCGGCCTCTGCCATGGCCGCGGCCTCGAGCTGCTCCTGTTCGCGCTGTTGCCGTACCTGTACGGCCTCGCCGTTGCCGTTGCCCCTAATCTTACCCGCGCGCGGCTTCTTCTTCTGCGGCGGCACAACGCGTCGTAACAGGATATCCTCTTTGAGCCACGCCGCCAGCTTGTCCGGCGTTACGAGCTCGCCGTCGGGCCAGCTATAGAGCGAGCCGTCTGCTGCAGCCCGAGGCGTATGGCACCAGGCCTATACGCATTTGTCTGTTAGCCGCCTAGGGGGCCGTACGTGACAGGGATCGAAGTGGAGGACCGGCCGGGGGACGCGCCTTCCACTCCCGCTGCTTCGCCGCGTAACTCCGCGTCGTGTTCGCCGGCTGTTCGTCCTTCTTCGCCTGGATGCCCGCCCTCCGGGCGGCACGGGCGCGCTCGTCAGCTGCCGTGTACGAGTCGTCCGCGGCCATCTCGGTCGATCGGGCAACCTTCCTACGGGGCGAATGTCTGGGCTGGGTTGGCCGGAAACCCGATAAGTCGGGTGGGAACTTATCAAATGCACTTATCAGGCGTCCTGCACACGATTTCACGGGCGGCGTTTTGCGGGCGATAAGTGGTCACGTGGCCTAAGTGAATTACGACGCAATTGCGGGCACCACCGATAAGCCGGCGTGTCCATTTGAAGGTGCGAGACAAGTTCTCTCCACCCAGGGGCATTTAAATGCCCGATGGGGAAAGTGGTTGGGGCCCAAGGTCTCTTGGACTTGTCCCCTGGTGGGGCCTTGGGGCTTGGGGCAAGTACTCCGTACCTGGCCAGGCACCAGTTGGTGTCTGCAGGCCGGGCAGGGGTCCTCGTGTTCGGCTGGCCTTTTTCGTTGTCCGCCATCCGAGGTACCTACTCGACGCAGTACTGGAGGGGACTTGACTTGGAGGTAGAATCGAGGCGTGAGCAGCCTTGGTCGCTACCTTCTGGTCGGTACTGGCTGCGTATACAAAGTATTCCGCGCAGGGTTTTGCAAGCCGTCTGTCTCTTGTTTACTTTTCTTTTCCACTCTCTCCGTCTGGCTTCTTCAACCTCACTCTCTCCCGAGCAGAGAGGTTAATGAATCGTCCCGTCATAATGAGCCAAGGTATGTTGCATGAAGCATCAAGAGAAACAAACACGTCCATCTCTCTCGACCTGACTCATCATTGGGCCAGCCAATTGGTGGTGTGAGCATGGCCGAGTCGCACGCACGCCCAGCCCAGCAGCTACCCGTCTCTCTCTCTCTCCGACCTCGACTGTGGCGGGATCCCGGGGTTCCCATCGTCGTGACGAGAGGAGCGCTGCTGCGGCGGGCGCGCGTGGTTGGGGCAGCTTGTTCCTTGCACGAGCGACTCGAGCTGGCCATGAGGCCATGGATGGATTCGAGGACATGAGTGGGCGAGTGCCTGCCTACTCGACAGAAAGCAGGGATATGATGATGATGATGATGATGAGGAGACGAGATGTCTGTCTGCACGCGCACAACTACCTACACACACACACACACACACACACACACACACACACGCACACAGCAATCGATGGATAGATCCAGGTCAAGAAACCCTCCTGCCCAGGGTCGGGCTCACCGCCCCTTGGAGCGGAAAAGGAAAGCAGCAGAGCAACGGACAACGGTCGACAAGGGGGTCTCTCGACAGGGGTCCACGGTATTAGATCTTACTGTGCATTTGTCCATCGAGCGGGTGGCTGGCGATGCCCCCCCCCTATAAACACTTCCACCCACTCTTCCGCCATCGTCTCTGCATATTCTCACCTCGGCCGGTCACGGCATCCTCGGCTGTTGCCTCCATTGGCCTGCCATTGCATCTCCTATCCTCCCTTTTCGCCCTCCCTGTCTCTCTCCGCCTCTCTCTCCGCCTCTCCCGCCTCTCGCTTCCAGATGCTTCGCAACTCTTGCATTAGCCGCCATCCTCTCAGGCCTCTTGTCCTTCAGCCTCAACCCTCACCGTATCCACACACAGCCGCTGCTCTTTGTTGTTGGCCACGGCCCAATCACAGCCTGCCAACTGTCTGCTCTCCTTGGCCCTCTGCAACATTCCTCTTACATCCATCTGTCCGTCCTCAAAACTTCCTCTCTTTCGGTTCCATGTCTCTCAATCGCAACACTGTCCCTCGTTTGCACTGCTGTGTCTGCATCTCCCGCAGAACTGCCTCTTCTGACCCTACTGTCTCAGGCGCCACACAATAGCCGCTCGTACCCGGATCCCTTTCGCCCGACTGAACCCACGCCCTTTCTACTGCCTCGAGGCCGGGTCGGGAGGGCTCGACCTCATGGCATGGCGTCGTCTGAGGTTGATCAAAAATTCCTCGGCCGCCTGGCAAGGGCCGTCGAAAATGACAACCCCCTGCTCTCCTCGATGCTCTTCAAGATCCTCGGTCTGTCACTTAACCTTGCCGAGCAGCTCGTAGCCGCCAAGAAACAGCGCCGGCCCGAACCTGCCACCTCGCACTTCTTCTTGAGGCGCGTCCTCCACATCATCTGGCTGTCCCGCGAAGGCCTCGTCATGCTCCAGCAATATGTCATACCCATGGTTGGCAACTACGTCGAGCTCAAGGTCCTGGCCTACAAACTGCGCGCCAGCTTCCATCACATCTTCGTCCTGTTCCACAACCAGCCTCCCGTCTCCGACATGGCTCGCTGGACCCCGGCCCTCATGAGCACCGCTCTCGACGTGCTGTCCACAGCAGGCAAAGATCTGGGCGAGTCTTATAGCCCACAAGACCCGCCATCGAGGCCATCGTCAGTCCAGCCCACACACCCTATGGAAGGTGGTCCTGTCGGCCCCCCGCCGGGCTTCGAGCCGCACGTCGCCCTGTTGCCGCCCTCCTTCCTCCTGCCTTCCAACGACTACATCCCCGATGCCCACAAATACTTCAGGCAGGCCGTCGGCCTGGCTGATGAGTTGCTCTGGGGCTCGCACTCGTTGCGCCTCTCCGTCAAGACTGAGTACGCCGCGTTTCTCTACGATTGCATTCACGATGCTGAGGCCAGTCGGAGCCTGGCCAAGGAGACCATCGCCGAGGTCTACGACGCGACCGAGGGCATGGACGACGACATGTTCCGCGACGCCTGTGAGCTCGTCACCGTTTTGGGAAAGATGGTGACACGCGGACTCGGACCCGACACTCCGGTTCGTGGCAAGGGACGCGAGCCAAAACCAGCGCTCGGCCCCGCGCTCGTACCGCCGCCTGGAATGGAAAACCCGATATGAGGTGCCGGCCTTGACCGGGTGGTGCCCCGGGAACGGAGATTCGCGACTTCTGTGTATTTCTTGTTGCCCCCCCCCCCTCTCCCCCGCTTTGGGCTGCTGTATCTACGCAGGCGGACCGGGTCGGGCGCACAGCGATGATGTGGGAGTCGGGGGTTGGTTCTCGCGGCATCCACTCCCCCGTTCGGCATTGTCATTCTGTACATGGGGCGCAGCAAGAGCCGCATCGGATCTGAGAGGCGTTGTGTGTGCCGACGGAGGGGTGTTTGCTTTCACCCAGGAAGATGAGGGTTGGCCAGCTGCCAAGCGGGCGCGGGGCCGAGGTGGCTGCATTTTTTTTTTTGCCTTTTGGCCGTGAATCTTGCTCGATACCCCCCCAGTGAGCATTTTGATTCAAGCGTTGCACGCTCGTCCTTCCTCTTACTCCCCTGTGGCGAGGCGTGGGATGACGGGCGCCACATATACAGTGTAATAGCCTAGAGGATGTATATCCGATACACATGTGTCACGTAGTTGGGGCAACGTTGCTGCGGCCTTGGCCGGGAGTGCGGAGGGACGAGGTTGTGAGCTGCGTCTCTTACTTCCCGGCACGTCGCCAGGAACACGCCCTTTGCACACACACGTCTATAGACCGGAGGGGAGGAGGCTGTCCAGGTCCTCTCCGGTCTCGAGACGAAACCTTTCCAACCTTGCCTCCCCCCCTTTCCCTCTGGGCATCACGTCTCAACAACACACACACAGACTACCGTTATTGCCCGCAAAGCACATCGACTCCTGGTTATTCATCTTCGTCTATTCTCTCATCACGCGTCTAGTCTTTGTCGCGCAGCTCTACCGCTCAAATCTATCCTTTTCGCCTCATCTCTCCCCAATCCTCCCCCTATGCGTGCGCATCCCGCGTGCGCATCTGCATCCCGCATCCCGCATCCCGCATCCCCGGCGGCCCAAGGCTCCGACTCCTAAGCGGGGGACCAATCCTCGTATTAAAGAGCACCCGGCGACAGTGGACAACACGAGCGCAAACCCCCTCCCCCGGAATTCTTCCCTGGCTCCTCACGCGTCCCCGACGGACAACGCTACCAGACGCAAAAGCGACTGCTTCGAGGCCCGGCTCTGCCTCTCTCGCCCTCTATTCCCTCCGTGCCTCAAAAAGGACGAGCCACGCGCAAAAAGAGAACATAATCAGACAGCCTCGCTCGTGCGTGCGTGCTCAGCCCCTCTGTCGTCTTCGCTCTCTTTGCGCTCCCTTCGCCCTCATCTCACTTGGCTCTCCAGAAATGCCCAACGCGGCGAGTGTTCCCAACACCCAGATTGCGCAAACTCAACGTCAAAATGAACAAGAAAGCAAAAGTAGCAAAAATGAGGAAAAAGAACAAAGGTAGATGGAAGGAGAAGAGAGAGCGGCGGACTCTCACGATCCAACCTTCCCACTCCCCCGAAAATGCAGAGTTAATGTGTAGATAACGCCGTGCACCCGAGTCTAAGGCAGCCGTGCCAACAGATGGGGTAAAGGGGTAATGTGTCCTGGGAAAGGCAGAAATAAGAAACGCCTCAAGATGCTTGTCGAGTCTGCCAAAAAGGTGGGCAGATTCAGGCGCCGTCCTCATGTCTGTCGCCGCTTCTTCCAACCGCGATCATGCATTGACAGCTCCTCGATGGGTGAGCTTGACCCGGCCAGCTGTTTGATGGCCTAAAAGCCACGTCCCAGCCGCCGTTCAAGATCCGGAGAACAGCGCAGAGATGAAAGAAAGGAAAACAAGACGCGCTCAGAGAGCCGGGTCCTCGAGGTCCCCGTCCTGGACCCCGTCGACCCAGCTCTCGACGCGTTGCCAGCGCCCGCCGGCGCGCGACGACGGCTGCTCGCGCTCGGCACTCTCGCGCTCGGCGCGCTCGCATTTGTCACGGATGAGGTACAGTGGCACCATGCGTCCCGTGACGTTGTAAAAGTTGGCCTGCATCTCGAGCCACCGCGACCGCTTGTACTTGCTGTCGACGGCAGCGAGGACGGCGCAGTCGTGCTCGCCAAAGAACTCGTCGGGCTCCGGCTGGATCATGCCGGGATAGAGCTCCGGGTAGACGTGGTTGCGCAGGTATCGCACGTCCTGGCACTTCGACTCGGGCCAGCCATAGTGGAGGCCGCCGGCGTCGTCATCATCGTCGTCGTCGTCTTCCTCGTCGCCCAGGGGGCCCGACGACTCGGACGACGCCTCCTCGCCCGAGAGAATGTCGCGCTCACGCTCGTTGGCCTCGGCGGCCTTTGAGCGGGCAGACTTGTTCTCCATGGCCACCTTGTCGTTGCGTTGCCCCTTGTGCCACTTTGTCGGAGCGGCGGCCTTGCCCTTTCCTTTACTCTTTGCGTTCTTGGCGGGTTCCGATGCGGCCTGGGACTCGTCGCTGACGGCGCTGGGAGTCTCATCTGGGGCCTTGGCCGGCTTCTTGGAGGGCTTCGACGTGCCTGGACTCTGCTGAATCGAGCTCTCCTGCTCCTCGCCGCTAGCCTCCTCACTATATGCGAATTGGGCCGGCTGGTCTCTAATAACTACCCAGCGGGCCCTGACGTCGTTCTTGGTGCGGCCGAGAGCAGTTCCAATGTCGGCCCACGGCAGGTTATCCTTTGATTCTTTCATGGACCTGAGGAGGCAATCCTCGGAGATGGACCAACCTCCACTATCGGCGGAGCTCGCGCCGGCGGACTTGTCCGTCGCGGCCCTCGGCCCTTGTTCGTCAGACGAGTCTCCTTTGGACGAATCTGCCCCCGGCGTACTAGCATCCGTAGAAGCGTCGTCGATCCTTTCGGAGACCTCGAGCTCGCTGCCGCTCCCACCCCCAGAGCTGCTGGGCATGGACGAGTCTGCCTCGGACGCCTTGGCTCTCTCAGTCGGCCCTCGAGACTTGAGACTTGGCTTTGCGGCGGAGCTGTCTGTCGTGTCGGTCTGGCAATCTGTGGTCGCGAGAGACTCGCCACCGCCGTCTTTTGTCGTATTCTTCAAGCAGGGGCTATGCTTGAGGCATTTTGCGTTCTTGAGGCATGGGCGCTTGGGAAGGTCATTCCTTGTCATTTTGAGGCAGGCAGGGCCGGACTCGCCAGAGGATTCGGCTTGAGAGGCCGAGTTTGCGTCGGTGGAAGCAGCGTCAGAGGTTCCCTGGTTACGAGAGTTGGCCGAGGTGGCGTCTGGTTCCAAGACCAAAGTGTCAGCAGAGAATCTCACCCTCAACCGTTTCCTCGTGCGGGGAGGAACGGGTGACGCCTGACCGCGAGCCGCGTTGGCGGGAGCATGTTGCAAGGCGGCGGTGTCTGTTGTGGTGGCCTCGCTGTTGCTGTCGGCAGAATCCTGCCCATCCTGAGGCGCCATGACTAGACGAGGCGCGAGGATGTTAGCTAGGGAAGGCCGGAGAGGAGGGCGTTGTAGACGGACGAGGTGGAGGGATGAATGTGCGGCGCGTTGTGTAGGTGAGAGGGTGTAGGAGAGAAGGGTGCAGGATTCATCATTCTTGCAAGGGTGTGTCTGGGCAAAGACAGGGCAGGCCCCAACTGACGATGAGGCTTTGGACCTTGTTTCGCAGGCACACAGACTGCGCAAGCAATGGGTGGGCGGGAGTCCAAGAAGAGACAGCTCCAGGCTCCAGCAGTGGGATGAGGCTCGTCGAGTGGAGGCGCTGATGGGCGTGGCCTGGCAGATGTGTGCGATGGGAGATGTTGTTGCTGTGAAGAAAAAGGAGGAAGAGAGGAAGAAGGGGAAGAAAGGGGGGGAAAGGCATTGCAACAGAGTCGACTCACATGACACGGTTGTTGCTGTTCGGGCTCCAGAGGCCGCCTGTCCACTCGCCCGTCTGCCAGCTGTCCGGGCTGCCAGCAGCAGCAGCAAACACTCGGGCCCCCTGCCCTCGGTTCCCGCCGCCGCACAGTGAATTGGCGAGTCGAGCCATGAGGCCGTGGATAAAGACTGCCGTGGAAGGGCGGTGACTGGAGACGGGGGGTTGATTCACTCGTGATTCATCCGGCGATTCACTGCTGCCTCGGTTGAGACTTGAGAGCCATGCAGAGAGAGAGAGAGAGAGAGAGAGAGAGAGAGAGAGAGAGAGAGAGAGAGATGACGGATAAGAAGCGCACACCCCAAGACGACGACGCAGACGGCCGGCCATTGAATTCGAGCGTGTCGAGCTTGACAGTTCGTCCTCTGGAAGGAGGTGGCAACGGCTGACTCATTCCCAGTGTCCTGATGTCCTCCCTCACTCACCCCTCTCTGCCTCTGCCACAGCCTCGCATCACCAACCTCACATCACCAGCCTCCCATCACCGACCTCATGCCACAGCCAACGCCGTCCACCGCCATGTCCCTGCCGCCCTCGTACCTGCAGGCCCTCGACCTCATCGACAGCGCCCACTCGCAGGACCCCGACACCACCACAGCCTCCGCCGCCTCCTCCCCCGTCCCTCGCGAGCTTCACTACGCCCGCGGCATGACCACCTGGCTCCACGCCCGATGTCCCACGGCCTCGCCCGAGCTCCAGCTCGCCTGTCGAGCCCAGCACTTTAAAAGGTCTTGATCCACCTCATCTCTCCTCGGCACGTATTCAACACAATAAGTCTGACAAGAGAGACTCCCGTGACCTCACAGATGGCAGCTCCCCCGTTCCACCTACCCCATGACCCGCTCCGGCTACCTGACCTGGCGAGCCAAGCAGAAGGCCCAGGCCGCCGCAAATGTCGCCCTCTTGCTCGCCGACCCTGCCATCGAGCCCCCCATCGCCCCGTCGTCCCGCGACCGCGTCGCCGCCCTGATTCGCAAAGACGGCCTCGCCACCGACCCGGACACGCAAGTGCTCGAGGACGTGGCCTGCCTCGTCTTCCTCGACGACCACTTTGATGACTTCGAGGCCAAGGCCGACATGGACGAGGCCAAGCTCATCACCATCTTGAGAAAAACGTGGGCCAAGATGTCCGAGCCCGGGAGGGAGCTGGCCCTCGCCATGCGGCTGAGCGACAAGGCACGGTCCCTGATTGTAAAGGCACTCGAGCAAGAGGCCCCCCCCGAGACTGCCAGACCAGCCAGCGAGCAGAGTAGTCAATTTCCTACATAGATGTCGCGAACACACAAAGCTCCCGTGAAATGGCGCTCCCAATCCCACCCCGTGAAAGGCCCCTTCCCTTGTCCACGTTCGCAACAATCATACGAGCCGACTCGCCGTCTCTGGCACTCTCGTCATGGTGGACTAGGCGTCCGTCTGTGTACCCGCTTCGCCCGAGGTGCCCGCCCCCGAGGTGCCCGCTCCCGGGGTGTCAGCCCCCGACGCATGGGACTGCCGTTTCTCGCGAGGCGCCTTGGCGGACCTTTTCAGCATCCTTGCTCTACAGCCTCTGGCCAATTTCCAAGCGAGCCAGAGGGTGGTTATGATGATTACTGAACCCCCTAAGGCGGCAAATTCATCCGTGTTAGAGCGTGTTTGGCTCTCCGGGCCCTCTTCTCACGAAGCGGAACTGACCGATGCTGCCCAGAATGACCCCTGGGATGGTCCAAGGCGAGGGAGGTGCAAAGGACGGAGGGGCAGAGGACGGAGGGCCAGGAGCCGGCGAAGAGTTGGGAAACGTAGAGGCCGAAGTTGAAGAGGGAGAGGTAGAGGCCAAAGACGAGGAGAGAGAAGTAGAGGCCAAAGTTGAAGAGGGAGAAACAAGAGGCGAGGAACGAGACGAGGAAGAAGAGGTAGATGGCCCAGACGAGGCAGAGGGAGAGGACGTCGATGACCTCGAATGGGCAGACGCAGAGGGCCCGGAGAGATCGCGAGTCGGCGCGGGCAAGGAGGGCGACTCGCTGGCCTTGGGAGACGCCGTCGGCTCGCCGTCGGTCGAGGCCGCCGTGTATCGCAGGACCGTCTCGGCAACCCTGTCGGTGCCGCAGACCAAGAGCGAAAAGCCCCCGAGGGTCGGATCGTCGCCGAACACGTCAGTCTTGCAGTAAGGGGCCGCGCCTTGGTTACTGCCGTCAATTTAGTTTTCTGAGCTGTCAGCTTTTGCTAGGCCCAGTCAAGATAAAGCTTCATTTCAGCCGTTACCCCCCATTTTGCCTTACCAAGCCCCAGCATCGGGCCATGCCCTCTGTCCTGTGTATTTGTTGTTGTTGTTTCTTTTTTGTTTTGTTTCTACTTGTCCGACGGGACACTGACTGACCAGACTAGATCCAGGCTGCTCGCGGCATCGCCGCCGCCGTCTCGCACGCCGAGGCCACGCCAGTCTTCCACGCATCGCGTCGAGAGACGACATGCCCCGCCGGCAACACGCCAGCAGCAGCCGACGAGGCTACGGGCCGCGTCAACCGCGCATCTCTGGCCCGGGTGGCAAGTAAGCGGATGTTCTAGAACTCTCAGTCAACTCTCCTCCGTCTTCCCCCGGGGACAGGTCAAAAGGGTTGCTACCCGGCCTCCCAGAGACCCAGCCACAAAGGTCCTCTCGAGAGGATATGGCCTCGCCATTATGGCCCGTAAGCCGCGCGAGCACCGACGGCTGCTGATCCCGGGGCTGCATGGCGACCGCACTCGGGAAAGACGGGGAGCTCAAAATACAGTCACTTGGACCAGAAGATGGCAAGACGAGGGTTGAGAGTTGGGCTCGTGTTGGAACATCTGCAAAGAGACATTGCCGCAAAAGCTCAGCCCTTTATAGAAATGAAGATGCTGGAGAACATTGCCAAGCAAGAGACCACTGACGAGCAGAAAGGTCTGGTTGAACAGGAGTATCCTGGGTCGTATTCTCGTCAGGCTGCGTTTGCTCCTCTGTGATTCCGTCAAACTCGCTGGCAAGTGTGAGTCGGATGGCAAACAAGACCCAAACCAAATGAAGCCATTGGCACCATGACATCCACACGTCTCGTGGCCTGCGAGGGATTTCCGTCTGGAAATTGACGGGCACGCGTCTGGTTCAACCCCCATCAGGGTACTCTGACGTGATAAACGGGCACCGCGAATCTGACGCAAGACAAGCAGAGGGAGGGGAGCATTTGTTCTGCTCCATCACACAGACAAATGCCCGAGAAATCACCTCTTCGCCGCCTCAAGACTTCTTGCAGGCCATGCGCCGAAGAGAGCGACGCAGGCCACGGGCACGCAATCCAGCGCCCGTCCCCAGGAGACGCATCGCAGCTTGCTCCACCATGCCCGAGAGAAATAGTGTCCGAGGCTTCTCAGGACAGCAACAATCCAGCCAGTCACCGTTCAAGGGTAGAGGTGGCGAAATGAAAATCATCCCACTCTAGTCCACTTGCCGATGCTGCAGGTCTGATGAGGCCGCAGCTTGCATCTTTAGATTGATTTCATGCTCCCTCCCCACGGGACAACTAGCTGAGCACTGATTTCAAGCCACAGGACGGTCACCCAGCTTCCCGCAGCCGGCACTTTCGAAAAGTGTGTCGTTGGAAGCTGGCGGAGGTGGCATCGGCGTGGCGTGCACGGGCTCAACTTGACACTCGCCACTGGAGCGGAGGGGCGTGAGCCACGAGCGTGAGCCACGAGCGTGAGCTAATAAAGCTAACAGTGGGGTCTTGGCTCTACTTGGCCATGGTAGTCGCGATTATACGAAGAATAGGATGTCAGGCTTGGTCATCATGTCTTGCGGCCATGATTGATTCGCGCCGAGAAGGGGCCTCCTTTGTCGGAATGGACATGACAGAAAGCTTGAGCTGTGGATGACTGCCACGGCTGTGTCTGATTAGCATTTCGGACGCAGGGGGCAAGAAGAAGGAACAATTTGGAAAAGAGCCCAAGGACGTCATCGGACGGCTGCAGCCAAGGGCGTTTAAGCTCACCAGGTCTCGACCAGCGGCCATGTGCAGGCTCCACCAAGGGAGAAGCGAGGCTTCATCCCGAATTCAGAGGCGGCTCAAGAGGCAGAGACATCGGCTGGGACCATATTGTGAGACGATAGAGCAGCCATCAAGGGAGATGCGGCGCGCCAAACAGGGGGACGATGATGCTCATGTCTCACGAGGTGCCCCACGGCTGGCACAAGACGGCGGCTCGAGGGCAGCAGAGTGGCCGGGGAGGTTGGAGCCAGGAACGGCGATGGCGCTTCTCGTCGATTCGTGGGACTAGCTAGGTCGTCTGTCGGCTGGATCGAGACCTAGTGGATCAAGATTCGGCAGGTGAGCAAGACCAGCCAGCTTCGACGGGGTTGTCTAGCGTGCCACGGTTGAGCGTGTGAGCATGGGGTGGCTGCACAAGTCGGCTGAAGCTGACAGGGGTTCAGGTGACGCCAACAAATCACGACTTGTCGTCGGGGACCCCGAGGGCGACTTTGCTGGAGGAGGAATGAGAGGCGGTTGGGGGCGGCAGCACCTTGCTTTTTTGCCGCAATGGACGCTAGCTTTGCTGCTTCACGGGAACTTGCGGCGGCCTCGACCAATACGGAGTACAAGACGGAGTACCTGTCATGGCGCCTCGATGCATGTGGCGGAGTTGGATGGATGGGTGCTGTTGCATGTGCTGTACTGTAGCATCCCAAGTCCTTGGCTCTGGTGCCGCCTGTCCGATCGCCCGCGATGGGCGCCTGCGGTGAGGTATCGATGGATGCCATGTTGTCGACCCCTGGAGCGTCTCGGTTGATGGATCGCCGGCGAGTCAAAGGCTGGCCATGTCGTGGATGGAGTGAAAGAGATGGACAATGACGCGATTTGATGATCCCTGGTTGATGTTTCCCTGTCCAGAGATGCGACCCGAGAGGCGTCGGTCGGGATGAGAAGATTGTGTGTGCTGGAGAGAAAGAAGCAAAGTCTACCTAATTGGCGGTGGGGCGGCCCGATGCGGAGTGGAGCGGAAGAGACAATGGTAGGAGGTACTGGGTACTTTGCACACCGAGTACGCAGGGCTGGAGGATGGAGTTTCTGCGACTCCAGCTGGCCAGGTAGAGGAACTGGCCCAAGCCAGAGGGAGACTTGCGGTGTAAGAAGAGAGCAGGTACTCCGTACCTACCCAGGATCCTAGGTAGATAGGTACCTAGGTAGGTACTAGGTAGACAGGTAGGTAACTTGGGTAATTATTCAAGTGCCGAGCAGCCTTGGATGGGCCGTGATATGTTATTATTATTACTATTATTATTCGACGGAAAGCAACTGCGGGAATCCTTTCTGCTTTCACACAAATAACTGAATGAATGAGCGAATGAACTGCCGGACGGTTTGCTTTTTTGCCTGGCCTGTTGCATCTGTCTGGCCTCTCTACCCAGAAATGGCCCTGTTGGTCTCGACAACTCCTTCTCACGCTGTTGACAAAGGGGCCTGTTCGGTCTCCTGCTTGTACCCTGCGTAGCTGCAGCGATGAATCCATAACCCGCCCGAGGGCTGCGGCTCATACCTACAGTACTGTAGGTACTCCGTAGTTGCCTACTGGACTCTGAGGTAAGCCAGGGGTCGTGCACTCCGGGCGTGGCAAAAGACACGTCAGTTGTTGGGGGAATCTTCAGGAAAAAGAACGGTTTGCGTGTGCCGCATCCTGGACCGCCTGAACAGGTGGGGCTGTGTGACGAGACGTTGTGCGCGCGTGTGTGTGGTGCACAACAGCATCTCTCCTGTACAGTATCCGTACCGGCAAGACAAACAGCTTATCCTGTCTGCAATACAGGCCTACAGGCCTACAGGCCTACAGGCCTACAAGCCTACCTACTGTATGCACGTCTGTCTGTCTGTACGTACATCCATGTCGAGATGCCAGGCCTGGATCGACAGTCCAGGTCCAGGTCCAGGTCCAGGTCCCGGGTCCCAGCCAACCAGCCAGGTCTACCTTATGCCTGCCTGTACAGTACTGTACCGAGTATCCATGCCCATGTCCCACACCCATGCTCCGGTCCCTGTCGAGCTCTTCTGCGACAGGGCTGATGAAAAAGGCTCGGGAAGCCGTATTCAACTTGGCGTCGGACCCCGTTTTGGCATCGCGGGAACGGCGGCTCTGCCTGCGTCTATTTTCGTTTTTTTCCCCGTGCTCCCTCTCCACTGTCAAAAGCGTCATCGTCATCCGCCTGCTCGTCCGTCTCGCCAGTCTTTCCAACCATCTGCCTTTTCCTTTCGACTCTTTTCTTCTTCCTTGTTCGGCGAGTTGCCAACGGCGAGTCCGCGGGGGCCAACCGAGGAGACCAAGCAACCAACTCGACCCCATTCGCTGCGGGTTTGTCGACGTTGTTGATGCCCGTCTCCGACTGACGCTCCGACTGACGCTTCCTTCAGAGGTAGTGAGTGGGCTGCCTGCTTGCTGCTTTATTGCTTGCTGCTGGACTGCTGCTGCTGGACTGCTGCTGCTGGACTGCTGCTGCTGCTGCTACGTGCAACTACCACCCACCAACCACCGCCTTCCTTGCCGTTACCACCTGCCTTGCATGCCGAGTTGACCTACCTTCCCTCCTTTCCTGTCTTCCCTTCCCTTCCTTCCCTTCCTCCCCTTCCCTCCCCTTCCCTCCCCTCCCCTTCCCTTCCCTTTTCTTCACTCCCCTCCCCTTTCTCTTTCTCGACACCCTACCTTTTTAGACTGCACCGCGCCTTGCCTGGGGCAGGCACCGAAATAACCCTCCCGAGGCAGGCAGGTACCTCTGCCGAAATCGAAATCGACACACAAGCAAATACACGCAAACACCAGAGGCTGTACCACGCCGCCTCTAGTATCACTATACCTTACCCATCGCCAGAGTCCCGCCCGACCTCTCTGGCCTTGTCGTATATATTGCCTCGCCCAATACCCCCTTCCGCTGCCCCTCCTGAGAGCATGACGGTTCTTTTCCCAACGGCCTCCCATCATCACCTACTTGATCGCTCGCTCGCCCTACCCGCCACGCCTCCCTCCCGAGCGACATGTCGGGATCCTTTCAACACGTAAGTCTCATTCACGGTCACGCCTCTACGCCATTGACTACCCCCTTACCCCTATTCTCGACCCCCATGCCTCCGACGCTCACCCAAGCCTGTAGCCCTTCCAGGAATCCCAGTTCGACATCTTCGAATGGTACCCCAAGTATCAAAGCTGCCTTAGCTTCTTCGTCCACCACGCTCAGCACAACGGCCCCGTCCAGGCCGTTGCCGCCTTTGTCAACATCAAGCTCCCCTGCCAAAAGCTACCCACACCCCCGACGACGCCCTTGGAGCGCCCCGGGTCCGCAGCCGCCAACGCCTCCGTCGCTCTCGTCCCCTACGTCCGCCGCCTCGTTGCCACCGGCTTCGACACTCCTGCCGTTCTTCACGGCTTCTTCGGCGAAGATTGGTCCGAGGGCGTCGGCACCATTCACGAGACGGAGCGGAGGAACTACCTCTTTGCTGCAAAGAGCGACACGTGGCTGAGGGTCAAGGCCAACTACGACATGGAGGACGGCCAGAGCGTGCCCTTTTTACGCCCGCTGCAGCGCGTCACTGAGGTGGAGATTGTGAACGCCGAGTCCAACTGGAGCGAGTGGCTGGCCATGCAGGACTGGATGTTGGGGCCTCGAGCTCCTCCTGGTATCAGCGACTCTCGTGCACCAAGAGCCCGCCGTGACTGACCGGGGGCGCGGCAGAGCGAGACCAGGCCCGACAAAACCAAACAAATGCCAGGTGTCCCCCTGACGAGGCGGTCGTCGCTTGGGCCCACCGAACCCCCTGCAGAGGCTTTTGAGGACATGAACAAGAGGACGCAACCGTTTTGACGGGGCACGCGTGAGGGACCGGGGTGCTGTTCATCAGGGCGGGCGCATACTGTAACGGACATCCTGCATATGTGAAGCGACTTATTAATGCTAATTCTTTGAAAGAGAGACTGGCCCGTTCCTTTTACTCTTGTCGGCGGCAACGATGACTTAGCAACGACGCCGTGACTGAGCTTGCTTTTTCAATCACATGGAGCAGTCGATAGCCGCCAGAGGGGAAAAGGGGGGACGCAAATGGGTCTATGGAATAATATCATGTTTGTTTGTGTCGACTCCGTGTCTGCTCGTCCCAAAGTTTTGCTCCCCCACCCGGCCGCACGCCGCACGTCCATGTGCAACAGCAGCGTCAACGTACACAATCACCATGACGGTCCCCAGCCAAGGCCCCCGGACACTGAACGACGGTGGTCCATTCTTGGACAAGACAAGTTGCGGACCACCGGGTAGCCCCCCAGGTAGCCCCCCAAAAACTTGCCTCGAGCCGAAGCAACATCAGCGCCAACCAAGGTCCCTCAACCCATCCCCCGTCTTTGTGAGGTGAAGAAGTTTTCAACAAAGAAAAAAAAAGGGAGTAGGCGAGGTTGACAAGCAACCACCCGAGCTAAAACGAAAAGGAAAAAACAGGGACGCCTCTTTGCATGGCCTTCCCTCCCCCCTGCCTTTGCCGTTGCCGACTTGAGATGATGGGCAAGACAGGAGAGATCTTATGCCTTGGTCCCCCCTCCGTGTAAAACCCCCTCCCTGAATGCCCAAACGCCACCACCGGTCTGTCGCGCCTCCTTGGTCAGACAAGGCAAATCACCTCTTTTTCTCTTTCCCGTGTTTGTATCGACCCACCGGTGCACCAGACAAGGAAAACAGCACGCAACCGAGAGAGGAGTGCTCTGTGGCACCGCCCGGCCCGGGGAGCAGCAAACGCCAACAAGACAGATGGTGGGTGAAGACGGGGGGGGATGTCGAGCCGAAAGGACGATGACGGCGACGATGCCGAGCTTGTTCTTCTTCGCTTCCGCGGCATGTTGCTTGCTCTGTGCGTGGAAAAACAAACAAGGCCGCCTCCCCTTTTTCTACACGGCAGCCAGCCAGGCGAGCGGCGAGCAACATTAATTAAGGAAGCCTTTGCATGCCGCGGTGCCGCAGAGACACGGGATGCGGTCCAGGCTGCCAATCTCACGCTCAAACTTGTAGTCGTACGTCAACTCCTCGTCTATTGTCATGGTCAGTCATCGGTCTTGCCACTCACGCCAAGCAAAAGAACAGAGAAGAGAGAAAAGACATACTTAGGGCAATGTCGCGGAGGGCATAGATGACGATTCGCTTGCTGCCCTCGACCTTGATAATCTTAGCCGTGCAGTTGGGCATGCAGCTGTGGTTGATGAATCGCGCAATGCCCCCCTTCTTGGTCGCGTCGACAACCGTGTCATCGTCGATGCGGAACAGGTAGCTGCTCCCGATGCCGCTCTTGAGGTAGCGTTTCTCGCGGATCTCGGCAATCTGCTGCCGCACCTCCTCGCCCACGTACTCGATAATCATGTCGTCCTTGCCAATGTTCTCCATGGCGTACAGGCCCCAGTTGTGAATGGCCGACCGCGCAAACTTGACGGGCTTCTTCCGCTTCTTGAGCTGGTTGAACTTGAACACGTCCGAGTCTTGCCCCAGCGTCTTCTTCTGGTCGTTGAGGTCCGCCACGTACCGCCGGTTGCTCGCCCGGTTGGCCCGCGAGTTGCCTTTGGCGATGAGCTTCTCCGCCGCCAGCTTCGCCGCCTCCGACGCCGCCGCACTCGCGTCCTTGCCGTTCTTCTTGAAGCGCGCCTCGCGCTCTTCCCTCGCCTTCTGCACCTTGATGTGGTGCGGCAGGTACTTTGATTTCTCAGAGTTGAGTATCTTCTTGACGCCTTCGGTCCGCGCGCAGCCCGTCGCGTTTGGCACGTAGTAGCCGTCAATGGACACGGGCTGCTCCGTCTTGCCGTCAGGCGCGTTGAGCCGCCTGATGCGGTTTCGTCTCCACAGCCACAGCTCAGGGTTGCCCAGATCCGCGGCGGAAAACCTTCTCCCGAGCTTCGACACGTCGGGCGCGTCGCTTGGCCCAAGAGCCAGGCTGAGCAGCGGGCCAAGGTCTGGGCGGAAGCCATCTGGAAGAGTCAAGGCGGCCGTCAAGGGCTCCGTGGCGAAGAGCTTCTCGTCGTGTTTCTCCACCGTAGGCTCGGGCGGTGGCGCCTCTGCCTTGGAGGGCTTGGAGGGCTTGGAGGGCTTGGAGGGCGCCGGCGTGGCCTCGCCGTCTTCTTGCTGTGTGTCAGTTTCTTGCTGGCGCTTTAGAGCCTCTTGCTCCTCGAAAATCTGCTTCTTCGTCTTCTTCCTCTGCTTCAACGGCTTCTTCTTCGTGCCCTTGGCCGCCTGGGAGACGGGGGTCTCGGAGCGCGACAGACTGCTGTCGGCGACATCGACGTCGAGGCTAACATCTTCAGACGGACCACGCCCATCGGCCTCGCCGTCAATGTGGTTGATCTTGACGCCGAAAAGCTCCTCGTCGGACTTCTTCAGACGCTTTAGGGCAGCCCCGTTCGGCGACTCCAGCTTCCTCTTCCTCGAGGGCGGTCCATCATTAACAGTAAGGCTGACTTCTGTCATGGAGTCGTCTTCCTGGCGGCCCCAAGATCCTAGGTCGTCTTTGAAGGCCTCATCGTCGGTGCTCAGACGACTGCGCGGTCGCGACTCGGGCTCCTCGGTGTCGCGGACCGCCAGAGCCCCGGCATCCGTCTCATCGTCAGACTCAAAGTCGCTGTCTAGGCTCTTAAGGCGATGATGCAACGATCGGAACGCGGTGCGGGCTGCCGACGGCCGCTTTCGAGAAAAGGGGTCGACAAAGGCATTGCGATGCGCCTGGCCCTTTGCCTTTGTCTTGCGTATCCGGGGCAACGCCTTTGGTTCGAACCGGCCGGTGCGCCGCTCGATGGGATCGGTGCGCGAGTTTGGTGTGCCCACTCTCGAGCTACCATCGTCGAAGGTAAGGTCCTCTTCGTCCTCGGGCTGGTCAAGGTTGAGTTTGCGCCTCTTCGCAGCGTGGTTGGCGGGATTGAGAAAGTCGGAGAGGCAGGGCGCGGCGACCTGGGTCCGAATATGCCGTATCAGATGTTCCGTCATCTCCCGGCGGACGACATCGACAGCCTCGATGACGGGGTCAAAGTTCTTTGCCCGCTGCTTCTTCTCCTCTTCTAAGTCTGCCTCTCCCTCGCGGCGCCTTCGCAGCGACTCCTCGTCCCCTCGTCGGAAGACCGTCTTGTGGCCTCCATCTGGACTTGGACTTGGTTTCCGGGCAGCGCCCGATTGACGAGCGGGCCGGGGCAGACATAGTTGCATCGCCATGTCGTAAGTGAAGAACTCGGTATGATTGACGGCGCGGAAGCACCGCTCTGCCTCTGCTTTGCCGGTGGAGGAGTTTCGAAAGACAATGTAAAAGCCAGTCCTATCCAGCCTGATGTCGTCGAATCCGTAGTTTTTCAGCCGCTTCTTCATGTGAGGTATGATGCTCGGCAACACCGGGACACTATCCGCGGTGACGAAGATGTAGGGAAGATCGGCCAGCTGAGATGCGACGTTGGGTGGCTCGACAGCGCCCTGCGGGCGTGATGGCACGGCCGGGGCCATGTGCGGCGTTCCCAGGGCGGCCTGCTGTCTTTGTGCGGCCGGGCCTTTGGGGGCAGTTGGAGGGGGGCGTACGAACCCCAGGGGATTTGCGGGTGCGGATGAGGATTTGGGACCGGTTGGGGGGGGCTTGAGCGTGGCGGGTGCGGCCCGCGCCTGCTTCTGTCTGTCGTGCTTCTCCTTTTCTTTCCTCAGGTGCTCTTCGAGCATGCGCCGGCTTTTGCGACCTTCGGCATCGTATTCCACCTTGACTACGTCGGCGTCAACCTTGATGCCGCGTGATCTGACGGCACGGCGGGCGGCGTCGACGGCGAGGACGGGCGGGCGTCCCGGGCGATTGGAGTCTCGGTATCGAATGGTGGCAAAGCCCAGGTAGCTTCCCGTGTCCGGGTGCATCTTGTTGCTGCTCTCGGCAATCTCACCAAACGTTGCGAAAATGGCCGTGACCTTGTTGAACGGGGCGAGCGGGTTATACCGCGTCACGACAACTTGCGTCGGCGGGCCGGGGCCAATCGAGGTCTTTGTGTCGTAGGCATACGGCTTGAGATTCTCCAGAGCATGGCGCAGGCGGGACTTGGGGAGATAGTAGTCGGTGTTGATGTAGCCGAGGCGGCCGCCTGCCTTTGCGAGCCGCGGATCTGAAGGGGGGGCGTCATCGTCCTATGCAAAGGATTAGCCATGAGCAAAGCACTGGACGCCCCCCCTTCCGCCGGGACAAGATATAATTGTACGTACCAGACCAAACTCTTTGTAGACGGGCTTGGCATTCTTGCTCACGCCCTTGTTGCGCGCTCGATCGAGGATCGGGTCATACGTGCATTTGAGGCCTTTGACGGACGGCCCGGGATCTCGAGCCGGGACGCGCTCAGCCGGCGGGGGGCGGGCGTTTGTCGATGAGCCACTGTTGTCTGTGGGTCGGATACGTGGAGAGGAGGCTTGCTGGTACAAGTCGGCCGAGCGAGATGCAGGCATGCCGTGCTTTGCTGCCGGGGCAGGGGAGCGGGAGAGCGAGTCCCTGGAAGTGTGGGGGGTGGCGCTCGTCGAAAGTTGAGACGGGGGAGCCGCCGTAGATGCCCGTATCGAGCTGCTGAAGATGGACGAAGCAGAGCTTGCGGAGCCGACGGTGCTGGGGATCTCGCCTGGAGGAGAATCGTTGTCGTCGACGTGGGAGCGAGGGGCATCCGACAAAGGCCGGGTGAGGGCAGTCGCCGTCGCCACGTCGGCATCCAGCGAGGCAGCGGGAGGAGGAGGAGGAGGCGGCGGAGGAGGCGGAGGAGGATCAGCCGCAGCGAAAGTCTCGCCAGACGACGAGGCGGGAGCTGCGATGGCGGCGCGCTTGGGGCGGTCTCGATCCGGGCGGCCCTGAGACTGGGCCTGGGCTTCTGCTCTGACCCTGGGGGCGTTAGGAAAGAATTGCGCGAAGCTCACGCCAGCTGGGGGGCGGGTCATCGTGTCGATGAGGCACTCCTGTTATCGCTTGCACCGTGTCGCGACCATGATATCTCGCGCCGCGGAGCATTAACCATGCGGAGTGGGCGGAGTCGTTGTCGTCGTCTCACTCACTCACACTCGCTCGCTTGCAGGCTCTAGGCCGCCGCCGCCGCCGTCGACGCCTGGCGGTTGGTTTGCACGACCGACCGCGTGTGTGCTGGCGGGCGGCGTCGCAGCGCTCACAGGGGCGAGCGAGGGCGCATCCACCAGCGGATGGCGGTATGCGAGCGGGCCGAGAGTCCGGGGCCTGCGCGTGGTGGGTGGCAGGAGGGATAACAAGACGGGGGAATGGTGGTGGTGAGAGGTTGAAGCATCTCCAAGTCGGAAAAAGGTCGCCAAGTAAATTATGGCCTTTGCTCTCCCAGGGATGAATGGTTGGATCCTCGCTCCCTAAAAGGCACTTTGGTTTAGTTGGCCCAACCCAAAACGCCTGGGCCTTTACCGCGTGCGGGCACCGAGTAGCGCCGGCATTCAGAGGGGCGCGGCCGGAGATACGATTGGCCGGGGGGTCGACCCGCTTTTCGCCAGCACACGGCCGAGTCATTTGCATGTAAGGAGGCGGCGGCCCTAGGATTACCTAAGCCTGGGTGCTTCCAACACGGCAAAAGACTGTCATCCCTCGCCGCGTCCACCATCATCGCCACGGCGGCACGACTCCTGCCTGATTTTCGAGTGCCTTGTGTACGCATGGCGAATAAACACCCCCCCGGCTGTCTCCTACGCACGAGTTTGGATACAAAGACTTCCAATAGAGCGCCAGCGGTGCCTGTGAACATGCAAACAGCGACTCGTCGGTCCCGACAGCCCCCCAAACGCCTCATCAGAGCAGGGTCGTTATGCTCACGTTGCACTGCCCTTCTCACCTTGCCATGTACCTTGTCCGTCCAACTCCGCATCGTCCTGCCGGCATCACCCTTCAGATCGTCAGCATGAGCTCAAATTCGTCGTCTTCGTCGTCCGAGCCCAAGAACGGAGTCGCTTGGCTGGGCAGGTCCTCGTCGTCGACGTCACCGAAAATCGACAGGAACTGGGGCTGGGGCAGCGCTTCCGCAGTCGACTGCGTGTCCGATGTAGCCTGGCGCATGCGAGCCGGCGTCACGGTGAGCTCGAGGTCCGCATCCTGTGTGCCGCTGGGCTTTGCCGCCTGCCCGAGTCGGCTGGCCTGGCTGCCACCTTGTGATTGAATCATGGAGGAAGCCGTCCGGCCCTTGTTGTAACCAATCGTCGTCCTCGACGCTACTTCTCCAGCCGAGTTGCCCAGGAGCGCGGGCTGAGGCACGGGAGGCTGCTTCCTCGCTTTGCTTCCGGCAATCAACGCCGAGAGCGGTCTCCTAGTTGAAACGCTCCTCGATGGTGGCCCGGCGGCCATGACCGGCCTTTTGCTGTCGGTCGGAATGGCCAATGCCGATGCCGCTCTCCTTGACGCGAGGGTGGGAGGATTCTTCTGAGGGGCTCTCTTGATCAACCTGCTCCGAGAAGGCACCGATTCCCTGTCCGGCTCAGGCTTCCGACGCGTCGACGATTCCGTCTCGACAAGATCCTCAATGTTCCAGTCCAGGCCCGCAGTCTCGCGTTCGTTGCGCTCCTCAGCCTGCTTCAACACTGCTTGCATCTCTGCTCGAAACTTGGCCTCCTCGCGTGATACCCCGTTGTCGTCGACGGGGTTGTGGAAATGTTGGTAGAACCCTTTGAGAAAGTTCTTGCCGAGGCCCTCAAAAGTCAAGCCGCCCTTTGGGAGCACGTCGGACTCGTAGGGTAGCGGAGTGGGCAGAGGGGGGGCATACTCCGGCTCCTCCCCATCGTCACAAGGGCTTTCGCCGTCAGGAAGAATCGAGAGCTTGGCTGGCACGAGCTCGGCGGGCTTCTGCTTTGGCTTCTGGACAGTGACCTGCTTCGTCTGCGTCTTCTCGACTTCCTTGGCACCGGCGCTTCGATCGGCCCTAGCCTTGACGTTGGTCGTCTTGTTTCCCAAGGGGGCCCTGGGGCGCGTCTCTGCCAAGGTGTCAGCCACTCTGAAGCACTCTCCTGCATATAAATGACATACCCATGGGCGTCACCATTGCCGGTCCTTTGCCAGTACCCTTTGCCATCAGCTTCTCGTTTCCTCCGGCCCTGATGGTCGTCCCCGCTCCCCCTCCCATCCCAGTCTTGCCCGCAAAGGCGGTTGGTGCATTCTCGTCATTGTTGCGGAACCCAAGAGGCGTCTTTGGATATCTGGCGCCAGGCGTCTTTGGCTGCTGCTTGGTAGGAACCTGGGTGGTGTGCACCAGATTCTCCTGGTCACGATGCGCCGCGAGCATGGCGTGTCAAGGTATATCGACTGTGGAAATACTGACGCGTTAGTGGTTGCAGTCGAGCATCTGTTTGGATTTTGAAGATGAAGAAGACCTCTGGAGCAGTTCAGGCCAGTGTGGACTCGTTGAGAAGGGTCGCGTCTTGTTGACATCCCTTGCATGACGTCTGTTGGCGGGGCAACAGCCACAGGACCTTGCGCCCCTCTGGCCTGTGAGTGGGGCTAATGAGGCATCACACGCCTCAGGAAAAAGAGGTACCTGAGATCTGGGACCAAGTGCGCGCAGGCCGCAAGTACCCCTTTTTCCAACAGCAAAGTGGCACAACATCATTGGAGGGGCACCTCTGTGTACCAAGTACTCATCCGACACGCTCGAGCTTCATCCATCTCCTTTTCCCAGAAACCCCCTCCACCAAGCGTGATAACCAAGTCCGCGCATCCTCGACACAGCTACACTCATCTCTGCCTACATCAGCCCTTTACCGGCCCCGAATCCGAATCGCCAGCCAAGATGGATCGCATCAAGGAGGTTCGTACTCCCGTTACCGCCCCCTTGACCGACCGTTAGCAGTCGCTGGCTGCGGAGGGGTTGAGCCAGTGGCCATCAGGGAACGCCAGGCTAAACGTGGCGTCCAGAAAATGAACAGTCTCCGCCTCGAGGCCGACGAGTCGGCGGTTAAGATCGACGAGCTGCAGAGCAAGATCAAGGACCTGGACCAGGAGAACCTGTCGAGAGAACAGGAAATCACCTCGCTCAAGCACAAGAACAGCCTGCTCGAAGCAGAGAACGAGAAGCTCGAAGCTGCCATCAAGGACTGCAAGAAGGCTGCCGACGAAGGCCAACAGCATGGAACCCAAAACGAGACCCTGCAGCGACGGGTGCAGCTGCTCGAGGACGAGGCCGAGGAGGCCGACAAGACCATGCGCGAGATGAAGGAAACGTACGTGATGAAAACAAGCACCCCTTTGGTGGCTGACGCGGCTGACGATGACTGCAACAGGCTCCGACAATCTGACTTGAAGTGCGGCCACCTGGAGCGCAAGGTGCAGGCTCTCGAGAGCGAGCGCGACCAATGGGAGCAAAAGTACGAGGAGAAGAACAAACAGTACGAAACCATGAAGAACGACCTGGAGAACCTCCAAGCCGAGATTGGCAACATCTGATTGCCTAGCTCTCCTTGGTGGATTCCTGTGCACGACGCTGCTTGGCGGATCTTTAGCAGTCCACTGGCGGGACATGCCGTCCGACGCCGCTCGATCCCGAGGCGAAGAGGGCTAGGGGCAGTGGACGGTCTACCAACAGTACATAGCGTCACTTATAGCAATACAGGCTGCTTTTCTCCCCAGTTTGCCATTGGCTCTGTGCGGTGTGTGCCCGTCTCCGACAGCCAGCTGCTCTCTTATTTTTGTCTTTGGGACTTGGCCCTCTGTCTGCTGTTTGTCAGCTGCCTCTCGATTTTGCTTTCGTAACGGAACTTCTTCTTTTTGATCTTTGCTGGCCTCGCCTCCTTTTCCCGAAATTCCTGGTCCCCGCTGCTGGGATGCGCCGTTTCGACGTCGTCTGCCTCGTTTGCCTCTGTCTGGGGCTTGCTGAGCCCTTCCCGGGACACTGAAACCGTCTCGACGGTGACTGTGGTGTAGCGATCCTCGTCGACGTACTCCTCTTCGTGATCGATGATGTCTAGGTCCGGCTTGTCGGGGAATCCGCCCCATTCGTCCTCGTCCCCGTCATTGGGTTCCGCCTCGACGGGGTCGACCACGGCGCCCGACTCTCTCAGCAGCCGGTTGACTGTTTGCACATGCTCTTCAACCTCTCGCCGGCGTTCGTCGCGCAACTGAAAGCAGACTCGCGTCAGCAGGGCTGCGCGCGTCAAGGCGACGAATGCGAGTCGAGGAACGAGCCATACCTGCTTGCGGGCATCCAGCTTCTCCTGCCGGGCCTGCTTGGCTGCCTGCTCCTGCGCATGCTTTACCCTCTCCAGCTTTCGCTTATGAAAGCCCGTGAGATATTCTTGGCGCGCGCCGTCGTCAAAGGTGATTTCTTGGACGCTCGAGGTGGTCTTTCGTTTCTTGCTGGGTGGTGGCAGTATACTCTTCTTTGGCCTGGGCTTGGCGAACATGATGCAAAAAGACTTGGTCAGGAAAAGGGAATCAAGACAAGCTACGCAGCAGAGAGGCGATTACTGCGTCCCGAATTCGTTGTCGAGATACCGCCTCGGCTTTTCCATGCACGCCTTTCTCTAAGCCGCGAGGGTCCAGCAGACTTTCCGAGGTGTGCATCAAACGGGGTGTTGCCTTTAACAGAGATTGATTACATAACACCGTGTGCCACTCCGTACCTCTCTCGATGCCTCCAACGTCGGCGAGCTGGGCACAACACGAACAGGGCAAGCATACACCGTGTCGTTGCGATGCGTCCTGCGACGATTTTCGGCCCTCTGGCGCTCTCCGGCGCTGCCGCCGCGCTGTCCGGCTCGTATCCCTGGGTTTTACTGTCCACTACAAAGTGAGCGCCGCCCTTCCTGCCTGGCCAACTTGGTCGATGCTTCGCAAGCTGACACTTCGCCCCCGCAGGTTTCAAGATGTCTCCCACCGCAGCCAGATCCAAACGGGCTCCGAGGTGCTGAAGCACACGCAAGAGATACTGGCAACTTGCCCGACGGATCGATATCTCGTCGCCGTCCAGCCCGGCGTCCACGCCACTGACCTCGGCCGCTCCATGCCGCACCTCCGCCGGGCCTTTGAGGACTCTCGCATTCTGGGCCGATTCGACGTGGCCGAGGTTGTCGGCGCCGTAGACACAGCGGGCGTCGTCGAGCACATCAAGTCGGAATGCGCCAAGAAGAACAAGGCCGTCACCGTTGATGAGGTCCACTTGGCATCGCTCGCCTCGCAGGATCGAGCCAGCACTCTGTCTAAGAATGGTGAGCCCAAGCGGTATCTCCCCATCGGTTGAACGGATGCTCACAGAGGAGAAGATGGAATTCTTGCCGGCAGCCTCGAAACAACTGCCAAGGACGACAGCTACACCATCTTGTTCCTCTCGGCCCCAGGCGAGCCGGCCCAATTCGTTGAGTCGCTGCATACGGACCTGAAGAGGGACGTGAACGCCATGCATTTTAGCCGCATGGGGAACAACACGCGATGGGAATCCCTGCCGCTGTTTGAAAAGTATCAATTTTTCACACCCGGTACGTCTCTGTTCTCTGCTTCGGCTTGGCGCTTGACGGCTGACGCGGCTCCGCAGGCATCTTCATGGGCCTCATTGTGGCCCTGATCCTCTTGTCAATACTTGGTGTCGGACTGAGGGCTCTCTCCAGCCTCGAGGTCTCATACGGTGCCTTTGAGAAGGAGATGGGTCCGGCCGCTCACAAGAAGCAGCAGTGATGACGCTTTCGGATGGACTGGGGAGCATGGGTGTCGTGTCTGGCAGCCCGCTCATGGCTGTGTAACATGTGTACGTGTGATATGGAGTTATGGTTTTTTTGGGGAGAATTGCCGTCCTTGCATGCGCACGCTTTCAAGTTCCTGTAGAGAGTCCGCTTAGAATTGAAGAATTGCCTCTTACGTCGCCCATGCTGCAAGCTGACGTGCCCAAATGCATCTTTTGACGACCGTCTTTTAGCGACGCCGAGAAACGCCGATACTCCCTGGTCGGGTCAACAAATCGAAGCCCGACTTACGCCTGTGATAATCCCCCGTCGGTCAACAACCGAAGGCCAAGTCATGACCGTAACTGCATCACACCAGATGGCCGGGCAGGAGAAAGTTGGCAATGCCCTCCTTGATGGCGTACTCGTGCCCGCAGTTGCCGCACTCGAGCTTGCCCACAACGATGTGCGTCTCGAGCAGCAGGTGGTGCATGTCCCTGAGCATGGCCTCGTCGGACCGCAGCTGCTCCTGCGAGGGGGCCTGCTCGGGCAGCTGGGGGAAGCCTAGCTAGAGGAGAGGGTGAGTTTGGGAGGGCGCACGTCTCAGGGAGGCGGAGAGCATGTATACCTCGCAGGCGGTGGTGCACAGGGCGGCCCAGTCGAGGCGCGGCAGCACGTTGACGAGCAGGTCGCAGTTGACTTCGGCGTCGTCGGTCACCAGCTCGGCGTCCTTGGGGTGCAGCGGGAACGAGGCCGACGACTTCTTGCACTCCTTGCGGGCGCAGGTGAGGAAGTTGAGGGTGAGGATCTTCATGGCTTTGTTCCCACCAAAAGGCGTGGTGGCTTTTGTGGCACGACTTTGGTCCTATCTTGTCATGGAATCTTTCCGGTCCTTGCTCGGTTTCGAGCTTCCGGTTCCACGGAATGAGCGGCGACGTTCGGTGAAAAACTGATGGGCTTATAAGTTGCAGGCTCGATGCGATTTGCGTGCACGTAACAAGACCCGGCTTTTTCTCTGGTGTGGGGCCGTCGGTGAGGGGCTCCACACGTGACGGCGCGAGACTGTGTCTGTACATGACACTTGGTCTTTCGCACGCCATTGTCATGATGCTGCTCCGAATAGAGCAAAGGCCGAATGGACTTTAAAAGCTGGCCCGATTAGGAAGCGTCATGCAGGTGGAACTCTTCTCGAATCAACTGTGTCACTGCAGCGTTGCGACTCTATTCCATTTACTTGTACACAACTCTCTAAGCCAGCGTCTTCTCGTAACCAACACCGTTCCTCGTGTTCCTGTTGCTGGCTCGGACGTAGATTGCCAGCGCGGCCACCAGAACACCCAAGACCGAGAGCTTCTGCAACAAAGACCACCCGCCCGAAGCGCCACCCAGCGATGGGTCTGTTGCCACGTTGTCGGCAGGGCCCGCCCCGCTGTCGAGGTCTGGTAAGAAGAGGGCGCAGCCACGCAGATCAGCACACCGGCAACAGTAGACGAGGACGGATTGATTCTCGAACTCGGCGCAGACACAACATCAGAGCTCGACGTGGATACCTTCGGGAGGAAGCTCCTTGGTGTCGATCTTGCTGATCTTGACAACCTTGTCGGGCTTGTCGCCGCTGTTCCTCGGCACGTGTTCAATCTTGTGGACAATGTCGAGCCCCTCGAGAACCTCGCCAAAGACGACGTGCATGCCGTCCAGCCACCTGCGCTCTGTTAGCGTCGTGCACGGGCATGCGGCTTGGGGGAGCGTACGCAGTGATAGCGGTGGTGATGAAGAACTGGGAGCCGTTGGTGTTGCGGCCAGAATTGGCCATGGACAGCATGCCCGGCTTGGTGTGCTTCAGCTTGAAGTTTTCATCGTCAAACTTGGTTCCGTAGACTGTGCCTTGTTAGCTGGGGCAATCGAGGGGTGGATGAGCCGAGGAGAACTCACTCGACTTGCCACCGGTGCCGTCGCCCTTTGTGAAGTCGCCGCCCTGGATCATGAAGTTGGGGATGACGCGGTGAAAGGTGGAGCCGAGGTAGCCCTCGCCCTCCTTCTTCTGGGCCAGCTGGAAGAAGTTTTCGACCGTCTTGGGGACGGTCTTGCCGTAGAGGCCAATGACGACGTTGCCCAGGACATCGTCGCCGTGCGTCATGGTAAAGGTGACATTGTGGGTGATCTTGGGGCCTTTCTTGGACGCCTCGGCAGTCTGGGAGAAGAGGACAAGGCCGAGGCCGAAGACGAGGGCGGACAGCCGCTTGAGATTGAGCATTGTGGTTGTCGATGCTGGAGGGAGTCGACGGATGCGCGGGAGGGACAGCGGGCGAGGGGGAAGAGAAGAGATGGACAGGCGGCGGGAGGAACGGACACGTGCGGATTATATATGTAGGTTCACGGCAAGCTCTCCCTGCCGTTTCAACCTTTCCCCGCCAAAAGGTCCCTGCGCAGGGCGGCCGGCCGAGCCATGCCTGAAATGGTCACTCCGACAGGGAACGTACAGTACTGTACTCGGCTAGCAGGTCTCAGCACTGGCAAGGGGCGTTTCCGAGACTCGCAGGTTGTAATTACTTTGTTTGACCAGGCAAAAAGGGGCACGGACAAGCTATACTCCGTATTTAGCCGCAGCTTTTCCAATGCACCAACCAGCTCAACGCTTGCCCAGCCCGCTGAGCATCAAATGCCGGCCGAATCGACACCTTGAACAGCCTTGACAGCACGACTGAGTGCAGCATCCATCGCCATGGTACGACCCCCATGTCCCATGTTCTTTCTTGTATGCGAGCCACTGTCGGCTGACTGTCCGCAGGTGTTCCTTCTAGGAGTCAATTTCAACGAGGGCAAGCTCGTCAAGGTGAGTCGCGCTTGTTGCCGTCGCAGCGCTCCAGCCGTCGGCGACTGACTGATGGCCCGCGCCGTCCAAAGAAAGCCCTCGAGTCCTTCTACGCGCTTGGCCCGACCGTCTCCAGCCGCATCATGGCCAAGTACTCGATCCACAAGCTCGCAAAGGTCGGCGCCCTGGCCCCGAGGACCGTCACCTCCCTGACGGCCGAGCTGTCCCAGATGACGCTCGGGACGGACGCCAAGAGGCTGGTGCAGGAAAACATTCGCAGGCTAAAGGACATTGGATCCTACCGCGGTAGACGCCACGCCATGGGTCTGCCGGTGCGCGGCCAGCGGACGAGGACGCAGACGGCGACTGCCAACAGGCTCAACCGGATCGAACGCAGGTCATGAGACACGGACGTCAGATCCTGACACGCAGCATTTACTTGGAATACTGCACGGGGCCCTCTCCCGGCGTCGTCGGTGAGGCTGGCTGGCTGATCAAGGGCAGGACGGGAACATGGACTTGTACTACTGTGCGAGGCGAGGGGAGGCGAGGCAGAGAGTGAACTGCGACCGTCGCCAACTGCCCTCCGTCACGGCTCAGATGCTGCCCTTTTCCGAGACTTCTGATCATTTTCCGGCTTTGGGGACCACTTTAACTGTTTGTCTCGAGATGGCCCACTGCCAGCCATCTTCACGTCGAGGACGCGCCCTACTCTGAAATGTCGCCAGCAGCGGGACGGCACGCTGTATTGTACCCTAGTACCTTTTACTTTTTTATCTTTCATGCAGCACCTCACTGTATTGTTTCCATCGCATGGAGACGGGATATCCACCTCGTATTTCTTGCCGGCTGTTATTGCTGTCGGCCACTTCCAAGTTTCGCCTTTATTTCGGTGCCTTAGTTAATTATGCACCACTTTGGGCATTTATTGTGCCTTGCATGCGACTGCACAAGGCAGTACTTTGCAAATACAGCGCAGCTCCACAGCTCAGGTACCCCACAGCTCATCCCATCTCCTGCCCGCCGCCTCGATGGCGGTTGGTGGATTGCACGTCTCGAGTACTTACCGGCATGTGGCTCAGGCCATGTATCGCCAGGTACTCCATACTGCCTCTGTGTATTGCGCTGGGCCTCTGCCATCATCCAACGCCCAGCAAAAGCCAAGGCAGGGGTAAAGGTACAACTCTATTTATGCTCCGTCGGTTACGCACATCGTCAACACCCATCCTCCCAACCTCTTCACACATAATAGTCCTGCCCACGTCCGCAGCGCTCGCTCCTCCGTCATACCCCGAGCACCTTTGTCACGTTCCTGCGACAAAGCGCCCCGGGACAGACCTTGCCCGGGAAGAAAGCCTGTGCTCCCTCCCCTCGCGCTTCCGGGACGACGACGACGACGACGACGACGACGAAAAGATCCGCGACAACAGTCCTCCGCCCACGACGCCTCCATCCGTCCTCTTCGCCCACACAGCCTTAGCGCTTCCTCGTTCCGCTCCCTCTTCCCCGTATCGCCTGGCCTTCCTCCGTCCGCCGCTCGCATCCAGTCGATAGTCTTCCATCCTCGTGGCGTCCAGCTGGCTGGCTGGAGTAGGTGACAATGCCCGGCTTCGCTGACTCCTTCTGGTCGAGCGACTATGCCGCAGGTGAGTTGCCAAGTTACCCTCGCCTCGAGACTGTTCATCTGAGACGCGTGGCCTCATAGGACTCGGGGTCCTGTTTGGCAAGCTCCAGCAGGGCGTCATGGAGAACCGCCAAGTCCTCACCATCGCGCGCCTGCGAGCCGAGGCCGAGGAGACGTATGGACAGCGCCTCAAAGAGATTGCCCCCGCAGCCGACAAGATCAGCACCGGCTTTGCGCGAGACGACGGCGCCACTGTCCGCAAGGTAGGCTCCCCTTTGCTTTGAGCTCACCAAGCAACTGCAAGTCGACATGCTAAGCTCCTTACCCTCCAGGCCTACGACGGCATGCGCACCGAGATGCAAGACGCCGCGCGAAGCCATCAGCGCATCGCACAAAACATTCGCGACCTCGTCGTCAACCCCTTCTCGCGATGGTGCGATGCCCACGAGGCCCGCATACAAGACTCACAGGACGAGCTCCAGAGCCGCATCAAGGCCCACGACCGACAAGCCGAGGCCGTCCGAAAGCTCCGATCCAACTACTTCAACAAGTGCCGTCTGGTCGAGGATCTCGAGGAGGAGAATAAGCTAGCCTTTCAAGACCCAGAGACCAGCCCCAAGCAGGCCCCGCCCATCCCTGAGATCAAGGTGCAACCCCACAAAGAAGAGTCCGACGACGACGACGAAATGTACGAGATTGGCGACGAGACGTACCAGCCCGACCAGCTCAAGAAGATCCTCTCTCAGATGCTGTCCACCGTCAAGATGGGCGAGACCAAGGTTCCCATCCTCGGCACCTACCTGAACACGTCGGCCGGCTCAGACGTTGTCGAGTATCTCCAGCGAAACATGGGCATCAGCAGTGTCAGCTACGCCGAGCGCATCGGCCAGGATCTCATCTCCAACGGCTTCCTGCGTCTCATCGGCAATGTCGGCAGCACCTTTGCCAACAGCTCCAAGCTCTTTTATCAATGGCGCCCCAAGGCCTTTAAGCTCGCCGGTGTCCCCGAGAAGAAGTTTGCCCCGAGCCGGACCCTGTCCATGCCGACGACGGGCTCGGACTCGAGCGACTCGCCCGTCGTCGGCACCGTCAGCGAGTACTTGGCCAACTGGAACGTCCTCAACAACTCACATCCCAACGAGACGCCAGCCCAGCGTCTACACCGTGAGTCGCACGAGTCGGACGAAAGGTACAAAGCCGGCGTCCGGAAGCTCGACGAGCTGCGCTGCGAGCTGGAGGAGGCCATTGTTGTGCACCTCAAGTTCCTCGAGCGCTGCGAGCTCGATCGGCTCAAGGCCATCAAGACGGTCATCCTCGACTTTTCCGGCGGCATCGGCAACGTCATCCCCAGCCTCCAGTCCACCGTGGACAGGATGCTCTTGTTCCAGGAGACGGTCCAGCCCCTGGGCGATCTGCGGTACTTTCTCGAAAACTACCGCACCGGGAGCTTCGTGCCCAAGGTGGTGGTGTACGAGAACTACTATAACAAGGTGGACGAGCAGACCTTTGGCGTCGACCTGGAAGCCAGGGCCAGAGCCGACAAGAAACGGGTGCCAGTCATTGTCACGACGCTGCTGACCTATCTCGACCACCACTACCCCGACCTGGAGGGCGACGAGGCGCGGAGAGGCGTCTGGCTCATCGACGTGCCCCTTGCGCAAACACACAAGCTACGTGCCTTGGTCAACGACGGCAAGCCCGTGCCTCAGGAAGTCTTGAGCAAGTTCGACATTCCCACGGTCGCGAATCTTCTCAAGCTATATCTGCTCGAGCTACCAGGTAGGCCTCAAGATGCGCGCGCCCCCATGAACCAACGCGGCTGGCCTCGACCGTGCTAACCGTGTGCAGATTCGCTCGTCAGCTCCCACGTCTACGAAATCGTGCGGACTATATACACAACCCCTGCCGCAGATGCCACGGACGCCTCCCGCGTTGCGGTGCTTCAGCAGACTCTATCGCAGTTGCGCCTCACAAACATTGCCACCCTGGATGCGTGCATGAACCACTTTACGAGGCTCATCGACCTGACGTCAGCCGATGAAGCGTACGTTGCCGCCCTCTCGTCGTCCTTGGCGCCCTCCATCCTACGGCCTCGGTCGGAGACGTCTCTGACGATGGAGGAGAAGCACTCGGCTCGACTTGTCCGGGATCTCTTTGCGCACAAGGAGGCCGTCTTCAGCGAGCTCAAGCGCATGTCGACCTTGAACCACTCGTCGTCTGTGGGCGGAAACCGCCCGCGGGCCGTCAGTACGGACGAAAGCAACCGCAAGGCGCTGATGGAGGAGCGCAACAGGGCTCTGGTTGAAAAGGTCAACGCTACACGGGGTCGGGCCACGAGCCCGGCGCCCGGCGCTCGAGGACACCGGCGCGACCGAAGTAGCGGCGGGCCCGAGACGCGGTTTCCGATCCAGACGAGCCCGCCCACGACGGCAGCAGAGCGCCATCGCATCAGCCTCGGCGGCATCGACGGGCGCCTCAAGCGCACCTCGCTCGACGTGCCCTCGGAGGATGGCGACGTCGCAAACGGCTCCCCGCAGGCCTCGAAGACAATCGACGTCGAGGCCGCGGTGGAGACTCCCAGCGGCAACCGCACGAGCACCACCAAGTTTGTCGGCGGCAAGAGGATCCCCACGTCACCCCCGCAAGAGCCGGCCCCTCGGGGGGTGACTCTGGAGGACAAGCCCATGGACGACTAGTGAGCGTCCAGGGGCTTGGTATGCCTGCATCAGACTCTGGCGTCGTCTCTCCGCGTGTCAGCAAAGCTGGCCGCCAGGGGCGTGGCGTGGCTCGCGGCATTGGGCACAGCTGCCATGTTTCTTCTTCTTTGTTCTTTCTTGTCGATATCCCTCGTCCCTTTACGTTTCGTCATGGCTGTATGGATTCACGGGAACATGAAGGGAGACTTGGGGAAGGGAGGGGGGTTTAGTGTGTTGTAGCTTTTTATCCACCCCGTGGTTGAGCATATATTTTTATCATCTTCGCGTCGCGTGGCATAAGCGGGACGACGAGCTGCGTGGTTTGCCTTGAAGAGGAAAACAATCTAGGATCAAGAATGATGATAGAGGGAAAGCGGAGAGGGACCGATGCTCGCCGTCGTTCTCCGTCGTGTACAGTCCTGTGTGATGATGATCTTGTGTCCCTTGGAGCCGTGGATTGTTCCCCCCCTTATTATTGAGAGGCTGGGAGGGGGGGGGGGCGCCGGGGAGGGTAGTTGGATGAGTGTTCTGGCGCTGCGGCTGGGCCTGTGTATGACGAGAAGAAGAATAAACGACTCGTGACACTCTACCACGGCGGCTGTGTGTGTGTCTTGAGGGCCTGGATTACCATGCACGCATACCTCGCTGGGAGATACACACAATGCCTGTCTCGTAGTCTTGGCGAGCCCGGGAGGCTAACCCCCGTCTATCCGCCCGCATCCTCAATCTCGGCCAGGCGCTGCTTCACCTTCTTCTTCCTTTTGGGCACCACGACAGCCTCGTCAGCCGCCAACGAGCCCTCTCCCGCGCCCTCTGCGTCCGCCCCGGCGTCCTCGCTAGCCACGGGCCCCCCCTCCCGCAGCGGCAGCTTCTTCTTCTTCTTCTTTTTCTTCGTCGCCGGCTTCACCTCGATGGGCCCGTCGCCGGCGCCGCCACCGTCCTCTTCCGTCTTCCTGGCCGCCTTCTTGGCCGTCGACTTCTTCTTCTTCCGGACGACGGTGCCCTCGGCGTCGACGCCCTGCGCCACCTGGATCCGCTCGTTTGCGCGCTGCATCTCCAGCCGCAGCCGCTCCACCTCCTTCATGGCTTGCTGCATCTCCGCCTCCTCGCGCTGCTGCCGCTCGTAGTCGAACCCCTCGGCCGGGCGGCCGCCCTCGAGGTTGAACGACCCAATCGTGCTCGAGTCGACCTGCAGCAGCGACTGCTTGAGTTTCCTGCTCTTGGCCTTTGCCAGGCTGTCCGAGTTGTTTTCCGAGTCGTAGCTGCGCCCGGGCCCACTCTCGCTGCCCTCGAGCGTCTCGTCGGCCGCAATGACGACACGCTGCCTCAGTTCGGGCCGCGGTTTGGGCGCCGGCACCGACTCGTTGCCCACATTGTCGAGATCCAGTTGCATGATAGGTATCGCGTCAATGTCCAGGTCCGGGCCGTTACTGTTTTGGAGAATGCTGTGGATGGGAGTCGATGCGCGCTGAGAGTCGCCGCTGGGAATGTAGAATGGGTCGTCCTTGTTCCTGTCGAGTCGCTCGGCCTTTCTCCGCGCAATGATGTCTGCGTCAAGGTAGCTCTCCTCGCTCGGCTGCTGGTACGAGCCAGCGATTTCCTCACTTGGCTCATTCAGCATAGTCATGGCTGGCGCCGAGGACGAGATGCTCGAGGGCGGCGGCCGCTGGTTATAGTACGTTTCGAACTCGTCCATCTCGTCCGACTGCAATGTGATGACGTCGGCCCGGGCGAGCAGCCGGTTCAGGTCGGGGTGGATCGGCTCGTCGAGATCAAGGCCTTCGGGCTTGGGCACGTTGCGCTGAGCCCCGGGCGCGACGGAATTGAGCTCCCAACCGTTGAAGAGCGACGGTATGGCCTGCGTGAGGAGCAAAGGGGCATCCTGCGTTTCATCGCTCGTGGATGCCGGTTGCCCCGAGGAGGCCTCGGCAGTGAGCTTGAGCAGCTCGATGAACTCGACTGCGCGCTCCTGGACCTCGAGGTTCGGGTGCAAGACCAGCGGTTCTGCCGCGTGGATGATGCGTGCCATGATAAGAGATATCCTCGATTTCCTCTCTGCCGTCCACGGCGCCAGGTCATCTCCGGCTATCGAGGCAAACACCTTGATGACGGCAAACAGAGCCGTGGTGCAAACCTCGGGCCTGCCTGCGCGGGGGACGACCTGAAGCAGCCGATTCAAGGTGTCGTCCGAGGACGAGAGCTGTGCTGCGTACTCGCCCAGCATCCAGGTGATGGACTTGAGAGCCCCTGAAGTGATCTTGTGGCTGGCAGGCGTGTCGGCGTTGAGGTGGATGAGAATCATTTCGGCCGCCCGGACCGCCGATGCTCGCATGGCCCTGACCTTGACCGCCACGTTGCGCAGTTCGTCGCCAATCCTCTCCGACACGTCCGAAGTATGTCGCGATGTGGCATCCGGGCCGAGCTCGTCAGCGTATGTCCGAGGCACCGGGGCCATGCGGACGAGCTGTGTCAGGACGTCGACGTACCAGTCAAAGTCGACCACGTTGGCGTAGTTATCCTTGGAGCACATGAAGAGGATCCGTCTGATGACGTCAATGAGATACTCATCGGGCAGAGGCGGGGCGGCATCTTCGGCCTCTGTCGGCCCTGTCGCGGCGGCCTGGTCCTCGTCATCCGAGTCGGTGCTGGGCACTTGCGAGTTTGTCTCGGGCTTGCTCCGGTCTTTGGACGGGGTCGCAGACTTGAGTTGCTTCATCAGCCGGCTGACGACGGATGTCAGATTCTCGCTCGTGACCATGCCCTGCACGAGGTCAAGAGCCTGTATCCGGATGGTGATGTCGGGACTGTCGATGCACTCCAGGATCACATCCTCTTGCTCGGCGACAAGGTACGGATGGGTGACGACAATCTTGTTAAAGGCCAGCAGAGCGACGTATTTCACTACGAGTCTGGTTAGCCAGAGGTAGAGGATGACGGGGAGGGAGGTGGCTAGGCGTACGGTTTGGATCACTATTAATCATAATCATGCTTCGCAGCTTGGTGACGCACAGCGTGGCGACTTCCTCAGCTCCCGAAGCGTCATCCCCGTTGCCTAGAATGCCGCCCTGTATGATGCCGTTGATGCACTCGTAGAGGAGAGACATGGCAGCCGTCGTGGCCATGATGTTGGTGAGAGGGGGGAGCAGCTTCCTCACAAGACGTGGTTCCAAGGGAGTAAGCGTGGCAAACTGGGATTCAAAAGTCAGCGCTTGTGACGTGATCAGCGGATCGGGGGACGGCGGACGAGCTTGATGAGCTTGATGGCCATCCAGTTGTTGCCGCCGTCGACGAGGAGCTCGAAAAGACGCGGGGCCAGGGGCAGAAAGTCATGGGGCCTCCGCCAGCCCAGCTCGCAGACAACGTTGACAATGGCAGCCGTGACGCTGGGGTCTTCGTTGGCGTCCATGAGGCGCTCCTTGATCTTGGGCCAGGCGGCGCGCAAGGCTTCGGGATAGACCAGGGCCAGGCGATAGAGGGTGACGAGAGTCTTCTTTCGAATGTTGGCATGGCTGTGACTCAGGCGCGGGAGCAGGTCGGCCAAGGTGGAGAGGGCGAGCGAGGGCGTAATGACGTGGGGGAGGGTGGCGATGGGCAGCGAGATGACGGTCGGGGCCGACGAGGCGAGGTCCTGGCGGGATGAGCTGGTGAGCTCGTCGGAGGGCGGGGAGGACGAACCTTTTTGAGCAGGTTAGTGGCGAGCATGAGGACCTCTGTGTCGGGGCGGAAGCTCTGGACGGCGCCCAGGTAGCCAACGCGCTTCTGGTGGTACTTGGGCGACGACATGACCTCGAGGACGTGGAACGAGGCCCACGACATGTCGTAGCCCAGCATCTCCAGGTAGACGAGCTTGAGGAGGGCCGTGGCCTTGACGTCTAGACGAGGTCATCAGCAGCAGGCTCTGGAGAGAGGCGAGGCGGATACAAACCCATGTCCTGGCTGCGGACCTCGGCACGGCATTCCTTGAGGCTCTTTTGGATGTATTCCTTCTCGCCGCCCTTGTGGTTGCGCAGGCCCCGGATGAGGTCGTAGAGCGACTTTTCGAACCTGCACAGACAACAAAGGGGTCAGTCAGTACTGACTGGTGTAGGTAGGCAGGCCCAGCTGGTCATTCTGTGTCTCTGTGTCTCTGGGTCTCTGGGTCTCTGGGTCTCTGGGTCTCTGGGTCTCCGGGTCTCTGTGTCTCTCCGTACATGGTTGAATGCTGGCCGGGCTACGAGGGCGCGCGGCCAGCAGGCGGATCGGACGGCGGCGTCTCTGGTGACGCTCTGGTGATGGGCCCGCGGCGTGTCGGTCGCATCATGCGGCGTGGTGCGAGGACCGGCCAGCCAGCCGTAGCTTTTGGCCTGCGTGCGTGCGTGCGTGCGTGCGTCGTCGTCGGCGGCGGTACTCGGTCGTTGGTGGTGGAACGGATGGTTGGCTTGAGAGAGGGCGCCAGGTGCGGCGGCTTTGGCTCTCCCTACAGACTCGGGGGAGGTCGTCGGTGCTGAGCGAGCTATGCATGGGTGCCTGGCGTGAGCCACCTTGACAGGTCCGTCGTGTTATTAGACGCAAAGTGTTAGTGGTCACGGGAGGCGTCACGTGCAGGACCTACAAGTAGTGGCAGTGCAGCCAATTAGAGACGGGCCCGAGGACAGCCCACGAGGATTACAAAGGTCATGCAGATATTATAGATAGATTTCTTACAGCTCATTACGTATTATGATTATGATATAATGGGGTAGTACCTATAGTATGTCCTTGTACGTAGAGCCATCAATAAGATGTAGAGCTCTACTCTGTAATTAAGAAGAGTCTCGGCCCGGTGGGCAAAAGCAGTGGCCGCGCTAACTTAACTAATTACTAGACCCCTCAGCCACGGCAGAGGCAATGTGGCTTGCAGCCAAAGACGAGGAAGCTGACTAAGCAACAGCTTTGTCAATTGACCACATAATCACCACAGTGCACTCACTGTGCACACGCAAAAGGGACAGCTTGGTCGTTGGACAACCAAGCAACCACAAGGGCCGGCCCCGTGACACTCTATTAAGTCTATATCGGTTATGCTCTTTCCCTCGTGCCCTCCCCACAGGCTTGCACGGAAGCTCTTGCCTCCGCTACAAGAAGCACGGAGAAGAGGTAATATACACACATAGTCAGTACTCATTAGTCACATACAACAAGTCAATAATTAGCCAGCAACCTCCAGCAACAACCTCCAGCAACAACCTCCAGCAACAACCTCCAGCAACCTCTCTACTGGGCAAACGACTAATACAAGGCAACGCTTGCTCTGCAAACAAGATGCTCTAAAGGCAAAGGCGAGGACTAGTGCCCCCTCGGTGTCAAGTTAAGAGGGGCGCACCCACTGTCCCACTCTACAGACTCCGGCGCCCGAACGTGGCCGAGCGCATCCCCACGTGCTGCAAGGCTGGAAGCTATACTGGATGCTTGCGTGGCCTTGTAGTCTGGGTGCCTTGGTGGGCGAGTCTTGTTATAGGGCTGGCACCCTGTATATTGAACCATTGATTCGGAATGCATATCTTTTCCCCTTCCTTCTTGCAGGTCAAGTTCCTGGTCTTCTTGTCCGGAGTCCCCTCTGTGCCTTATTCGGAGCCACCCCGTTACAGTCATCGAGGTATCAGGGGGTTGATCCATTGACTCGGTAGACCCCCTTTCCGGTCCCTGGGCTCTGCTCCTGACGCCTACTAGCCTCCGCTCTCCCCAACAGTCATGGACAGTGGCTCTGCATTCTGCCAGGCTTGGATATGTCGTGTCGATAGTCGAGTCTATCTTGGTGCTCAGAAAACGGGTTCCTGATGGCCTCAAGCGCGGCACGTCTGTGACATGTGCGCCGCGCTGCGCGCCGCTGCCTCGGGGTTACGCACTTGCGACTTCGCACCTTCGCATTAGAATGACGCGGGACACGCGTTCTTCTGGCAAGCTTCGGTGGACACAGCTGAAGCGGCGTCGGCACTCGGCAGGGCTTGCTGTGGCCTCGCGTTGAGGATTTAGCCCAAGCTTTATAAGTTGAGGAACTGGCCAGCCCCCTGTTCATCCGCACGCGTGACGGACTAGTGTGTCCGTAACGCTGGATGTGGCATTCTCCAAGCTAAAATGAGTGCCAGGTGTGTTCACTGTTATCCTACCGGCCTGGCTTTCTTTAGAGTTTAAGGCGCCAGATCCGGCCCATAGACTCAACCGAGTAGCCTCTCGAGTAGCCTCCCTACCACTGCTACCACTGCTACCACTGCTACCATCTAAACCTATACAAGCTTAACCAGGGGTTTACCTTTTTTCCCGCGAGCGTCGTCAGTTTCGGCTTCGGTGCCGCGCAATGCCGCAAGCGGAGCAGCAGCGAGACTATAAAGCTCGTGCTTTACGCGTTGCCTGATTTGCGCCAGAAGATGTGGCCATGGAAATACCGCGAGCCAAGGTGCGTTGCCTGTACTGCAGGCGCCGTGAGCAGCGCATTCGCAAGGCTGCTGCTGGGCATTCAACTGGCAGACCTACCATCTCCCTGCAAGGCATGCTAATGGCGCCGGGCTTTTTCTTGGTTAAGGGGCTAGGGGTAGACGTTGGTTTCACCGTTGCACCGCTCCACGCATTGACTTCGAGCTGTCCTCCGTAAAACATCCTTAAACAACCGAGGGGACATGTTTCAGTTTTCCGTCGGACACTTGATGATCTACGTACACAGAGTGTAAAGCTAAGTGCCCCAGGGGCCTACCGAGCTTGGGTGTTTATAACGCCGGCTTCAACTACCGTCCTACCAGGCAAGGAGAGCTAGGAAACTAGCATAATACCGTTCTTTACATTTGCTCCTCTCCACGGCGTCGGCATACGATAGCACGCATGGAACCCTTCGCCTTCGAATCATGGATATACGCTGTTGTTGGAGCATTGGTAATCTTGGGCAGGACCTTTCTGGTATGGAGAGCCCGGACGTTTCGCGGCTTCGCAGCTGACGACTTCCTTATGATTGCTGCACTCGTAAGTTGCCCCAGGCAGCGATGATTTCCCCTCGCACGCTGACTTTACACGCGCAGCCTCTTTCCGCCGGTGGGACGATAGTAGGATACATTGTCGAAACACACACGCACGGCGTGGCCAACAGCGGGTACGTGACGATACTGTCAAGATCGGTTGCAGCTGAGAATATTCACCCAAGGCATAGTCTTACTCCCGAGCAACGAGACGCCCTTGATCCGAACGGTGACGAGTGGAGCTTGCGAGTCGAGGGCTCCAAGGCGCATCTATCTGGCTGGATGCTCTACACGGCGCTGCTCTGGACCCTCAAGCTATGCTGCCTCTTCTATTATAAGCGACTGGGCGACCGCGTGGACCATATGAAGTTGAAAATCAACGTCGGGTTTGCCTTGTGCGCCGTCACTTACCTTGGGATATGTCTGTCCGTTCTGGGCGGTTGCTGGCCCTTTGAAAACCACTGGCAAATTAATCCCGATCCCGGAAGTATGCTACTAAGCCGCTTTTCTACCTTGACTTACGTATACGAGGCTGTCACTAACTAGAAAGAACAGACTTTTGCTATCCGGACGTATCACAACTACAGGCGTGGGTGGTAGTATGCACCGACGTGGTGACCGACTTGTATATAATGGCGATCCCTCTCCCGGTACGTTCACTCCATGCGCTTTGCGTTATATCCTAACGAACGAGGGCAGATGATCTGGCGTGCTCGCATCTCGACTACAGCGCGTATTGGTCTCGCTGCTATTTTCTGCGGCGGCCTGATTACTATCGTCTTTGGGATTCTTCGCTTCTACTTTATCTTGGAAAACGACCCTCTTGTCCCGGATGCCGCTGCCCGGTGGTCGGATCGGGAAACCGTCGTCGCCACTGTCATCTCCAACGTCCCAGTCATCTTTCCGCTACTGCGGCAAACCATTCGAAGTATCAAGAACTCCACGAGCCGAGGATATAAGCGTACAGGGAACGATTCGGGGGGTTCATCAAGCACCCGTGGCACGTTCGAGCTTTCAAAGCTATCTCATAAAGGCAGCGCGCCTACAAATCAGAGACTGTCAAGAGTAGCCTTGTACGGGAATCCCGAGTCGCAAGAAGCAATCATTCGCTGCGAAGAGGGCGGCGCGGTACCGCAGGATGTTTATACCGGCAAAGAGAGGAATTTCCATCTTCAGCAGAGACTGGACGTTGGATAGACCGGGCCAGCTTGTGGGTAGCTGTCGGCCAGTTGGCACCGGTTCCGAAGCATTATGCTCTGCTCGGATAATCGCAGGCGAATGCTTGAGCCTTGAGGTGGACGGCAACACGGTGACAATACCTATAGTGTCTAATCGCGGGCTCCGCTATTGCGTGCAGTACCGAGTCCTAATAATACTTGCCCTCTGGGCTTCTACCAGCTTCATAAATCCAAGAACGAACTGGTAAATAACTTAGTTCCGGTCAGCTGCCTTGGGATACAGGGATTGCAAGCTCTTGGCGTGAGTAACGGAGGCAAATCACAGACGAATACAGACGAATACAGACGAATCAGGCAGGCAGGAGCCAAACGCGCACTTTCCTCCGGGCCCCTGCCAGATGGGGGAATGGACACCACCCCCTACCCTGGAGCCCCGACGGAGCTCTCCGTGCCTTGTAGCTGCAAGTACTCTTCCACGTACCGGCGGGGCGGAGGTACCTGCTCCGACCAGACAGAGCATCGCGTCTCTTCCACTCCGACGATGAATCTTTACGGCTTCACAGCTTCGCAAAGGCTCAGACACAACGCGCTCGGCACCCATCCTTTGCGTCGCCGACTCCTTTTTCCGGATAGGACAGGCCATCCATTCTTCGGTGGCTGGTCCCGGCGTCGGGCCTGCTTCACGTGCCTCCCCATCCATCCTCCATCCTCCATCCAAACCTCGCCCTCCTACGCAAAAAGGCGACAAGCCAGGCCAAGCCAAGCCAAGCCATGGCATAGCCAAATCTACGCCTCGCCCATGTCTCTTCAAACAATTCTTCCACGGCGCCTGCCGTCTCGCCCATCTCTCCTCGCCATCGCCGCCAGCGCCGCCACCGCGCCCCGGCGCTCATTCTTCAACCTCCCCGGCGGCGACGGCAGCGGCAGCAGCGACAGCAACGCCCAACACCTCACCGCCACGCGCACCCTGCCCTACGCCTCGGCGCCCCTCTACGACCTCATCGCCGACGTCGACTCGTACCACCGCTTCGTCCCCTACTGCGCCCGCTCCCGCGTCACCCACTGGTCCCCCCCCGACGCCCACGGCCGCCGCTGGCCCGCCCAGGCAGACCTGCACGTCGGCTGGGGCGGCTTCACAGAGGTCTTCACCAGCCGCCTGCGCTGCGTCCCCGGTGTCTCCGTCGAGGCCCTCAGCCGTGATGACGAGTCTGCCTCCTCCTCCTCGTCCGTCTTCAAGAGCCTCGTCACCCGCTGGTCCCTCAACCCCGTCGCCTCGCACCAGCCCTCGACAGAGGTCCACCTCTCCATCACCTACCAGTTTACCAGCCCAATCTATGCCGCCGTCAGTGCCGCCGTCTCCGACAAGGTCGCCGGCGTCATGATAGAGGCCTTTGAGAAACAGGCGCAAGAGAGGCTGGCGTCAACACGCAAGCTGTGATTCATGACACTGTTCCACGTACGTGCTACGACGTGCTACGACGTGCTACGACGTGTTACCACCACATGCGTCGTAGCCAAATTTCATCGTCAGCTTCTATTAGACAACTAGACAGCCCTTGCGGCGCCTGGGTAACACGACCCATCAGAGTAACCAATCGACTGTATTTCTCTCCTCTCTCTTGCGCCCCCTCTGCCTCTCATACATGTCCAGCTGCTAGTGCCACACCTCCATGTACCATCCGTCGCCACAGCGTCGTCCTCTTGGCGTCTTCTGCCACGTCGCATATCGCCAAAGCATCCTCCGATGCCGTCCTCTCCATTACCTCCGCCGATGCCTTACGACGTCTCATCTGCCCGTCACTCGAAACCGTCGTACCTCCCAAGGTATATCCGTAGTCTCTCCGCTGCCTTTGACGCTCCCAGTGACTTTGGCCCATCCGTGCTATAGACTCCGATGCAAATGCAGATACAAGAGACCAACCAGCGACATTGAGCAGAGGGGGTGGCAAGCATTGCGCACTGAAAAAGACAACGGGAAAATGCGTCCTTTTCTTCCTTTTGCCGCCGGGGGCTGCAGATCCAAAAACAAAAACGCTCATCAAACTGCTTGTTGGTGAGAAGGAAATCAAGCGGGGTATCGAGGCCAAACCTGCCTCGTGCTCAAGCTACTTTCGTCTTCCTCTCTTCTCATTTCTTGCCCGATCTTTGTTCCGCTGGTTAGCAACAGCGGCGGCCGATGGGGGGAGGAAACTTGTCCTTACTTTCTCTTGGTGGGCTTGCCTGCAAAAAACGTCAACATGGCCGAGTTCTTCTTGTTGTTCGGCTTCGCCTTGGTCGTGGGCGGGTTGACGTCGACGATATTGATGTCGGGAAGATGGGTGGTCCGTCGTCGTGGTGCGGGCCCGGGCCATTCCGGTGGAGGCACCATACCAGGGGGCATGGCGGGTCGTCCGGGCATTCTCATTCCTGGCATGGGCGGGGGAGGCTGCATCCCGTGTATCGGGCCGTGCCGCGCGCCCATCGGCGGCAGTTTGGGCCCCAGCGGCGGCGTCTTGTCCACCGGCCACATGGTCATGCTGATTGACCACTCGGGCTCCACGACTCTCTCCCACACCGAGGGCAGGATGATTTCGTTGTCGGGCCCGATCAAGTCGTAATGGCCTTCTTGCACGTGCGGCCCAATGACATCGACGTGGAGAAAGGCCTGCTTGATGAGGTCCTCCATGCCCTGTACAATCCAGAGTTAGTCCCGTTTGTGATGACAAGAAACAAGGGCTGTTGGCAACGTACCTGCCACGTCTGGCAAATATGAAAGGGAAAGCTAAACTTTCTCCCCACGGCGTCCTTGAATTTGATGCTCCCCCCCCTGTCCGTCTTCCTGGCAGCCTCCAGGTTGGCCTTGGCCTCGTCCTCGAGCTTCTTCTTGAGCGCCTCGTGCTCCTTTTTGGCGGCCTCTTCGGCTTCGGCAGCCTTCTGGGCCGCCGCCTTTTCCGCCTCCACCTTGGCCAGATAGTCGGCCTCGGCCTTGCGCCTCGCAGCCTCTTCGGCCTCGGCAGCCTTCTGGGCCGCCAGCTTGTCCGCCTCCACCTTGGCCAGGAAATTCGCCTCGGCCTTGCGCCTGGCGGCCTCTTCGGCCTCGACCGCCCTTTTGGCCGCCTCCTTGTCGGCCTCGACTCTGGCCAGATATTCGAGTTCGGCCTTGCGCCTGGCATCCTCTTGCATCATCTTGAACCGCTCCGCCTCCTCGGCAGCTCTCTTTTCGGCAGCAACCTTGGCATCGGCCTCGGCTTTGAGCGCCGCCTCGACACGAGCCTTGGCGGCTTCTTCGATTCTGACGCGCTCCTCCTGCTCCCGCTTGCGGCGTTCTTCGTCGGCCCTCTTCTCGGCCTCAAACTTTCTCAAGGCGTTTTCTTCGGCCCGCTTCACGGTTTCGGCCTGCTCCCGCGCCCGTTCCTCGGCCGCCTTTCGCTCGGACTCTATCTTCGCCATGGCGATCTTTTCCGCCTCTGCCCTGGCGCGCTCAATTTCTTTTTGAGCCTCCTCCTGCTGCCTCTTCAACTCATCCATCGTTTCTCGGCGAATCTGCTCTTGCAACTTCTCACGTTCCATGGCGGACTTTTTCTTATCCTCTTCTGCTTTCATGGCGGCGATCTGCGCCTCGAGCCTGATCTTTTCCATATCGACCGGAGGCTCCTTCGGGGCTGGGCTGGCGGCGGGTCCAGGGGCCTCGGTGGCGGGCGGCGGGGGTGGCGACAGGTGGAATTGCGGCAAGTGAGGGGGCATGTTGTACTGGGGCGGGCCGTAGAAGCCATGTTGATAGGGCATCATCTCGTACATGTGCCTGGCTTCGCCGCCAAAGTAGCTCGCGCCGTTGGCGTTGTTGCCCATGGGGCTGAAGGGGTTGGGGGCGAAGTTGCTGTACGGGACCATTTGGTTGCCGCCGGGATAGCCTCCCATGTAGTGGCCGGCCTGGCTCTGTGAATACTGCTGAGGGTGGCCGCGCCCGCCGTAGTAGCCGCCGCCGCCGCCGCCGCGATGGGCGGGCTGGGGCTGGAAGGCTTGGCCATAGGGGACGCCGTAGTCTTCCGAGGGATCCACGCTGGGCGGATGGGGTGCAGGAGCCTGCACGGGCGGATACTGGGTGTCCTGGCGGGTGAGCCGGTGGTGGCGGGGAGTGGTTCTGGCGGTTCGAGGGCGCGAGGGAGGCGGATCGTTGCTGGTGGAGGCGGAATCGGAGGGGTGGACTTCTTCGTCGTAGTAGTCGCCGTGCGATTCCCACTCTTCGTCGTCGACGATGGAGTAGTCTTGTTCGTGATGGGACGAGTCTTCTTCGTCGCTGTTGTACGAGGTTGAACGGGAGCTCTCGCCGCCCGTGTGAATCGTGATTTTGGTCGGCCGTCTGATGAGTCTGGTCAGCGGGTCAGTGGGTTGGAGACTGGTGAGAGAGGGTGTCTTGGCAGGCAGAGGACTCACGGCATAGCAGACGAGTAGCAAACGGGGGAGCTTATTACTGCCTTTACTCGCGACGATCTGCTCAAGAATGCCGGAGTCAAGGCGGAACGGGGGTGCCACGGTCAGGACGGGGTCGGCGCTACTGGCAGGGGGGCGGAGGTAAAGGCTGATGCAGCAAAGACGTGAGGAGGTGGCCGTGGTACGACGACGATGTGTGCGGCCGCGAGTTGCCGCAGTGAATAAGGCGACGAGACGGGCAGTGCGACAAGTGGGAGGTGGCGATTGGCTGGGCACGGGACGAGGGCACGGGGAGAGGGGGGCTGACGGGAGAGGAACGGACCAGGGTGTGGTGCTGAAGGGAGGGAGGCAGGGAGGGAGAGAGAGAGAGAGAGAGAGAGAGGAGAGCTATGGCCAGAGGAGAGAGGGAGAGAAGAGGAGGGGGGACAGAGAGGAGGGGAGGGGTCTCGGGAGCCGTTGTCCACTCTCGTTGCGTCGGAATCGTGCCTTTTTTTTTGGTGGCACAAGTGATGCGGCTCCAAGGCCGGGGGCCGGTTTGCACACCAGTGACCAAGGCGTGATGAGAAGATCAAGCAGGCTCGGCGAGGGAGAAACAGGCCTGGATGGAGGATGATGCCGGAGGAGGGGCGGGCAGCTGGCCGAATGAGAGAGAGTCGGAGGTGGCAGTAGAAAGGGACGATGAGGGTGGGTCGAGTAGAGTACCGGTAGGTCTCTCAGGATCGGCGGTGAGTAGATGGACGAGGATTGGAGGGGGAGCTGGAGCGACGCGGACGTAAGTAGGTACGTAGTGGTCCAGAACCATCAGCTGGCGGGGGACGGTGAGAGCTGAGAGTTGTGGCGGGGCAGCCCAAGAATGTGGGAGGATTATTTTGCGGGGGCTGTGTCGAGGTGTTTGTTGTAGATGATGATGTTGTTGATGTTGTTGATGATGATGACGACGATGGGGTTTGTTGTCGTTTGTTGGTGAGAGAGGCTGGGGCGTGGCCCGCCAGAGCGAGAGAGCGAGATAATTAGGGAGGGAGAGAGAGGCGGGGAGGCATGGAGATATGGAGAGATGGAGAGAGAGGAGATGGAGAGAGAGGAGATAGAGAGAGAGAGAGACACGGAGGGAGAGAGAAAAGCGAGATTCGTTGCCCGCCGACGGGCAAAAAGCCGCATGCACGTACACAGCCGGTATTTACTGTAACTTACAGTATGTACGTAAAAAAAGGTGCATGTACGAATACAACGTCGAGAGCTGCTATTTGCCGCGTGGTGTCCAATGGGTAAATGGGCGTCGTGATTGGATAGTACAAGTACTGGATCGTGGCTAGCGAGGAGTAGGTACTGCTAGTAGCTGTTAGCAGCAGGCATGGATGGACACGCCCGCGGGTGACCAACTGACGGCCGGGGGTGGTGAAAGGGGGGGGCATGCGCCTACTACCTCCCTAGGTAGGTACTGTACATGGTGATATGTACGTGCTACAGTAGATGCGTCGCCGATAGCCGCACGCACAGCAGGCATGTATGTGCGTGTAATAATTATTAATTATCCTTGCCCTCGTCAACCGTCCCGTCAACAAATCAATCGAAGCTCCCTCTCTCTCTCTCGTCGAGGCCGCAGAGGAGCGGCGTGGTGGTGGCTGCTCGAGACCCCGGACCGGACCGTGGCCGAACCCAAGACCCCTCGGCGACAGAAGAAGTCGGATGACGGCTGCCTTGTTTAGACTGCCGTCGCTTGTTTGCAGGCAGAAAACTTGCCGTCGCTTGTTGGCAGACAGAGACTCTGCGCAAAAGGCAGAAAAGTGCAGAATCGGACGGACAACGACGGGGCGGCGGTTGTTGGGTTGCAAGGCTCCGCGGTACCGCCTTGGGTACCTTTGCCTCGCCTTGGGCTCAGGCTGTAAGGCGACCTTGAGGCCAATGTACCGGGCCAGGTACCACTAGCCTCCATTCCCTCCTGCCCTCCTCACCTGGGGCCCCAGGCGTGTTCAGGCTGCCCGCCATGTGCCATATCATGTACCCGGTACTTACTTGCCTGTCATCATTTACCTAGGTACCTACCTTACTGTACCTGGTAGTAGTAGGCAGGCTGCTCACCGACACAGAGCAGGGCGCCTACTTACCTATCAATACGAGGGCCGTCAAACTCGCCATCGTGGTAATTAGGCATCTTCTGTACTTGGCACTTGGGCTGCTGTTCATCCATCTCCAGCGCTGGTCGTCGCACAGGGCCGGCTCGCTGCAGCCACGCACGGCTGGTCTCAAAGTACCGGTACCCGCCCGCTCCATGTCTCCTCCTCCTCTCTCGGTCAAGCGTCAACGACGACGACGACGACAACAACAACAACAATACCTGAGGTGTCTTGTTGTCGATCCTTTACAATATTATTAGGGTTCCAACCAGGACAGACACAGATTGACTGGCATGCCGGTCCAGCCAGATGCATGCACTGATGACTGCCTACCTGCCTGCCTACTGTACAATCCCAGCCCAGTGGTAAGTTAAGTTATCCGTACTCCAATACAGCACAGAATGCTTTTATTTTCCGACTTGATCCTGGCCGCCCTCCCCCCCCCCAGCTCACTCACATTGTACGACCGACGACGACCTTCCCTGCGCGACATGATATAATTATAATCACGCCGTCTCACCTTCCGCCTCACCCTCCTCCGCCTCTCCTCTCCGCCTCTCCTCTCCGCCACGATGCGTCCGACAAGGCATCAATCAACAGCCTCCATCGACGCCCGACCAAGACATGAACACCTCATCTATCCCCTTTTCCACCTCCATCACACGTCGTCTCTCCAGCCCGACGAGGCAGCGCTGTCTCGGCACAGACTGGCACCTGCAGCCCTGCCCAGCCCTGCCATCTCGCCTCGCCTCCTTGACCTGATCTTGTTCTTCACCACCCACTCGTCTGCATGCTTTCTTTTTGTCCATACCGCCCAGGCACCACTCCACATGTGTCTTGGTGCGTGCGCCTTTGCATGTGCATACACCACTTGGCCACCATTACAATTGTGCAAATGCCGAAGCTACTCTAGCCGCCATGCCCTGCACACCAGCCCAGCCGCGAACCGAAGCCTTGCCCACCTGCCCTCTGTGCCTCCGTACGTTGAGACATGCGACTTGTCACCAGAGACGCCTGCCCATGTATGACCTGACTGGAGCCCGAGTGGAAACCATCGCCTGCCCATCGCGTGCCCAACCCCATGTCGCCGCCATGAACCTACATCAGTGCCCAACACACGACGCACATGGGCTGTGCCCGAACCCATGCACCAACGTTCAACTCGTCGTCCCGTTCCCGGTTCGCTCCCCTGGGTGCCCAATGCCGCCTCCTCCCGTCCCTGGGCCCCAATCAAGCCGCCCCCCGGCCCCTTCATCTGCACCCCTTCGTTGCCTAAGCCCATCGACCGGCGCCTTCTGCAGCCCATGGAATCTAGCTAGCTCCCCTCGATGATGTGCAGAGCCGGCAGCATCGTCGTCTCGTCACAGGACCCTCGCTTCCATCTCGGCTGACCTCACCGGACCACCTCGCTCGACGACTTGGCCAGAAGCTCGCGCGCCGCTGCAATTTCTCCCGCCTCGTATCCTTGCCACAGCTTCTCCTGCGCTCCGTACCGCCGCACAATCTCGGCCAGCTTCCGGGTTGCCGCCTGGTTCAGCTTCTCGACCGTCGCCTGTTCGGGCACGATAAAGCCCTCGGTTTCCCCTTGCTGCTTTTTCGATTTTGCCTCGTTGCTCAGGAGCTTGTCCGTCACCTGTTTCGCTGTTCAGCCTGGTTGCTCCCCAGAGGGTCGCAAGAGAGTCCTTGACTGTACCATCTTCAGGCCGTAGTAGCCGCGCAAGTAGTCGTCGCAAAGCTCGATGCTCCGACAGTATCGCTTCAGCGACTCTGCGAGGTGTTTTTGGGGATTGCCCTCGGAGCTGTGGTCGGCCGCCATCAACGACACCTCGCCCAATCGCGCATGAATCTGGAGCATCTGGTTAGAGGCAGTCTGCTTTCTGGCCTAGGGGACCTCACGTTCCACGCGTTTGGCATCAGCACGAGAACCTCCTCCAGCGCAAAGATGGCCTGTTGATAAAGCCCCTGGGACAGATACATGTCCGCCAACTCTGCCCAAGCTTCTGGGTCTGTGGCATTAAAGTCGAGGAGCGTGTTGAGGGCAACAATCGACTCCGAGGTTTTGCCCATTGAGCGCAGTAAGGCAACCTTGCGCTTGTGAATTGGCTGCGCCAGGTCAGCAATGCTCATTGACGACCCCCTCGGCGGCGACTCACAATGTTGGCCCCGTTTTGCTCCAGCAGCGCCTCGTACTCGCCCAGGACTGCTTCTAGTTGGCTGTTGCTCGAGGCCACAGCCTCCTTTGCGAGTCCCTGCAGGGCCATGATGCGTTCGTCCTTGTCGCCAAACCGACTGACCAGCCTCTTGAGGCACTCGTGGGCGGCTGTGTCGTCGCCCGCCCGCAGGCAGGACAGCATCAGGTTCTCGTAGATGGTCCAGAGGTGGGCGGTCTCGGGGGCGGAGAAGAGGTTGAGAAGCGGGGAGGCGGAAAAGGCCTTGGGGTTGCTGCGCAGAATCTCGGGGGCCCGCTGCGCAAGCTCGAGAGCCTCGGCGGGCTTGAGGTCGCCGTGAGGCCGGAGCAGCGAGGGGGGCATTGTGGGCGGTTCGGGGCGGCTCACGTGCCGGTGAGAGTTACACTGTCGTGCGCAAGAGTTGATGCAACGGGGAGCGCAAGAAAAGGGGCGCCTCGACGGCAAGGGACTGTTCACCAAAGGCCGGACGATGGATGACGGGACACTGGAGGTCAAGCAAGTTGGCGGCTGACAGTCAGCGAGAGCTGGAGAGCTTGCGGGGCCGAGGTGGGCCCTTTGGCATCAAGTAGTGGCTAGCAGGAGCTACCTTGCCCGGCACTCGGTCTTGAGGGATCGCCAGGTCCCTCCGGATTGCGACAGGGGCCCCCCACTGTAAAAAGGATCAACCAATCTTCCGAAAGCTCATCCAATCTTGTCTCAGCAAGCCAAGAGGCCCCGCTGTCCCACCGCCTTAAATTTTCCTGGCAGTGCCGAATCCTCGTCCCAGCCCTCACCCTTTTTCCTCCCACATCGACGCAGCTGTCAATGGCCCGTGGCTCAAGGCGCAGAATCCGGCGTCACGCAGCGTGCCCGCCGCCGTAGACAATGGCGTCGGTGCCGCCAGATACCCAAGGCACTTCGCCGTCTCCTCCCACGGAAGAGATGGCCGCCCTCAATCTGCCCAGGCAGGACGATGAGGTGCCACCCCATCGATCCCACGATGCTACCAAGAACCTGAAGCGGAGCGATCCGTTTCAGTTTGGCAGCCGCTTTCTCACAGAGGAGGACGATGTCTTTGAGTTCAACGCCTGGGACCATGTCGAGACGGACGAGGCGTACAAGGAGTATGCCGAGGGTCAGTTTGAGAAGCAGCGCCAGGCTCCCGTCTCGGACTTTGACAAGAGTAAGCTCATACCTTTTTCTTCCTCCACTGTCATGATGATTACCCAACCAATGCATAGTTCATCTGATTCTTCATGATGAAAACGCTACCTTCAAGTCTTTCGCTCCCATCTGACTGGCACCTCTTACTCCTCACGCCCCCCCCCCCAAGCCCCTTGTGTGCTGCGCCTAAATACTGATGCACACTCAAAGACAGGTTCAATACGGATCCGGCAAAGTGGTGGAATCTGTTCTACAAGAACAATGCTTCCAACTTCTTCAAGAACCGCAAATGGCTTCAGCAAGAGTTTCCAGTCCTGGCCGAAGTGACGGACCCAAGGGCTGGGCCCAAGGTCGTGTTGGAGATTGGCGCGGGCGCCGGCAACACGGCCTTTCCTGTGCTAGCCAACAACAGAAACCCGCACTTGAAAATCCATGCCTGCGACTTTTCCAAGACCGCCGTAGAGGTCATGCGGAGTCATGAGGCGTATGACCCCGAGTACATGCAGGCCGACGTTTGGGACGTTTCTGCAGACTGCCTGCCTCCCGACGTCGAAGAGGGGTCCGTAGATGTCGCCGTCATGGTCTTCATCTTCTCGGCCTTGGCGCCCCAGGAGTGGTCGCGGGCCGTGGGCAATGTCCACAGACTGCTCAAGCCGGGAGGCGTGGTCTGCTTCCGCGACTATGGGAGAGGGGACCTGGCGCAGGTGCGGTTCCGCAAGGGCCGGTACTTGGACGAAAACTTTTACATCCGCGGCGACGGCACGCGCGTCTACTTCTTTGACCGCGATGAGCTGGCCGGCATCTGGACGGGCGAGGACTCGGCCGACTCTGAGGGAGCCGAGACGCCCCAGTTTGAAGTGGAGAAGCTGGGCGTCGACCGCCGGCTCCTCGTCAACCGGGCGCAGAAGATCAAGATGTACCGGTGCTGGTTGCAGGGGAGTTTTAGGAAGAAGCAGTAGACCATGATACCCTCGTTGCCCTCGTTTGCTCAGCTGTCGACTCGTCGTGGCCACGTTTACGTGAACATGTATATTTATTTATTGCCTGGTCAGTATAAGAGCGCCTTGCGGAGCTTGGCACGCTCGTATCCGCCAAAGCCGATGTGGTCGAGGTAGGCGTCGAGGCCGCCGTACTTTGTGGCCAGATGGCTCTCGGTGCCGACAATCATGTTGTCGGCGGTGCCGGCCCATTCGTCGGAGAAGCCGGCGTTGCGCACCTCGACCAGCCTCTCGGCGCGGTCCGAGACGAGGGCGTCGTCGGTGAGGAAGTAGTCGTGCTCAATGGCCGCGACAGGCACGCCGAGGATGAGGAGGATGAGGGTACAGACGAGGCCTGTGCAAGTGCTCTTTAGCACTGGGTAGCAGCCCGGGGCAAGGCTCTCGAGACGCACCTGTTCTGTCCTTGCCCAGCGTGCAGTGGACCAAGGCGGGCGTCGCCTGCGGGTGGGTGTAGAGGGACAGGACCTGGCGGATCTCGGCGCCGGCGTGGTCGAGGGCGGCCTTGCCGAGGCCGAGGAGGCCGATGGGGACGAGTACCTCGGAGGCCATGATGCGCGTGACGTGCAGGCGGTAGCCGAGGAGAAAGAGGCAGATGGTCTTGCTGGGGAGGAAGGGGTCGGTGCCCGGCTCGTGTCGGAGGCACTGGATGAAGACGACTCACATAAAGGCCCACCAGGTCAGCTGGCTCATGAGATATCGCTCTACGGGGCGGCCGATGATGTTGACGGGCAGGTAGCCGATGCCCTCGATGCGCGGAGAGCTTGACGACCAGGTCGGGGCGGGTACCTTGGCCCACGACGAGGAGGAGGCCGGGGGCGAGTACAGGTCTGGCCGTTGCTGCTGCTGCTTCTTGGCCTGCTGGCGGAGCTCGGTGCTATCACGATAAGCCGTCTGGCAAGCTCGGGCACGTGGGAAGGCCATACTCGGTCCGCAAGTCTATGATGGTCTTGATGCCGAGGCGATCTCGTAGCAGGGCTCTGTCCTCTGGGCAGGCGGCATCTGTTTGCTCTAGTCAGCGAGTGCAATGCGAGTGATGGCAGAGAGCGACTCACCCGGCCTGGCGGAGCGGTAAAAGAGGCCTTCGCGGACCAGCTTGCGGCCGAGGAAGCGGTTGACGGTCAGGCCGACGTCGCGGAAGTTGGGGACCTGGCGGAGCTGGACGGACTGGTCCATGACGGGGGGCCACCCGGGCGTGGGCTGAGGGGCACTGCGTTGGCTTGAAGCTGCGGTTGGTGGCGGGTTGCGACGACGACGAATTAGAGAGAGTGTGAGAGTGGGTGGAGTGTTGCTCCAATTGAGGATATTGAGGATGGAAACGGCCAGATGGGACGGCGCATTAATTAGTCACTATTTTTCGCCGTCGATTACGGTCTAGCTAGCTGGGACTGTGGCCATGATAGCCTCACCCGTGGGGTCAATCCCCGGGGGGCATGGAATGGTAGACGCTGTTGGTTCTCGGCAGTTCACCTGCGACAATGAGCATGGCATGTCTTGAGATGGACGACGACGGTTTATCCATTGCGGACGGATTGCTCTGGGTGCGTCAAGCAGGCGTTGGCCAAGGCTTGGATGGCATGGCAGACTGCCAGACAGACAGCCTCAACGGCAGGTTGCTCCGCAGCACAGTGCTGTTGGCCTTTTCACTTACACGATGCGTGAGCAGTGCTTCTTTGAGCCTTTGCAACGCAGCTTGGTACAGCGCAGCTTGGTACAGTACGGTAGTGAGTGAGTGATGCGGCAGTCTGGCCGAGTCTTTCGGTCTGGGGAGTTACGTATAGGGCTGCGTACGGGCCACGTCCAGATGCAGCCTAGCCTGTGCCGCACAGCGTCATGCAATCTGGGGCCGCAGCGCCTCGATGACGTCAAGCCTGGGGAACAGGTCCGTCTTTCCTTTTTTTGTTTCAGCTGCGCGGGCACTTCGTACCGCCGGATGCCGCGGCACTGTATCTGTCACCCGCGCAAGCGGTCAGCATACAGTGTGAACTAAATCACAGGTACCTGCGCCGCGGCAGATCCGAACGGACGAACTGGTTGGGGAAAGGCAGCTTCTCCGGTCCGGCTGGCGGAATAAAACCATCCAACTTAGCCCCTCCTCGCCTGGTCCTACACCTACGCCGTCGACCTGCCTCGAGTGGTGATTGCTTCCGGCGTCCACCTTGGTTTGCCCAACCTGGACCACGTGGCTCTGGCTCGTCAGCACACATCGACACATCGACCACTGCATCGAGTTCCGCGCGGAAGAGCCCCCGCCATCGCAGGAAAAGAAGCAAAACCAGGATCCTTGTCGACGGCACCGCAATAAATGGCGGGCGCAGTGGCAGGCGCAGTGGCAGGCGCAGTGGCAGGCGCAGCGGCAGGCGCCGCCGCCAGCTCAGACACGACTGCCATGGCAGGCGACAAACCCACGCTCCGGCAGCGGCAGCAGCAGCAGTTCTCGGCAGGTGCGTTCAGCTCAGTGCCCGGACAGGGGAAACTACCCCACCCCTCCCTCCTCCCTTCCTCGCCTACCACCTACCTACCTACTACTACTATGCTTTTCCATTGTGACGTTCGGTGCCCAAACCCCCCACCTTCCACTCCCTCCCCCCCTCCCTTTCTTTCTTGATCCCCGCACTCTCCTCCATTGCTCCGCCCTCCAACATCGAGCCTCTTCCCAGCAGCAGCAAACTCACGCCTCGCCAATAGCCGCAGCCGCTGCAAGAATCAGATACGCCGACCCTCGCACCCTGCCCAGCTTCCCCTCGTCGGGCCTCGCCTCCAACGGCGCAGCCGCCAGCGCCGCCGCCACCCTCGGCTGGGCAAACCAAAAGTCGGTCGACCCCTGGAAGCCCGACCGAGCATCCTCCGCCTCGGCCGCCGCCGCCCTCGCTTCTGACTACAAAATGGCCCCCTCGCCCCAATCCCCCGCCAACTCGGATGGCCACAAGGCTGCCCTACTCGCCGTCGGTTCCGCAGGCGCCGCCCTCAAGCAGTCCAATGCCGCCAAGCCTTCGTCCAACCTCCACGACTCTTGGGGCAACTCGGCAGCCACCCAGGCCTTTCATGCAAATCGCCCCGCCTCTGCCGAACCGCCCAACCTCACACACGGAAGCTCGGCCGCGACGCAAGCCTTCAACATTGGCCGCTCCATGTCGACGACAAAGGCCCCTTGGCCGCCCAACGACAAGTCTTCTTTGACTACTGCAAACGACTCGGTTCGCACCCGTCAGCGAGCTTCCTCGAATGCTTTGGATGGCGCCACCAGGGCACACCGCGCCTCGATGCAGGCGAAGCTGCCAACAGAGGAGGCCGGCGCCGTCTCCGTCGTCACCATGACGCGGAACATGTTCACCTCGGCCCCCCCCGTCCAGCCCGAGGCGGACGAGCGATCCAACAATGAGAGGCTGCACCAATCGGCGGTGGAAATGGCAAAGAAGATGTATAGCCAACATCAAAAGATGGCCCACCAGACAAAGAGTGCACAGACAGGGCAGTCGGAAGTCGACCAGGTCAGCCCCTATCTCAACCTGCAGGACGCCGCCTACAAACAGGCCCAAGAGCGCCTGGCCAAGCTTCACAACGAGCACATGAAGAGCCGCGAGTACCAGGAGTACTACGGAAACGAAAAAGTCCCGCGTCACAAGCTCTCGGTGGCGGCCAAGCTGCGACGCCGGCTCTCCGACAGCGACAGCCTTGGCGATCGCCAGCGTTCCCGCGAAATCCGCGAGCAAATGTCCATGTTCTCCAACAAGCTGTCTCAGGTGGACAAGGACAAGCGCGAAAAGGACCGTGAAGCGCTGCTGGCCGCAGCGCAGCGCAATGTAAAGGCGCGCCTACAGACCATGGACGAGAAGACGTACCGGGACAAGGGCAGACTAAGCCCCACGCGGTTGACCGAGTGGGAAGTCAAGGCCCAGCAGGCAGCACAGTCTCGCCACGACTCTCGAACCGAGAACAAGGGCAAGGTGGATATCGGAGGCGGCAAGTTCATGGCCCGCGAAGAGGTCGACGCCATTGCCATCAAGAGGGTGCAGCCCGTTCTGGACAACATCAACGAAAAGGCCGGGGCCGAGCGAGAGCGACAGGCGGTCCTGCGCATGGAAGAGGAAGCCCGGCGAGAGGAGGGCGAGAAGCAAAAGGCCCGCGAGCGCGAGGTCAAGGAAATCCAGAAACAAGTCAAGGGTAAGTCGAGACAAGCCCGTCGCCACTGCTTGACGTCGCTAACAGGGCTTTACAGAGCAAGAGAAGCAAGAAGAAAGGGCCAGGAAACAGCAAGAGAAACAGGATGAAAAGACGGCCAAAGCCGAGGAGAGGCGACATGCAAAGGAGGATAACCACAAATTGAAGCACGAGACTGCGGCAGTGGGCCAGCAGCATAATGAGGAGCACACTGGCGACGTGGAGGGTTCCACGCGCCAGGATGAGGCATTGGGTTCCAACCCGCCCGGCCGCCGCCCGACGACTGAATCGGATGGCGAGTCGCCAGGTACCGCGCAGCGAAAGTCGGAGATGCCAACGTCGCCAACGTCGAAAGTCAAGGGATGGATCAAGAATCGCTTCTCACGGGGAAAATCGCTGTCGGAATACGGCGACAAGAGGCGAAGTTTCTTTGGTGGGGCGGCCATGAAGGAGCACGAAGCCAACAAGAGCACCACGAGCCTTGATAAGAGGCCGACGGGCTTCCGAGACGTGGTTATGACGGCCAAGGCTGAGCCTGCAGACGACAACGAGGCGAGGGGGGCGGCATCTGGATTTCACAAGAAGGCGGGCGGGGGGCACTCGGAGCGGGATTCGCACGGGGTGAGCCCCGCCAGCACGCCCCTAGAGGAGGAGGAGAGGCGGCTTGGCGACGACTCTGGAGGGCAAGACGGGTCCCCGACCAGCCTGGAGCCGCCGCGGCCGATTGACGACGGGGGCAAACGTGTGAGTAGCAGTCCGACGCGCGACTCGCGATTTCGAGAAATGATTGACCGGTGATGGGTTTTGCGAGTGGGAGCGGGACTTTCTACTCGGGGGGTGGAAGCTGAAGTAATTTAGTTATGCTGGATTTAAGTCGAGTTGCTCGTGTCACGTTGATGATGCGTGCACATGTATGAAGGCTGAGAAGATGTATATAAATGTGTTCATGTAAGAGTGGTGGTCACTGACAAATCAAGATTGCAATGGCGTTTATTGTGTATTTAATATTACCCATTGACTTGAAGCATGGCGAAGGTCGAGTGAGAACAGCAGTGGCGGGCGATTTCGTATGAATTATGGCCAAGAGAATGCCTCCCACGCCAGTGTCTCACTGGTGAGTCTTTGCCATGAATGCGTAGAGGTGTACACACACACACACACATATATATATGCGCTCGAGTGCGTATGCTGCATGGAGAGCGCAACAACGACAGGTTTGTGCAACGTCTTTACCCCTTGCTCCCCTTTCCCGGGCGGACCTCAAAAGTTAATGGGGTTCCGGTCCATGGGATAGTCGCGCGGGTGCAGGGCCGAGGCGCTGGTAGTGGCGTTTGAGGAGGCGGCGGCGTCGTCGGGGTCAGCGCCGGCGGACACGGCGGCGGCCTCATCGACGAAGCGCGGCTTCTCGAAACGGGAGCCCGGATCCCTGGTGGCGACGGCCGGGTAGAGGTCGATGACGAAGGAGAGGATGTAAAAGGTGAAGATGAAGGCGACGACCCACTCGAAGACGGCGGCGACGTCGGTGTGGCGAGTATAGGAGGTGGCGGCGAAGATGATGGCAAGGACGAGCTCGACGAGGACAAAGGTGAGCTTGACCCAGAAGGAGGCGCGGAGGACACGGTGCTGGCGGTTTTCTGCTTGCCAATTAGCCACGGCCATGGGCGACGGAGAACACAGGGGGCGCACTGATGCCGAGGCGCTGCGACTCCCAGCAGGTAAAGACGGCGGAGAACAGGTAGCCGGCAATGAAGAGGAGGAGGAAAATGTCGTGCAGGCCGTGGAAGCGCCAGGTGTCAAAAATACTGAGGAGGATGAGGCCGGCGGTGCCGACGAGGGCAAAGGCAATGGTGAGGATGGCGAGGGCCTTTTCGCCGGGGGAGGCGTTGGGGACGAGGCGGCCCGAGTGGCGGAGCCAGCGCTCGGCGACAAAGGCGGAGTCGAGGGTGAGGGTGGTGGCGACGGAGCCGGCGATGAAGAGGGGCTTGAGCTCGTGGGCGCCGACGTTGCTGATGTAGGCGATGGAGGCGCGGTCCGACATGGACGGGTAGTGGCGGCGGTGCGTGTCGATGATCCAGTGGAGGAGGAGGCCGAGGAGCATGCCGAGCCAGACGAGGCTGGAGAGGACTGGGATGGTCTGGGCCAAGGAGGTGAGGCGCTGTGTTTTGGAGAAGAGCAGTGGGGAGGACGTACCCAGTAGGATATCAAGCCCCGGAGCGCCATGGTGGAGGTGGTGGTGAATGAGGCTGTTGGTGATGATGGGCAATGGATGTTGACGAGAGGTCTATTGCGAAACGGGACGGCGCGTCATGAACACCGCATGTCTGCAAAGCACACACTCGGGCATATACAGCAAAACGCCTCCAAAAGAGCGAGAAAGCCAAGCAGTTCCCCCTCTTGCTCTGTTCGTCGCCCAACCCTCTCTTCTCACTCTGCCCCCCACGGAGGCCTCGGGAAGCTTTGGGCGGCGCAGGACCAGAGGCCCGTCTCACAGGGTAAACAGACGGTCCTTTCCCCCCCTTCTGTGCGAGAGCAGTTGACCGTGCTCCTGGGGGTCGTGAGGGCGCGCACGAGGCGAATTGCGGTACGTGTTTATGTGTATGTGTATTTGTTGCTGTCGGCGTGTCTTGGGAATGAGCGGGCCGTTGCCAAGCCAGTTTCGGAGCGAATGGGAGGTTTGATGATGCTGGTGGGTTGGACGAGTGGGGATTGAGCTGCAGGTGGTGGTGGTGGGAGAAAAGAAGATGTTCTTGTCTAATGATGGAGTGATGGAGTGATGGAGTGGGAGAAAAAGAAAAAAGAGGTGACGTTGTTGATTGTTGGCACAGCGATGACGTAGGCGACTAGCGTAATCCACCACAACACCGCTCGGACGGACGCTAAGTCCGCGATGGCAAGATTATAAAAGAACTAAAGCTTTAATATATAGGTAGGTACCTTGGTAGCCACTACCTAATACCTCCTGTTCCTACCTACGGTAGGTAAGGTAGGTAGCCAGGCTGGCGAGTAACTACCTGGGTAGGTCGGTAATTAGTAATTAATTAACTAATTATATGCTAGACCTTTGTAATCCTAGTGGGCTGTACAGTAATTGCGACTGCACTGCACACAAGGGCGACCACGTTACGTCATCGCACGTGCTTACTGCTCGGCACCGTCAGCCGAGGACGATGGAGCAGACAGACTCAATCCACCCACCACCAAGAGGAAAAGAGGGAATAACCGCCGCGAGGGCTCGCTCCCTCTCCCCATCGGCAGCATGGCGACAGACTCATCGCCCGGCAGCGCTGGCCCCCACCCGCCGTCGCTGCTTCTCCTCCCCGCGCCTCCGCGCCCGGCGGCCGCCCGCCACCTCCTCGGCGCTGCCTACCGGGCGCCCCTGACGGCCGTCCTGACGCGCTTGAGCCAGCAGTATGCACGGCAGGAGGCCCCGGGACCGGCGCCGGTGCTTGTCGTGGCCGTTGCCGGCTCCTCCATCCTCGCTGCGAGCAGCAGCAGCGCCGAGACCGACGCCAAAGCCGAGTCCGAAGCCGAGACCAAAGCCGGGACGAGCGCCCGGGCCAGATGCACGTCCAGAATGGTCCGCTGGAAGCCCGCGCAGTCGCTCCTCGCCCGTCTCTACGCCATAATCGCCTCCATCTGCGCCGAGCGCGACATCGCCGCCCACCTCGGCAGCCACGAGCCCGGCTCCGTCGACGCCCGCGTCGTCCTCGTCCACTGGAGTGGCCGTGCAGAACAGCCGGGCCTGCCCTGTCGACACGGTCCCGCCGTCTTGGACCTGGCCGCCTTTGCCGCGCAGGTGCGGCCGTGGAGGACCCTCTTCCACACGAGCTGCGAGCCCGGCTGCGAGCTGCTGGCTGCCTATCTCGCGCACGCCGAGGGGGGGCAGAAGCTGCTGCCGAGCCAGATCTGCGCCGTCGACGGCGACATGACCTTTTCCGGTGCAGGCTCCGGCACAGGCTCCGGCACAGGCTCCGGTGCTGAGGTGGCATGGGAAAAAGACGGCGTTGGAGGATACAGCACCGTTTGCCTGGGCGGCACCTTTGATCACCTGCACCCTGGCCACAAGCTGCTCCTCGAAGCGGCCGCGTTGCTGCTCGCCGTGCCCGACAGTGGCGTAGAGCCGTGCACCATGATTGTCGGCATCTCGGGCGACGAGCTGCTCACCAAGAAGGAATACGCCTCGGAGCTGCAGCCGTGGGAGGTGCGCGCGCGCTCCGTCGTCGCCTTTCTCTCCACGGCGCTCAGCTGCGCCCCGACCACGGCGGCAGCTCCCGTGACCAGGGTGCCGACGACGCCGGGGCCCGAGGGCGGCTCGAGCGCCGCGCCGGAGTTGCACGCGGCGCTGCGCGACGGGGCCGTGCTGGTGCGGTGCGTCGACATCCGTGACCCGTTTGGGCCGACGGTGACGGAGGAGCGCATCGGCGCCATTGTGGTGTCGGGCGAGACGCGCAGCGGCGGGCAGGCCATCAACGACAGGCGCACGGCGCGCGGGTGGGCGCTGCTCGACGTCTACGAGATTGACGTGCTGGATGCGACCGGGACCGAGGCGAGTGACGGGGGAGAGGGTGGTGGCGCGGACAGGGAGGCCAGGCTGGCGGCCAAGATCAGCAGCACCGAGATACGGAGGCGCAAGGCTTTGGGCCGAGACGGACAGGGTAAGCGGTAGCTGGTTGGCGACACGGGTTGCGTAGAGATGAAAGTGCTCGTCTACGGCCAGCGTGTGTTTGTTTGTCATGATTTCGCGATATCCAACACAAGCACGGGCGTTGGTTGACGCGCCCTGGGACTCACTCACTTGGGCACCGTCTTGCTTCCACCAACGACGATGCCCCCGGCCTGGGACTGACTGTACGCAGGGCGGTGCTGGTGCTGGTGCTGATGTTCAACCGCGGCTTGGTGGGTGTGAGTGCTGCTATCAAAACTGAAGAATTCCATTTTACTGGTAAACCTAAGCCAAGTTAAATATGAAGAACAATACTCCTTGATGGAGTAATAGAATCGGATGCTCGACCATCAAGTCACTCACTCCTCTCAGAACCCAAGTATAGTTGCTTTAAACGCTGGCCAATACTCCTCCTCGGCCCACACTTTCAACCGCTGCAGAGACACCGCCAGCTGGTAGATGTCCGGTATGGACTCCGTGGTGCCCATGGACAGAGACTTAAACGTTGTGGCCATGAAGTCTTCGCCGAGTGTCGTGGCAACAAATTTCCAGTCGTGCCCCTGGACGATGATGCCCGGCAGAAATTGGAGGGCTAGCCGAGCCCTCTCCTCGTCCGAGTTCCCCAAGCGTAGGCTTCGCCACTGGGCCGAGTGCCAAGTGGCCATCCGAAGCAAAGCGACGGCGGAATCTCCTCCTTGGTGCTTGGTCTCGATGGAGATTGCGATGGGATGCTTGCTTAGATTTCCCCACTCGGTATGATTGATGGAGAGGTCCGGCCGCGTTCGGCAGAGATCATCAATGACTCGCTGTTCCTCTTTGTTTGGTCGGATCGCGAGACAAAAGTCGACCATTTTACCCGGGGCTTCCTTGGGTTTGTATTGGGGGATGAGCGCAGCGTTGGTGCTACAGTATTCCAGGCTTGTCAGTCAGCAGCACCATGATATAAAGAGTTTCAAGAGGGGTAAAAGCGTAGACTGGCCAGTATCTAAAGTCAAGAAGAAGACCATTTGGATCTCGCCGCAGCACCCAGTCAAGAAGCGGCGCGTGGACATCTGCATTCCACGATGACTCGCCCTCGCAATCCATGTCGCACTCAGCGGCCCGTCTATCGATTCTGCCAACAAAATCGATAGGGGGGTATCGCAGACGGGTAGTTTCTTCATTGTCCGAAAACGCATCGATTGGGAACTGAAAGGCTGCAAGCTGCAATGACGGTGGCTGTCAGCCGGGGCCAGTCGACCACGGGTGCCCAAGTATTACCTCGTGTCGAAGCCGCGTTGGCAGTATCGCAACACCGCGGCGAATACGTTTCAGATCCTGGGACAGCGTTCGGAGCGATGGGGGCAGCTGGGCACCATCAACGGGAAAGCTGGCCTGGCGGAAGCCCGTCGACTGAAGGCTAGCGTTGCGGAGCTGTTTCCTCGGGGAAGAATTGCGCGAGACACCAGAGGATGCGTATGACGACGTCGATTTCCTCGAGGGGCTATCCATGCTCATTGCTTCTGGTGTATTGACCAGTACCGGAGGCCGCTTGCGGGGTCGAGGCGTCGAGTCTGGCCCAAGATCAAGACCACCATCATTGTGCTCTCGTCTGCGACGCTTGGGCGAGACCGACATTGCTGTGGTTTCGTGGTAATGAGGGCGCCTCACCGATGAGCAGGTATTGCCTGAAGCAGAGACGGAGGGCGTTGGCAAAAGTCGTCTCCCGGCGTTGGATCCGCCGTTTTCCAGGTCAAGACGCGCTTGCTTTCTTATTCGTTCCGGGCCTTGCTGAGGATCGTCTTGCGTGATAGTGTCAAGCCAAGTCAAGACGTCCGGTGTGCCCATCATGGCCATTACCGTGCGCAGCCGGAGGACGGTGGTGGGCGGCGGTGCGGCGATGGAAGTGAACTGGAAGGGAGAAGCGAGGATGGCGTTGACGGTTGCCTAGGAAACGTCGGACGTAGATAGAGCGGGGCATAAGTCACCAAGTCGCCAAGTCGCCAAGTCACCCCAGCCCCAAGTCTTTAGGTACTTTACAGTGGGTCGACACTGGAAAGGACGGATGTCACGTGGAAGGACAGTCAATTATGACAGTCACGACTCACTTGCAGCACCATCTGCAGGAGTGTGCACTGTGTACACTGTGTGCGCTGATGTGCACTCCATTTTTGCCGAGCAAAATGACGTCTCACAGGCGGCCTCCTTCCTTATCGAAGCCCGCTTCGATTGAAGTGCGCCACAGGACCCCGCCCGCTAGGTAACATATTAGCCCGAATAGCATCAATTTGAATATACGCCTTGACTAGCAAGCGCACGACTCCACCAAGCTAACGGGAGCACCAAAACAGCAACAAGGAAAGCAAGGATACTGTCCGCATGGGGTGGTGAGGACTCGCTTGGCTCTTTTGGATATTCTGCTAAGCTCCCGTTCTCTAGGAACTTCTTTTCTTGTATTGGCATCGAGCCTATGTGCTGCTTTTCGAGGTAGGATGCTATCGCAACAAAGCATGTTCCCTGTGTTAGCCTGTAGCTCACTTCCTCTAGCAATCCCTCGTCATGCATGCGAAGCGCATCGCCTCGGAATACCCTAGAGATGTTCTCTGCTCGTGCCTATCTGTACCCTTCCCCTTTGCTCATTAGTACTATCTCCCCATGTCGCCCCGCGCCCTGCGTCGACGCAACCCTGCTGGTGGCTTTTTCATAGGCATGATACTGACTGCGGCACTCGGTGGCGGCCAAGGGAAGCCACTATCACTCGGGTATTTTACTCCCGTCGGTATTCGCAGCTCTGCTAAAGAGACTGGAGTTGCCTTGGAGGACCGAAGCGTGACTTGGCGCTGCGGGGGAGCGGCGGGAGCGCGGTCGGAGCGGTCGGAGCGATCGGAGCGGCCCGAACAAGTGGGGCCGGAGCGGGGGGTCTGCGCGGCCCGATCCTAGCCCTGGGGTTGTTTTGTGGGCCATTTCTACGACCAGCTGCCAGAAGGGGGTAAGGGGTGTAACTAACCCCGCATTATGGAGAGACGAGCGCCGGGCGTTTATATAAAATCGCCCTGTGGTCGGTCCCTTTTGGTTCCCATCACCGTCTGGGCGCTTCTTCCCACCCTCCCGCCCTCTCCCTGCTTTTCCTTTTCCGTTTATTCTTAGTCCCTTTAATCTTAGTCGGAGAAATGCTGTTCACTCCCATTGCTGCTGCATCGCTGTTGGCGGCCGGAGTGTTGGCTCGGGATGCCGAGGGCTGGTACAAGGCCCATCCAGGCATGTCGCGTATCAGCCAGGTGAACCAGGACACGCATCAGATCGTCGATGAATTCGGCCGTACGCGCTTCTTCCACGGAACCAATGTCGTCATGAAGAAGCCGCCATGGCATCGGCCGTTGGAGTGGGTGCCCGGTGTCTCGTCCTTTGGCGAGCAAGATGTCCGAAATCTGCACGACTTGGGCCTGAACGTTGTGCGGCTGGGCCACAGCTGGGCCGGTGCAGAGCCGGTGCGTGGGCAGTACAACCAGACGTTTCTGGACATCATGAAGAAGCAGACCAAGATGGCCGAGGACCATGGCCTCTATGTTTTGGTGGACGCCCATCAGGACTGCCTGTCGCGGCAGCTCTGTGGCCATGGAGTACCCGACGTAAGTGTAGATGCGCCGCGCAGCATATTGGCACAGCTGATGCGGACACGGCCCTGTAGTGGTTTGTCAAGAAGGACTGGGTATCGAGCGGCAACATGTATCCGTTTCCCCTCAAGCTGATGCCGTTCCCCGTCGACAAACGCGGCTTCCCGTGGCCGCAGTCGCTGTGCGACAGTGTCGACTGGGCCGTGAGCTACACGTCGGTGGCGCTGGGCAATGCGTTTGGGCGGCTATACAACAACTACGACGGCCTGGGCGATGCTTTTGCGGCCTACTGGAAGAAGCTGGCGTCCGAGTATGCCGAGACGACCAACGTGGTCGGGTATAACCTGCTGAATGAGCCGTGGGTGGGCGACACGTGGGCCGATCCGACACTGCTTGTGCCAGGAGTTGCCGACCACAAGGTCCTCGAAGGGCTCTGGAACCGCGCGGCCAAGCAGATCCGCGCCGTCGACAAGGACACGCTCGTCTGGTTCGAAGGCGCCACCCTCGACATCCTGTCAGGCTTCAGCAACGTCCCTCTCGGGGACGGCTCCAAGTCGGTGCACTCGTTCCACTACTACAGCCCGCCGCAGCTGGGCTCTATTTCCACGACGCTCAACAACCGCCGCAGGGACAACGAGCGCCTCCGGACCGCCGGTGTGCTGACCGAGCTCACCTTCTGGATGGGCGACGATAGGCAGATGCAGGGCCTGGCAGATGCCATGTCGGCGACCGACGCAAACATGGTTTCCTGGATCGGCTGGGCGTACGAGAACCTGTACAACGGCACGTCTGGTCGGCCTCACCCCGAGCTGGCGAAGCACTACAGCCGGGCATATCCCGCCGCCGTCGCCGGCACTCCCACCAGCTTCGGCTTTTCCGAGAGCTCGGCCACCTTCAAGCTGCAGTTCACGTCTGATCCAAATATCGACGCGCCCACCGAAATCATCCTGCCCGCGTCCACCTTCCCCGACGGCTATCGCGTCCAGGTCTCGCCCGACGGCAGCTTGCTGCAGTACGCGCGCGACAAGCGCACCCTGGCCTTGTTCCCATCCTCCGGCATCAGGAAGGCCACCGAAATCTCCGTCACAGTCACTCGTAAATGACCTCGTGCATAGTTTACCTCCAAATTTACTACGTGCTTCTTTCACGAGTACAGGTCTATGGCCTAGACATGGCTATTCCTACAACTCTACACTTAAGTAGCGTACAGGGAGACTTCAAGATCTGTCTCCAAGTGTTACCGTAGCCATTTAGCCCCCTTTTTCCGTAGCAGAGAACTTGTTATCTTGATACCTGCCTAGAAGTTCGGTGCCTGAGACTTGGCGGCGCAGCGTTATTCGCTCAAGAACGACCAAGGAGATTGCTCTGCTATGTATTAGACGGAGTGAAATAGTTGATATATCGCAACATAGCTGGTTATTGAACTCATACGGTTTATAGCTGGTTTCCTTGTCTGCTCTGCCCGACATACATCTATCTTTGGGTTCTCTTGGTTCTCTCATCTTGACGACCGTCAACCGCAGGCGCCGTCCACAGCACGTTGCCGCGGCCGTCGCGAGACTGCCCTGTCTGGGCCCAGGGCTTGACTCCTAGGGTGCCTATACTTAACGATGCCATGGTAAACTCACCTCAGCCCTCGCCAAAATACTAACTAGTAGCACAAACCCTTGGGTGTCAGGCGGTTGTCACGCATCGGGCATCAGTGAACGACGGTGGCCGCTCAGGGCTCTGGCTGTGGAGAACAATATTACGAATGAGCGAAGACTTCCGTAACTACTCGGCTCGACCCTGTGGCCAGGAACATCAGTATACAAAACAAAGATTTCCAGCTGCACGTCTTCGGATGACGGTTCCGGATCCCCAAGAGTTGGCTCAGAGGCGTTGAACTCGCTCCTCCCGATTCCAGCCCAGGTTATCTGGCACTTTCTTTTTGAAGCTCGATCCGGCAAAGACGTTTACAACTATCAGCGACTGGGCAACTTCAGGGGTTCTCTTGCAGAGACGATGCATATCACCGAAAAGGACCTATATGAAGACCTGGAGATATTAACTTTCCCGAATCTGGGGAGCCTTGGAGAGACTTTTATTGTCCCTGGAGGTTTAAAAAGACCAATGGGGGGTATTAGCGATATGTCCTGTTTGCTGTCAACTAGGTCACGACTACGTTTGCCTCATCAAGCAGGCAGATAGTGTGGGTTTAACACCGTCAACCTTCCTCCGAGAAGGGGGAAACAAGACTGATCTGCTTCGGCCAGTATTTTTCTACGGAGCCGAGGCCGAAGCTGGCCCGGCACAGCCTGGTAGCGGATCGGTAGCCCACTGCTTAATCCAATACAATATTTCTCCTTTGCATAGAAAGAACACTTGGTGACGCATGCCAGGTAGCGACATGCTCGTGCTGGGGTTCCGGGGTTCCGCGAGAAACTGAAACAAAGTGCCCGAAGCAATACATTCAGGAACTATCAGTCCCTACCGCAGAGCCCCCCACATCTCGTCATGGTCTGGAACCATAGTAAGAACCGGTTTTCTAGAATCCCTCTTTTTTTGCAGCCCGAGTTCGTCTCTTGTAAGCGGAGTCGCGTAAACGACATCGTATGTCGCTGGAGGCTGACTTTGAGCAGAGAGCTTGGCGGCAGCCCCGTCTCTCCTCGTCTGCGACATGCTAGCGCTGCTTTGACTGGCTTCAACTCGTTGCCGGACTCGAAACTTCCCCCAGGCATAATTCTTTGGTCTTCCGATGCCATCTTTGCTCTGTGACGGCCCGGTGCCGTGGTACCGTGCAAACTTGAAAGCCATGTCGGTTGGACTTGGACGAGAGACAAACGAGCCGTGGACAAGGCTCTTCTCGTGAGCAGTATAACTTTGACGCTGTTAGGATGGAGGATAGTTAACAAGTGCACGGCTCAAAATGATAAGTGCAGAAGCAGGCCGCGCCAATCCTCAACCGCGGCAGGTAACGAATTGAGTGTAAAGCTGTTGACTTGCAGAGCGTGGAAAGGGAAGATGTGAGCTGATGATGAAAATCTCTAGGTGTGCTTGAGTTTGGAGAAGATAATGACGAGAACACGAGGAAAAGCAGGGTTAAAGATTGCGAAACCATTCTAAACAAGACGCATTAAGCGTCAGAAATGTTGAAACCGGAGACGGAGGGATCCTGACTAGTAGTTCGCTGGTTTGTGGCGTATCAGAAACGTCGAGGATCGTGGCGCTGTTAAATTAGAACCCTGTCGTTCGAGAAGAAGGAGGAAAATGGTGAGGTACGTACGTCGTGGACATGGGTAGTATGGATTCTGCCATAGAGACGGGAGGACTCCTGTTTCGCTGCTGGCCCGTCTCTTCTGCCCTCTTTGTCAAAAGAGAAAAAGAAAACATTATGCGGGACCAAGAAAGTTGCGTGACAGGGGCAAAAAGCTGACCAACCCCAAACGCTTGATTGTATCAAGAGACGGTTGGTTCATAGTGGCAGTTGTGTCGAGTCGACCAGGGCTTCATAACCAGAGCTCAATGGTGGCTAGGTCAACGGAACCCTGGCACCTAGCCTTCGGACGGATGCTCTGAGCGTGATGCACATGCGGGTATCCACCATACAAGCATTGCCATCAGACTCAGTAGGCACTGACAACAGGCTTCAGCATACTAGTTTGCCACGAATCGTAAGCCCAGCACCGAGATCGGCACTAGAGAACCTTTCGTGGACAGCTGACAGTCTTTTGTCGCCAAAGTCTCCGACTTGTTGCGCAAGCATGACTCTTGCTACCGTCTATCCGGCTCCCACATGAGCATTCCGGGGAAGCGCTTTGTTTATGTTGGCGCCGGGGACCCGTTTATGTGCCGGGTAGGACGGAGCAGGCCCAAGATATCCAAGGTCTGCCTTGGTTCGATCTATGGGCTGCTCAAGTCAGGCGTTGTAAGAGGCTTGACTGGGTTTCTTTAACAAGCAGCTATCGTCATATCGTCCAAGTGCGGCCGACGAAGAGAAGAACAAGAGCGAGCACCTCGAGCTGAACCCTGACTCGCCATGAAACTGTTGTAAAGACAAACAAATAGGCTCCGCCACAGCGGGACCAACCAGTGACCGAAGACGAAACACGGCTGGACGCGTTCGCCACCACAAGCCCCCGTGCCAATGACAGGTCCATTGTTTCATCGACCATTGACGTTCCTTCTACGCTGACGAACGCTGCCTCGCCACCAAGCGTCATTTCAATACTGGCAACGTCAGCCGAGGCCACGTCTCGGTGGGCACGATGAATGCAGCGCGCAAGGAACATGTAGCGCCCATGAAGCTTCGCGCGTGATGAATTTACTCTATAGGCTACACATATCTCGATGTCAATCTTTGCCGCCCTTCTGTTTGTCCTCGGAACCGCCTGGACCCGTGCTACCGGGGATGAATTCCCGAATATCGGTTTCCGTCGCATTAACCTTGGCTTGGGCGACCATCAAGGACTTGGAGTCTTCATCGAATATGATGTACATGCGTTGCATGGCGGGCGCGCCGAGGATGTTGAGTGCGTCGGGGTTCTTGGGGTCGCCGGCGCTCAATGTAAGCTGGCACATTTTCGGGCCTCCAGACTTTCTAAAGCCCCCTTGGGACTCTCCATCGGTTCCTTGCCGAGAGTTGCCACCCTCTGTACTGTTGCTTCGTCGAGAGATTGTTGCCTGTCCAGAGTTGCCGCCGCCACCGTTCCCTGAAGAGCCCGGTCCCGAAGCCCCTGGAGGCGGCTGATCAAAAGCAGGCCCGAGGACCATTGATTCAAGAGGGACCTTGATTTGGGCTCGGTCATTGCCCATGCCGAAAGTCAGCGCCTTGCCCTCGAGGCGGCTGCACTCTACAGGAGAAACGCTCCCGTCTTTCTCGCTAAACTGGGCCCCGATCCCCTGGGCAATAGTTTTCACCGTGCCCACGGGAAGGGTAACGCCTGGATCGCCCGAGTCGATGAGCACGACCGGGGGCAGCTCGTCCGTCAATATGTTGCCGTCGCGCTGCCGACGTAGGATCTCCGCCTCTGAACGGCTGGCGGCGCGTCTGTACACCGGGCGCGGGGCCGGGTGAGAGCGCCGGACTCTGGCCTGTCGCGCCGAGAAGGCCCGCCTGCGTCGTCTGGAATCTCGGTGGCTCCCTTGATCGCGGCGTCGGTCTCCGTTGCTCTCGGGACTGTTGCCTTCACCTCGAGGTGTCTCCTTATTGCCGCCGTCGTTGCCGGTGCCTGACATTCGTACGGAGCTCAAGTTGATCACGAAAGATGGCTGAGATCCGTCCGGTAATTTCTCGATGCTGATCTTTTCCATCTTGCCGTCTATCTTGGCTTGGTCGTAACCGCCGAAGATGATGGTTCCATTCTGTTTAGAGCCTATGCCGCCATCAGCACCGCCATTCCACAACGGAGCACCAGAAGTCTGGGCTCGACGAAGACTACAAACGCGGGGGAGGATGTGTCTACTGACCAAATTCGCCCAGGCCAACGCCAAAAGCTCTCGACTTGGTTACGTTTTCCTGTTGAAGCTGAGCCGGGATGTTGGGGTAAGTATTGTCCGGGCTCTTCTGTGTCGTTGACTCTCCCTGTTCCGGGCCGACCCCGATGACGGGAAAGACGGGGGAATCCTCCGACGGCGGATTGCCAGTCTGCACGAGCCCGAACTGCAGATTGACGGGATCCGAGTCCTCAGCGGCACGAAAAGGCGCCTTGAGGAATTCTCCCTGAAAGGCAGCCCCGCCGGTGAAGGACGTATTGAGAGGCACGTTCGCGTCTTGTACTTTTGCCGCGTCTTCCGTCTTTTTTGGATCAAAGGACCCAGTGGTAAAGCCGGTCCCCTTGTCGTTGCATTGCTGCAGCTCAAGGTTGCATATGGGGCTCCCAGCCTGAGGCACCGTCAAGTCGCTGCTGCCCGTGTCCAGCAAGCCCCGAAAGGCTTGGTTGCCGACGTTGAATTCCATAAAGGGACGGAAAGGGCCCTGGAGAGGGTCGCTGACTTTCTGGATTTGTGCCACCACGACTTTCATCTGCTGTTCCTGGGCGATAGTCTGCCCGCTGAAGACCAGCAGCGGGCCAGACGCACAAAGGAGCAAGGCCCTGCCCTTCATGATTTCTTCCTCGTCTCTCACTGCTTCTGGCCCCTGACGCCTTCCCAGGAAGAGACACGGGAGACCAAAAGTGGGATTCCACGCTTGTACAAATTATGAACAGAGAATAATACAATATGCAAAGACCAGCCTCGAACCAGAGGATCGCGGGGCCGAGTTTATATATGACAGGCAGGCAACCTGTCACTTGGTCCGATCAAGGTGCCCGTAGCTCCTACAAGTCTAGGGGTCCAGGGACTGAGTCGCGCCTTCTGGCGCCACATTTTGATTCTAGATGACGTCGGAGTGCAGCGCGAGAGGGTCTGTCTCTACCGGGATCGATGCCTGATAGGGGGAGACGGGAACAGCTGGAGGCTTCACAATTCCATAGAAGGGTCGCATCATGGTTACAGATGCCGGATACCGTTTCTTGCAGAGATGGTAGCCTGCGGGGAAGGAGGGCTTTAGTGGTTCTATAGCTCATACTCGAGTTGTTTCACATTTGACAGACTCCCAGAGAGGAAAGGAATAACTCCACGTACATCAGGTGGTAAGTAGGCGGGAAGGAATATACTGCTTAGGGAAGGTCTGCAGTAAACACTAAAGGCGGGCTTGCATAGGTGGGATGAAACTTCCAATAGCTTAGTTATAACCTCTCAAGACTGTAGTACCCGGTGTCCTCGGTGACTGAGAGTCCTACCTATCATGCTACATTGCGAACGTGACCGTGACGATAACCCCTACGGGTGAATGATCAAGACGAAGCGAGATGGTCGAGGGTAACGACGAGTAGCGCCTACACAGGCCATCGAATAATCTTACAGAGCAAGGGGTATATATAGTGGAAAGTGGAACAGCTGCCTCGGATGACAAGATCAATCTCATCAAATTCTCACCATGACGGTCCATCACTCCGTGTCGAACCCCCAAAAGGCACCCTCATGCGGACAACATCTTTTACAGCAGCCCATACTCAATCTCAATGCTTGCCGCTGCAACGTGATTGACCCAAAGTTGTTGCTACGTTGCCCGTCAGCAGAAAAACCCAACGACGATGCCATGGGAAGCTCACCTCAGCCCTCGCCCAAAGTACCACGATGCATCCCGGTTCCAGCAGCTCCAAGAAGCCCTCGCCTTTCCCAACAGCCCTCTCGTCGTCGACTTCCGTCTTGACCCCCCGTTGCCATTCAACTCTGTAATTCCGATAGTCACTCCTCGCCGTAATGTTGCTACACACTCTCCAGGTGATTTGTCCGTCCTCCGTCTCTACAAAATCCCACCCCTTGTCCCTCAATGCCTGCCTCGCAGACTCGGCGTTCTCCCAGGGATTCGACAGCACATTGTCATCTTCGAGCGCCACACTTCGAGGATCGTCTCCCACACCCCCCCGACATGACGGTTGTAGGATGCTGGCTTCGAACCATGTGTGGTTGTTGTCAAACGTTCCGTTGCCGCCGAACGTAGCCCATCCCTGGTCGGCCGCCCTCGTTTGGAAGATGATGCGTTGCGGGATGACGGGTCCAATGTCGGTTGGGATGCGCTCAGTGCTGAGATACAGCCCGGCAACGCTGGCCCGGGGCCCGGGCATCCAGAAATCGTTTGCGTTGTACCTTCGCTCTTCAACCCGGCGCTTCAGGAGCCACGGGCTGTAGCCAAGGAAGACGACGGCAACCGCAAGCTCGGGCGGCAGTCTATGTTCTAGGAGGCGACGTGCGGACAAGGCACCGTTGAGCGTGGGATAGAAGGTGCACGAGTACGGGAGGACGCTGGGCGACCGAGGGTCGATGGAGAAGCCGGGAGCGTCAAGCTGTGACATGGAATCTCTTTCGACATCGAGTTGTTCAGGGGATTCGCCCGCCATTCCATTGGCGATTCGACAGCGCGCTGGAGACTGGAACAGCTGGAATGGGTTGATCAGACCCAGAGGCCAGGAGGCTTTGTATAAGGACAGAGTCTATTTCGCGTCATCAGCTGTCAGAAGCGGGGTTCAGGTATTATTTCGAGTCGCGAGTATGTGAATCAGAGGACTGAGATCCCTTCAAGTGTCGTATGGGAAAGGATTGAGATCAGTGGGGAGGTTGCGAGTGCAGCAGCATGTTGCGTTACCCAATAAAGTGTTTGTTGGCAAAGGCTGCCACAGGACTTTGTCACGGGGTCAGCATAAAAATGAAGAGCTCGGTCCTTATTTAAGAACCCCCTTTCCCCTTGAAATTATACCTCTTATAAAGACGCAGAAGAAAGATTGGTTAGGTATTGAAACCTACGATCCCTATTCTTGTCGCAAAACGTGGTTGGATTTCGCAGGTCTCGAGGATATCTCTTGGCAAGAGGGGCCATGGGAGGTGTTGAAAGGAGGTACGGAGAGTTGGAGAGGGGAAGAGGAGGTGGCGAGGGTTTCTGTGGAGGTGGCGAAAGATAGGACGAAACTGCTGCAACGGCTGGAAAAGAGGGGTAAAGGACCCCTGGGGACATGAAGATCTTGGCTGCGACGAGTTTCCTATTTTGTTATGAGGGCTATAAGGATACAAAGAGGGGCGTTGGATAGGGGGAGGAAAGAGGAACACAGAGCATCAATAAATCGATAATCAACTTGCTGCGCGTCTTCTGCCCTTGAAGGAATCAAACAACTTTGCCCTGACTATCTATTAAAAAACTCCCATTTTACCCTTTGCAATTTTAACGTACTCTCTGCATCTCTCTTCGCGGGAATTCTTCCATGAGGGTTCTGGGCCTGTTAAAAATCTATACATATAGATACTACCTTAACATCTCTCTAGCTAGCAAGGGGATGCGTTGCTGACAGCCCCCTTTTATTTCATACCATGGTCTCGAACATTGCTAGAAAAAGAGTCGACAGCTTCGCTAGGACAAGCAGCTCTTTCGTGCAGTGCAGTCAGCGCAACAACTGAGAAGATACAACTAGCTTCGGCTTGCAGGACGACAAGCGGGCAGCACACATTGTAACTCCCACTAATTCTTTGCCCACCCGCTGCCGCTTGACTTAGAAATTAGAACCACGTGCTTAATGTCGCGCACGCACTTCCTCCGACCACGACCACGGCGGATAAATCCAAAAAGGTCCTTATTAATCTAGGGAAACGTACTCTTAATCGAGAACTTGCCATTCCACAGGCCGTTGGACCAGTATGAGTAAGTCAAGGGCAACAGCACTCAATCCTCTGACTTCAATCGAGAACCACTTGTTACCCGGCGAGGTGCTGTTTGCGACCTAAGAACCGGCGAGTCGAGAGGGATCTTCGAGAACGGGAGCCATGATGGACCAGTTCTCATCCGACAACTCAATGTAAAACTCCAGCTCTTAAATGTAGTGGCAAATATCTGATCTCCTAACAGAGTCTATAAGTGCCCCCTTCCCCTTGGAATCATACCCTTTACACGAAAGCTTACAAAAAGTAGAATATGCGTATAGGGTCCTTATTATATAAGTCATCTAGGGCTGTAGGAGGCATCTATGTCTATAAATACAGTACTACCTTGGGATCTAATTAGCTAGAAAAGAGTATCAAGAAACCTTGGAATGACTTTGAAAAAGCTGTAGAAAGGAAGGGGAGGAGGTATTATATAGCGATGCGCCCCTGGTCACCATTCATTTTCCGTCTATTATACTCATCCCAAGCCTCCTTCATCGTCTCAACATCTTGGTTATCCCTATTGATGGTATCTCTCGCTCCTTTCCAAGGCTTCCTGCCCCCGTCATCAAAAAACCGGTACACAGCTGGCACATCTTCCCGATTTCTCCATCAAAACTTCCATCCCTTCCACTCCCACCCTTCAAGCCTTTTAGTAACACCTGTACCCGCCACCTGATTCATCCATCCGTAGACTTGGCCGTCATTAATCCTACACGCGATATAGAATATTGGTCCCCGTTGGAGAGTTTTGACGACAACCTCATAATGCGCGTCGATTTCACGCTTCATCGCCTCTTGGTGGGTAAAGGGCTAAGGCCTGACCAAAGACATGCTGGAGCCATACTTGCCAATTCAGACTGAACAAAACACACTGTGAAGTGTGACTAGGTGACCCAGTACGGCCAGTGAGTTGGGATATCTTTCCGAAAGTAGACCGTGGTATAATAACCTCGGATGTTGTTCGTTTGCCTTGCGGAACTGCGCATTCTCAAAAATGCCTTGTCGCCGCTTAGCCATGGCCTCCCCCAACGCACCAGGCTTGCTCGACGACGACGAAGCATTATTCGCTGCTTCCGATATAGTGCCATCGCAAAGAGCCTCCAAGCTGTCACTTCCATGGCCGCGCGGCCAGCACTCCAGTTCCCTCCGAAATCCATGTGTCCATTTATCGCAGCGACCGAGCTGCATCTCCTCCTATTCAACCATATTCGCGCCCAATCAGCAGTTCCATCCCATCAATGGCGTCGAACGACTCGAATAATACAGGCCAGGGTGCTTTGCCCGGTTTCGAGCAGAGTAAACTGGAAAAATTCAAGTCAGTCTCAGGAATTCGTGTCGAGAACCCCGTAAGCGCCCAGGTAACTGTCTTCTCTTAGCCATAGCCAAAGGGCTTCTTCTTTGGGTGTTAACTAGAAATGGTGCTCTGACCCTTGAAATACACAAAGCTAGTCGTAGGCCTTTCTCCTTTTCGAAGCCTCGCAGTCCCGTTGACGTTGGTAGCTCTTCCCGCCAAGATTGGAGGTATCCATATCTATCTATATAGGAAGATGTACTTCTGCAGAGGAATATTTCTCACCAATATTGTCAACTAGGAGACGACTCGCTCTCCTGCTTTCGGCTTCAAGGTCTGAGACGAGCACGGCCCGATGGACCGACGCCGCTGCATCTCGTACATGGCCAGAGTGATGGAATATAAGCGACACACGCAGAAAGTTCCAGTGCCTTCAAGCTTACGCTGACTGCCGACGGAGCGACTATCGCCATTGGCTCATGCCCTGCGCTGCCGGCGAATAAATAAGCACAGCATTCCAGGTCATCATCCCGTTGACTACCAAGCTCGTCCGCCTCTCCTTTTTCTTCATAACCTGGTGGGCCTTTTTGACGGCTCCTCCGATACCAGCTGGACCGCAGCAGATCTGGGCCGCCATGTCGGAGCCCAACTTTGCAGACTTGCTCGCGTCGCCCGAGAATCCAGACAATGTTTGGTACCCGTGCAGCTGCCACTGCGGAGCCACCTCATTCAAGATCTTGCACGAGCCTCTGGAATCGTCCGCCCCGAAGCCCGCGCCGGTCCTCAAGTGCAACTGTTCGATCTGCGTAAAGAACGGCTACCTATTGATCTACGCTTTCCGGGATCAGATCGAGTACACCCACGGATGGGATGCGCTCAGGAACTATCGTTTCGCGTCAAAGACTTGGGATCACAAGTTCTGCGGCGTGTGCGGCACGAGCGTCGGCATCGACTTCCTCGGGATTCACCCAGCTGGGAACATTATTGCCATCAATGTACGTTTTCCCCGTAAGCGAATGAATGTTTCGTGATGGATGCTGACCAGAACTTAGTCACGACTGCTCCAAGGAGTCGACATTGACAAGCTCAACTTGTGTCCTGTGAATGGACGGGGGGCACCGGGCGGAATGCAACGGGCAGGTGGAATGCCTGACACTGGCTGACATGCCGACAATGCAAGAGGTGCAGGGGTCTTCTGTGTGTTTCTCCGTAGCTACCAAGGAGACCAATTCGTTAGCTTTCCACACCGATTGAATCCCTCCCTTCCTGACCGTTTCCTATCGTCACGCCCCCTGGCTGTTATTGTACATTCAGAGTGTTCCTCGCCTATTTTGTGGTGTAAGCGGAATTAGGCATCTGCCAAAGACTGGAAAACGCGACCCCTATTCTGATCAGATGTGCAATGCAGTAAGTTATGCGATACCGGATGTAACAAACTCCCAAAGCTGCCCAGCTTGGTAAATCAGGTTCTCTGCGGACATGGGCTCGCCCGGGCCGCGTCACTGAGTTTTCTGGGCAGGGAGTTCTCGCCGAGAACGTTCACGAGCTGGCCGAACTGTCCGAGGAAGCCGCACGGAAGATCTACAGACTGAACCAGGTAGTCTCAATGTTGGTCGATGAATGTGACAAGCGTTTTGTCAAGTGATTCCAAGAACCTATTTGAGGCTTCTGGTCCGCATATTTCTCTAAATTGCCTCCTTGGTAAATAGCCAGGCATACTGTGGTCTTTCTCCAATGTCTCCATTGCAGGGCTGTCGGTAACGTGCCAGGGGTGGTCTCTCGTCACAGACACAAGCATGTGCGCATAAAGCCAGGCTTACATCCTCAGGGTTCGAGGATCTGGGAGAGCGCAACCGGGGGCAAGACGGCTGATAACAGAGTTGCAGTTCTCCATACACCATGGCCATCGCTCGGCGACAGTCGGAAACTCGAAGCTCCACGTCGTAAAATCGTCAACACATACAGCACACAAGATGTAGACTGCAGTCCCGCCCTTGGTGTGCTGTCGTCTCGAGCTGGGAAAAGACAGATGCCGGACTGCTCAAGCTTCTGCGGACGCCGGAGAGGAATAGTTGCACGATTTGTATGCCAGCAATGGTCTTTGTGAGGGTAGACTGTGTTGCCCTTGTCATCTAGATCGTCAGTCGAGCAGGCACGATTGTTGATGCTTTCCTGGCGCCCGGCAAAATAAGCAGCAGTCAACAACAGGTGCATATTTGGTGAGCGCTCGAGGCCAGGCAGGTCCAGGGACTCCAGGCTTGTTTCCTGGTTGATGCTTGGGCTCTCCGCAACGGGAGGAGCCCTCGCATTAGCGAAATAAAAAATGATACCCTTTCACGTCAGTAAGTACCTCTACCTACCGTTCTGCAGCCAGACAGATCGCCTACGTACCTCAAAACACCCTTTATAAAGGATATAATACATCGATAGAAAATCAGTTTAAAAAAAAACACAGAGAGACAAAAAAACATACAGCAGCCGGTGTTCGCTGGTCGTCACCGACCCAACTACTAATCTGCCTCTTACAAGTTTCACTAACGGAGATCAGACGGGATCCGGTTACTCTTGTAGATATGGCCGTATGTACCAGTGACACTTCAAGGTTACCCTATGATCCAATGCTTCCCCCCCTTGCCCCCTTCGGCCCGTCTTTTCCCCAGCAGTCGACGGGGCCGATGAGAAAAGGCAAGACATCATGATGCCTTCTCACTCTGCTTCGACTGCCTTGGCGCCCCAAGAAAGACATTCACTCTCGCCCCGCCGCCGCCTGGAAGCCGTGTTCCCGAACCTCGATAACCTCCTCTCTGGCGCCGCGACCGATCAAAAGACGCTGCGGCGGCTTCCGCTGCCAGCACTCCCGACTCCCACTCCCTCGCAACCGCCACCATGGCCGTCTCCCCCGTCGTCGTCGCCACCGCCAACGCCGTCTCCCAAGACCTCCCACGGTCCGTCTCCTCGCCCCTGAAAAACACCGCCTCGGGCCAGACGTCGTCCAATGGCACCCCACGGCCGGCGCCCACCCCGGCGACCGCCTCGGCGCCCCCGTCGCTCGATTTTGCCGAGCTCATGAACGAGGAGGAGAAGCGCAAGTACGCAAAGGGTGAGTCGTCTTGCTCTTGTCCGCGGCTGGGCGCCTTACGTCTGCGCAGGCAAGAAACTCGGTGAGGGAACATACGCCATCGTCTTCCTCGGCCACCTCCGCGCCCGACCGTCGACGCTTGTCGCCATCAAGAAGATCAAGGTGCAGAAGGAATACACCGAGGGCATGGCCCCCGACGCCGTCCGCGAGCTCAAGCACCTCCAGGAGCTGCACCACCCCAACATCATCTCGCTCCTCTCCGTCTTCTCCTCCAAGGACCAGAACCTCAACCTCGTCCTCGAGTATCTGCCGCTCGGCGACCTCGAGATGCTCATCCGCGACACGGACCGCGTGCGCTACGGCGCCGCCGACATCAAGGCCTGGATGGGCATGCTGACGCGCGCCGTCTGGTTCTGCCACGAAAACTTTGTCCTGCACCGCGACATCAAGCCCAACAATCTGCTCATCGCCGCCGACGGCGACGTCAAGCTCGCCGACTTTGGCCTCGCCCGCAGCTTCGCCGACCCGCACCAGAACATGACGGCAAACGTCATCACCCGCTGGTACCGCCCGCCCGAGCTGCTCTTCGGCGCCCGCCACTACGGCGGCGCCGTCGACGTCTGGTCCGTCGGCACCGTCTTCGCCGAGCTCGTCATGCGCGCCCCCTACCTGCCCGGCGCAAACGAGCTCGACCAGGTCAAGCTCATCTGCGAGGCCGTCGGCACCCCCAACGACGACAACTGGCCCGGCGTCACCGGCCTGCCCGAGTACACGGTGCCCGCCCAGCACCCCGTCCGTGGCCGCGACTGGTACGAGATGCGCTTCGGCACCGTCGGCCCGGACGGCGTCGACCTGCTGATGCGCACCCTCGCCCTCGACCCCAAGCGCCGCATCTCGGCCCGCGACATGCTGCGCCACGCCTGGTGGCACTCGGACCCCAAGCCCACCCCCAACGAGGACCTGCCGCGCAAGCACGACGGCGCGCCGGAAAAGGTGGCCGCCGACCTCAAGAAGCGGCCCGGCGTCGTTGGGGGAGGGGACGAGGAGAACCGGGGGGCCAAGGTAGCGCGCAGGCTCGACTTTGGGGGATGAGCTGGCGGTTCGTTTTCATTTCCATTTCACGATAAACGGCATGGCGTACAGGACACAGGGAGAAGATGCAGTAGAGACAAGAGTTTACATGCATGTGTGGGGATTGGTGGCACATATCCGTCATTGACGGCGTGGCGGACGGCGTTACGGAGAGAGACGAGACAGCCAGGGGACATGAGCGGCGAAGCATGCAAGAGGCTAGGTGGACGGTGTATATGCACCATGGCTGCCGAGGGACATTTGAACCCGGGCCTTGGATCCATAGCTTGTCCATTCATCATCCCTTGCTCTATTTTCCGAGTACATGGTAGTAATGACTCCTTGAATAAAATATGTATGATTCGAGGCCCCTTGGAAATAGATGCCCCCCCTTTCCACCGTCTTTCCCCTTTTCCGATACCGTCTCTTTCTCTCACATACACCGCGTGTCTGCCCCCCTTACATGACACAACACTCCATGCCATACATGGCCCTCTCCACGCTGCGCCGCACGTGGTACCAATCCGCCCTGCGCTGCGCATACTCGTACACCTCCTCGGCGCGAAAGACGCCGCCGAAGCGGTCCGCGTCGGCAATGACGGCGGCCAGGTCGCGCGCGTGGGCGGCGTCGACGAGGAAGATCTGGCTGAGCTCGCGCAGGGCGGCAAAGTAGGCCAGCAGGTCCGGGTTGCGCAGCCCGCGCACGTAGTCGGCGTACAGGTTCATGTCGGCAATGAGCTTGACGGCGCCCTCGGTGCTGACACGCTGCCGCTTCAGGTGCTTGCAGATGGCCGTGAAGAGCCGCTGGCCGACCTCGCCGTTGAAGACGTCGAGCATGGCCTTGTCCGTCGTGCCCACCAGCATCCCGGTGTGCTGCGACACGAGCTCCACGATGCGCCGCGCCGTCGCCGTGGGCCCAATGTCCGGCTCCGAGGACGGTGCCGCCGCCGCTGCCGTCGCCTTTTCGCCCAACGACGTCGTCGACGCCGTGGCCATTGTCGCCGTCGCGGGCGGGTTGTAGTCTGTCGGCAGCTGCGTCGTCCCGTGCAGGTACTCGACCTCGTCCATGAGCACGTCGATGCCCTTGTTGAGGCCCGCCGCCACGCTCTCGTCGAGCATCTGCTCAAACTTCTTCTTGGCCAGGCCCGCCGGGTCGAGAAAGTCGTTCTTGTCCGCCACCTTGGGCCCCACCAGCTGCTGCTCGTAAAAGACGTCAATCATCTGCGAGATGAGGTCGCCCACGTTGACCAGCTCGATAAACGTCACCAGCGGCGCCACCCCCTTTTGGTCGTGGTTGCTCACGTCGCGCGGGTTGTAGTGCGACAGGTGGCCGACGGCCGTGTCGAAGCCGCTCTTGACGTGCCGCTGGCCCAGGATGCGCAGCAGCACCACAAACATGTTGGCGCACTGCTCCCGCGCCTCGCCGCCGACCTGGCCCCCCAGCGGGATGAGGACGGCCGCGCGCCCGAGGCTCGTCTTGGCCATGTGCACCAGCGTCAGCGCCACCTCGATGCTGCAGAGCGACTTGATGCCCTCGAGCTTGGAGGCCACGATGGCCGCCTTGGCCGCCAGCTCGTCCGTCGGCGCCTTGCCGGGCAGCGGGTTGGCTCTCCCGCCCACGCCCGGCGTCTCGGGCCGGAGCGGCATGGGAGTCGACGACCGAGACCCGGCGGCGCTGGCCGTGGCCGAAGATGCAGCCGCCGACTTGGCTGTCGTTTGGGACGAGCCCATGGGGAAGCTGGGCAGGACCGAGACGGGCATCATGACGACCTTTTTGAAGGAGCTCAAAAAGTCCTTCTTCTCCGCCGAGCGGTTGATGTTGGACATGTAAAACGACTCGAGAGACAGGTCCTGCTCCGACAGCTTCTTCTCCCACTGCGACACCTCGAGCTCGGCATTCTTGGTGAAGAAGTCGAGCTCCTCCTGGAGATACAGATCCAGGTGCGGCTCGAATACGCGCATCAAAAGCTCCTTGGCCTTGGCCGCAAGGTCCTCGGGGGTTGTCTGCGGAGGCATCAGTGACTGGAAGAGGCGCGTCGTCTGCTCAAAGACGCCCGACACGGCTCTCAGGTACGCGATGATGCTCCGCTCATGGCACTCGTCAAAGAGCGGCGTCGTGTATTCCATGACAAGGTCGCCCGTGACTTTTTGGACAAACTCCCAAAAGACAGCCGCCGGGTCGGGGAAAATGCGCTCGACGACGCCGGCTTGGTCGTTGACCTTGGCCAGCAGGGCCCCGAAGAACCGGCGCGACGGCTCGAGGGAGACCTCGTCGTTGGTCCCCTGGTTGATGCAATCCACGGGGTTGGGTGCCAGGTCGCGATCGTCGAAGATGGGGTGCTTCTGGATGAAGATGTCGATGGCACCGCGAGCGCCGTTGAGGGTGTGCAAGACGTGGGCGTAGCGCTTCATGTTGCCGTCGACGTCCCAAAGCTCGTAGCCTTGGTCAAACTCGCGCACGACGGCGGCTTCAAATATGCTCATCATGGAGTCGAGCCTCTGTTCGCGATCGATGCAGCCGGCCGACCAGTCGCTCCTGGCAAACCGGCGCAGGTTGGCGAGCATGCGGGCCTGTCGCTCGGGATCGCGAAAGGCCTTGAAGATGATGGGATCCGCGTGGCTCTTGGCCCTGACCACGTCAAAGTAGAAAGGGGCCAGTGCCCCGTACACTTTGCCGTATTCCTGCCTTGCGCCTCCCCTGACGCTTCTCACGCCCCGGAAGACATCGAGGTAGGAGTCGGCGTCTTGGGCCAGGACTTTGGCGGGGGTGCCGCTCAGGCTCATGGTCTCGAAGCCGTCGCGCAGCTCCGAGGTCGGGCGCTTGCGTCTCTGCTCCTCGACCGAGGCGTCGAAGAGGGTGGCGGCTGCATCCTTGGCCAAGGCCCCGTTGGCCTGGCCGACGGCTCGCTCTGCCGCCTCTCGCCTGCGTCTGACGGACTCCTCGAAGCGGCGGCGGGCCTCGCGCTCGTCCCAGCAGCCCATGCTCTTGAGGCGTGACACCCACCTCGTGTCGTCGTAGACCATCTCCTGCAGCCGCCGAGAGGTGCGCGCCACCCGCAGCTGGTCGGCAACAGGCAAGTAGTCAAGGATGGCGACGAGGATCTCTGCAAGATGGCCGGCGTCAGCACAAGCGTCGGCGGCTGGACCGGGAGCCACAGACCTGCGGGGAGCTTCGACCTCGAATCGACCATCTCGGTGGCCTGCAGGGCGCTGAGGATTCCGGCGCCTCGCGGGCGGCCATCTCTGTTTCTGTACATGCCGGGCGGCGGCTGGGCGGTGGCTGGGCGGCGGCTGTGCCGATATTCTGGAGTTCAAGCAGAGAGCGAGCCTGTCGTCGGAGGCATCGCTTCCTCCCCGGCCGGCTGTGTGTGCTGTCGTTTCGCGGTGCGGATGAAACCGAGCTGCTTTGTTTTGTTGCCCGCGCGGCCGTTGTCGGTACAAGGTACAAGGTGGGTCCGAATACGAGAGTTCCTCTACGTATCCGTAAGTTACTCGTTCTCCGTAAGCCGAGCAGAGCGGGAACTTGTGGCTGGGATTGTGGCGCGTGCTGATAGTAGGTACGTACCGCCCCGCCTGCTCGTGACCTGAAGCTGTTCGCGATATCTTTCATGCCGAGGGCTGAAGAGGACCTTGGAGTCGTACGCTGTTCCGCGCCCTCAGCAAAGTTGCAAATGACGGCGAGAGATCAATCGTTTTTTGCCAGAGGCGCTTTATCAGGTGCACCTAACTATTGCTACAGTCTGGGAAACGCAAGATGGTCTTTTGCATATATTCATTCCCCCAGAGTCGTGCCTCCACGAGGTTTGGGGGGTGAGAGTGAGTGGTTCACGTTCACGTCTTGATCTCATGCCTCGGGGGTCGCATATGAAGAGGAACTTGGCTCCCAACACACTGCCGCGGCGGTTCGGCAATTCCTGGTTTGTTGGCAGCTGATTGGCGGCCGTCAATGATTGAGCAAAGAGAAACATACGAGACCGGCAATCCCGTCAGACGGCAACTCACACATGTCACCTCAATCTGTCCTTTGTCCACGAGCCTGATCAGGGTCGACTGGAGCCCTCAGCAAAGTTGCAAATGACGTAGACATGCAGGTACCCCGTACTGCACGGAGTACTCTACGGTACTGTACCGAGAGCCCCCAAGGACTAGGTACGTACCTAGCGTACCGGTACGTACTATACGACACTCGCCCTCGCTTATTGGCTGCTGCCCACCTCTTATTGGCTGGCGCCGAGGACTGAAACGGCAAGCCCCGAAGCCCACGTGGCAGCTCCAGGAAAGGTACCAAGTACGGATACAGTAAGAGGACCTCGTCTCAACCATCGCCGGCGGCAGAATCAATATCTCCCACCAACCAAGTTCAAATGGACGCTCCATTAACCACCCCCCGGGCCACGGCTGACAGCTGGAAGCGCACGCCCATGCAAAAGCCCGCCAGCGCCCCCTGGCACGTCGCCCTCCCTGCCTCGGACCTTGCCAAGCTCATGCGCGGCCTCATCCCCCGCGAGATGGAGGACAAGTGGTTCTGCTACGCCGACGGCCCGGACGCCGACGGCAACCTCCTCTTCCGTCTCTGCCGCAGCTGGACCGGCGCTGAGATCTACGTCCTCCACCTCCGCGCTCCGTCCGAGGCCGGCGACGCAGAGGTGACGCAGATTACCTGGGAGGACCGCGGCGATGGCGAAGCCGCGGCCAAGCAAATGGCCGCTGAGCTGTGCAGAGCCCTCATGGACTGCAAGTTTGCCGTTTCATAAGTTTTATGGTTTTAAGAGAAACAGTCTGCTAGGACTGGACTTCTACAGTAAATGGGTACAGGGATTACATGCAGGAGACACTTGCAATGATGCAATACAGGAATCAAGTCACGTGTAGGACTGGGATCTCTGCAGAGATTACAGCCCCTTATACAAGAGAGGCACAGCACATGCACAAAAGGCACACAGGCACGAAATACACATCTTCAAGAGCCTAAACGGCTGTTATGCACCCTTACTAATCGTTGCATTGCATTTGACTGCAACTTTCCTAATTAGGTTCTGACGAGAACCTCGTTCTAGCAACTTCTTAGTTATCAGAAAAACCCATCCTTGTCCTTGTCGTCGGAAGGGCGAACAGGCTCGTTAGAATCGGACTTCTGCCCGATTCGAGTATCGTTGCGCCATCCGAATCATCTCCAAGCACATCGGCGAAGGCGTTTTTGCCGTTAAAGTCAGGGGGGCGAACAGACTCGTTGGAGTCATTTTCATTCCTGCCATCGACTGCGGCACTTGTGGGTGCCTGGGAATCGACCACGTTGGTGCTACCGCCTTCAGTTATTAGACTGCTCGAAGGCAAAGGTGCGTACGCGTGCTCCGTCGATAAGACGTCTCGGGTTATAGTTTCCAGTGCATCTATTGCGTCCTGCGATAGACTCGATAAGGTCTTCCGCAGAGCAGTATATGCAATGTGCCTGGCAAGAACTTGGAAGCTTTCGGCGAAGAACCCTTGCCGGCGAACTGGCTGCGGCTAGTACAGCAAAAACGAAAACATTGCGGTCGAGAACTTCATGTTGAAAGTCGAGGCAGCGGAAGTAGTACTTAAGAGAAAGGCGAAGAAAGATGTGAAGATGTAATGCCAAGTGTGGAGATGTAATGCCAAGCTAGGCTTCTGCCTCATGGTTGGTTTGGGCTGCTTTATAGTCGCACCATGTCCATATATTTTCTCTATACTTCTCCCAACCTTCCGCAATCGTGTAAAAGCTTTCGGTGGAATTTGAGGAATCTTCTGATGGCGGCATTTTGGTGCAAGTGTTGGCGTTCTTGAAGTTCGTGGGCTAGCGAGGGGGCCCCTTCACTACTTGAGCTCGTTCGCCTAACTACCCGACTACAGCATATTGCGGCGCGCAAGTGTCGTCCAAAATCGGGAAGCCTTTAGGGTCTTGCCCACGTTGTGGATGTCTGAGCTTTTGGTCGATTTGGGGCCTGATATTACGGCGTCAAGGCACAGGCTCGGACGAATGCGGTTTTTGCCCAGCACAACTGCAGGGTACCAGAAATTTTTGACCTGTTACTCCTAGCTGAGGTCTTAGATATAAGACAATATCTCCAGAAGAACGAGCTATCGCAAACTATTGTGCTATCCTACCAAGGTGGGGAGTGGTGACTTGGTGTCTCTGCCCACATGAATCCGTTAGTGGTAGCAACTCATGCTCGCCCATTTGGGACGCCATCCAGATCGTGTCCACATACGTAAGTCAGTTATGGGTAACAGCTTGAATGGATAACGACCCATGCCCGCCTATCAAACATGCTCGATCAGATGCCACGGCAACGAAACCCCTGGGGGTTGTCAATGTGGCCTGTGGCAGTGTGGCCTACGTTCCGGAATCGTGACGTTGGTGTGTCTTATGCTTGTGCCAGTGTCAAGGTCGTCCGTGCTACTGCTCCCTGCCCGCGCCAAGGCGTGCGTGGACCCGAGCAAACAACCTCAGCATCAACCACCCCCCTGCCAAGTGATGCTACCATCAGCCTTCTCCCTTGCTCCTTTGTCTGGGGGACTCGCGAGAGGATGCCTGCGACAACGAAGCCTTTCGTTTTTGGACACTGCTGCCGCCATCGCAGTCATTCGCAGGTGGTAGCGACCTCGACGATGCAGAGTGAGAACTTGGCGCTTTGCCATGGTTGAGCTGGCGTTCTAGCTTGAACGACGCCGGGGGCGTGGGCTGATAGGGTTGCTCGACCACCTCGTAGCCGGCACCGTCTTCGTCGTCATCTCGGTATACATTCGTCGCAACCGACGGCTCCTTGTCCGACACGGGTAGAGGACCCTCCTTGGCGATGGGTTGGAGGGCGTTGCGACGCTTCTTCCAGTGCTCCTTCAGCTGGTCCCTCAGGGCGTATGACTGGTCCCTCGCATGGTCCTGTTGGTTCCTAAGCCCTCTTCTGCCATCTTTGTGCCCTTGGTGGGTGTCCTTGACGTTTGCCGAGGCATACTGATACTGGTGGTATTCAAGCGTGCCGTCCTCGGACGGAGCAGCATAATGTGCATAGAAGTTGAGGTTGGTGCCGTCGGTGGTGAAAGTCGTGACCTCGGCATGGCCAAGGGGGCCAGACTTCCCCGCGTAGCAAAGGGCCTGGTTCTGCGCATACACAAGGGCGGCTCCGTCATAGGCGCTCTGTAGCCTCGCTTGGTCCATATACTTTCCGCGCCCCTTCCACTCCCCGGCCAAATGGGGCAATACCACGGAACGGGGGTCGTCCTGATAAAGAGCAGCCCCGTCGACATGCTTGTGGACTGGGAGGGGGCGAAATTCTCCCATCTCAAGACCCTCGATGAAGTCGGGCCGAGGAGCAGACAGGCCGTTATTGAAGCCCGCATCCTTGGGAAAGCGCGTGAAGGTCCGATTGAAGACCCGTTTGTAACCTTTGGGATACCCCTTCAACAGCTTGGCGCCCACCTCGAAAACCATGGTCGCTTCGTTGCCGGCTCCTTGCACCCTGTCGACGTAGTCCTCGTACACCGACTCGGTGGGCGAAGCTGTTCCGCGGCGTTGGGCGAGTCGTTTGCGGATATCCCTGAGGTTGGTGGGGGGCTTGGAGTATCCTGGTTCAAGAATGCCGTTTTCGTAGGCTTGGATGGCGAAACCAGACGTCGTTGTCGAGGTGGTTTTTGTCGACGAGTCGACGACGGAGTCGGAGGGAGCCACATGATTAGATGCCTTGTTCCTCCCCATCGTGTCGAACAGGGTCAAGTTTTTGCGCGTCAACCGCGCCCGCTTTAGTTGGTGTTGAGTGTCGTCGTCGCTGCCGATGTGCCGTTTCCACAACCGCGTGGCCGGAGAGACTTGTCCGACCAAGGACGGCTTCGGCTGCTGCAGAGCCGTCTCCTATTAGTCGGTGGCCTGGGTGAAGGGGCGCTCTCATACCTTGGCCGCTTGCTCTGTTTCTCGAGACGTTCCGTGTCCTCCGTCGGCGTCAGCCGGGCTCTCTTGGCGGGCAACGCTTGGCTCTCGGATGTCGCGTCGAGTTGCCTCTTGGCCGTCTGCACGGGTGTCGCGTCTCGGCCTCGGCCTCGGTTTACTGGGGAGTGCTCTCGCGGAAGCTCTGTACCTGACGGGTCAGCCATCGTCTGCTTCGGCGGAGACTGCATACCTGCCGCACCTTGTCTGCAGCAGCGTCCAGCAGCTTCTCTTGCAAGGCCGTGGATGGTTTCCCGCAAGAGCGGCGGGCACGCGCCTTGGTAACACGGCCGCTCATGGCGGGCAGGGAGGGTCATGGGCGCCCAGGCTGGTTGATGGAATGGCCTGCTGGCCGAGAAGCTATTATTTGAGTCGAAATGCCTGCTACTATTCTGGGCAGCCCGATGTTGATTGGTTGGGTCGGTCAGCGTGCGGGTAGTTCGCCGAGCTGTCTTGGCGCCAACGGGCCGGACTGCATGGCTTACATAATACATAACCTACAAACTGTCCCTTCCCAGACAACGGGCATCAACGGACATCAACGGGCATCAATCAACGGACAGCCGTGTCGCCGCCCTGCTTCTACAACCCGGTTCAGCGGGCGCTCAGCCGATGCGACGCCCCGCGCGCTCCACACCGGCCGTAACGATGCAGGACTGACGTGGCATAGCGGTCTGCTCCGGGCCGACCAGCCCCAATATGTATCCCTGATCCGAAACGCCCGGCTGTTGGCCAGTTTGAGTGCACTCCGCTCTCTGGGCGAGCTCTGGTTGGTGTTTGTGCATAATTAAGCGCGCTGGCGGAGTCGTGCAAGCCCTTGGAAGTTTGAACCAGCCTCATGCCCACAAAATAGCCAAATTCGCCCACTGTCCCTTTTCACTCTCCGGTTCTGTTCTCCCCCAACCTTCATACTTTGTTCCAGTCGCTCTCTGTAGGCAAACAGGTTGGTGATGGACACTGGCTGTCCACCGCTATTGTTGCAGGTAGCAGTAACGACCATCATTGGCACGTTGCCGTGGGGGTTCCCAGAACCCTTTGGAGTTTGGATATATCGAATCATCGACGTTTCCCTTGAAGGGATGATGACGGTTGATCTGAAAGGCCTGCTCGGTGGAGCAGCCAACGGCATGCGCCTCACGGCGCTCGATCTATGTCCGTGTGGCGTCGAAATGGGCGTTCCCAGGGATTAGGTTTCCGGCCTTGACAGAGGCAGAGAGCTACGGGAAGCACATGCTCAAACCCAAACACTTCGACGACTTTACCCTGGAGGCGAAAGATGGGCGTGGAGTCCGCTTACCTCTCTTCGCCTCCCACGAGAGCCGCCCATTGCTGGTCCCTCATGGCCCCAAGACCGGCCAGCCAAATTTTACGACGGCTACAGCTGTTCAGGAAGTGGAGAGTTTTGGTACAAAGTTTGAATGGAAAAGACAAGACCAGAGGCCCATGGCCAGGTATGAGAGTACGCTTCGTGGTTTGGTGTCTTGACACTACTTCTCACACCCATGACACATATTGACACATATATAAGCTCGTCAATGTATGGTCAAGAGGGAATGAGTCCGATACCTCGCAGTCTGCTCACGTCTAGCCTATTAAGGTAATATTAACGATAGGAAGGATGGCTCTAGGCTGGTGGTGGTTGGCAAGTCTATTGTACCCGAAAATTTAATCATATCAAGATCAAATAAATCCTTTGCAGAGAGTTTCATAGCACTCATATGGCAGGTATAGGTTACGGGCGGGCCATGCCTTTGCTATTCGTTCTTGCGCTTGCGCCGGGTTGTCGCTGCCCATTAAACAGTAGCTCTTCCCGGTAAAACTTGCAGCCGTTCGTGATATACTCGATCAGAGCTGAGGCCGAGTTTAGAATTAGGGCCACTTACTGGATCGAATTCGTAGGGAAAGGGGGGGCTAGTCAGGCCTAATACATGTGGAATTAGCCCACTTCGTCCCAACCCCCAAGAGGCGCCATCATGCAAGAGAAGTGGCTGGCTAACTTTGGCCTTGTTTGACCTTGGGGAGGCGGATAAATGATGAGAACTGCTAGTTATTAAGCGGCTGAGCCTGATCAAGCGGAGATTTGTTTAAGAGGCAACGGGAACATTGGCCCATCTACTATCAAATCCAGGCGGGAACAAGCCGTCGCGACTGTCTTTGAATCGCTCCATAATCATAGCGAATCCTATTTACTATACTCCTTATTATACTCCAACTCCCCCCCATAATCGAAACCGGGTTAAACACCCTATGGACAACTGAAGCCAACGATTCTTGCCGCAGCAGTCGAGCTTATACTCGACGTTGTTGATCTTGGCCGCCGCCTTAAAGACAGATCCGGCCCCCTCTTCATAGAAGTCAACGAGGAAACTCTTTGGATAGTGGCCCCAGTCGTTGCGACACTTGTCGGCCGCCAGGCCTAAGCTGCCGTCGCCGCTCTCTGTATTGGTCCGCTGTATATTGTCCTTGTCGGGAATGATGATCCTGTCCAAACGAGACAGAAACACATTCAGATACATCAGAACCACTTCTTTTTTTTCGGATCCTAAGGCCACCCTTGAGGCCATCGAGGATTGCGGGCTCGACTCCTCTAAGACGGCCGGCGCTAGACTTGCTAAAAAGCCTCAGAAAGTCTTCCGGCTTTCCTTCTCTATTTAGGCTGGTGTTTAGGATATACGGCCGACCCCGAGCATCGTCAGAGGTCAAGCTGGCTGGGCGCTGCACCGTGCAGGGGAAGCCCGAGTCCGTGGGGCTAAAGGGCGTCTCCCAGAAGAAGTCAAACTCGGAAAGCAGCCACGGGTCCTTTTCCCGGTCGGCCGCCGAGACGAGGAAAATGATGGCGCGGGTGTTCCTTGATCCACGTCATAATGTTGCGCATCCAGTCCTCAAGTGGACCGAAGTCGTTTGAGACGCCGGGAACTATTCCGCACTCGTTGTGGCAGAGCTCGGGGGCGCCGTCTTTCATGTGTATTTGAAACTGAACCAAGTTGGCGCCATCGTTGAGTGCCGTCGTGACGTCCAAGTTCTGGTTGGAGAATGGGTTGCTGGGCGTGGTAAAGGCAGCACTGTGGGTGCCCACGGAAGTGATGTTGCTGTACTTGCGCGAGCAGAACTCGACGTAGTTGTTGCAAGACAGCTCCTCGGCCTGTTCCGACTTGGTAGGTGGCTGCTTGTTACCGGCGGTGGGCACCTCGGCGCTTAAGGTGCTGCCGGCCGGGATCTCTGGGCCGGGCTTCTCCTCCGACTCGGCCTTTTTGTCAGTGGCGACCTTAATCAATGGAGACAGGAAGCATTTGCATGGTACGAATGTCAACTGGCGACGAAGAATGATGTGAAACACGGGGTTTCAAACTCCACGTAGCTATGATTTCCAATTTCCCTTGATTAAATACAAGTCACTAGTAAACTTTGACAAACATGTAAGGGTCAACTTGACTCATGCCGGCTTATAATGTATGTAAATTCATACATATCTAGCGTCCACCCGCCGTGATAACCCCGGCCAAGCTGGTTACGCGCAACAGACAATAATTGAATCAATCGCCTCCCGTTCTCAGCTCTCTATTAATTGTGCTTATGCTCCTTACGTGCGTATTCTTTTTTGATGTTCCTGACTTTTCAGCCCGACCTCTTCCCCCTTTTCGTTAACATGTTTGAGAAAACTAGATACATGCTGCTCCTCGGCTCGGCTCCTGCAGTCCCACTTAGAGGGCGTAGGAGTACAGGCTTGCAGCGGAAACAATCAGTCGTTGAACTGGATCATTCACCTAGCGTACGTGAGTGGGCTCTCTGCGATGCACCCTGTCTACGGATCGCTCGGTTCTTCCCAGATCTGCCTTGTCCGCGGATCTCCTGTGGCTCAGCCCTGTCTTCATCTAGGAAGTGGGAATATCTTCGGCGTCTTCGTCTCGCCCAAGGTAGATCGTGACTTTGGTTCTTGTTGGCAAGAGACCGGGATAGGAAGCTACAGCCTCCAAATCGGAACCTACCAAGTAGTCTGACTCGGCCATTGACGACGGGATGGCCTGCTCGGCCAGACTTACGCCTAGAAGTGGTTATCCGCACTTGCCGACGCGACTCTGTCGACCTTTGGAGGAGTGGTGGGCCGACATTAGTTGCGTCTATAATTATACTATAATAGAAAAAGGTAACACTCGCCTTGACCAGCAGGGATATCGGTCCCCCCTCATCCGGCCATGGTGTTTTAATTCCAGAAAGCGCTTGGGAACCTCCTGCCTGATTCCGGTTAGCCGGAGACTGCATTTTTCTGCCGAAAGGAATTCATCCTGCTTGTGCCTGTCACGGGCTGTGCCCGGCTGGTGGACCCGGTTGTACCGGGTCCGGTGGGTCGTGCTCCGGTGGCAACACCGGCCCCGCTCCGCGGACCCAGAAGCTGCGAGAACATTCCGAGAAGGGCAATATAAGCTCGCACTCGAGGCTACGCCTCGAGTTCAGCTTCTTTCCTCCTTAGCTCTAGATAGACAACACCTAGGCACCTGCTTGTTGAATAAACTCCGGGCCAGCCTTTCACATATCTAGAGCTCCTTCTAAATACCGCAAGCTGCAGACTGCTCGTCAGGATGGACCAGCAGAGTGAGAGCCCAAGTCTCCAGCAGCAATGGATTGACCAACGCATTCAAGAAGCGGTCAATGCGACTCTCAGCCCTCTACAGGACCAACTTTCCTTGCTGATGGAGCAACTCGGGCGAGCGCAGCCGCAGAGCGCCGACTTGCAATCGCCGCCAGTGGCACGAGGATTGGGCGAGAGCACGCCTGGCTTGGGCACGCCCTCCCAAAACCTGCGGTACTGGAATGCGGAAACCGTTGCCCAACCCACCCAAGTATGACGGCTCACGGAAGAGCTACTCCGCCTGGGCCAGGCAGATGCGAGACAAGCTGGACCTTGATGCACACTACTACAGTGGAAATCGCGAACTTTGGTACCTCATCAACTCATGTTTGGACGAGCGACCACAGCAAGTGGTCGCTACCTTTACGCCGCGGAGGCCCTGGGGTAGCTACGACCCCAAGAGTTCATGCGATACCTCGACCGAACCTACCAGGACAGCAACATCCAATCCCGCGCTGCTGCCACGCTGAGAACTATGCGGCAGCGCGAAGACCAACCTCTCGCGTCCTTCCTTCCCCGATTCGAACAGGCATTAGCTGAAGCCGGGGGAGCAGACTGGCCGGACAGTGCAAAGATCGTATTTCTAGAGAACGCAATAAATGCACGCCTCCAAGAGAGTTTGGTCACAGCCGTCCTACCCGACGACTACCAGGGATGGCTTGCGAGAGTTCAGGAAATTGCGGGCAGATTGGAGAGACTGAAACCCGGTAGGCAGCCGACGTCGACTGAGCGGACGCCTCAACAGCTACCAAGGCAACGACCCAAGGAGGAACCGGAGGACCCCGACGGAGATGTTAAGATGACGGACATCAACCGTATTGGCCACGAGTCGAAGGGTCGTCGACATGTCGATAAGAAGCCGAAGGATGAGCGCCGCTGCTATCGCTGTGGTCGGACGGATCATCTTATCGTGGACTGCCCAGCCCAGGTGGTCTTTCCTGGCGAAGGGAAGCAACAGCGACCTAAAGCTGCGCGCATGAAGAAGCCCGATGCCGCAGATGATTCGGAATCAACCGCAGCATCCAGTGAGGACGAGTCGGCGGGAAAAGACTAGCCCCGGGCGAAAGCGGGCGCCGGGGCCTGCAAAGGCAGACATCCGGGACTGGGAAGCGTTCAAGCCACGAATGAATAGTCGGACTGTATTAGTCAACGCGCGGGTAAACCGAGGCTATCGAATACGCGCCCTTGTCGACTGTGGATGTGACTGCTATGCCGTGATCGACGAAGCCCTTGTTCGGAAGCTGCGGATACCCTTCGTCGACTCGAAACCACGAGAAATTGGGGGATTCTCAGAGTCAGCGAAGAGTGTCATATCCCCAGGGGCGTGGCTGTTGTGGTCGAGACAGCTGGATTTGACGAACGTGTCTTTGCATACGTGATCCCAAGCCTGGGCCAGGACATGTTCCTCGGCCGGCCTTGGATGGAGAGAAATCACGTCGTGTACGATGCTGCCAAGCAGCGAATGTACCATGGGAGGGCAGGTGTGACGATACGCCTCATTGGGCAGGAAGAGCCCGCCAAGATACGCGCGATTCGAAGCGCAAGACTCGTGTCGGCAGCCGTATTCACGGCGGAGTGTCGACGCGCAAAGAGACGCAAGAAGTGCAACGCGATCTCGATTCATGCAATCAGTTTGTCGGATATAGAGGCGCTTCAGCCGAAGCCGCCAGTCGATCCGAGCGAGAAGGTCCCGGCAGAAGTGCTGAAAGAATTCCGCGACCTATTCTCACCAGGAGAGGCAATGAAGCTGCCGCCACATCGACCGGGTGTGGATCATGAAGTCAACCTGCAGCCTGACAAGAACGGCAACGAGCCACCCCTTCCGTGGGGCCCACTCTACAACATGTCACGAGAAGAGCTGTTGGTCTTGCGAAAGACCCTGAAAGACCTGCTGGACAGAGGATTCATCCGAGCGAGTAGCTCAGCGGCTGCCGCGCCGGTGCTGTTCGTGCGGAAGCCGAATGGAGGGCTGCGATTTTGTTGCGACTACCGAGCGCTGAATGCAATCACCAAGCGCGACCGATACCCACTGCCCTCATCGCGGAGACCCTGCAGAATCTGGCCAAGGCTAAGTGGTTCACCGTTGGACGTGGTGGCCGCTTTCCATAAGATCCGCATGGCTCCGGGACATGAGGAAAGACTGCATTTCGCACGAGGTTTGGGCTCTACGAGTGGCTCGTGTGCCCTTTCGGCCTGAGCGGCGCCCCGGCATCATTCCAACGATACATGAACAGTGTATTGCGCGAATGGCTGGACGACTTTGTCACAGCGTACCTGGATGATGTACTGATCTACTCGAGCGGTTCGAAGGCGGATCATGAGGCTAAGGTGCGACGAGTTCTCCAAGCACTCGCCGACGCTGGGCTGCACCTAGACCCAGCGAAGTGCGAGTTTTCGGTACAAGAGGTCAAATACCTTGGGTTCATCGTCAACGCAGGGAAAGGAATCGCCTGCGACCCCGAAAAGCAGCGCGCCATCCGCGAATGGGAGGCCCCGACCACGGTGAAGGGTGTCAGAAGCTTTCTGGGCTTCGCCAACTATTACCGGATCTTCATCCCCGACTATGCCAAGATCACGCAGTCTCTGGATGCCCTGCTTAAGAAAGGAACTGCCTTTCATTGGGGACGAGCGGAGAACGAGGCGTTTCAGGAGCTGAAGCGACGATTTTGCGAGTCACCGGTGCTCAAGCAGTGGGACCCGAGCCTCCCGACCTTTTTGGAGACGGATTGCTCAGGCTACGCATTGGGAGGCGTCCTGTCGCAGGAAGGCCCAGATGGACGTCGACACGCATGCGCCTTCTTCTCGAAGCGACTTTCGCCAGCGGAGTACAACTATCCCATTCACGACAAGGAGATGCTTGCCATCATGAGATGTCTCGACAACTGGAACGCCGAACTTAGGAGCTGCGGCCCATTTACAATCCTTACCGATCACCGCAACCTGAGTATTTCATGACACGCCAGAAGCTCACGGAACGGCAGAGCCGTTGGGCAGCCGAATTGTCCCAGTTCGACTTCAAGCTCGAGTATCGACCGGGAAGCGAGGCTGTCGTGCCTGATGCGTTGTCCCGCCGTGAACAAGACAAGCCACAGGGCATTGACGACGAGCGGGAACAAGGAAGAATGATACAGTTGATACCGGATAGTGCCATTCCATCATCGACAAGAGCATGTATCAACGCGATGAGTTCTGACTGTTCAGAGGCATCCACCCTGCCGAAGATGAAGGTCTTCGAGGTAGCGGACCTGCAGCAACTCTGGGACGAAACGGTGGCGAAGGACTCGATATTCCGGGCAGCCTATAAGGCAGTCCGCGATCGCGAGCGTGCCTTCCCGCCCTCGCTGGGCCTGAAGATCCAGATTTCAGAATGTGCGATCGACGCAGGCAAAAGGCTGACATTCAGAGACCGTATTTGGGTGCCGGGTGGATCCGGAGAGGAGGGTAACCAGGAGGAAGCTGAGAAAGACCAGTTGAGAACCCGCATTGTGCAGCAGTCGCATGACTCTGTTGCGACCGGTCATCCCGGCAGGGAAGGTACGCTGGCTATTGTGGCTCGGCGATTCTACTGGCCTGGGCAGTCCCAGCTGGTTCGCCGGTACGTAGCCAATTGCGACACCTGCGGCAGAGCACACATCTGGCGCCAGTCGAAAGGGATTTCTCAAGCCTCTGCCGATTCCAGATCGACCCCGAAGCCATTTGTCCATGGACTTCATCACAGATCTGCCGCCTACTGGACCGAGCAAGGCAAGGTACCTGTGGGTGATTGTGGACAGACTGACAAAGGCTGTGACCCTCGAGGTGATGGACAACATGGAAGCTGAGCCGTGTGCAAACCGTTTTCTCCAGTGTCATTACCGATTTCACGGAATGCCACGGTCCATCGTCAGCGACCGCGGGAGCAACTGGCTAAGTAGGTTCTGGAAGAGGTTCTGCCGTCTTGCAGGTGTCACGCAGAAATTGAGCACGGCCTATCATCCTCAGACGGACGGAGGGCCAGAGAGAATGAACCAGGAGATCGAGGCCTACCTGAGAGCCTACGTGTCGTACGTGCAGGACGACTGGGGAGAACTGCTCCCTGCCGCGCAGCTGGCACTCAACAATCGTGAATCCGCAGCGACCAAGACAGCCCCTTTTTCGCTGAGCATGGTTACCACGTCGATCCCATCAGCGTCGAGGAATCGGAAGAGCCACCGAGGCATAGAGAGGAAAGCAGAGCTGATAGCCTACTCAGTCGCCTGCAGGAGGTCAATGAGTACATGCAAGCAGTGATGGCCTCCTCACAGCAACAACAAGAAGAGGCTGCCAACGCAAAGCGACAGCCTGCGGAGCGATTTGAAGTTGGTGACAAGGTGTGGCTCTCGATGGCAAACTACAGATCGCCACGACCGTGCAAGAAGCTCGACTGGCTGCATCACAAGTACACAGTCACGAAGGTAATTAGTTCGCACGTTGTTGAGCTCGATGTTCGTGGCTCAATTTACCCGCGATTTCATGTTGACCTTTGCGGCGGGCGCATCAAGATCCGGCTCCTGGCCAAAGGTAGATGACGCACAGCCACCACCGGTACAAGATGAGTCCGGCACGGATCTGTGGGATGTCGACGAGATCCTCTGCGCGAGATGGAAGAAGCGCGGACGAGGGGAATTCAGGCAAGCACTAGTGCGATGGACGGGCTACGCAGAGCCGACTTGGGAGCCAGTTGAGTGGTTGCAAGGAACAATTGCGATGAAGGCATTCGAGGACAAGTACGGGCCAATCAAGACCAATGATGGCCCTAGGGAGAGGTACGAGACGCTGGCAGGAACGCAAGAACCCCGCAGACGCCGACCTGGTCGGAGGGGACAAGGGGGTAATGTCACGGGCTGTGCCTGGCTGGTGGACCCGGTTGTACCGGGTCCGGTGGGTCGTGCCCGGTGGCAACACCGGCCGCCCGCGGACCCAGAAGCTGCGAGAACATTCCGAGAAGGGCAATATAAGCTCGCACTCGAGGCTACGCCTCGAGTTCAGCTTCTTTTCCTCCTTAGCTCTAGATAGACAACACCTAGGCACCTGCTTGTTGAATAAACTCCGGGCCAGCCTTTCACAGTGACCAAATCAACAGTAAGCTTCTGTTCATCCTGGACTCCATTCGGTGTTCTCATCTTCCGCCTAAGCGCTTGTTTGTTATGTCACAAAAGAGAGGTCACATGGGCAGGAACATAATGTGTCATTCAGGCTGTCCCGCCATCTATGCCAACCTCTGGCGGCAGGTAACTTCGGTAAGGGGTCAACCAGATAAAGAGCACAGGGCTGTCCGTGGGTGGTCAGACATTGCCATCTGATGTGGCAGAAGCGTGTTCTCCGGAAGGTTGCCTTGTGATATAAAACCTTGCTCATGCAAATGGCGCTATCCCGAGCTATAACTGCAAACCTCGAATCACGTTATGATATCATTGCGTGCATCGCCCCCTACGCGCTCATACCCCTTGGGTCCAGCGTCTTACTTGTGAGAATACCCTAGGTTATCTACACATGATGTAGATTAATTAGCTGTGGGCGTCAGCTAAATTTCGGCCTCTCCCAAATGTCATGCATGCCCCGTGAAGACCCCACAGATCACATCTTTTGGTCTTGGATCATCTCCTCGCTATCACGTCTCATCCTACCTCGTCCATATAGCCAGAGAGTCAAAATGTCGTTCCCGCCATTTTCCCCACCATGTACGGGCATCCTCGTGGAGATAAGCAACATCATTCTTGACTCCTCTTTCAATGCCCTCACCGCTACCACGGTCAACACCTTCAAATCCATCATTTGCTGCTCTGCCACTTCCCAATACCAACGTGGCGAGCTGACCAAGTCGGAATATTTTCAGAGACTCCAAACTGAGTTTCAGCTCACCTCTTCCGTAGACGAGGCCTTTGCTCAGGTCGAGTCGACATACGCCATCAACACCTCTCTGCTCTCTTTCCTCAAGGAGCTAAAGAACTCGCTAGGTGGCCTGCGAGTCTATGCAGTTGCTAATATTGGCAAGGAAGATTTCGACTCCCTTCTCGCCTTGCCTATGGAATGGAACGTCTTTGACCACATTTTCACTTCGTCGGAGATGGGCATGCGGAAGCCAGAGCTTCGCTTTTTCCATCACATTTTCAACTGCATTGGACAGACCCTAGAAGAGTTGATCTTTGTGGACTGGGATGTAGACAACGTGGTAACCGCGCTGTCTTTGGGGATGAAAGGGATCAAATTCGACGGGGTGAGAGAGACGCGGCGGACGCTGAAGGCCATGCTCTTTGATCCGATTCAGAGATCCAAAGATTTCTTATATCGGAGGCGGAAGACTTTTGATTCAGTCAGCACCAATGGCGTAACGATCCACGAGAACTTTGCCCAGCTGATGATCCTCGAAGCCACAGGAGATGCGTACGTATCCTCCCGCTGGGTATCTATCGGCCTGTGCAATTCTAATGCGCACTTGCCAGTGGGCTGGTGGAGATTGACACCCATGAAGTTACATGGAACTACTTCATCGGGCCACCCATTCTCACCCAAGCGGATTTCCCGAATGACCTCGACACCACTGCGTTAGCTCTGACAATCCTGAAGCAGCCGGATCAAGTCATTCATGAGGCCATCAACCGCATGCTAGAGTTTGTGAATGAGGATGGCCTCCCTCTCGTAAGATGTTTCCGCTTGGCGGCCCTCCCTCTCGACACGCCCTTGCTGACGGTGACTCCAGACATATTTCAGCTCTTTCAAGAACCGCATCGACCCCGTGGTATGCGTCAACGTCCTGGGTCTCTTCTTCCAGCACGGGCGCGGGCACGAACTGCCCAGTACGCTTGAGTGGCTCCGCAAGGTCCTCGTCCGCCGCGCTTACATCTACGGAACTGCCTTTTACCCGAGCCCGGAAGAGTTCCTCTTCTTCTTTGCCCGGTTTCTTCGCCTTATCCGATTCAGCCATCCAAGTCTCCACGACGAATTAGCCGTCTTGCTCGTTCCGCGCCTCAAGGAAAGGGTGGGAATACCGTGTGACCCCATCGCACTAGCGATGCGGTTGGTTGCGTGTAATCAGTTCGGCATTTCCGATCGAGCAGATCTCGAAGCGTTGCTTGCCATGCAGTGCGAGGATGGCGGGTGGGAGATGGGGGTGCTGTATCAGTATGCGTCAAAGAAGCTGAAAATTGGCAATCGCGGCGTCAGCACAGCGTTGGCAATGCGGGCAATAAAGGGGGTTTCCAAGTCTCTTGTTGTGTAGCATACAACTTGACTTCCCAGACCCCGAACATGAGCGGGACAAGACTTAGCATTACAGCTTCGCCCACGTCATCGTGACGAACCAGGTTCAACTGGAGGCCATGAGTTAAGTCTGGTATCGTGGAACTTATTGGCAACCTCATCGGTGTAGGAATTCCGTCACAGCTATATCAGTCTATTGGCTCTATTGCGTATGATATGAATCCCTAGGAACCATTTTAGGTCTCCTATCTCACTCATGGTAGACTGCTCTTATAGGCCGGCAGTAGATGCCTTTGCGATCTGCTAGTCTGACCCCATTAGCCTAAATAGTATCATCTATATAGAAAAGGATAACACCTCATAGATCACACTGCAAAGCTCTTGCAGAATAATCTTAAACTATAGGTCCCTTAGGGTTTTATAATGTGCACTGCTATAGATGGGGCGGTCTTTATAGTCCATAGAGAGCCTTTAACAGTCTTGGAATTTTGCCTGGCTTGGTAAACCACGGTGGCATCCTTATATAGAACACCCTGTATCCTAGCAAGCAGCGAATAAACGCATTAACGGCCTCTACCAATTTGAGCCCAAAGTCGAATTTAGCAGCTATAGCTGGTTCAAGACGTTGGCATCCGAGAAGAGCTCTTCTCAGCAGAGAGGCCATCTATACGATAAGATATCGTTGATATCGATGTGCATCGACCATGACGCCGTCTGGCCTCGCATAAGGTGCCAGCAAGACTGGCTGCTCTACGAATATGTCTTGATGAAGTGTTTTGAATCTGTTCAAGCAATCATGTTGTATTTTGCGATGTGACATGAGCCAAAGTGATCTCCCGTTTCCGCTCTGTCGGCATCTCACAGCCGTTTGTTCGTTCGTAACACAACGGCTTTGGTCAGGTTGAACATATCATGGCCCGCCGATTTATAAGTGCAAGACGTGCAGTGAGCATGGAATATTTGCTCTGTGCCTCCGGACTCTCAGAGAAAGACGGAGAGATTGCGCCAAGATCTATTATCCAGCCTTGTAATATTCTACATCCATCCACCTCTGTATTAGATTCCATGCATGACGTCCTATGCCACCTCGCTTGCGCCATAACAACAGCGTGGATAAGTTTCTACTCGACTTACTCGACGAGGATGAGGACGTTTTGGGGTGCTCGATGCCAACCAGCAAAAGTAAAGTCATCTTTCATTAGTTGTCTTGTTCCATTGTGCACATGCCCCATCTTCACCTTTATTGACCATTTTCCAGGGCACAGAAGCAACACCACCAAAAAAATAGTGCAGATTTGGTGACTTGAGCTCTCAAACGGGCTCCTGAAGACGGGATTATGTGTGCATTGGCGAGCCTTTATGGGCGTCACTGGAGATAGCCCATGGCGGCCACATAGCGAGACAGGAGGGCGCCAGTATGAGCAGAAAGGCAGCGCTGACTTCAATTCAAGTACACAAAGTTAAGTAGGCTCTATTGGGAAATCTGTAGGCGGCAGCTCCAAAGGGTGGACGAACACACCAAATTCGACCAGGTATATATCGCAGAAAGGTAGTGGCGCGGTGCCTCAATTCGCCGGGTTTCCCGAAGCCCACCCAGCATGGAATGATGGAGCGTGGAGAAGTTTCAAGATACAAGCCCTTCGGGCGGCGATTCAGCCTCAGGGGGGGTTTTGATGATGATGCAGCGGAATCAGGCGGCGGCAAGGCACAGCCAGGTGCTGAGCCGAGAGGCGACACGTCCCCCCAAGCCGAGGGCTTTTGCTGCCCATGGCCAGACGACTCGACCCCTACGTACAATACCATGGCGGCAGGGCACGCACACGATGGGCAAGCCGCTGGCACCCGACGCTCCCGGCTCCAACAGCAACAGGATGCATTGACAAAGGCCGCTCCGCCGTCCGCGCTGGCGCACCAGCTTCCCGCCGAACCATCAGCCGTCGACCTTCCCCGGATTCCCGTGCGCGCCGCTCGTCGACGACAAAGACGCCCGGCAGGGACTGTGGCATATATATGGGACTTTCTCAACTCGGAGCTCTGGGCCGCCGGCCTCGAGCGCATTGTGGCTGAGCGTCTCGGTCATGCTGGCGTCGTGCTGTCTCTTGCTCGGCCTGGGCTTCCTGCTGGTGTACAAGGTGGCCCGGGAGTGGGACTATGCCATTCGCGACCGCCAGCGACAGGTCAAGGAGGGGGCGGCGATGGATACACGCTCTTCCTCCATATCAATGGTCCGGAGACCCCGGCGGATGAAGAAGGATGTCATGGACTTGCAGCCGAGGATGGATAGGACAAGAACACTAACGCGTGTCATTCTGCAGGTACATGAAACAGCGCCAAAATATACAGGGACATTGATAGTAGAGAGCCTATATTTTCAAAGAAATGGAATAGCTCCCAACTTCCTGCCAAACTCGGCCCGTTGCTTATATGTAAATCCGGTCTCGGGCCAACCGAAACGCGCTCTACGTCTGGAGACGGCAGGTGGGTAACGCGAGGCCTACGTGCTTCGTCGTGGATCTCGGCCCCGAGGCCTTGGCCGTGACTGACGAGGTGAGATGCCGAGGGTCCCGTTGCGCATCGGCAGGGGCCGCCCCTTGCGTCCCGGCCTCGGAGGCCGCCGTCCGAGCCTCCGGGGCACGCAGGACTTGAAACCCGAAGTATCAGGCTCGGGCGCCTTCGTGTCGAGATACCACCCGCGAGACTTGGTCCAGTAGCTTCCTCTCCCTGCAAAATAGTGGGAACGGTTCAAGTAGCAGTACCCGTATCGATCCTTGCCTATCACCTTGGGCACCTGTGATGAGGTCATCACGGGGGCCTCGCCTTCGGAAACTGCCTCGTGGGCCTCACTTCCGGAGCTTGCTGCCGCCTCGTCTCCGGGACAGGGCTCGAATAGAGAGCTGTTTGGCTTGGGAGCATCCGCGTCGCGATACCACCCACGTTGCTTGGTCCAGTACTTGCCCGTGCTCGCATAATAATGAGAATCGTTCAGATAGCAGTATCCGTTGCCATCCTTGCCGGCCACTTTGGGCGCCTTGTCTCTGCCGGTCCCGTCGCCGCCGTCGGAGCTGGGCTCCAGCGCCTTGCGGCAAGGCTGGAACCCGGCGACGTCTGGCTTCGTGGCCCAGGGCTTCTTCGTCCACGCGCTCTTTTCGTTGTTCCAGTACAGGTCGTAGTCGTCCCTGTACAAGTCGCCCGAGTCGAGCCAGCACCACCCATCGGGGTGCTTTTCGTAGGCCCTCGGGGTCTCGCTCAACGATGTCGTGAAAATATGGGTCTCGGTAAAGGGCTTGCCCGCCTGGTCGAAGATGGGGAACCGCAGCTGACAGGGCTCAGCTCTATGGCTAGCGATTGTCCAATCCCCAGAGCGCGGACCGAGGACCTCGTAAACACGGCAGGTTTTCTCGATAAAGTAGCGAGCCGCCGAACACAGTCTCCGCGCCTTCATGTCACATGGATCCCAACTCCACCAGAAGAAAATGGGGTATTGGAAAAAGGGAATACGCTCGCACATTCCGGAAACCTTGATGTGATACGTCCAGGTCTGGACTGTGCATTGGCTGAGCGGCGGGCAGGGCACGTCCTGGGTCTCGATGTCGGTGACAGAGGTGCCGGAAGAGTAATGCTTGGAGTAGGACGAGGAGATTGACAGGTGGTTGGAGGGAGACAGGGTCCCGCCAACCGTCCAGCCCTCGGTGACCGTGTCTGTGACTGTGGTCCACGTCGACAGCGAGAGTGACGCGGTGCTTCGGCCCCAGTTGTTTTGGCTCGTTTCGTTGTGTGCTTTGACATACACGGTGATTTCCGGCATCTGGATGTTGCGGGTCAATTTGAGCCAGGAACCGCGTGTCTGCCTCATAAGCGTTTGCACAATGATGCCACCCCCCATCCAGTCGCAAATGCTGCTTTGTAGAGCGTGGAATCTCGTCTTTGGCGGGTTCTTCCAGTCGATCTTATAGTTGCGCTCTATCTGACCCTTCGCGCCATGGCCATAGTCGGCGACGAGGTCGTTGATCCCTTGGGCGCAGACATCGATCGCGAGAAGGGCGGGAATGGAGACGCCGAGATGCATAAGAGAGAGCGGACAGGTATCCAAGGCGAGTAAGGCAGGGTTAGGCCCCTAAACTCTCAAGCGGACAAGGAAGGGGGGGGGGATGACAACTCTGGTTCTCGGTCCTCTATATATACTCTCGACTGCTGCTCTGGTATTTTGACTGTCTCTTGCCAGGAAGCGACTGGACTCATCCGTCAGCACCGACTTGGGTAAGATTTGTCCCAAGTTCAAAGGTGCCGTACTTCAATTGGGTGGGATGTCTAGTTGGTTGACAAACGGAGAGTACAATTTCGAAATTCAGTCAAGCCGCGCCGTTGAGCCGAGTTTTCCACCGTCGTAAAAGTCTCTCCAAGTTGCTTTTCAGCTTGGGTTCCTCTGAGTGGTTGATTGGAGGGGGACGACACATAGGATTTCGAAATGAATCGCGTTTCCTCAAGGCCCAGGCAAAGCCCCTCGACGGGCCGAAAACATGAAGCCAGTGTGCCAAGTACCCTCATGCTTGTCCAAACTCAGCGCCGCTACGAAGGTTAAGACGAACGTAAAAGCGAGGACGAAGCGCACGCCCGGTCTACATTTGGAGTGCTTGCATGTGTGCTGCTTCGCAATCCGTGGACAGGCCGGCAAGTGGCGACTTCCCTGGTCTATCGACATTCGAATTGCTTGCCAGCTTGCGTCTTGGATGTAATGAAGCCTCGCGATTCGAATCTTCACAGAGTTTACGAAAGACGGCCCGCAACGGAGCGGAGAGCGTCTTACAAAACAGTACGAATACCACGAACTTTTGCCGAAGGAGAGTGCAAACTATTTAGGCCAACTCGACCGCATCCACATATGGTGTGGTTCTATCTAAAACTGCAGGCCAAATGTAGAAACAGTAACTTCGCCGACCTGCGAACCAATAAGCCCGGTTCATGCTGAGACAATCAAGGGAGACTTATCGACGGCGGGAGCCTTGTTCGCCGTTGTGGTCTGTCGAGGTCGGGCGCACATGGCGTGACGTTGAGAAGGCTGAGCGTACTACTTTTGCGTCTATTACACCGGCGACCACATACAACGTGCTATCTCTACGGGGGACGCAGCGTTGCATGCGCTCAATTCGGGCCGTGCCGAATCCCACTATGAGGCGAGGCCTTTGGTCGGTCATGGTGATGCTTGGGTATCTGAGTTGTGTCCAACATGAGCCATCGCCCCCTCAAATCTGGATTTCTGTAGACGATTATCTCGAGCTTAGCTGACCTGTTGTCGAGCCCAGTTGTCAGTTCATTTGACCATTTTGGTTGGCACCCTCCATCCCTGTGCTCAACAAAACCACTACGCCCCCTCGTCACGTCGACTCGTCTGCGCGCAGAATCGCGGAGTGGCCTGACGATGATGACTGCGTGGGCGAGGCAGAGGGGCCGTGACGTCGACTTCGACGACGAGCTCTGGCTGAGTGCGTTGTCGCCAGGTATCTTGGCGGAAGACGCCGGTCTCTTTCATCCACCAGCATGTCGATTGATGCGATCGGTTGGATGAAACTCGTCATGCAGACTCGGTCGGTAAGCTTTCTCGGGAGGGGGTTGTCGGGCCTGGTTGCGACGCAGCCTGGCGTACAAGATGAGGCAGGCTTCGGGATGGCATCGTACACTGCACATGAGAAGATGAATTTGTTGAGGGATGCCAGTGGGCCAAGGTGCTCAGACTGGACGGCAGGTGATGGGGTGATGGCAGGGAGATTTACAGGGTATTTGCAATGCCATGATGGTTCTCGGTGCTCACGCCGGCATGACGAGCCCTTGGATGGATGACATGCCCCGTACCATATATATAGTCCAAGATGTAGCCGAGCCCGCTCCAGAATCCAGTCACGATCACGACCTTTCTTCGGCAGCAAACTGTGCGTGCCAGCCAGCCCTTTACATTATTCATCTACTCGCAGTTACAGGCGTAAGCGAGCGCGAGCAACATGCTTCACCACCGCCGCGGCCTTCTCCTGGCGGCCGCCGCCGTCTTGTGGCTGCTCATCTGGCCCAGCCATGGCAGCGGCGGGCGACAGCCGCCCCCAAACCTCCCGCACGGCGCACCGCGACTTTCACCCCCTCGGCCAGGGAGCCTCCGCGTGCCCGGCCACGTCGCCGCGGGCCCCGGCCAGGGGTTTGCAGTCGGGCCTGGTGGAGAGGCGGCGGGGCCTCGCAGATATCCGCCGGGGCCTCGCGGATATGCGACGGGGTCTGGCGAATTCGTGGCCGGGCTTCGGAGAATTGGAGGCTCGACGGACAGAGGCGCCGGGCCATCAGGCGCGGGCCCCGGCGGAGCCGCGAGAGGGGGCGGCGCCAGGTGGACCCATGTTGTATTGGTCGATGGCGAGACCGGGATGGTGAGGGTCCGCAATGGGCAGCGAATACCGGATAGGGCGATGATGGCCATGCTCCGCGGCCCTGGCCAAGGGCCGTCTCCGGGGGGGCCGGGCCGAAGCGGCGGGGGCCCTAGCGGGGGTCCCCGGGGTCCACCTCCACCTCCCAGGGGTCCCAGTGGAGGCGGCGGCGGGCCCCCGGATCCACCTTCGGACGCCGATTATCGACGGTTTATCGATAGGTGGGGTCTTTTCTAGGCTGCGTGGGGCTGAAGGGATTCTGTTTATTAATGAAAGGGCCTATCCGTACTTGCATGTGAGCACGCGTCCGGTGATGAAGCCCGTGTTTCGGCCGTGGTCGAGACCGAGAGCGCATGGCGTCATGGTGGTGTCATGGACTGAGCCACAGTCGAGCTCAGCCCCGGCACGGACACGAATACGCAGCCGGGTACGGAGTACGGAGTACTCAATCAGGTACCTTATGCTCCGGACAGTGCGGATACAGTGCCACTCCGTACTGTACAGCACAGGCTGCATGAATGACCTCATTAGTGGCCGTGATGCAGCCGCGCTGCAGCGGACGCAGCCGACTCGACTGTGCCGTGGGGCGTGCAGGGCAGAGGGAGGGACATGGCGGCAAGCAATAGGGGGTAAGCGGCAAGCAATAGGGGGTAAGCCAGGAAGTCGACTTTACCAAGTACTGTACAGTGCTGTACAGTACATACGTAGGTACCTACGTACTTACAGTATTACTGTAAGTTCCAAAACAGAGGAGAGCGATGAGACACTGCCTGCGGGCAAAGCGACAGACGTCATGGAGGCTGATGCCCGGCACTGCCCGTGACCCACTTGTCGCAGCGACAGTTCGTGTGCGCCGCGGTACATCAAGCCGGCCCATGTGCTTGTCTTGCCCTAGCATGCGCCCTCTCCTTTCGCAGCAGCTCACGGTAGTGCCAAGGCTCTGTCACGCGCCATTGTGGCTGGTGGGCAAGTCTCCCCTCCACCCTGTCCAAGTACCTCTCCACAGACGCGTGCATCGCCTCAACGGCTGCGCTGGGCCGTGTTTGTGATAAAATGACTTGGCACACGTATGCACTCCGAGTGCTTTTTCTCCCCGCCCCAGCACTCTCTCCCCCCTCCTCTCTCTGATCTCTCTCTCTCATACTACAGTAAAAGCACCCTTCCGCCGCATCGCTCTTCAATACCTCATTTCGGCCAGACAAACACGCACGACTCCGTTCCTCTCCCCTGCCGACAGCAAGTCACTGTCGACGGAAAAGAAAAGCCGCCATCATGGGCTTCGGCATCTCCACCATCCTCCATGGCGTCCTCGCCTTCTTCATCGTCATCGAGCTCGGCCTGACGGGCTACAGTGCGTCGACGAGTCTCCTCCCGGCATCCAGCCCGGTTCGTGTCTGCTGACAGGCAATGCAGTGGTTAGCGTGACCGACGACGACTGGAGCCGCACGCCCTCGCGCTTCAGCTTCATGCTCTTCAACAGCATCTGGTCCATCCTCGTCCTCGCCTACATCGCCCTTACGCCGCGCTTCCTCGAGCGCTTCTACCATGGCCTCGTCGCCCTGGGCCTGCTGGCCGTCACGACGCTCTTCTGGTTCGCCGGCTCCATTGCCCTGGCCGTCTGGATCGGCGTCGGCCGCTGCCGCGGAAACCACTTCTGCCAGAGCATCCAGGCTGCCGTCGCCTTTGGCTTCTTCATCTGGGCTCTCTTCACCGCCCTGGCCGTCTTGGCCGGCCTCGGCGCTTTCCGGGGCGGCGCGCGCGCAGATACGACGCGCAAGCCCAGCCAGCCAGTCGTCTGAAGCACCGCGCATGGCTTGACGACGGACGCTGGGATGCGTCGGGCATTCGAAGAATCAATGCGAGACGTGGTGATGTACCCACGCCGCGAGACAGCCGGCGCTGGACAGGTGGTCGTGGACAGACGGTCGATGGAAAAGAGATACCCCCTTGGACTTGGTTATGCGCAGGACGGCTGCGTCACCGCGGGATGGGGTGTGCAAGCGACCATGGCGCGGCGCTTCTGGACGGGCTGGTCGCTTCATGTCTTGCACACTGGGCTTAGCGTCTAGGATGGCGCTTCTGGTGGATGGTGCCTGACGAGGTGCAGGCCTGATTTATTAATATCCCTGTCTTTGCAACGACTACTCCGTACCTATCCGCACAATACTGTACAACCAGCCTCCCCAATATTCCCTCCATCATGGTCATGATTTCGTCCAAGCATCCATCCACGGTCCACCATACGGAGCAGTAATTAGTAGGCTTCCTAGCATGGTCGAGATGCTTCTGCGGACCGGCGATGACGCTGTTTTCTGTCCGTTTCCCTGTTTCCCCCCCTGCTTGGTCTGTTCCCGTTCGGGACATGTTCTTCGGCTTGGCTCTGTTATACACGCCTATTCCTTATATACAAAGCTGCTTGCTCTGTTGTCCAGCCCCTGCATACCGAAACCCCGCCCGGCGGCCATTGGACGAGAGAGATGTTGGACCGGGCATAAGCATGCACAAGTCCCAGCACCGAGAAACCAGGCCTCGTTCATAATTGACGGCCTGCTCGTTACTGTGACGCCACCCAGCACATGCTGTACACAGCAACAGGCTCCCAGCCCCCCCATCGGCTCCCTGTTTTCCTCGTCATGGGGCCCTCCCCTTCCTCTCTAATTACCTGCTCTCCCTTCCTTGGCCTTCCCGCCGTCCTTTGCTCCCGCATTCCCGCCCGTTGCGCACACAAGAGCGAGCCCCATCCGAGAGAAGCATCCGCATACCAGAGAGCCCGACATCTCGTGACCCACAATTCGAAGTCTCTGCGGGACAATCGCATTGTGTGAGCTGCATCGCATCCGCAACGACCACGGCCGCTTCAGAAGACGCATACGCAAGCGCAAAAGGAGGGGCGGTGAAGCCATTGCCAGAGCCTACACGCTCGCAGTAAAGACGGCGAGACTGCGTTTTGCGCATTTACTCGATTGCGCGCCCCCGTCCCTCTGCGCAACTAGGGGCGGCGCATGCACCCATCGTCGTCGTCGTGATAGCTTCAAAACGCAGCAGCAGGGGCAGCACACTGAATCACCGCCCACCATGTTTTTCGCCCTCATCTTTGTGTGCACGCGAATCGCGCAGATTGTCACCTTGGTATGTCTCCCCTCCACCGCGAGGACAGGACCCGAGCAGCGAAAACTGACAGCCGAGCCAGATCCCCATCATGGGCATGCTCGCCTGGTTCGTCAACATCTTCGTCGCCAACAACGCCCTGACCCCGGACCCCATCCTCATCCTCTTCATCACCTCGGTCCTCGCCCTCGCCTGGGCCGTCTTCACCCTCTTCAGCTACCACCGCTCCTCGGCCAACGCCCGCTTCGTCGCCCTCGTCGACCTCGGCATCTTCGGCACCCTCATCGCCGCCGTCTACCTGCTGCGCGGCATCGCAGACGCCGACTGCGTCGCCGCCCCGGCGCTCGACCGCCTGTGGTACCCGCGCGTCGGCGCGCCCGGCGGCCTCGGCTGGGGCCCGCCCGACAAGCCGTGCGCCATGCTCAAGGCGTGCTGGGCCCTGGCCATTATGAACATCATCTTCTTCTTCACCACGGCCCTGGCCGCCTTTAGCCACGGCGACCACCTGAGTGCCTACGACGGCCGCCGCACCTATCGCTCCTCGTCGTCGCATCACCACCACCATCGCCACCACGGGAGCCGCTCGCCGCGCAGCCACGGCGGGCGCAGTCGCTCGGGGCACAGCAGCCACCGGAGCTCGCACTCGCGCACCCACCGCGTCTACGTCTAGCTGGCGTTGGAGCGCTGCGAAGATGGTGCGTTGGGTAGGAACATAGACAGTCAAGAGAGGGGGTATATTCACGCGGACCATGTTGATGGTGACGATCTGACGAAAGATGAACAGAAGAGCAAAGATTAATAGGGATGGAAAGAAAGAGACGGCGGGGGGGGGGCAACAGTAATGAGCTCGCGCATGCAGCGCATATACGAATGTCTATACATATATATATATATATATATGTACAACCAAAAACAGGCAACGGGCAGCCCAGGTGCTCTCAATGGCGCAGCAGTATATCCGGCTCATGCTGTCTACGTGAACCCTGTGCATGCTGCCAACCAACACATGCCCTCCATGGCCAAGACAAGCTGCCAAGTCATCGCCTCGCGGCCCCATCGCCCACCCGATACCCCCGTGCAATGCCGCTCCGGCCCTCCTCCACCACCGTGCTCGCCGCCTCGCCCCCCTCGGCAAAGTCGCTCCCCAGGCCCTGCCATGTCCGCTGCGACCGCAGGAATTCGGCCCCCGGGCTGGCCACCCCCTTGATGCTTGCCAGCTCTCTCGCCGCCCGCCTCGCCACTGCGCTCTTGGAATGGTCCTCCTCCTCCGGCCTGCCGTGCACGCCGCGCTCCGCTGTGCTCCCCACGGTGAGCCGCATCGGTCTGCTGTGGCCGACGAGCCGGCCGGTCCGGAGGTCAAACTCGGGCGGCAGCGACTCGGCGCCCTCCACGCCGTCTTCTCGGATACCACCCTCATCAACCCCTTCCGTTTGTTCTTGCTGCTGCTGCGGCTTGCCCGACGACTCATCACCGGGTACTTGCTCCTCTCGCGACAGCTTCAGCTTTTCAATCCCTCCCCACCATTCGCCGCCCCAGGTCCTCTCCTCCTCGCTCATCAGCGCCACCTCGAGCTCAAAGGGCGTCACTACGGGCCGCCAGTAGCCCGCGTCATCCTCAATCAGCCCGCTCTCCCAACAGCCCACCGCCACCCAGCCCTCCACCTCGGCAAAGTTGGCCAGCTTGGCCGGGTTGAGCTTGCCCACCACGACCGTGTAGCTTTTCTTGCCGGCCTTGGCAATCTTATCGCGCAGCAGGTCAATCGACGACAGGTAGTTGGACACGGACAGTGTATTGACGAGGATGCCGACGACGCCGGCCGAGGCCAGTGACAGGACGCGCGCGAACCGGCGGCGCAGGAGACCTGCTGTTTGAATCGTCGGGTTGTTGAGAGAGGGCGTGGAAGACGAAGGCGTGGAGAGAACGTGGAGGGATGCGAAACGAGAGTGGAGGGCGAGCAGCAGCGACGACGGCGGATCACCAATATGAAAGAGAGAGTAGGCCTTGGTCGCGTCGAGATCAAGTTCCAGGCCGGATATCCTCCTGTTGGGGATGACGCCCGCCGGATCTCCGAAGACGTCTGTCGCAACCATGTTTGTGTATCCCGACGCGCGCAGCTGCGCGACCAGGCCGTCGACATGGTCTTGAAGCGTCAGGTCGGCCATGACGACAACCCTTTCGTCCTTGTCGCCAAATTCGGACTCGAATTCACGCACCACGGCGGCGCGGTCGAGCTCGTGGCAGGTGTAGACGTATATGACGGGCAGCCTGCTCGTGGGGCTGAGACAGGACCGGCCGTAGTGCACGACGACCTGGGCGTCGGCGTGCTCAGCGGCGACCTCATCGACGCAGCAGGCGCTGTAGCTCGTGTCTGCGAGTATGTGGATGCGCCTGGCCTGGGCGGCTTCCGTCGTCTGCAGCTCTTGGTGGAGCGACTCGACGACTCTGGGCGCATCGACGAGCATGTGATCGGGGAACTGCAGGGCAATCCGGGTCCAGCTCCCGTCACGAATCTCAGCTGCCGTGCGGGCAACGTCGTACGTGGTCCGCAGCGCCTTGTCCGACAGCGTCGATCGAGGGGCGGCCTCGGCCGGAGCCTCGAGCATATGGTCGTCGGGAGTCGACAGGACGGGCGGCGCGGCGAGATGGGCAGACATGGCGGGCGAGCGGGGAAGCGAGCGAGGACGCCCGCACACTTTGGATGCGCTTCCTTATGCTCTGCTCTGGTGGCTGGTGTCTATATGTAGGCAATCGGACCATGAGGATGGCGGCTGAAGCGGGTTTGGAACGCAACGAGAGGGTCTGCGGGATGCCTGGGTGAGCGGACTGCAGGCAGCAACAGCATGGTCAAGGTGATGAGACGAGGAAGCAGGGTATGAGACGGGCTGTGTTGGCTGAGGCGAGCCAGTTTTTCTTGCTGCTCTTGGAGGGGAAAAAGGATGTTTGTTGGATTGAGGGTCCCCTGTGCAGATGCGGGGTGGTGGTGCAGATTTGGGCCAGAGGCGGGTGCATATTGTTCCGTGCCACCGACCCCTTGGTAAAGGCCAGCTTAGGATTGGTCGTCTCTTCTCCCTCTGATGGATACATCATCATCAACCAACCGGCTGCCGGACCTGCGAACCATCTGATCGTCCGAGACACCTACTGCCGGTGGAACTCACCATTCTCGAGTCAAGACCTTCAATCAGCAGCCGATAGCGTCACCAAGCATCAAGCACCCTTTGTCGCTCTCCTCCTGTCTGACGATCCCTCAAATCCGGCTCCTCACGGCTTGGGGGCATCGGCCGCTGAGGCTGCCCGTTACTTACCGAGCTACAAAGCGCTCGTCTCTCATCATGGGCCTCTCCGAGAGGTCGGCAACGGCCGCTTTGTCAGCGATTATTTCATTCAATGTTGGCACCAGGGCCTGGTCCATGTTGGCCTCATCCGACACCTTAATTAATCAACTGCCATAATTAAATGGCATACTCTCGGAATCTTCTCGCCGTCGACCTGGGCAATGGGCTTGCCATCAAACCTACTGTCACTCGGTCCCCATATCACATGGAAGCATCACGCGCACCCCTTGGAGGCCGGCGGGGAACATGACTGCAAAGCCTATAAAGACGGCTTCACGACTGTTTCCCAAGACAAACGGACTGCCGGCATCCATTGAGTTTTGAAATCTTGGGCACAAAGGGACCAGGACTGAATTCTGTCTCGACTACTGCCGACATCTGAGCCTCGGGACGCTCCATCATGACTCGCTACCTTACACTCCTGGCCACACTTGGCGCCGTTTCTCATGCCGCCGAGCAGGTTGACCTACCCCCTGACGAGCCTCGTCATATTCTGGCTCAGAGTGTCTTGCAAGATGGTGCCTGGATCCCCAACCTAGAAAGGGCCTCGGCCGCGGGACTCTGTGACGACAAGGGGTTCGATGAAAACCCGCCGTTGTCGCTCCCCAAACGGGCCACCGTCGCGGATCTCAAGTGGCAGCCGGCCCTCGACTTTGACACGGACAGCTGCTACAACGTCCCCGCCATCGGCCCGGACGGCCATATCGATCAGGGCCGGTCCCGGCATGAGACAAACACCGACGGTTGCCGAGACGAACGCGACCTGGACAACAGCAACGTCTACTCGCGGGCGCGGTGCAACGCAAACGGCTGGTGCGCGCACCTCTACGACTACTTCTTCGAAAAAGATATTGGGGACCGCCTGTGCATCGGCCACCAGTACGACTGGGAGCACATTGTCGTGTGGACCAAGAACGGCACGCCGAGGATGGGTGCCGTCTCGGCCCACGGCCGCTACAACGCGCGGCTCTGGCACGACATCCCCAAGTACGAGGACACCCACGTCAAGGCCGTCTACAACAAGGACGGTGCCATTGGGACGCACTACTTTCGCTGGTCGCAAGGCCTGCGCGACGAGCCGCCCGAGAACCACAAGCGCCTGTGGTGGAGGTCAGACCTCGTCTCTTGGAACGGCTTCCCGAGCCTCGAGCTGCGCAACAAACTAGCGAGCTACGACTTTGGCGCGGCGCACATGGCCATCACGGACGCGGCTCTCGCGGGGAACCTGAGGCGGTCGGTCGAGGGCATCCGCGGCCGAATCCCGGACTTTGACTTTGACTTTGACATGGACGAGAGCACATCCCCGTGATAGCCGTAAGTCGACGTCTCCCTCTGGATACAATGCATACGAACTTGTCTTACGTGGCACCAAGTAGGTTGCAGGTTCAAGGGCCGGCATAACGTTTTACAGTGCAGGAAGGCTTGCAGGGACGCAGGCAGCATATTCTGCACATGTGCAATGGCATGACATGCGCACCAAGCTCGTGCTTTGCAGGCAGCAGAGAGCGAACGTTGTTACGAGCAGGCTGAAGCGACAAATTGCGCAAGCCCTGCCACCCAAATTGGAAACTCGTGGCTGCACAGGCGTGGTGTCCCGGTTATCGAGCGGCTCGTGTGGATGGATCCCTGGTTCGTTGTCACAGACCATGACGGTCAAACTCCCACAGCAATCTTGGTCAGTGTCGGAGCGGGCCGGAGCCTGCTTTGAGGTGAGTGGGCACTGGGCAGACAGCCAAGCATCTCATCACCCACCGTCACCTCGCAGCCAGCCAGGATGATGCCACGTGGTCCTGTAACCGCATCTTTCCTGCACTATAGTATGGGACGCCGTCAGAGCCATTTGGTGCTCAGTCTGCTGGCCGACAATGGCGCGGGCACGCCAAACGGCCATGACGGATACTGTACGGGGTCTGGAGTACGGCGGCCATTGGGCAAAGATTCCACTCAAGACCGGGACTGCTTGAGTGGGAGTCACATCTTGCTGGCATTGGCTACGTTCGCGGGAGAAAGGAGGGATCTCCATCTGCCTACGCGCGGCGTGGACGAATGGCGGTATTGCGATTGGAGAAACCGTTGTTCATTCCTCCCCGGAGAAAGCTCTGCAATTGGACGTGGCCCCCTTTCTCCGAGCATGGGGAAAGAGGAAAGATGCGAGGGGGCATGCTGGCATACTGGAGCCAAGCAACGACGTGATTGATTGATGAACCCACTGCCAAGCGTGTCGCCCTTGGAGCATGCAGGTAAGGAGATTGATTTTCCATGTGCACATGTACAGTACAGTACCAGATTCGAAGATGGGCTAACTTAATGCATACAGTAACACACGTATGGCTATTCTCACCTCGATATGTTGTTTGGTCCTGTTTCTTTCCATCAAGCATCAGCCCTTCGGGGCTTGTCGTCTGGGCTTCCCGAATGGGCAAGTACGTGTATGCATGATGGCATCGAATCTGGCTTGAGCCTTGTTCGTCCCCGGACGCTGTCAGTTCGTCTACGAGCAGCCTCTTGACTTGTCCGTCCACCTCGGTCATAAGCTCCGCGGCGACATCATGGCCTGCTACAATATATGTTTTGATGGTGTGGAACGTGATGAAGAGGTCAATGCAGACTACGGTTACCCGTTTGCAGAACGCGGAAGCGTTGGCACCGAGCTTTCTCGACAGTGAAGGGAGGAGGCTAAATGTGCCTCAGATGGATAGATGCACGGACGGCAACCAGAGGTGGTTTGATGGGTCGCGATGCGCCCAAAGAGACTCATCACCTCATCTTCTCCAATGCACACCCCGAATGACTCTGTACGGTGGGCAAAGATATCCTCGATGTTCTCTTCTCGTTTTCTCTCGTCCCCTTTCCTCGCGCATTATGCTTCATATCTCTTCCCCCTTTCTAATGCAGCTGCCTTTCCGTCGCCCTGCGTCATGACCCATCTCGACAACCTCTTCATAGCGAGCTAAGCCAGACGCATCAAGTCATGGACGCGAGCGACGTTGACTCCCCTCGGCACTTTTTAGAGGGCAAGACCATCTTCGTGGCGGGCGGAGGCATCGCCGGTCTAGCCCTGGTCGCCGGCCTGCGCAAGCTGTGGGATCCGCAGCTCACGCCGCCCACTGTTGTCATATTCGAACGTGACGACCGCGACCCTTTGCGGCGCCGTGTCGCCGAGTCCTTTACCCTCTCGCTAGCGGGTCATTCCGAGGTCGGCGGGCTCGTTGTGCTGCAGAAGCTGGGGCTCATCGACAACGTCTTGGCCTGCGCCGTCGCCGGGCAAGACGACGGTGAGGCATCGGGGGCATTCAAGATCTGGGGGGCCGACTGGTGCGAGCGCATGCGGATCCGTCGCAAGCCCCTGCATGGCCTGCCCACGGCCAACGTCCGCATCTCTCGTGGCGACCTGCGGCGCGTTCTGCTCGACGCCGCCGTGGCCGATGCTGACGACGCCTGGCAACATAGCCACGTGCGGTGGGGGTCGCAATGCCAATGCTTTACGAGACTCGACGACGGTCGGCTGAGGGTCATCGTCGGCCGTAGGAGGTCGTCGGCCGTTCAACCCCGACAGATGGCCGGGAAGGGCGAGCTCAACCGTGACGATGGCGATGAGAGTCAGAGGCGGGTGTCAGAGGATCGAGTTTGCGACTTGCTAGTGGCTGCCGACGGGGCCCACAGCAAACTGCGTCCCTTTGTTCGCCCCGGGGACAAGCTGGAGTATGTCGGCGCTGTCCTGCGCGGCGGCCTGTCGCTATTCGAAGAGGGCAGCGTGCCGAGTCCCCCGGGCCGCGACTGGGGCTTCGTGGTGTCCGACGGCGGTGTCTCGTGCTTCGTGTCGCCCGTCGATAGCCGAACCGTCTTCTGGGCCGTGGGCAACCTCGAACGTGACCCGGTGTTGGAGCTCAGGAGTGGGTCGAACCGAGACGACGAGGCAGAAGCAGCCGCGCCGGCGGCCGTCATCGGGCGCGTCAGAGAGCTCGGCGCCGTCTTTGGAGAGCGCTTTGCGACGCTTACGGCGCGGACGGAGCCCAAGACGGTGTTTTGCACCAACGCGCGCGACAAGCGGCCCTTTGCGCACGACGACATCTTGGCCCGGGGCTGGCCCGTTTTGTTCATCGGCGACAGCAACCACGCGCTGAGCCCGTTTGCCGGCTTCGGGGCCAACCTGGCGCTGGCCGACGGGTGGGACCTAGCCGAGCAGCTGTGCCGGGCCAAGGGCGGGTCGCTGGCGGAGGCGGTGGCGGCCTATGATGCCTTGAGCGGGCCCCGGGCGAACAGGGTGCTGGCTGCGTCGCGGCGGACGATGCGGGCGGCACACGGGGCGGGGTGGTGGGCATGGCTCTACTGGGTTGTGCTCGTGGCCGGGCGGTGCGCTGCATGGATCGGGGGGATGGTCATGGGGGCGGCTTCTGCGGTGGCTTGCTGGCGGAGCGGAGGGGCGCCCGGGGCGGGGGCCCGTGCTCGGGCCGGGGCGCGGGCCGGGGGCGCGGGATGAGAATCGTGTCCGGGAATGGCCCTCGATGCACCATGCCGATGGCACTATTGTCTGCCTAGGTATTTTGGCAACCTCGCAGGCGTATGCGGGAGTATATAGAGATTGGCTTGGGCTAGATGGCTTTTACGAAGCGAGGCTTCAGGTAGCAGCATGTATCCAGATCTGTTGTCCGCATATTTGCAGCTCCGGTCAACCTGCGAACCGCCAAGCATACCGCGATGCCTCTTGGCCCTGTTGGACGCTAGGACTTGACGCAAGCGCAAACAGGCTCGTAGTTATGGGGTGTAAGGGTCATAAGACCGCCATTGACAGAGCCACACTCAGGTCCCTTTGTGAAAATGTTCTTCGGGTAGTTCTGGATACCCCCACTGATGATACGATCCTCGCCCCGGCTCAGATTGCCGCTGTTGTAGTTGTCGCGGAACCCCCAGGCGCAGCCCTGCAGACGATAAGAGTTCCTTGACGCAAACGTTTCCTGGCAGTCGCGCGATGCACTTGCGAATCGACTCTTCCTTGGCTGCCGAGTTGCCGGCTGAAGGGCCGGCGGCGGCATTGCCAGCCTTGTGTGGGCATTTGCACTTGGGCGCCTCGTCAGCTACCGCACACGGGAGGAGGTACTTTTCTCTTTTCCAGCTTACATCTTGGGCACAGTTGGCCTGGATTTTGGCAGTGGTCGCGGCGGCAGTCAGGCCGGCGCAGGCAAAGAGTACCAGTCCAAGGAACCTCATCTTGACGGGCAAGAGAGCGTTGGTTGGGTTGGAAAGATGGGGCTTTCAAGAGATTTGTAGATCCAAGGCAAAACTTGTAGAGAGGGTGAAAGACACAGAGGTTGATATTCGTTCTGGGGCAGGCGGTCTTTATTTTACACGGCTGCAGTGGCGCTTCAGTCTTGATGGACTTGAAGAGGGTGTTCCAGTCATGCCAGGGAGAAGAGTGCCAGGAGTCACCTCGCAATGCCGTTGCTCCTGACTAGATCAAGGAGACCGGGATACCGCGTCCGTTCTGCACAGTGAGAAAAGCTGCGTCGCCGGGCATGCAATATTGTGGTTCGAGCATCTCCTGTCTGCTTCAGCCCTTTGTCGAAGATGGGATGGACGGCCTGTTTGGCTGTGAGAGCTGCAGATATTCGAATCACGGGTACTTGATCGCCCCGTGTAACAGAAATGACGCATATTACACGTATAGAGATGGAGACGAATCCATGGGTAGACTTGTTATCGGCTCGGGCAAGGGACATGTGCAAGTAAGACGGCGCTCAGTATAAGCACCAGGTTGGCTGCATGTTCTTGTTTTGGCCAGACTGCGGTATTAACTGTTGACCCAGTCGGATCCGAACCTAGTTTGCGCCGACTTTCCTGGAGACGAGCTTCTCCCGTACACTTCGTTTCAGTCGACTGGCCATGGCAGGTTGACCCTCTCTCCGACTACATATAGAGCGGACCACGTCGCCTATCAGTTGTCGACGCCAATCAGCTGCGCCTGCCAGACTGGCAGAAATGCTACATCCGACATGATCTGTCTGCTGTAGACGACACGGTCTACATGTGATTTCTACAAGAAACAACGGCACATGTACGGAGTAACGCTGATAGCTGACCCGTGCCCGTCTCAGGACTTGACTCGAGTGTGCTGTGACGACGACGAGGGGGAAGCTCGGGAGAGCACCATGTAATCCCCCTGGCGGCGGTCATGGAGAAGGGGCAGAAAAATCAACTTGCTTTTCGCCAACCCGCGTCGGCCTGTTTGACTGCCGCTTGGTCTCGACACCCTTTTGCTCGTCTCGTGTCCAACTCTTGCTACTAACCGTACCATCTATATACCCGTCGGGGATCCGGGTAGGAAGTTGTCCGTATACCGAGGCCGTTTCTTAAACCCTCCGACACGACGGGATGCCATCGACTTTGCTCGCACTGCCGCTGCTCCCAGGGCGAGCCCACGGCAGGGCAGAGGCTTCGGTCGGTTGCACTGCTCGAGACAGGTGGTGTCTCCTGGATGTGCAGCGAATTGGTCGACGTATTCGGCGACTTTGCAACGACAAGTAATTAAAAGTCTAAAGTAAAAAGATTGCAGTAAAGAACTAAAGATCGAAAAAGACTGAAGTTTAATGGCGCAAGGAACGCGTCTGTCGCGGGGTCCAAGGGGCGCGTTAAGGGAGCGCGTCTTGCACTGTGCATTTCCGGCTATTTTCCCCGGTGTAATACCGTGCAGAGTATGTCCCTGGCACCGTGCTTCAACCCCAGACGCGACTGCTGAAGAAAAAACGCGACGCGTGGACCCTCGTCTCTCCTTTCCGCCCGTCAGACTGTCTCTCTCGCCTTGCCTCTGGCAGACTCAATCCCGTCGATGCCGTCGTTCTTGTCCCGAGTCCTGTAGATTGCGCTTCTCGCAGTCCCTCCTTCCCCCATCGCCGGGCTGGCTTCCATCTCGCGATAGCAGCACGCAATCCAGCAGTTCCCGAGAGCTTCCACCACCAACGCCCTCCACCTCTCTCTCTCCCTGGCGTCGTCTAAACGAGCCTGACTTCATCTGACTTCATCATGGCCGGAGACAGCAAGGCCGGCAGCTCCGCTCGCACCCCCGCGCGGGCCACGCCCAAGCCATCGGCCCCGGCCTCGTCCGCCTCCAAGCAACGCTCCATCGCCTCCTTCTTCCAAAAGTCCTCGCCCTCCGAAAAGGTGGCTCCCGCTCCTCACCGCCCCTCGTCGTGTCTGCAAGAGACCACCAAGGCCAACGCTCTCCCCAAGCTCAGGCAAAAGCCCTCAGCAAAGCTGTCCACCCCAGTCCCCAGCAGCGACGCCCTCGACGCCCCCAGCTCCCCTACCGGCGACGAGAACCTCGCCTCTGTCTCCAGGCCGCTGTCGTCGCCTTCCACGACGAGTGCCACTGCGACACTAACTTCAGACCCAAGGGTGGGGCATCGGTCCACTCCCAAGGCCGTCGACCAGCCGAGTCCTTCTCGCAAGGTAGGTATTCCTAAGGACACCACGTCTCCATATCGACGGCTGAATACTGACACAATCTCTCCCAGGCCAAAAAGGTCATCAGCTACGCCGAGTCCGACGAGGACGACGATCCCTTTACCTACGGCGGGGCCCCCAAATCACGACGCCGAGCCAACAGACAGCCCCGCCCTGCCATCAAAGATGAGGACGACTACGACGACAGCGATGCTGCAGAGGCCCTCGAGGACAACGACGATGGTCTGCTACCTCTCACCCGGCGGCCCCGTCCAAACGCGAGGGCGCCACAGTTGCTGACTTTGGCGACAGATGACATGGCAGACTTTGTCGTATCCGATGAGTCCGACGGAGATACCCCACGTTCCAGGAAACGGAAGCGATCCTCCAACAAATCGCAGACGGCCCGGAAGCGCTCCAACGTCTCCTCCCCGCCCACAAAGCGGGAACAGTCCCCGCTGCCCATCGAGGCCGTCGATGACCTGCTCATGGACGACTTGAGCCCGACCTCGACCGCCGCCCAATGGAGCTACGATGCCGAAGCCACCGACAAGCGCCCCGTCACCAAGCCCGCCGAGCGCGCCGCCCGAGACCCCAAGATCAAGGAAAAGGCGCACACGAGGGAGCCCGAGGAGCGCTACCCCTGGCTGGCAGACATCCGCGACAAGGACAAGCGCGCCCCGGGGGACCCAGAGTACGACCCGAGGACCATCTACATCCCGCCCATGGCCTGGAACAAGTTCTCGCCCTTTGAGAAGCAGTACTGGGGCATCAAGCAGAATCTGTGGGACACCATTGTCTTCTTCAAAAAGGGCAAGTTCTACGAGCTATACGAAAACGACGCTACCATCGGCCACCAGCAGTTTGACTTTAAAATGACCGACAGGGTCAACATGCGCATGGTTGGCGTGCCCGAGAGCTCCCTGGACCACTGGATCAACCAGTTCATCGCCAAGCAGTTCAAGGTGGCACGCGTCGACCAGATGGAGACCAACCTCGCCAAGGAGATGCGCGAGCGCCAGGACAAGACGGGCAAAAAGGCCGACAAGGTCATCTCGCGCGAGCTGGCGTGCGTCCTCACCGCCGGCACCCTCGTCGACGGCAGCATGCTCCAGGACGACATGGCCGCCTACTGCCTCTCCATCAAGGAATCCGTCGTCGACGGCTCGCCGGCCTTTGGTATTGCCTTTGCGGACACGGCCACCGGCCGCTTCCGCCTCTCCGGCTTCGTCGACGATGCTGATCTCACCAGGTTCGAGACGCTGATTGCCCAGACTGGGCCCCGCGAGCTTGTCCTCGAGCGCTCGCGCCTCTCGACAAAGGCCCTCCGCATCCTCAAGAACAACACGACCCCCACGACCATCTGGACCTACCTCAAGCCCGGCGTCGAGTTCTGGGACGCTGACGTGTCGCGCCGCGAGCTGGGCTGCGGCAGCTACTTTGCCGCCGAGGACGGGGCCGAGGAGGCTTGGCCCGAGGCCCTGCAGCGGCACCGCGACGACGACCTGGTCATGTCGGCTGTCGGCGGCCTCGTCTCGTACCTCAAGTTCCTCAAGCTGGAGCGCCCTCTCCTGTCCCAGGGCAGCTTCGAGACGTACAACCCGATCCAGAAGAACGGGACGCTGGTCCTGGACGGGCAGACGCTCGTCAACCTGGAGCTGTTTGCCAACTCGGCCACCGGCGGCCACGAGGGCACCTTGTTCAGCCTGCTCAACAAGTGCGTGACGCCCTTTGGGAAGCGCCTGTTTCGGCAGTGGGTGGCGCATCCGCTGTGCGACATGCGGCGCATCAACGAGCGGCTGGACGCCGTCGAGCTGCTCAACGCCGACGCGACCGTGCGCGAGCAGTTTGCGTCGCAGCTCGTCAAGATGCCCGACCTGGAGCGGCTCATCTCGCGCATCCACGCCGGCGCGTGCAAGCCCGAGGACTTTGTCCGCGTGCTCGAGGGCTTTGAGCAGATAGAGTACACCATGGGCCTCCTCGGCGCGTTCACGGGCGGCGACGGGCTCGTCGACGGGCTCGTCTCGTCCATGCCCGACCTCGACGAGCCGCTGAGCTACTGGAAGTCGGCGTTTGACCGCCGCCGGGCGCGCGAGGGCAAGCTGCTGATTCCCGAGCGCGGCATCGACGACGACTTTGACGAGAGCCTGGACCGCATCGACGGCATCAAGGCGCAGCTGGAGCAGCTCCTGCAGGCGAAAAAGGCCGAGCTCAAGTGCAAGACGCTCAAGTATACCGACGTCGGCAAGGAGATTTACCAGGTGGAGGCGCCCAAGGCCGTCAAGGTGCCGTCGAGCTGGCGGCAAATGTCGGCGACAAAGGACGTCAAGCGCTGGTACTTTGGCGAGCTGACGCAGCTGGTGCGCGAGCTGCAGGAGGCCGAGGAGACGCACTCGCAGCTGGTGCGCGAGGTGGCGTCGCGCTTCTTCCAAAAGTTTGATGTCGACTACGGCGTGTGGCTGCGGGCGATCCAGGTGGTCGCGCAGCTCGACTGCCTCGTCAGCCTCGCCCGGGCGTCGACGTCGCTCGGCCAGCCTTGCTGCCGGCCGCGGTTCGTCGACGAGGAGCGCAGCCGGGTCGAGTTTGAGCAGCTGCGGCACCCGTGCATGACCAACACGGTCGACGACTTTATTCCCAACGACATTCGGCTCGGCGGCGACGAGGCCAAGATTAACCTGCTCACGGGCGCCAACGCGGCGGGCAAGTCGACGGTTCTCCGCATGGTATGTGGCCCCCTTTTCCGCCCCCCCAGCCCGTCCGCTGCGTCCTCGTTTCTGTTGGAAGAGACAAGATCCCTTGACGTCTTCAGAGGCTAACGCCCCACAGTCGTGCGTCGCCGTCATCATGGCCCAGGTTGGGTGCTTCGTCCCGGCCGTGTCGGCGCTGCTGACGCCCGTCGACCGCATCATGTCGCGCCTGGGCGCCAACGACAACATATTTGCCGCGCAGTCGACCTTTTTCGTGGAGCTGTCGGAGACGAAGAAGATTCTGTCCGAGGCCAGCCCGCGCTCGCTCGTCATCCTCGACGAGCTGGGACGAGGGACCAGCTCGTATGACGGCGTGGCGGTTGCGCAGGCGGTGCTGCACCACGTGGCGACGCACATTGGCTGTGTGGGCTTCTTCGCGACGCACTACCACTCGCTGGCGACCGAGTTTGAGAACCACCCGGAGATTCGGGCGAGGCGGATGCAGATTCACGTCGACGACGAGGAGCGGCGGGTGACGTTTCTGTACCGGCTCGAGGACGGCGTGGCCGAGGGCAGCTTCGGGATGCACTGCGCCTCCATGTGCGGCATCGCGCGGCCGGTGGTGGAGAGGGCCGAGGTGGCGGCCAAGGAATGGGAGCACACGAGCCGGCTCAAGGAGAGCCTGGACAAGGCCAAGACGGGCTGCTACATCCCGCTGGGGATCTTGAGCGACGTGGGGGCGCTGCTGGGCGACAAGGGGGATGTGAGCGACAAGGGCGTTGATGTGTTGCTGAGGGCCATTGCATGCCTGTGAGGGTCGGGTGGTCGAGGCAAAGATGTGGGATGCGGGAGCTGTCGTGCGTGGGACTGGCATCAAGCCCACATGTTTTTCACTCTGGCAGGATGGGTCATTAATGGTCAGCTCGAGGGCTTTAGATGGACGTCGATGGACAAGGGTCACAAGAGACGGCCTGGCAGACGAGGAAGAACAAGGGATGCCTGTTGTCATGGAGGTGTTGTTTGCGGGGGTTACTGGTACTGCGGACGAGCGGACGAGGGATCATATATTGCTGCTTTTTAGCTACTAAAATACGAAATAAATGAAAGATGTTAACTAATTCTTCCTCTAAGCTAAAGGTTTAAAACCTAACAAGTTACATTACTTATATCCGATGGGTCGGACGGCCTTTGATTCCTGCCAGGGGTAGCCCGGCGCTTCAACGTCACACGACGAATCCAGGGTGACGGAACGGAGCACTGTTTGGTGAACAACAACGATTGTGCAGTGGCCAGACATTTTATCACCTAGGCCACCTTGGACTGCCTGGTCTTTGGAGACGGAACAGCCTGGGTGAAGATGGGATCGGCAGCCTGACTATTCTCGCGTCCAGCATTCTTCTATGGGTTCGCCGACCTGGCGGCCAGTCTTGCATTTCATACATCAACACTGCTGTCTCCGTCCATCGCCACGCCATCCATCCTTACGCGTCCTGTTTGTACCGCTGTCTGCGTCCTACTTTGAACAGTCAAAGGGCAAGGGGACGAATGCAGCCTGAACCGTAACCAGAAATCAACATGAACAACAACCAAACCAGTACAAAAACAACAACAGCAGCAGCAAGCAAGAAAGCAGCAAAAACATAAACTCCTGGGCGCCTATTCATTCGTCGTGCGTGTCTGTACGTTACAAAGGGACCCGTTGCCCTTCTCCACTCTCCCTGCTTCGGGTGCTGCTTCTCTTCTCTCCTCCATGCTCAGTTCTTCTTGGCCTTGCCCCTGAGTCGGGCGGATCGCCTCGTGGGCTCGGCTGCGAGAGGGGGAGCGGGAGGGACAGCGTGTTTCTTGGCGCGCTTGGGCGCCGGGGCGTCGTCGTCTTCGGGGATGTTGGTCGAGGGCTCGGGCGCTTTGCGCTTCTTCTGGGCGGGCGTACTTTTCGCCTTGGTGGCCTTGGTGGCCCTGGCCGTCTTCTTCGGCTTGGCTGCCTCGACAGGCTCGGTGGCCGCCGCAGTCTGAGTGGATTCGGGGGTCTCGGCTGTTCTGCCAGACTTGCCCGCCCCGGTGGGCTTGGTCGCCTTCTTTGGCTTGCTTTCCTCGGCAGTCTGGATGCTCTCGGCGGTTTTCCTCGACTTGGTCGTCTCGACAGTCTTCATGGACTCGGCAGTCCTGGTCGCCTTGGTCGCCTTGGCCGCCTTGGGCGTCTTGGTGGTTTGGGCAGTCTTGGCCGTCTTCTTCCTCTTATTCGCCACAGGCTCGTCGGTCGCAGCCTCTGCGTCCTCTGGGTTGTCGGCCGCGCGCTGTCGCTTCTTGCCGCGCGCCGGGCCGCTGGTCTCGACGCTCTGCTTCTCCTCTTCGAGCTTCTTTGGCTCTTCATCCTGCTCTGGCCCTTGGCCCTCGTTCGCCTCTTCGCTCTGCTCATTCTGCTGCCGACTCTCCATCGCAGGCTGCAGCGTCGTCGTCCCGGCCATGTTGCCGAGGATGGCGGGCGGTTCGCTCATCGCCCGTCCGCGTGTCTCGGTGCCGTTGTCGCCACGCACCTCTTCTTCCTCGATGTCCTCATAAACGTCGAAGTCGTTGTCCAGCGACGGCTCCTTCTGCTGCTCGGTCGGTGCCACGAGAGCCTCGGTGCTGGGCGGAACGGTGAGCAGGCGGCGCAGGTAGCGAGCGCCTATGGCCCACAGGTCCGAATTTATGTCTACGTGCATCGGCGCAGCAAGGACAGAGGGGTCGCTCGAGTTGAAACGTATTCTGTCGTCCGGCAGCGCACCAGGGTCGTTCTCCTTGTCTGGTTCCTCGTCTTCGTCGGCAGGTGGTGCCGGGGGTCGAGACGCCGCCGTCTGGGTCAGGGGTTGCCGCACAGGGGCCGAGGCCGCGGCGGAGGAGGAATCGACCGGCATGAGGGGAACCGAGGCGACGACGCTGCCGCTGCCGCCGTCGCGATGGTGGAGCTTCATCCGCTGGACGCCGAGGAGAGCCATGAGGTGGTGACTGTGCTTCCGGCGCAGGTGCTCGTCGCGCTCGCCATCGTTCCAGAACTCGCCCAGCGGCTCGTCGCACCAGAGACACTGGCGGACGACGTGGCGCACGCGTGCGTGGGCCTCGAGGACGCGCTGGTTGCGCGCCTCGTCGGCCCAGGGCTTCCAGTTGAAGCCGCAGTTGGCAAACGGACACTCGATGACGGGGTCGGGCCTCTGCTGCGGGACCACCGGCGCCTGGGTCACCGGCGCGAACACGTCTCCCAGCGTGCCGCTCCCTCTGGCCATGGGGGTCCGGTAAAAGGGGACCAGCGTATGCTGCGTCTGGGGAGCGGCGACGACGCGGCCGTACCGCGGACCCCAGACGTTGGACCGCGCCACGCTCATGCGCCAGTCCAAAGACCTTGAGGCCGGCCAGACGCGGACAACGGCCTTGCGGGTCGGGATCTGGGCGCGGACGCGGAACCAATCGTCGTCGGTCGCGTCCGGGCCGAGGAAGAAGGTCGAGCTCTCGAAGGGCGCGTCCCACTCCTCGGCCCCTTTCTCGGACGAAGGCGTCGGCAGAAGCGGATGGATACTGACATGGTGAAGGCGCGGGTCATATGCGAGGTCATCTGCGAGGCCATCTGCGAGGTCATCGGCGAGCTCCTCGTTGCCGCGGCGCGGGACCAGCCGGCACAGCTCGGCGACGTGTTGGCGGAACTCCTTGGCCGACGAGCCCAGCGGCGGCAGGGCGACCGAGGCACCGTCGTCGGCGTCCATGGCATCGAGGCCGGCCGAGCGGGCCCAGCCAGGCAGCATCCTCGTGTCGCGGCGGCGGTACTCGGGGAAGACGAGGATGGAGCGCGGCGGCGCGTCGGCAAGGACGGCCAGCGCATCGGCGGCCTCCGGGTCGAGGACGGAGCCCGGCTTGTCCCCGAGGGGCAAGAGGAGCTGTTTCTGGTGCCGCGGCTCGGAGCCGTCGGCAGGGCTTCCGACCAGCAGGCGGACGTGGCGCAGCTCGGCGGCGAGGTCCTTGCGTCTCTCGGCCGCGTCGTCGACGGCGTCGAGGAAGCGAGCAACCATGACGCGGATGCGCGAGGCGGCGGCGGCGGCGGCGGCGCCGGGCAGCACGAGCCCCGGCGACGCGGCCACTGCCCTCGCCGACGATGAGATGCCGCGGGACAAGAGGTCGGCGACGGCGACGACGGCCAGGCAGTCGGCGGCCCGCGGGTAGAAGCCCGGCAGCACGAGGGCGACGTGGTCGTCTGCCAGGTCGCGCTGCTCCAGGTAGATGTCGCGCGGCGCCGGCGGACGCTGCCCCTGGTTTCTCTCGACCGGGTGCAGCGCATGCACGTCGGTCGGGCGCAGCGTCGCGAGGCCGTAGCCGATGGACGTGCCGGCCTCGGCCCCGGGCTCCGTGCCGGTGTGGAGGCGGAACACGTCGTGGCCCTTCTGGCCGACCAGGACATCGACGGCCGTCCGGACTGCCGCCGTGGACTGGGCGGCGTCCCAGCTTCCCGCGTGCTTGCCGTCCGGGCCGCCGCTCGTCTTGGGAAAGGCCAGGTACGCACACGAGGGGGGCGGCGGCGGCGGCGGTTGAGGCGACTGGTGAGGCGACTGGTCCTCGGGCGCCGGGTCCTCGGGCGCCGCCGCGGCATAGACGATGCGCGCCACGTCGGTCCGCAGCTGGCTGTCCGTCGGCACCCATTGCACAGGCGTCCGCTCGTCGCGGAGGCGGACGAAGAAGGCCGAGTGGTCGAGGCCAGGGGCACCGACGTACGCCATGGTGCCGACGGCGTTGTTTCTCGCGTTACTGTTCTTGTTGCTGCTGCTGTTGGCCGTCTTGTTGTCGATATCCATGTCCTTCATATCCGTGTATATGTCTTCCTCGTCGTTTCCGTCGTCGTCATTGTTGTTGTTCCCGTCGGCGAGGTTCCGGGCGATAAACTCGACGCCCGCTCCGTCGTCGCCCAGGGACAGGTCATCTTCCAGCTCGACGATGCGCGCCGTGGCCGCGTCATAGTGCAGGAGCGTGTACGGCTCGTCGACGGCATCACCACCGCCGGCGCCGGCGGCGGGCTCCGGCAGTGACAGCAGACGGCGGACGGCGCTGCGGAACGAGGCCCAGTTGCCGGCGAGGAAGTGGACGGCGCCCTGGAAGCCGTACAGCGGCACCCATTGCTGCTTCTCGGCCTCGACGCCGGTGGCGCCCTCCGAAGAGCCCGAGCCCGTGCTGAAGAGGGAGCCGAAGTCGGCTTCGCCCTCGTACCGGGCCGTCACGTCCATCTGATCCTGCTCCAGAAGATTGACGTCCCGGGGGGACGCATCACGGCTGACGGCGGGCGAGAATTCACCGCCCGCCTGCTGTTCAGCTTCGAGGGCAGCGGCTGGGAGAGCCGTGTGTCAGTCTTGTCTGTCCGGGCCCTGCGGTGAGGATCACGACTTACGTGCTGCCTTGGCTGCTTCCTCTTCCTGCTCCAAGGCGTCCCACAGCTCTACAAACTCATTCACCCACGCACGCTCGATTTCCGTGTTCCAAGTTTGGCGCCGGCTGGTTGGCGTGTTCAGATTCGCAAGCCCCTGGAGGCCGCCGAGGCCCAATGACTGACGTCCCAACGAGGGCCGTCCAAATGATGCCCGTCCCATCGATGACCGTTTTGCAGACATGATGTTCTCCACGGACACACAGGCCTTGCTTGGCTGTCTCCGAACGGTTCGCTCACGTCAAACGCGTGGTGAATGGGTCGTGCCGGGCCCCCCTTTTTTTCTTTTCTTGTTTGCTCCCGCGGATCCTGCTGCTTGGCCTCGTTGCTGGTGTGTTGCTTGTATTTTCTCAGGAGAGTGTTTCTGGTCCACGTCGTGAAAGTGTGAAGAAGGGGGGGGGAAGGTCAAGAGAATATAAGGTGGAAGGGTGTGTGTGCGAGTTGGGCAAAACGTGTTCAAAGGCTGCTTCGTCTGAACGACAGGCTGCTTCTGATGATCAAGTTTCGTCGCTTGTTCTCGTTATTACGTGAGCTGTGATGAAGAAAGGGGAGAGAAGAACGTCTGTCAGTGCAGACGGCGAGGTGGTGATGGTGGAGAGGTGAAGAAGGGGGAAGAGATTTCTTCGCGTCCAGTCAAATGATGGAGGGCCCTTTTGTTATGACAACGAGGGCTTGAACCTCTGCCGCGGGCTGAACAGGTCGGGGGGTGAATGGGTCAGTCGCCCATTGTCCGACTGGCCGCGCAGCCGGCATCGACTGTTCATGGTGACTTTACAGTTACCCAGGGGGACAAAGAGTCTGAACAGCACGTGGACAGAGGAGATGAACGGTCCTTGAAAACAGGGAAGTCTCCTGTCTTTGAGGTGCAAAGAGGCATAAATAAGCGAGGGTGCAAACGGATCCAAGATGACGATGGGCATGGATGATGCTGCAAACGCCGCCGACTTTTGGCGTGGGCCCGAGCTTGAGGCTCGGGGTTTTGTTTGGCTATTTGTCCTCGCTCACTGTTCGATGTAGGGAGAGGCTCTGTCGAGCCGTCTTTGTTGATGTGGTTGCACCATTTTCTTTGTTCCGAGGCCTTGCTCTGCGGCAACCCGTGTGCAGGCGGCATCATGTGGCCTTGAAGCGGGACGGGATCACCATGGGTTGACGGGAGCACGGCAGACGGTCAAAGTACTATTGAAATAGCAATTGACTCCAGGCAGCCCCCCGTGAGTTGGAGTGCGTGTCAGTCGATGCGGTCTGACGGCACGTTGACGGTCTGGCAAGTTGAAAACGTTCAAGCTTCTCAAACCCGGCCGTGTTCCTGTTGGCTTTTTGATAATAGACGCAGAATATCGCAGGAGAATAGAGATGACCACTCAAATTGCTACGCCATGGATTATGCGTCTGGGGGACGGCGACAGTTGAGCCTATTCTTTGGCTTGAATGCCGGATATAGCACGAGACAATGGCTGGCAAAACAGGCAGCCTCAGGGTAGGCCATCAACGCGGTTACGTGAAGTCGAGGCTTGGGAATAGACGTCACGTTTATGATTTTCAGATGGCACGATGGCGTACACGGGTGTTCTATCATGGTGCAAGCCTTTACCTCGGGCTTGCCCGACTCGGGCCTACTCGACCCGGGCCACCAGCGGATCCTTGCGTAGAGCAGAAAGCGGGAGGCCAAGCGTTTCTTTGTCGACGCTCTGACGATTGGGTGAGACAAACCTCGCGCTTGCAGCAGAGGCCAAGCAGGAAGAATAGACATGAGAAAAAGGAGAAGGCAGGAAACCATGGATCGGCTGTTTGAAATGCGAATGAAGGCGTCTCCTACAAGTGCTGACATGCAGTGCGTTCAAGGACAAGACGAAGGGGACGAGAGGCCTTGTTTCAGCCCTGACATGACTGCCACTGCATGTATAAGCACAGGACTCGGTAGCAGCGCTGTTGGTTTGGGCCGAGCTTGTTGGCTGAGACAAGACGCTGTCGACACGAGGCTCGAGCCGTGCCGAAACGCAGAGAGGGTCGGCAGTTTTCAACGCGCTGCGTCTTGCCAGCGCTGACATGGCCAGCAGTCCACCCTGGCTTGGGTCAATGTTGCCGTTGCCTGGAGAAGCTTCACCCAGAGCCTGGACTGCAAAGACGACATGGGCTTGAAGGCTTTCACAGTGAGTGCAACCGCATATGTGATTGTGGACATCCATGTCCATGCGCCGAGAGAGACCAAAGAGTCAAATCGACGAGGTTCGCCGTCGGCAGTGCCCACGCCGCCTCGGCCGCCACCGCCTCTCCGGTCTCGACGGCGGCGCTCTTGGTCTCGCTCGGCGCACGGATGGATGCAGTCCCTCCCCAGAGGTTCGGCATGGCAAGGCCTGATCTGGTGCCATCTGATGACGGACGTCTGGCGATGAGGCAGTGAAGCACGAGGTTCAGTTATGCATGTATGCTGTGCATGCATAATGTGCAGCTTTTACTCGCGTGTCGGGACATATGCATCTGTCCGGTACCTTTGCAACTGTCGGGGAGTTGGCGCCCCAACCGCCATGCCGCCATCGTCTTCTGCTCGGCCTCGACGCCGACAGCCCGCACCGTCTCAGGCGTGCCGGCACCCACCGTCTTTGACCGCACCGTCGTCGCCCGCACCAAGGCCACCAGGCTCAAGGAGCCCGGGACCTTGAGCCCGAGACCTTGAGCCCGAGACGTGCGTCCTCGTGGCTACCGTCAACGCCGCCGGCGACTCCATTCCCCCGTGGCTCGTCCTCCAGACGTCCTCGACGACGGCGTATTGGCCAGGTTCCGGTGGCGGCAGCAACCGAGTTTCAAGGTTACCTCCCACGATGGTGTCGTGCGTGGCTGAGTCGAGAATCAGGTCTTGACAGCGACTTGAAAGCGCCAGACAGGGGGTGACTCCCAACGCTGTCCTTTGCAGTTGACGGGCAGGTCCCGGGTCTCCATCGCCCCCAGTTCCGCCAGTGGGTGCAACGTGTTTCCAGCACCATCTCGCCACGGAGAAGCCTCGACGATGCACCACGTGCGCAGGAGAAGGCGGCACATAAATCGAAGAGAGCACGGCTGGCTGAACGCGGTGGCCAGACCGATCCCCTTTCTCTACGAGCCCCAGATACACTGATAATGCGACACGCGTCTGCCCTAATGTGGAAGAGTCGGCTTCAAGTTAACCGTCAATTTGCCTTAAGACTGCAATAGATCTTGGTCGCCTTTTGGTTGGCCGGCCGGAACGGATAGACCTTGTCACCTCCTTCATCCTCCTCCTCATACGTCAGAGTGTCAAAGGCCGACACGACCTGGCCCGAGAACGGCGGCGGCGGGTTCGCCCAGACGTGCTGGACGGCATCTGACAGCGTCTCAATCTGGATGCCGCGGAAGCCCTTTGCGGCCGCCGTGTGCATCATGCAATGCGCCATCTTCTTCATCAACCCCCTTCCTTCATAGTCGCTCCGCGTGTTGGTTGCGTTTCGGAGCAGCAGCTCTCCAGGCTTGTCGGCTGCCCACGAGCTGCGTGGGCGCGGGTCAAGTCTCTCGAGGGCTCCGTAGAAGGTGGCGTAGAGCGGCATCGCTCCGATCAGGCCCTCCATCCTGGCGTGGTCCAGGGGGTGAGCGCTGTCGTAGGCGAGGGCGACGGACACGAGGGCAAAGTCCATCTGCTCCAGCAGCTGGTCGCCACTGGCCTCGGTGTCGTCTTGGTCCCAGTAGAGCCTGCCGCCCGTGGCCTTGGACTGGTCGCGCTTGAACTGGTACTCGTTGTCGAAGACGCCGAGCGAGTGGCCCGACTCGACCTGGTGCCGGACGAGGTACTCGACGTTTCTCATGGCGTCGTGGAGACGCGCCGTCTTGTCGTCCGGGTACACGACTGGCCACACGGGCGAGTGGAAGATGTTGGTGTGGGTGACAAGGGCGCTGACCCATTCGATGTGCTCGGGGCCCAGGACGCGAATCTCGTAGCGAGGCGGAAGGCCTGCCTCCATCATCATCACGGTGGATGATGTGAGCCTTCGGTATGTCGTTTGGATTATTCGCACGAGCGTGGACGGTAGGCGCTCGAGTTTTCGATGGAAGCTGGAGAGGAATCGGGGCGAGACCAGCGGGCAGACAGGAGGTCTCAAGGCTCGACAAAACACGCAGGATGACGGAAGAAGAACTCTGACAAGACCGAGGGCCGTGACGGGCTTTAAAGGGGCGGCCGGCCCTTTGCTGCCCGCCCGCCCGTCGGCCAAAGTCATCAGGCCGCGCCGAGTGCTGACGACATGACAGCATCCGAGTTATTAGTGCGGCTCCTAATGCACGAGGTGATAGTTTAGCAGCTCATGCTTACGGGCTGTATCCCCGTGCCATGCAATGACGTACGCGGTATGCTGGACAGCCGCCGTTGAAGGGCGGGTGTAACGTCTTGGCCCGACAGGGGGCAGGGTGTTTGCTATGCCGCGTGGGTAGGCCGTGGCACAGCTTGACGAGGCACATTATCGCAGAGGGTCGATGCAGGAGAAGTAGGATTGATGCCGAGATGGGTGAATATCAAGTTTTTTTTACAAAGCATAGCCTGCGGTGCTGCATGACACGCCGCAGTAACGCAGGATACAAGGCACACGGCTGTAACATATCCGGAACCGAGGTTGGACAGTGTCTTGATACACGATATTGTCAGCTCGAGACGTCGTGTCTAACCACTCCCGACGCATCGTGATGCAGAGCTCACGACCCCAGCTGAAGGACTGGCTGGTGGAGTAACTCCTGCAGCTGCTGCTGCTCGTCCAGTCTTCGGAACATCAGTCTATTCTGCCCTGGTGGCTCGAACATCTGGACTGGGTCCCTGTCGAGGACCAGCACGTGTTCACCAGTACCAAGTTCAGGGACAACCGATCGAAGCCCCGGAGAAATCCAGGCGCATCAGCTGTCGAGGCATGCAGCCCATGGCCAAGAGAGGATGGGATGGACACAGTCGAATGGCTCGGCCAACGGCTGACTATATGGCGCCAGAGGGATGCATGAGAGAGTCGAGTGAGGCACCCATGGCCGCTGAGTGCATGTATGTAGTTGAGTGTTGGGTTCATCCTGGCCAAACTTGAGAAGGCGTCAGGGAGGCGAGAAAGGGGCTTGAAATGCCTCATGTCTACCGCAGTCGTGTTGTTCTAGACTAGACACGTTCGACTCGCGCTTCGTAGGATATATCGCAAAGACAACCGTCTTGGAGTATGTCCCGATCGGATACTGCCTCTGGGTTGTCAGGCATGCTCCTTGGCCAATCCATCAAGTCTTTTCCAACATAAAGTTGGAATGTTAGCTCATGGGTTACTGTCTTCATCGGTCTGCTGCGCCAGGAAACAACCAGGCATTCACATAGAGCCATGACTGATGCCGAAGCCGCAGCTTCCCTAGAATGAGGGCTCCTCTCAGTGTCCCAATACACCAAGGCATCATAAGGGCCTCAGCAGAGCTCTTGACACCACATGTACTGCTTGCAACACTACAAGTTCCAAAATTACCAAAGCTGCCGCCGTCCCGATGAAGAATGACCAACTCGCGGTCCACAGTGCAGCCCAAGGAAAAGGGGTTCGAACTGTATCGGTATCAATTGTACATGTATTCAATGAGAGAAGCACAGTTTCCTTACAAGGCCATGTTTCTAGCTAATATGGGGCTCATTTTGTACTTCGTCTATGGAGAAAACAATAGGATTAAAGCCTAATGCGTTGTATGGGAGAAGGCCAGGGGAAGGCCAGTACGAATGACAAAGTCGGAGTGCCAAGACGAGCTCGCGGGTACATGAGAAGGGTCGAAGTTCAGTGTGGGTATGGGGTCGCCTAAACCGTTGGAGTAGGACGATCCCTAATTCAAAGATCCAACCTCACCTGCATCATTTAGCTGATCTCTGCTTGTCCAACACCATGACTATTTTCCGGCAGTGGCGCCAATGAAGCATTCTTTCCTATGTCTCTTGGTCGTAAAAACCACGCGAAGTCACGGTGCATGTACGAGCATCTACCCCGTCGCCGTATTTCCCTTGCCGACTCTATGTCAGAAACATGTCCAAAGTATCAAGTGTTATGCCATTGCCAAGCAGCTGAAAGTAGTAGCTCCGCGTATCGCTAAGCGGTAGGATTGACATATACAAATATGCAGAGTATCATGGGCATGCTGACAAGGGGCGGCCCGGAGGATGCAGTCAGCCGGCTCGGGACCCGCGGGAACATCGAACCCCGGTGCGAAGCAGTTCCCCCATTGAGGGATCTCTATCAATCATAGTGCTGCACTTCTAAAGACCTTTTCATCCCTCGCCTTCCCGTATCCCTCCTTGTCCTCTCAAAGGGCGCTAGTATTAAGGGTGAGAGGGGAAGCAGTTGGAAGAAAAAGAAACTGGGAAACAGTAAAACATCATAACGACGTTCGTTGGACTCTATATATTCTGGTCTGATTGCCTTGCGGGCCTGCCGCCTCGACGTGCTGTAGCCGTCAAACCGGGGTAGGGCTCGTTTCCTCGCACTCATTCCCCTCCCCGTCCACCGGCAAGCTCGTGCCGGTACGCACCTATATGCTTCGCCGTGACTGTACACCATGCCCCTCTCTTGAATCTTGAAGTATAAGAAAGGCTGTGCTGGGCAGGCATCGTGATGCCACCAATACTGTTTGTGTTGTGGTACCCAAGAAAAGTTGGAGTTACGGGCACCTTGTATAATATTGCGACATTCCGGTTGCGGCTTAAGTTGACAATCTCGTGGATATAACGGCAATGTTATTAGAATTCCTGGCCCTTCTGTCTTCCCGCTTTCTAATAGGCGCATGTTCTTTAAGAAGCTATGTCTGACTGGTATGCTGGACCTCGAGGATGCATCCGTCTTGGCCTGCTCGCGGAGGCTCTTGCTGAATCCAAAACGGTAAGCCATTGTCTCGACGGACTATAGTCATACACAACTTGCCGGAGATTCCCAGAGGCTTGGCATGGACGAGCCAAAATACTCGGCACAGTAATGATGGCCGGCAGGTTGATGAGAGATGCCGTGGCTAAAGAATATGTGTTGATCGGCGTGTAGATGCTTGGTTTGCATATCGTAATGATCCCTGTAAGATCTTTAACTAGTTGTCATCGTCAGGACAACCAAAGACATGGATGGCTGCCCTTGGTCCCGACGGGAATATGGAAAATCTGGTATAGAGACAACACCCTTACGGCACGGGAGCGCGCATCAACCCGGCCCATCCATTCTCCCCAACGGCCATGACCCCCTACCGGCGGCGCTCGTTCATGGAAGAAAAGGCCGGCAACCGCGCCAAGGAAGCTTTTGCATTTAAGTTTTGCTAGACAGTTCGACGCCGCCTTGTCCGAAGACGCAGCGGCTCTCTCCGCCGATGCAGCTTTCTGTTTTGCTACAACGCTACAGCGCAAGATAGTCACCCATCGACATCTATTCTCTTCATGTTCCCTTTTTTCCCCTCTCACTGCATGTCTCTCACCCCCTTCCCAAACTAGCTCCCCTTCCCTCTACATGTTCCAAAGCCCCGACGTGAAAGCACCGCATTTGAGACATTTGTTGACACGATGTCGCAGACGCCGCAGAGTCTACACCTCGAGGATGATGGCTCCCTGCGTTTTCCCCGGCCAGATGTCGGTCCCTGGGCGCCTTTTGCTTGGCTGCCTCCCCTTCTTTCAAACTCCATTTCCCCCGGCTCGCGTAGTAGACGGTGGTCCTTGGCGTGTCAATACATGTAGAAAGCCATGGCTTCGTGTGTTAATGTCGTAAATCGTGTCACACAGCCTGTCCTGCCGAAAGGGGGGGACGGCGGGACAGCGGGAAGGGTCAGCTTTGTTGGCGTCCTTGCGGAGGATCACGCTGAAGACATGGTAATCGTGGGCCGACTTGGACTCGTCGATTCACTGATATAAATATCAAGTATGGATCCCGATTCAGACAGCTCTCCTCATCATGCCCGAGCATTCCATTCCTTTCACTGTCGATTCCGTAATCACCCAAAGCCACTCGTTTCCGGCTGATCCCATTCTTTTCAACAACAACAACAACAACAACAACAACAACAACAATTCACCCACACACCAGGCGCACACACGCAGACATTACCAACGTTAAGATGAAGGTCTTCGTCGTCGTCGCTCTCCTCTCCTCGGTCCTGGCCGCGCCCACCAACCTCGAGGCTCATTGGGTGTCTGGCCTCTGTAATGGCGGCCTCCTCTACACCAGCCCGTCGTGTTGCAGCACCAGCATCCTGGACATCGCTAGCCTCGACTGCAGCGTCCGTACGTGTTGTTCTCCTCCCCGTCTCGGCCCCGGTCTCGGCGACGGTGAAGGCAATGCGATGCTAACGACGGATTTGCACAGCCAATAAATCCCCAAACGCCATGAATTCGTTTAGGAGCATTTGCGGCGCCATGAACAAGTCGCCCAAGTGCTGCACTATTCCACTTGTGAGTACCATACCGCCGTCAAACCCAGTTCTCACACATCCGCTGCTAACACGCTCCCGCAGGCTGGCCTGGCAATCCTTTGCACCGATCCCATTGGCGCATGAGCAGTTGATATGGGCGGCAGGTCGGGCGAGGGGACCTCGGTTCAGAGGTCTTACGTGTAAATCGTTCTTGTTACATTCTTCTATAAAGAGATACATATACCTGCGCGTATACAGCGGCACGGTAGCTAGGTACTCGCTCCTATAACTCCATCGACATACGCTCCTATGGTTCGTAATGCACGTGCTAGCCTTTTGTCTACATTGCCTGTAGTATAGTAGCGCTTGTATACGAGGCTATACTGGCGTTAAAGACACTTTGAGAGAGTGCCTCGGCGGCTTTAATAGTCTAAAACAGGCGCTCGAGGGCACATGCTGAATTGAAGGTCGGCCACACAAGTGAGAAAACACCGATTTATGCAGAATCGCTAGTCAAGGGCGAAAGAGACTGTATTTATATATACCTGTGACATCCATGTGATCCGAAGGGCCCCTATATGCCGGCTTGTCTGTGAGGGCACTGATGAGGTCCCGCTAATCGTGCGATATCTGCACCCCCCTTGCTCTCGTTTATAAGAGGGCTTGTGGCCTTCCTCAAAGGTTCTTTACAGGAGGCTCTGGCTCCGGTGTCTGCCCTCGAGCCCAGGTATTTCCCGGTTGTTGCTGGCAATCACTCTATAGCAATACCGTTTGTACCGCCTTGCTGCTGGTTCCTCGGGCTGCTTGTTCTACATATTAAATAAATCACAGACCGTAGAGATGTAAGACGGCGTATAGGCTCGAAGTCGAACCGACGTTACGTCTACGGCCCTGGCGCATGCGGATGGGAGCTGTAGCAATCCCTTTGATAAATACGGAGAGGGGGCCCCGAATGCTTCTTTGAGACAAGCTCTGTTTCATCGATGGATACACAAGGTACTAACTAGTCTCTGGACGACGGGTTCTTTCAGCTCAATGCTCCATACATAGTCTCATATGCGACAGGAGAACAACAAACACCTCGGATAGTAATACAGTAGCGTGAGCCCGTCTCGGGTCGAAACAGGGGAACAGCACTCAACTCCTACTATCCTTCAGCTTGTTTGCCCCCCCTCGCGACGGTCGACAGACGAGGACTGGCTCGAGCGTGCGGAATCAACTCGGCCGGGATCTCCGCAAACGTCAGGTCCACCAACGTGGACATATGAAAATCACTCGCCATCATTTTCAGCACTGGAATGTTCGCCTGAAAGTTCTTGATCATCCAAGTCCGGAGATCGACCGCGACGAGGGAGTCGAAACCGAGCTCGACGCCGCCCATCCTCATCAGGTCATCGTCACTTGTTGACACCAGCAAGGCTTTGCGCAGTTGAGTACCAAGGGCTTCCTTGATGACCCCGAGGACGTCCTCATCCGACCTGCATGTCTGTAGACGATCTCCGATGCTCACCGAGGTGGTCTTATTATTTCCGTTGATGTACTCGACCGTATTTTGACCAGCAAAGCGGGCGACCTTGGGATCAGAAAGCCACGAGCCAGGGCCCTGGAGTCGCTTTAGCGCTACATCATCTAACCCAACCCATAGTTCGGGCCCTGCCGGGTTGTCCAGGTATCCCGCCTCGATGCACTCCGCAACAAGCTGGTGAAAGTCTTGTTCGGATATGAGCATCAACGTCTTCTCGTCAAGCATCGCGTTCAGATAACGAGGGGAACGGACTATATAGCCCAGGCCAATAACAGGGCTCAGGTGGATCGTAGACACGCGGAGACCACGCTCTCTGCGGTTTTGTGCCACAGTAACCATGCCCATGTTTGCTGCTGCATAATTTGCCTGGCCGGCGCTCCCGGCGATAGTTGCCACGGAGGAGAATAGCACGAAAAAGTCGAGATTGACGTCGTGGAAAAGGCGGTCCAGGTAGGTGGTTCCAAGGAATTTTGGCCTGATCACCTCCATTACTTGATCATAGCTCATGTTGCGTGTGAAGACGTCATTGAGTACCATGGCGCCGTTCATCAGTCCAGCGATAGGCGGGAGAGCTTCAACAATGGTCTGATGCACACGCTTGATGGCCTCTTCGTCGGTCACGTCGCTATGGAGGTCGGTGTCAGCTGGTTTACCCAACGCAGAGAGCCGGAAGCTCTTGTCCGGCACCTGAGAAGAAATGATGCACGTACCAGCAGTATGTTTTGATCATAGCGCCTCGTCTCGCATGGTCGTCGATCCAGCCAGGGTCGATCTTTGGGTTTCTGCTGGAAAGGACAAGATATCTCGCGCCTCCCTTGATCATCCAGTCGCATAAAGATACGCCAAAATCTCCTGAAAGACCTACGAGCCAGTATGTCTGGTCACTTTTAAACATTGGCCGAGAATCGAAACTCTCAACCCGGGCGGGTAGAAATGCCGGCAATGCAGTCCAATCGACGATTGCGAGGGGATCTGCGGGCCTTTGCTCGGCGACGAGGAGCTCCAGACTGACCTTCTCGGAAACGACCGGGTTGCTTCCCTCACCGTCGCGAATGTAGCCTAAGGCTCGCTCCAGATGGTGCTTGACCAAGCCGGCAGGGAACGCCTCGCCTGCGTCGTCTCCCTTCGGAGAAAGTATGGTCTGGAAAGTCTCTGTGCGGCACTGTGACGAGAGGCCAGAAGCCAAGACGAGCTCATTTTCTGAAGGAACGACGGAAAACCCGGCGAAACAGGCTGTGTCGGCGGCCACCACCTGGTCGATGTCAGAGGACCCGAGAAACGGTGCAAGTCTGATCCACGAATCTGGAGCTTCCTTGTCGGCCGAGTCTGTCGAGAATGTCACTGTGACGCCCCTTCGTGAGGCTTGGGTGTTTATGGCCGCGGCGATCATGGCAGTGGCGTTGTGGACAAGAACCTTCTGCCCTGGATGGAGGGGGTCGATAATAGCCATGGAAGCCAGATGAGCAGCGACTCGCGAAAGGAAGGCGACTTCCGACAATCCAAAGAGGCTGTTGCAAGCCACAGCGGATTCCTTGTCGACTCTGAGAACAGAGGCAAGCGAAGGGATCGATACCAGATACCGAGCTCCAGTTCCTTGGTCCACTCCGAGAGCGATGAAGCGGCACCCAGCTGGTCCCCTCAAGGCAGACAGGATGGAGTGGGTGGTGCGGAGCTGGATACTATTCCTGCCCAATCGCGATGAGTGTCATGCCAATGAGGACTTCATCCATTGATGGAGTCTCTTACCTTGACGAGTCGTGCGATACAAGGCTTTTCGACGTCTCATATCGAGAAAGCTCCCTCAGGTGACAGCCGAGGCGATGCTGCTGTAGCTCAACTACCGACCTACTCATGTCGACCTGGTGGAACACCCGCCGCCGGGCCGAGTTGATACGGTCGTTGGCTTCAGGGACAGGAAACAGCCGAGGCACGAGCTCACGCCCCTCAGCGTCCATAACTATCTCAGGCTCCTTGGTGTACAGCAGATCCTCATCGTCTAGGCTCGTGTTGGTGAAGCGTAGAAGCGTCTCGGCGACAGCGCGAGCACCGATTTGGCTGGGGTCCGCGACATCGAGGCATTGCAGGCGAATGCTCTCCTCCCGGGCCGCATAGCGTCCAAGCCCGACAGCCATGTTGCAGTACGGCTCGTCTTGCAGACGGCCGCTGCTGAGCCATAGGATAGTCTTTTCCATCTGAAACAGGCGCCTGAGCTTATACCACCTCTCGGGTGTCATGTCCTTGAACACGGGCTGCTCGAGATCCGTTAAGCTGACGACGGTTGTATCGTGGTCATCATCACCCTGATCGTCCATATCCTCTAGTCTCCTGTAACTCAAGATAGTGCCAACAAGTGGCCTGAGGATGCCTGCGAGCTCTCGAGCCAGCCTGGCTATCGGCAGGCTCACCCCTCCCAGGACGACCACCTTGCCGTACATCGGTCCCATGGCGGCCGCGGCGGAAATGGGATCTCGGATGAAGTCAACCCGCGCATCTACAGCTGTGGAGACAAAGACCGGCATGCCTATGGCCTCAATGGTCTCCGGGGAAGGCATGGTACTAATAACTGAAAAGCCGGTGCGCTTTAGGATGCTTTCCCACTCAGAGACGCTCGCCAGGGGACTCAGAATACGTCCCTCGTCTACGCCTCGCCACCAGCCCGCCAAAGTCCCAAATACGAACCCGTCATGGACATACCTGAAGCTATCAACGGAAGATTCCGCGAGGATTAGCTTGCCGCCGGGTTTGAGTAACGTGCGTAAATGCCGTATCGCCTCTTCTAGCCTGATGCAGGCGTGAATCACCATGCAGGCGATGACAACGTCGTACTCGCCCGCCCGAAATCCTTGCTTCACGGGGTCCCTGTCGGCGTTGTACGTCTTGAAGGTGATTTGGTTTCTCCATGGCGTGAAGATTTCGGCCGCGTTCTCGAAGAAGCTGGTCGAAATGTCGGTGAAGGTGAATTCGTCAAAATCGTGGCCAATGGCATTCAAGATTGGCTTCGTGGTGGCGCCGGTCCCAGCGCCTGATGAGGTTGGCATGTATTAGCATCGACACCTGGCAGTAGCTTGCCGCAAGCATGGACAAGAGGGGCGACATTACCAACTTCCATGATCCTGAGGTGAGGATTGACATCCGTCAGTTGCTTGACTACGTTAGCTGTCCAAAGGCTCTACTGAATGGTTAGCCCTGGTTATCCTTGGACTCACAACTCAGCTATGTCGATGGTCTTACTGTTTGCTTGGCCCCAAAGCCATCATTATAGTATTCTTCAAGGAGTCGTGAATTGCGGAAATTAGCCAGCATTTTCGTCTCCCCCCTTAAGACTTCGGGCATATTCTCGTTCACTTGGCGCAGCAACCGGACATCGACTGTTCCTCCCACCCTGCATAATAGATGCATTAGCTATCATCGCCAATCACCTCGGTGAGCTCTTTTCTCTAAAACTGGTGTGCCTGAGGCCGACATGCCTGCTTGCTTACCCTTTAGCCTTGATGTCGTCCTCCACGTCTTGAAGACTATCGTTGAGCCATTCCTGTTTCATCCACGGGTACCCTCCGCGCCTCCACAGCGCCGTCGTATGCCGAGCAAAGTTGAGATAGTGACGATTGGAGCCTCGCTGCCTTTCTGGGGAGTCGGTGGGAACGGCGTCATCAAGCTGTCTAAGGAAGAAGGCAGACATCCGCAGCACGGCCGCCCTGAGCTCCCGGCCATGTTTCGTAATGCGAGGACTCGAGGTGGCAGCAACGCCGTCCACTTTTGATGGGATCCAGTGCGTTGTGTAGATAATGGTTCGTTCGCTGTGTTCGTTTGCGTTAAGGGGTTTGAACTGAATCTGCATCACCTGGATAGCTGCGCAGGACTGCCCCGTCTCTGAACAGGACGGGTACAAGTTGATGTCCCCATAGAAGCCGGTTCCGGGTGCTTGTAGGTCTCGAGGGATATGTATTGTACAGTTTATGTCGTGGTAGTCGCTCCTGAGATATCTCTCAAGGACCAGAAGAGCAGGGTTGACTCTCATAACCTCGATGGTTGTAGGCACATGCAAGGCGAACAATCCGCCATCGCCAGGGTATCCGACTGCGACCACAGTAGTTTGAAACGCAGCGTCTAGGTCGACTGGATGGACGAGCAGTTGACGAGCCTCATCGCGCCCAACCGAAGACGTTGTCGCCTTCTTGGCGACGCAGAATGCATTGTCGAGCTTGCGCTCGATTGAAGTCAGGGAGCAGAAAGGTCCCGAGAAGTTAAACCCGAGACTGTGAAAGAAATCGTAAAGCCGACTAGGCTCGACAGGAATGACGTGTGGCAACGTCGGCGGACGCTGCGGTAGCAGGTCGAGAGCGGTCTCCCCCAGGCAGACTTTGAGTTGTGCCTCAGCTACTACCCGGAGATCCATATCGTCATCGAGACTTCTGGCCGCCAAGTATGTGAAGTTGGCCCTGATGCAGTTGGGAGCTGCGGTAGAGACTTGTGAGAGCTCGACGCGAACCTCAACGCCCGTGTCGTTTTCGTCAAAGGAGATGAAATGGTGAATGTTGAAACTGTCCAGTTCAACCATGCGGATACTGGTCCATTCCTGGCCAGGCACTAGGAAGCGTGCCGCTTCGATAGCCGTTGACGCGAAACCAGCAGCGGGAAACAAGATCTGGTTCTGTACTCTATGTCCCTCGAGCCAAGGCAGCTCGCTGACCTTCAAGACATTGCTCCACCGCAATGCGTGGGGCTCGCTGTCGGGTGACATGTGCCCCAGCAGTTGATGGTATGGCTGATCGCGAAGCCGTATACGCCGAGACTTTCTCGACTCGTACCAGTGCCTGGCTTCGTGGTTCCACCGGTAGGTTGGCAGATCTTTGACCACCTTTGACCTCGGCGTCTCTTGCTCGCGGCACGAGAGCGCGACCTCGCAGTGTTGCAGGCTCGGCACGCCCGTCGCCGGGTCAAGGTGCTGCCAAAGAAAGCCCAAGCATGCGGAGAAAGCTTGCTGAGCATCAGTCCCGCGTTGGAGACAGCCGTGGTATGGCAGCCTGGTGTTAAGAACCTCCTGGACAACTTGGCTCGCGGGGCCTGCAAGTGCCGGATGAGGCCCGACCTCAACGGCGGCCGCAAGCGGTCTACCGCTACTGTTGGCGGCCTCGACTGCCGAGGCAAGGGCCTGGGAGAAGAGCACCGGCTGTACCATGTTTCGGGACCAGTATAGATCGCCAAGCTGGTCGCTGGACGGATCTATAAGCATGCCTTCGTTGACGCTGGAGTACCAGGTGGTGCGCCGTGTCATCTCCCCGGCTTGCTTTGACTTGACGCCCGCGCGCCTGAGCGACTCTATGTAGGACTCCCGGCAAGGCAGCATGTGCTTTGAGTGATAGGCTTGATCAACCTTTAGCCGGCGGTGAAACTTATTCTCGTCTTCCATGATGACGGCCAGCTCCTCGAGGGCATCCTCGTCTCCAGAGATGGTTGTGCTTGTCGACGAATTGCTCGCTGCCACCGTGATGCGGCCGACGAACTCGTCTGCCTTACACAGCTCCGTGGCATCTTCTAGAGAGGTCCCTACCGCCAGCATGCCCCCCTTTATCCCTTCTCCATTGGGACTTGAGGACTTGTTGCAATGCATTCCCCGATAGTACGCCACGCACATGGCATCACGAGCGCTCAGATAACCGGCGGCGTAGGCTGCGGCAACCTCGCCGCCCGAATGGCCAACCACGACATCAAATCGTACGTTTGCCGAGGCCAGGACATCGACCATAACAATCTGCACTGCTGCGGAGAGCGGGTGTGAAACGTCGGGTTCGCCGAGACGAGAGACGGAAGCGTCAGCCAGCATCTCAGCCTCGAGCGACCAGGTTGGGCGGTCCTCGGCTGGGAGCTCGGCCAGATATGATTCTAGCCTTTGGACAATTTGTCGAGCCAGCGGCGACTTCTCAATCAGCTCAGCCCCCATGCGGGGATATTGTGCTCCCTGGCCTGTGAAGACGCCGAGAATCTGAGAGGGTTTGCCACTTCTAGTCAATGCCCTGACGCCCACGCGATCGTCATCCTTGCCAGGATCTAGACTGTCGCGCATTTTGGACTTTAGGTCCTCTATCGAGGCCGCTGCAAACGCAACGCGATGTTGGAAGGCAGACCGACGCTCTCGCAGTGTAAAGCCCAGATCGCCCAGGTCGGTCTCGGGGTGAGCATCCAGATGCGCGAGGTACGCCGAGAGGTTGGCTCGGAGGCTTGCGTTCGACTGGGCCGAAAAGACGAAGGGCGCGAAGGGGGTTCGGCAGTCCCTGGCCATGCAACTCGTCCCAGCCCCTGAACCGTCACCAGCCGAGCACTCAACGAGGGCTGGTTCCTCGTAACTCTCCAGAATGACGTGAGCATTGGCCCCTCCGAGGCCGAAACCGTTGACGCTGACTCGCTTGGGCTGGTTCCGGGATGGAGTCGGCCAGGGCTTGGCCGTGTTGGTAATCTGGATGTTCCCATAGAAGGGTGCAACGGCCGGGTTGAGTTGGTTGAAGTGGAGGTTGGGAGGAATGATGGACTTCCGCAATGCTCGTGCCGACTTGACCAGTGCCGCGATGCCGGCTGTGGCCTCTGTATGGCCCAGAAATGTCTTGGCTGAGCCGGCATATATAGGGCTGTCGCCTGCGTCCTCGCCTGGGCCGAAGAATGCAGTGCTCAGGGCTTCGGCTTCGGCCGGATCTAGAGCGTAGCAGGGGTCAGCTCACAAGACACTGGGAGAACATTCAAGACGTCCCCTGGATCTCTGGAGGCTTACCGCCAGCTGGCGTTCCGGTCCCATGAGCCTCGATAAACTGAGGTCGATGTGCTGGATTCCTGGCATCCAGACCAGCTTTGGTGTATACGCTGCGTATCAGGGCCGCCTGTGCGTCGGCGTTGGGCGCACCTAGTCCGGCACTTGCTCCGTCCTGGTTGATGCCAGTTTCCCGAATAATGCATTCAATGTCATCCCCGTCTGCAACCGCCTGAGCGAGCGTCTTGAGGATGATGGCTCCCACACCCTCTCCTCGCCCGTAGCCATCCGCGTCTTTGTCCCACATTTGACAGAGGCCTCTTGGCGACAGCATCTTTGCTATGCCTTGAAGAACGTACGGTTCTGGACCAAGGGTAAGGTTGGTTCCGCAGGCAACGGCGACGCGTGAGTCGCCAGCACGCAAGGCTTGCACAGCGTGGTGCGTTGCAGTCAGGGAGGAGGAACATGCCGTATCAAGAGTTACCGAGGCGCCGTGCCAGTCAAAGAAATATGAGACTCGGCTTGATGCAGCTGTTTGCATAATCCCCGTTGCACTCTGAGGCCCCAAGTGGTCCATGTCGCGAAGCCCTAATATCTCGTAGTCATTCCGCATAATTCCAGCGTAGACGCAAGTATCACTCCCTCGCAAGCCCTCAGTAGTCAGACCCGCGGATTCAACAGCTTCGTATACCGTCTCTAGGAGCATCCGCTGCTGAGGGTCAATGCACTTTGCCTCCATTGGGTTGACACCAAAGAACCCGGCGTCAAATGCGCCTGGGTCTTGGTCCAGCACATATGAGAACTGGACGTTGGTGTGACCATGGGAAGAACTGTTTGGGTGATAGTAGCCCTTGGCGTTAAACCGACTATCGGGAATCTCGCTGCGGATGTCGTGTGGTGCCCGGAGATGCTCCCACAACTGAGAGGGCGAGTTACACCCGCCAGCGAATCGGCACGCGCTGCCGATGAGAGCAATGGGCTCATTTTTTTGTGTCTCCGGGAAGGGCATGGTAGGAAACTGGCCACTCCGATAAATGGAGTATTGAGTCATCCAGAAGACAGTTTGGATTAATACGTGGCTGCACGAGCCGAGACACAGGAACTTCCCAGTTCTTTATATGGAGAGCTGTGATGCCTGGAAGACTCCGGCGCCGACGAGGTCGAGTTTATAAGTCCCAGTCGGCTCTGGGCGAATGTGCAGGCAAAGTATCAACTCGGTGACTTATCCCGTGGTAGCCGCATCGCCCGCGGTCTCTCAATGATCGCGACGCCTCTGCCGTCCGTGGCTTCCGGTCTTTGCTGCCTGGGGCGTTATGCCAGGGTGATCCCTTGGCAAACATGCCACCAAGCCCAAAGTATTCACCTCGCCCGTGATCTTTCTCTTGATCACGATGCCTCTGCCGTCCGTGGCGTATATGCTTCGCTGTCCGTGGCGTCTCTGCATTGTTGTCCGCACGCCAGTGCGACGGGCTGCCTATTAGGGTAACAGGATAAGAGCTGTGGGCGTCAGACAAGAGGGTGTTATCCAGATTTCATCGTTAAACGTATATACATACATCCAAGGAAGGAAAAGAGGGGACCCCGAGATGGCTTATCTCGACCAACCGCTTCTTGCATCATCCGGCCGGTGGCTCGACCTCTTTTGCTTCTCCCATCACCCTTATAAATCAAGGCACAGAACCTCCCTTTCCAACAAGAATCTGCCTCGTAGTAAAGGCGATATTCAACATTGCAACATGGCACCGACATCGTATACCGCTTTGGTGCAGTCCAAGGAGCTTTCGACGAAATCGAGGCTGCCTCTTGCCATTGCCCCTTCCTGCTCCCTCCCAGACTTGCCGTCACCATACCACGTCCTCGTGCGGGTTTGTGCCGTGGCCCTGAATCCTTCAGACTGGAAAATGCCAACGTTCTTCTATGCGGAGGGCAACGGGCTTGGCGTGGACTTTTGCGGCATCATCGAAGAGGCTGGCCCGCTTTCCACCTATAGTCCCCAAGTCAGGGTATGCGGCGCTGCCAACTTCCCATACGCACCAAACGGTCCACGACGTGGCGCCTTTGCACAATATACCGTGGCCGACTCCCGATGCTTGCTCAAAGTCCCGGATGGAGTGACCGACTCCCAAGCGGCTGCTATAGGGGGCGTAGGCTGGGGTACTTCGTGCTTGGCCATCTCGGACTCGGAAGCGCTTGGTCTTGCGGCACTTCCGTCAAAACCAGCCGACAAGCCGATTCCCGTGCTAGTCTACGGTGGAGCAACCGCCACTGGCATCATGGCTATTCAGATATTGAAGCTGTGAGTCGCTGTACTGCTCCAGTCCCATCTGTGCATCTAGCAGCACATGATGAGTCTCCCTAGCTGCTCCTGCTAACCATGGTTGATAGCTCTGGCTATTTACCAATTTCTGTCTGTTCTCCAAAGTCTTCTGAGCTGGTCAGGAGATACGGGGCCGTCGGGACAGCTTCATACTTGTCTTCAACCGTTGCAGATATTAAGAAGCTGGCGGGTGGGGTTCCGATCAAGCACGTACTCGACTGCATCACCACTCCCGAGTCAGTTTCTCATTGTTTCGAGGCCATTTCGCGTGTGGGCGGCCGCTATGCCTGTTTGGAAGCTATCCCTAACGGCTGCACTTTGAGGCGAGCTGTTAAAGTAAAGGTAGTGATGGGTTACGAGTGGGAAAGCTTTGACGTCGAAATGAACCACCCGGTTTACTCACGGAAAGCAAACCCAGCATCGGAGGCCCTTCGCACCACGTGGGTCAAGGAGATTCAATCCCTGCTAGACAAGCGAGAGATCACGACCAAGCCGATACGTGAGATCAATGGAGGGTTTGAGGGAATCATCAAGGGATTGAATATGATCTATCGTGGAGAAGAGGGAGACAAGAAGCTGGTTGTGGGGCTTTCATCCTAACTTGAAAATAAACCGGTGTATATTTATTACTGTCAGGACAAGAAAGGGCCTATAATACGCGTTAGTAACACCTCTATTGGGGGTGCCCTCATTTTCCATGGTGTAGCGGTATTTTACCAGCTTGATAATTACCTAAATAATTAGCTGGAACCCCTGCCTTGGAACTCCGAAGCTCCGCGGGCAATGGCGATGCATACCGTCGTCACACCTCACCTCTGTCCGTATCCACGGCGTTGCCGACAAAGATGGTTGTCTACCCGGGGCCTCACTCGGCCCTGCCTCTTATAGCCAGTCCCTTTATGTCTTTTACCTGGCATTATCCGTTACAGGAGAAAAAGAGCCCTTTAATGTGCGGGCAACATCACCGGGCACCCCTTCGGAGGTTGCCTCTACTTTGGGTGCTCGTACGGCGTTCGCGTCATACATGTGCAGCATTACTGTCCGGCCAGCCTTTCGTATTCCTACCGAGTTGCCAGGTACCTCCGATGGCATAGAGAAAACAGGTTGCCCGAGCAGTAATCCTAGTCAGCTGCCGATCACCGACAACCAGCACATCTTGACTTGATGGCCTAAAATTATGCGTTACAGTCTGTACCAAGACATCAACACTTGGGACGGGCTTGTAGATGTCGCACTTTGTTAGCTACGAGGTGAATTACTATTCTGCGGCACGAGACAACATGGAATTTATCCTGTCCCTTGTCACTCAACTTCTACACACGCTCCGGAACATTTACTCCCAACCCAGCATCAGGAAATAGGGTAGCATTTGATTATCAGTGCCATGGCTTTCTGGCTTCAAATGGCATCGTCTGGTTCTGAGAGCTGCTTCACTAGAGCCTCGAGCTTCTCGTCAAAGTCGGCAAAGTAGTTGATGACCTGCACCATCTTGCCCTCGCTGGTGCCGAAACCGCTCCGGGTAAAGGCGAGCCTCCACGCCGCCTCGTTTGCCACAAGCTCCCGATACTGGGCCCTTGGCTTGTCCGGGTCAGCGGCCACGTATGCCCCCGGAGAACCGCTCCAAGAGGAAGCGTCCCTCGCGGCAAGTTTGTGCAGCAAGCCCGGGGAGACGGTGATGTGGTCGAGGCCTGCCAGCTGCATGACCTCGTCCACCGACGTCAGTGACGCCGCCACCACACGGGTGCGGTGTGCGTTGTCGCGGAAGTATGTCTGAGCCTCGCGGCAGAGGTCAAACGCCTTGTGGTCGTCGACGAAGCTTGAAAAGGTGAGATGATGATAAAACGAGCAAGTATGTGTGCACCATCGGGGGCCTTGAGGAGAAGCCGGACATACCCATGTTCAAAGTGCACCTTGAGCTCGTTGACGTAGGGCGCGATGTAGGTGCATCCTGCATCAGCAGCCAGGACCGCCTGCTCCATGCAAAACATGGTCGTGGCCAGCGTAGCGATGCCCTTTGCCTCGACGGCTCGACACGCCTGGAGACCCTCCCAGGTAGCCGGGATCTTGATGCACACTTTCCGAGGGTCGAGGTCGGGTGCCAGAGCGCCAAAGATGGCCAAGATTCCTACGCGCTCGCCTCTGATGAGATGAATGTACGATTATCTTTCATGGCGCTCACGGCCTGTAGGCTCGTGCCAGGAAGAGTGAGCCTTACTCTCTGCATTTTCCACCGATGCCGCGGTTGAGTAGGAAAACTTGGGGTTCGTCTGCACATGAAGGCGGCCCGTCACATTTGGCGCGATCCGCAGCTGCAGCTTAACCATCTAATGAAGGAAATGTCTCATGTCAGAGGTGATGACACGCTGCATGAATCACGGCCAAGACGCACCAAAACCTCGACGGCAAACGCCTCCAGGGAAAGGAGGCCTTGCAGCCGTTGCAACGGGCCGTTTGCTTCGCTGATGGCGGACTTGATCAGCTCCGCGTGATGGAGGCGGGAATCGCCGGAAACGGGCCTCGACAGCTCAAAGAATGCAATGGCCTATGGGAAGCATCGAGAGTCAGCTCAGTCGAGGCTGGGACGTGGACGAGACCGATCTCTCTCCGATGACTTCTCCAACAATGACAGGCTTGTCCCACGTAGGGCCCTTGGAGACTCGTACCTGGTTTGACGTGCAGTCGACAAAGGGGCCCAGCCTCTCGGCCACTAGAGTCTCGCAGCAGCCGTGAGTAACAGCTTCATCGCGGATGACAGGGTTGGAACGTGCTCGTACCTTGGGAGTCGAGGGTGTCGCAGTCGACTTGGCTGGCCTCACGCAAGGCATCGAGCAGGGACGGCATGTTGCTCGCAGAGGGACAGTCAAGTCTCAGAATTGTCCTGGTCCCGTCTTGGTGTCGAAGGCGGGGGGGCGGAGGCGGAGGCGGATCACGCACTGTTGCTGGAGCCGAGGAACCAGCCGTCGTGCCACGAGTGTGAGATCCGAAGACTTGATCTAGCTTGCCCGAGCCGAGATCGTCTTGTTGCATTAGCTCAACGTCATGCCTGCGCATGAGCCCCCGCGCTGATTCATCAGGCAGCGGACCCAGGTCCGTCTTGAGCTTATGGTTCGTCCTCAGGGGCCACATGTAGGCTTGCGTACTGTATGTACATGAATCGAAATTCGAGCTATGAATGCTGCTTAAACCTGTACAGTACAAGTCCGCGCATAAATATGCCACTGGCATCTAGATGCCTTTACCCCCCGTCCTCGATGCCGTCCGCCTGGACCAGACTCCAGGCTTCAAGGACTGCGCACCCATTGAGGGCTCAAACTCGACAGAACGACATGGAGACGTCCTTCCTTGACCACAGAGAGGGACCATGCCAGGAATCGTGCTGCTCGTCTTTGCCCGCGCTTGCCCGTCTCCGTAATGACATATTCTCTTGGCGAGCTCCTAGTCCGATCCCACACCCTCAGGAAGCTCCCTTTTCTCCTCCTCATTTGCCCCGCATCGATATCCTCGTATTCACGCTTGAGTACTAATATCAAGCAACAGACAGTCCAACACGTGTAGCCCCTCGAGATCCCGTGAGCACATGTAGTCCTGCATACCAATGGGCGATGCCACCCCCTCGCGCGCTGCTTGCCGGCTGAACCAGTCGGCTCAGTGGTCTGGACCGCTCCAGCGTGATGCCAAGTTGACTTCCAAGTGCGTTGGCAGCTAACGGTGAGCGCGGTGCAACATCGTATCATGTCAGTCTACTCTGTATGCATCCAGAGCCTCCAGTCTCTCGACTCTATTCCTGAGGGTCACGCCTCTGCATTGGGCCCCTTGTTTGTCGCATGTGTTCCGAGGCCCGAGCTCCAAGCCATGTCTCTCCAACGTCTGGCTGGGGAACAATGGCCGCATATCCGGCCGGTTCGAGGAACGACGCAACTGCACCGGCATGTGGCCGGTCCTCCACACCGGGCTTATAGTGTACTGCACATGCTGCACCCGCTATTTGTTGATGCTCGATGATCGGGCATAGCCGCGTTGCGCCAGAGGCCGCCATCGGGTGTCTTGCAGCTGTCAATTATTTGACTCTGTCTGCACATTAATATATTCATGTCCCCAGATGTAGTCGACAGAGTTACATTGAGCAGCATGTGAAGACTGGCTTCTAATGGGTGGCTAGACAATACGAGGCGTGTATATCTTTGGATCTACTTGATAATTACGAGTATAAATGTCATCAAGTGCTCCCGGCGTGTTTGCCCACGAACCTTCGCAGTCATACTCAAAGACTTCTCGCATCATCTGTTTGAAGCAAAATACCAAAGCTTCCTGCTTCACCATGCTTCTCCAGCTCAACCTCCTTGCCGTCGGCGCCACCCTGGCCACCGTCGCCTCCGCCGTGGGCAACGCGCGCGTTGTCAACAACTGCCCCTTTGAGGTAACCACATGGTCCGTCGGCAGCACCGTTTCGGGCCCCTACACGCTGCAGACGGGTGGCGTCTACAGCGAGCCGTTTACGCGTGACCCCCGGACCGGCGGTCGGGCCATCAAGACGACCATCGACCGCGACGGCCTGTACACCGGCCAGCCACAGACCATCTTTGCGTACAACCTGCAAGGCAACCACGTTTGGTACGACCTGAGCAACGTCTTTGGCAACGCCTTTCAGGGCCACCGGCTGGTCGTGGCTAGTGGGGATGCCGAGTGCCAAGCCATTGCTTGGGAGGACGGCATTCCCCCTGCCGGCAGCCAGGTCAAGAACTGCCAGGAGCAGGCCGATGTTACCTTGTCCCTTTGCCAAGGATAAGAGGATGGGTTGGAGCATTACGTGTATGATTTTCAGGCTTCATGCGAGTAGCCAGTAATGTCGAAATGCTCACATCGCGTCTTGCCTTGATATCGGCAAAGGGTCAGATCATGCCCGAGGGACTGAGTGGATGTTTCTAAGCTACCAATGGCGTAATCAACGAACATTAATTATTAGAGTTAAGAGGGAAAGATGGGCACACCCTAAAACCCATCATCTAGTTTGCTCTCCCTAGTCTCACTAATATCAGCAGCCATGTAATCCAAATCAAAAGCTCATTGCATTGCGCCATGTGTTCCTTCGGCCTGAGCACAGTTTCCCGGTTGGTTGTTAACCCAATGATAAACGATGTGTATATTTGAGGAGCCGAGTCCCATGGGTTTCTGCCAAGCCTTTATCCGAGCATCGGGTCTCTCATGAAACTATATGATAACGATGCTCTTTGTCGAGATGGTTCTCAGGGCGTGCATCTTTTGCGTTTTGAACGCCATTGCCTCCATCTTTCGTTTAGTCAGTTTATCCCAAAAAGACAGTCGAGCAAGCCAAGATCCTCGCTAGTCGTTATGAACGGGCAAGATTTCTCGCGTCCACTTCTTTAAATAAGCAAAGGGTATCCAACGGTCCAAGGAGCCAGCTCCTGTCCAACATCTCGCAGGTGCTATGCACCAATGGAGGACTCATGTTAGCAATCTAGGCATTCACAACCACAAGGTCTCCTCCAGCCCACATGGCGCCTGTCAAACAAACTACGGGTGCAGACCATGTTTTCAGATTAGTCGGTGGCCGCGCGGCCTGTTTGCTTGATGCATAGGGACGAGGAAAGATGAGCTGTGAGGAGCACGGGCTGCTGTGTTCGGAACTGATGCTCCCTGCAAGTGATGCATCTGCTCAGTGTCAAAACAAGAATGTTAGAGGGCTTTCTCGATGGCGGCATTCCAAGGTACGCCATTTTGATGCACACGTGGGGCCAGCACGAAGAGACCTTTGCCGATTTTCGGAACAAGAGCTCACGACTCCGGCGACTGACATCAAAGTCGGACAAGGTCGGTGGCGGTTGCAGGCAGGCGGCATGGACGGGCTCGACTACCTCTAGATCGGCACGTGCTGCATCGACAAGAGCAGCAGCGCCGAGTTATCCGAGGCTATCAACTCCATGTTCAATTAGTATGCCCAGGCCTCCGTCTGCTATGTCTATCTTGCCGACGTCAGTCCCGTCGTCCGGCGATGTGAGGGTCAAAATCAGGGGCCCGTCCTCTGTCCGCGCAGCTCGAGGATTTCAGACACTCCCGGTGGTTCACGAGGGGATGGGCCTACAGGAGCTTCTCGCACCGTCCCTGTTAAAGTTCTACGACTTGGCCTGGTATCTCTTTGGCTACTCTAGCCGGACTTATGCCCACGGAATCGAGATCATCCCCCCTCTAACCTCGCTTCTGGCTGAAATCACCGGCATACCCAACAAGCTTGTATACCGTGAGAGCTTCGACCAAGCCTCAGTGGCCACGAGGATGAGCTGGGCGGCCGGCAGACAGACGACGCGTACTGAAGATGCGGCTTACTGCCTCCTCGGGGTATTCGGTGTCAACATGCCCATGCTCTACGGCGAGGGCGAGGGCGCATTCGCACGGTTGCAAGAGGAAATCATGAAGAAGCACGACGACCACTCCCTCTTTGCCTGGGAGCTTAACGATGTCCTCGTTGCCGGGTTGAGGGTCGACGGAGAGACTTGCATAGCCATTTCCCTCAGGCATTTGAGACGCTGTGGCTGCGTCACCGTATGCCGACCACAAGATGAACCCTCCAGACACTTCGTATCGACAAACGCTGGTATCCATATCGAGTTGCCTCTGCTTCGACTGCGGTCCGGTGAGTAGCTCGCCCGCCTGAATTGTACCGAAAATTCCGGCCAGCACGACTACTCCAAGCCAAGTATCTCTGCCTCGTTCTAATTCAGGCTCGGGACCGGAACAAAGGCTTCTATAGGCGCACCACTGCATCGCCAACCCTTGTACCTTTTCGATTCTTCAAGCATGCAGTCCGCCGCAGCATATATCTAGCGCCTGCTCCAATCGTCACCCACCGGCAGACGAGAAACGGGCCTCTTTTTGTCTCGGCCGCCTGCGCTAGGCTCTTCAGCATACGTTCCGTATACTCGGCGGTCCGCGACATCCAAGAGGGGGTCTATTTCCTCATTAGCAACCTGTGGAGAAATTTGGAGGGCGGAAATGGCATATTCCTAGACTGTGAGGGCGTCGCGGGCGTGAAATTTGCTATTCGTGTCCAGTTTCCGTGCGAAAAGGATGAGGTAGAGACCTATAGGATCCGCGTCGCGTCAGCAACTATTTGCATCTTCGTCGGAGGCATCTCTGTTCTATGGTGAGCTCATGGTACCCCTAGAGGCAGACACGGCCGCCGAGATGGGGTGGGTATCACGGGGCAGACCTAGGATGCCAGGGAAGATCTATGTTGTGCTGTGAGGAGGGCAAACTACGGAGGTGGAACAGAGTCTAGACTAAGTACAGGGATGCACGTGACGGAACCCAGGTTGGTGCCGTGACAGTACCCCCTCCCAAACGGCTGTTCGTCCTCGAACAGCCTAAACGACTAAGAGCGGCCTGGGCACAAAGTATATAGTTGTGCCCTTTACTTTCTGCCCAGACCGGGGCCTGGCTTGTTTGGGTGAACTCTATGAAAGTCGAGGAGTACTTGGTTATGTCCTTTGAGGTCTCTAGCCGGTTGCCAGGTAGGGTCATAGTGTTTCCACTTGACTAGGTAATGTAGGCCATCAACGTCTCTGCGGCTATTTAGTAGCCCGTCAAATAGCCATTTTTCGACTAGTTCTCCTGTCTCGTCATCGCGTTCTAGGACTCGTCCTCGGATGTTTTTTGACTCGGCCTCGTTGATAACGTCTTGGCCGGGTAGACCATTTGCTTCTGGTTTCGGTCGTAGGAGCGAGTTGTGGAACACGGGAAAGATCTTCATTCCCTCGGGGAGTTTAAGCAAGCATGAACGAGGGTAGACTTTCAGAATTGGGAATGGTCCTGCCCACTTGTCGTCTCCTTTCTTCATCGGCCGGTTTGTCTTCATATTCTTCGTGCTTACGTAGACTTCTTGACCTTCGGCGTACTGAGGAGCATCTTCTCGATTGAGGTTGGCGTTCTCCTCGTAGCGTCTGGCGGCTTGGGTTGCAAGGGCTTTCAGCTGAGTGATAATACGCTCAAAGCGGTCGGCGATGTTGTTTGCTTTGAGGAACTCTCGTCGTTGGGCTGCGGACTGGTTTGGCGGCAGTGGCTTGGTTGGTTCAGTGCCGAGTTTGGGGTGAAACCCATAGTTAGCGAAGAATGGTGATACTCCCGTGGTCTCAGATGTAACGTTGTTCGTGGCGAACTCGGCAAGAGGGAGCCAGTCGACCCAGTCGTCTTGGTGGAAGTTCATGAATGCTCTCAGATATTGTTCGATGCCTGCGTTGATCCGTTCCGTTTGTCCGTCTGTCTCTGGGTGGAAGGCGGAAGAATGGCGGAGTCGAACTCCTAGGCGGTCGGAGACTTGGCGCCAGAACTCGGAGATGAATTGGGAACCGCGGTCGGAGATGACATTGTCGGGTGTGCCATGGAGGCAATAGACTCGGCTGATAAAGACAGAGGCTAGTTCTTCGGCTGTTAGGCCTACAACTGGGATGAAATGGCGCATCTTTGTCAATCGGCACACAACAACGAGGACATGCTGGTATGTTTTGCCATGGCGCTCGCATTCTGGCAGGGGCGTGATGTAGTCAATGGATATATCTGACCAAGCTTGGAATGGCACTTGCAGTGGTTGGAGGAATCCTGGGGGTGCCGACCTTGAGGCTTTGACCCGATCACACAGCTCGCAGGCTTTAACATATTCCTCGATGTCTCGGGTTATGCGTGGCCACCAGTAAGTTCGGCTAACCAAATCGATTGTCTTTATCCGCCCGGGGTGTCCTGCAGGGCCTGTGGAGTGCGTACGGTAAATAACCTGGGTCTTTAGTTCCTGATCGTTGGGTGGTATGAAGAGCTTCTCGCGGTAGTATATGCGATTCCCAATGACAGAGCAGTCTGCCATTGCTACGCGAAGTTCCTTTCGCCATTTCTTGGGCCAGCGGCGGTGGGTTGATGCGTCTCTCAGGGCCGTCAGCATGTCTTGGGCCATCTCTGAATTTTCGTAGGCTCTATCGACCAGTTCATCGATGGGTTTGTCCATGGCTGGCATGATAACGTCTATCGGGGCGGCAGCGAGGTCGAATTCCCATTGACTTCTCGAGTCAGTTCAGCCAGGGCCTCTGGGTCAAAGATGTGTTCTGGCAGAATGGTCCGTTGGCGGTTCTTAATGCGGTCGTCGTTTGTGTCTGCGCGCTTGGGTTGGTCTTCTGGCTTTCGACTTAGCGCATCTGGACGGACGGCTTTGGTGCCTGGTCGATAAACAATACGGAAGTTGAAGCCTGACAGGAACTCGGACCAGCGGACTTGTCGTTGGTTTAGAGCCTTGGTTGTTGTGAAATATTCAAGGTTCTTATGGTCCGTGATGACTTCGAAGGGTTCTTGGGTCCCTTGAAGCTCAGGCCTCCATTCTTCCAGAGCCTTAATGATCGCCAGTAGTTCCTTGTCGTAGATCTCGTAGTTGCATTCCTGGGCCGAGTGTTTTGACGAGAAGTAGGCTACAGGTCGCAGTACGCCTTCATCATCATACTGGGACAAGACTCCTCCAGACGCCCAGTCCGAGGCGTCTGTTTCAAGTACAGTTTTCCTATTATAGTCATATAAGGCTAGAACCGGTGCTACGGAGAATGCGGCTTTCAGTCGGTCAAAGGCGGTTTGGTGTTCTACCTCCCAGGACCAGATTGTGCTCTTCTTCAGGAGGTCATTTAATGGCCGGGTGATCTTGGAGAAGTCACGGATAAAGCGGCGATAAAAGTTTGCAAAGCCGAGGAATCTTTGTAAGTCGCGGAGTGCTGTTGGTGGCTTCCAGTTGAGGATTGTAGAGACCTTGTCGGGGTCCATCTCGACACCTCCAGGCGTAACGATCAGCCCAAGGTATTTCGTCCTAGTTGTTTCGAATTCGCATTTGTCGATATCAATCTGAGGCCTGCATCGCGAAGTCGTGTGACTACCTCGCGGACGTGTTCCTATGTTGCTTCTTATCTGTTGAATATATCAAGATATCGTCAGGGTAGGCGGTGCAGAACTTATCCAGAAGGTCGAATAAGGTATGGTTGATGTAGTTCTGGAAGGTTGCTGGGCGTTGCAGAGGCCGAACGGCATAACCAATGTTTCAAACAAGCCAAACCGTGTGATAAAGGCTGTTTTCCATATATCTCCTCGGCGATGCGGATTTTGTTAAATGCGGCGATAATGTCTAGTTTCGTATAGACTTTGGCGTTGCATAGGGCATCTAGAGTCTCACGGATCAAAGGCAGTGGGTAGCGGTTCTTTATGGTGATGTTGTTAAGACCGCGGTAGTCCTGGCAGATCCGGACACCACCTCCTGGCTTCGCGGCAAGGAGTAGTGGTGCTGCACAGCGGGCTCAGGACTCCCGTATGAACCCTTTAGACAGGTTATCATCCAGCCATTTCCGTATGACTTTGAGTTCCTGTGGGTTCATTGGGCGTGTCTTTGGTACGGAGGTTCTTTTCCAGTCAGAAGCTCTATCTTATGGTCCCATGAGCGCTGCGGGGGAAGTTTGTCTGCGAGCTTAGGTAGGAACACATCGTAGAGGTCGCGGAGCCATATCGGGAGCTTCTTCAAGACGTCATCCGCTGTTCGCTCCGGCTTGCCTTTCATGAACTTTTCGATATCGGCATCTGTGATCTTGGCTAGGCGGGCTGGTGAGTAGCATTCGTCAACAAAGTCGTGCAATTCATTAGGAAAGAGCTGTCTTGCTTCCTTCCAGCTGAAGTCCATGTTTTTGCTGCTTATACCAAGGACTACCATTTTATAATATTCCTCTGGGAGGTCAGGTAGGCGGTATTTCATCTGCTGGCGACTACTATCCAGTCGATCAAGCTCATCCCATGTCATTTTCATCGCCTCAACGGTTGGGTCGCGGCAGAATTGGACGAAGTTTGTAGCGTTTGTAAGCCGTATGTTCGATAGGTCTGGTCGGTCTGATGGTTCTAGGGCGGTGTCGCGAGATGGGTTTGGAAGTGGCACGCTGAGTGGAGGTAGCGGAGGTCTTGGTGGTGGCTTCTTTGTATGACGGCTGCCAGCAGTCATACGAGTCGGGGCTGGTTTAGTTCTCGGCTGATTGGGGATCATCTGGGCTCGGCACTCGGGGCCTTGGTGATTCTTCGGGTTGCGGGTACGGTAGTGATTTGCGCCTGGGGTCAGCGTTGCTTTAAATGTCATAACGGAGCATCTTCGCCAGCGTTGGAACAGTCGTTACTATCATTCTCTAAGTCTTCAACTGTTGGAGGCTGATAGAATGAGACTCGTCGCGCTGGCTTGCTAGATATTGGCGTTGCTTCAAATGTCATGACGGGGCATCTTCGCTAGTGTTTGAGCAGTTGCTAGTATCGTCCTCTGAGTCGTCGACCGTTGAGGACTGATGTGAGAGTGCTGGAGCAGTTGCTATGGTCGTCCTCTGAATCTTCGACAATTGGAGGCTGGTAGGACAAGGCTCGTCGGACTGGTTTGCCAGGGGTTGGTAGGTCGAACGAGACTCGTCGGGCTGGTTCACCCGGGATTGGTAGGTCGTGGTAGTTGCCGGGCGGGTCGGGCAGCACCGGTGCAGATGCGTTCTGAACTCCTTGGGGGCAACAAAAGTTGTGACAGTATGGGGATGTGAATGTCAGGGACATACTGGACCAGTCGATGCTTGGGTTGTGGCGTTGCAGCCAGGGAGTCCAAGGATGATAGGGGTGTCCGGGAGAGGTCTGTAACAAAGAATAGGCAGAGCTCATTGTGCAATCCTATCAATATTGGTGCAATGAAGTATTCCGATATTGAGCCAGCCGGTTTCCCGTCGGCGAGGAGGAGGGCTCGTTTTGTTGGCGTTGGTTGGGTTACGATATTCCGGGTCTTGACAAGCTACGGTCCGCAAATGCCCGTGCAGAGCATCCGCTATCAATAAGGCTCGTCACCTCAATGGGGTCGGTATGCGCGGGGACTAAGGTAGCTTGAATGAGTAGAGATTTGCTGTCTATTGACCTAAGTCTGATAGGTTTGTGGCTCGAGAGACAGCGACGTATCCATTCCGGCATCCTTGGTTCCTTCGTTGACCTCCGTCCGCGGCTCTGGGCGGAGGTTATTCTTTTCCCCGGTGCTCAAGTGAGGCTGGGGTGTTGACAGAGGGAGTGGGGGTTGGTGTAGTCCTTGTTTCCTCGTCTGCTATAATATAGCCTTGTTCGAGGGATCGCAGTCTTGGAAAGGCTGGGGGATACGCAGGGAATTGGGGCTGAAACGGGTGGGTTGTGTTGTTGGCTGGCTTGGTAATTGTAGGGGCGGTGGTTTTGTCCAGGTTGGCCGCGTCCCATTCCTCTACTGTACCCATAGCTAGGTTTATATGTTCCAAAGGCCTGGTTGCGTTTTGCGTCGGCCTGCTTCTTTTCATCACAATCGCTTTTAAAGTGGCCGGGCTTTTGCAGTACAAACAGAGGTTATTAGTAAAGCAGTCCTCCTCGTAGGTCTAGCTTGGCGCGTAGCGTCCAAAACCATCGGGTCGCCAGCGTCAGCCTGTTGGCGTTGTTGGAATTGCTGGTGTGTTTGGCCTTGGTAGGGTCGACTACCTAGACGTCCTGAGCGCAGTTTGTCCTGGTGGTCCTTGGCCAACAGGTTATCGTAGATCGTCTGGTACATTTTACACCACTCAGAGAAGTTGTCTCTAGCAGGGCGGACAAGCTGGTGCGTCATTTCGTTGGCGAGTTCCTGAGAGACCTTGAGCTGCAAGGACTCAACTTTCTGGGTCTCAGTCTTTCCACACTCCTCGGCCAGGGCGGCAAAGTCAGCGATGAAGTTTTGGAAGGGTTTCTTGCCCATCCAAAGGTTATCAAAGGCTTGTGAAGCCGAAAGTGTCAGATCAAGCGTTTCATACTGTTTGTTCATCTCCGCCAGGCAGTCGGTATGGGTTTGCCATGGCCATATGGCTTGGTTTTCCTCATGTTCAATAATGAAATCGAATTTCTTGCGGTAGAGCTTCGAGGCCGATCCTCCAAGCAGGCCAGCGATGTGTTGGATTCTGATAAAATCGGTGACAAAGAAACTCTTATCCACAGCAAAAGTTCGGAGCACTTGAGAGCGCCAGTTGACATATTGCTGTTGGCGTTTCTTAACATCCTTCTCATCGCCTTCAAATGGGTTGGGGTTTGGCATCATTCGACGGGGGCGTGACTCAGGGCGCAATTCTGTTGGTCTGGCGCTCAGCAGAGTTCTTAGTTCATCGGCGAGGGTGACAAGGGAGTCTTGGGTCCGGGGTGTTCCTTGGGCTTGGGCGAGGTGTGTTTCTAATTCCGCGATTCGTCTCTCTAGATTGGCGTTTTGGTTGATGAAGTGGTCCATTGCGCTCTCGGCCGCGCGGCAGAGAGCTTCGACCTGGTTCTTGTACATGTCGTCTGTTGGGTCTTGGAGCATAGAGGCGAGGCTGGAGCAGTCACAAGCTTGGACCCGGTGAAGGGCAGCTGCGATGTTTGGGAAGGTATCATGAATAGCGTCGGCGAGGGTTGCGCCCGCCTGGTTCTGGGGATTCATCATGGTCTTGGCAGGGCGGGGAAAAATTCCAGTGATCGAGGGTAGGGCTGGGCCGCTCGCGGCGTGGTGATCTCGTTGCGTGGGACTTGGGGTGTCGAATGGGAAAACTCTGGTTAGGTGTACAATCGGGATGGCGGCGCAGCCGATAGTAGACAGCACAAACTATCACGGGCAGACCTAGGATGCCAGGGAAGATCTATGTTGTGCTGTGAGGAGGGCAAACTACGGAGGTGGAACAGAGTCTAGACTAAGTACAGGGATGCACGTGACGGAACCCAGGTTGGTGCCGTGACAGTGGGGGGACAACCCCGTCATGGACGGTTGGCGGATCGTGCCAGAGCCGGCCGAGATAAATCAGTGGAAGATTACTTTGCATCGGAATGATGGTCGTGAGCGAGGCCAGGACCCTAGGCCGTGATATTTAATCATCATTCTACAGAACGAGGTTCCGACAAGGTCTCGACGATACTATAGATGGCCTTGCTCGCTGACTGATAAGGACAGCGAATAGAAAGTTACAGACATCCCCCAGGCTTAGAAGAACGAAAATTACACTTACTCTTTATGAGCCTCTGGTTGGCCTATTCTCTTCTTGTGCGCACCTCGTCAAGCAAATCAACACCAATGCCCCTAGGTATAGTGCGACAAGCCTTGCGACTGGTTTCCATCACCTCCAGGTGTCAAAGCTATGCCTCATTTTTTTTTTCGTATAAAATTCATCATTCTTTCTGTTCTCGTTCGGGTAGTAGACTGTCTGGCCGTTCTAATCTATGGTAAAGACTTAATGTTATTCTTTCCAGTGACACCGCTGGGGCTGTGAGGCCCAATCTGCTTTTCTTGCTCTTCACAGAAGATCTTGGCCAACTGATGCTATAGCCCCTAATCGGCAACCATGCCATTGTCTTCCTCATCTTTAATGCAGAAAACGTACTTTGTGGGCTTTGCCCTCAAGGATATTTGAGGTCCGCGAAGCATTATCTGCGGTTCTTTCGGAACATCTCGGTTGTACTCGATTCGTCCGTAGTAGCTCGACTGCGTATAGTGCTAGTAAATCCATTCAGCCTCGTCTACGGTATCGCGAATTTAGAGGATGGATTGAGGGATGGCGTTCAGCGAGGCTTGAGGGGTAAACAAGTTAGGAGAAACGTGCAGTGTAAGGACTAGACCATTCCGCTGGTGCCTTATCTCGTATTACCGCGTAAAACATCGCTTCTTCGGTACTGACAAGCATATCTCTTCTTTAGAGACCTCCTTGGGGTAGACAGGGAGAGGTGGTCAACTGATTTCGCCACCTTGGTCTTCCATCATGGCCAAGCCACGTCGTCCTACCTCTGAGGTAGCCCGCTCGTAAGATGAAGTAGCATTTTTTCAGTAGCTTCTGAGAGAATCGTATATCTCCTGTAGAAATAACTAAATCGTATACTGATAGTCTATATATCAATGCTATGTCACTAAGATAACTTTATAAGATTCTAAGCATACATGAAAACATGGAGGGGCCTGACTAGAGATAAGGACCGAAAATCTGGCCTAAATGCGGTCTCGTCGGTGCTGGTCTGGAGCGTTAATATCAGCTTTTTTCGAGCATATTCACCAATGAAGTCGGAATGGTAGGTGTTCTCAAAGTGTGCAATGCTGCGGGACCAAACGCCGCGAGATGCAGCGATCTGGTATTGACCGATACGCTTCTCAATGTTACGGCATTGAATGCTAACTCGACTGTCAAAGCGACCGGGAAAGAGTTCCATTTTCGTTTCCTGTTCGTCGCCTCCTTACCGAGCTCTGAAGTCTGAACAACGCTTTGGAGCTCCCGGGTAGGTGGTTGTCACCAACTTGGAGGCGTCGCCCCATTTCAAGGACGTATTTTGAAAGGCATGAATTCTTCGAGGAGCTAAGTTTGAGTCACTTAATATCGATGATTTCCATGATTAATGCCAAAGAGTGGATGGGGGAAAGGGAGACGGAACTGGGGGCAACCAAGAGGTGGAGGTCACATGATCATTCACGTGAGACTACTTTTGGAGAGAATTCTCCATCAACACCAAGACCAAACATCCTCCGGCATCACCACAATCCCTCGCCTCCAATTACACCCGGCTGGACTCGCGCGCCAGCGGTATCCGGGTCCGAGACCGCGACTGACGCCATGCTTGCCGCCATAGGCAGGCCATGAGACGAACAGACAGACACGCGCGCAACCATGCGGCCACCAAGCATCGCAGCCCAGCTCCGTCCGCAGCTGCTCGCCAGCGCCCATTGCCATGGCCCGTTGGCGCGCTCGCTGTCCTCGGTTACTGCTGCGGCGGGCCCGTCGCACCGTGTCCGCAGTCGCGCCGCGGTGACACCCCTCGTGAGCGCCAGCTTCTTCCTCTCCAACCGGCTGTTTGAGCGGTCCGGCTGCCTCGACTCGCTCGTCTCGCGCAACCGGAAACGCGCGACCTCGACCACAGCAGCACGACCGACGCCGGCCCAGCCCATAGACGAGCTTCCCCCCCACCGCCGGAGACTGGCCCGGAAACTCGCAGATGCCAGCCACGATTCCCCCGACGCCGCCCTGCCCTCAAACGCCTCCTCCACCCTTACTAGCCTCGCCGCTGCGCATCCGGACCGCTCCGCCCGCCGCATCCTCTCCTCGCTCCTCTCCCTCTCCAAGCCACGCCTCACGGTGCTCGTTGTGCTGACGGCCATGGCACCGTACGCCCTGTACCCGATGCCCGAGATGCTGACGCCCACCATGACCGAGACGCCCAGCCTGAGCCCCCTGACGCTCCTCTTCCTCACCACAGGCACGGCCCTCTGTTCCGCGAGCGCCAATGCCCTCAACATGCTCTACGAGCCATCTACCGATGCCAAGATGTCGAGGACGCGCAATCGTCCGCTCGTCAGGAGGCTGGTTTCCGCCCGCAGCGCGGCCATCTTCGCCATCCTCGCGGGCGCCGCGGGCACAGGTGCCCTCTACTTTGGCGTCAACCCCACCGTGTCGCTCCTTGGCCTCTCCAACATCGTCCTGTATGCCGGCGTCTACACGCCTCTCAAGGCAGTCACCGCCCTCAATACCTGGATCGGCGCCCTTGTGGGCGGCATTCCGCCGCTCATGGGATGGGCCGCCGCTGCCGGCGAGGCCGCGACTAACGACGGCTCGTGGCGCGAGCTGCTGTTTGCCAGCGACGGCTCGTCGATAGGCGGCTGGCTGCTGGCCGGCCTGCTCTTCGCCTGGCAGTTCCCGCACTTCATGGCACTGAGCTGGCCCATCCGCGACGAGTACCGCGCCGCCGGCCTACGCATGCTGGCCTGGACCAACCCGGCCCGCAACGCGCGCGTCGCCCTGCGCTACAGCCTCGTCTTCATCCCCATCTGCCTGTCGCTGTGCGCCGCCGGCGTCACCGAGTGGTCCTTTGCCGCCACCAGCCTGCCCGTCAACCTGTGGCTGGCGCGCGAGGCCGTGCGCTTCTGGCGCTTCGAAGGCCATAAGGGCAGCGCCCGCGGCCTCTTCTGGGCCAGCGTCTGGCACCTGCCGGCCGTCATGATCCTTGCACTGCTGCACAAAAAGGGCCTATGGGCCCGCGCCTGGGCCAGTGCGTTTGGACAACCTGCCGACGGCGTGTGGGTAGAGGAAGGAGAGGCTGAGGAGCTGCAGGAAATGGTCAGCATGACGGCGGCTAGGGTTGCTGAGAAGACGACACGAGCGCGGTGACGTGCTATGCATTGTACGAACCTTTTTGTCTGTTGGTATTGTGGCATCTGTACGATAGATGGCCCGACGTCGTCACAATCAGTGGGAGAGAGATGCGTGAGGCGACCCCGTTGCGCGTGCGTGTATAATCCCCCATGTCGTCGCCAGCCTGGCAGTTAGGCTGGCGCCCTCACCTGTAGGCAGATTGCTGCACCGCTGCTCCAGGTATGTACAAACAACTGCGCAATGCAGAGTCCAACAAGTGCTCGGGTGGCTTCCTTTCTCGGCTGCGCCAGATCATGGCGCAGGTGAATGACGGAGCTCGGACGCATGCAGATATGGATCCGTGGGTTGTGGGGAGCCTTGCACGGGCCGGCCCGGCCACGCGGCAGCCACGGACCGGATCGGCACGGCGACGAAACTGAACGTGAATCTTTTTTCATTCTCCCGCGTCCCGACTCGATCTCGCGGCGTCTCTATGCTGTTGTTACAAGATGGTTCCAGCAAGGCCGCCAATTAGCGCACACGCGTGCCAGTGGCATTAACTCATACGTGCCTCGCCACAAGCGCCGGCCTCTTCCCAACCTTCACAAAGAGCAGGCCGCCCGAAGAAAGGAGCGAGAAAAAAAATGTAAATAGACGGAAAAACTGCAATCGCAGCGCGTGACGGGCAGAAAAAATCAACCAGTCTCCCCCATGAAGCAGTTAGACTCATGCCGCCCAACTCCGTCCAGCGCCCCGTCCAGATGTCTCGTCATGTTTTCAGACTCATTCATAGCGACAAAAAGAAACCCGGCATCCAAAACAAAAGCTCCAATGACTAGTCTTAACATTTAAAAAAAAGGGACAAGAGGGAGAAGGAAGGCAGTGGTGGTGGCTGTGTTGGTGGTTTTGGGAGGAGATAGAGTGAATCGTGTAAGACGCAGGGTAAAATAGATAAATAGGTCATGACGGGCGTGCTCTCATGTCATCGGGGACAAGGGGTTTAAAGGGGTAGAAGAAGAAGTAGAGAAGACACCAAGGAAAAGAAAGAAAGTCAACCTAGGCTGCCTTTTTGCCGCCACCGGGCCGGTTGATGATGGCTCCGATGCCCATGTCGGCGGCCGACATCCTCTGTGCGTCCAGGTACTGGCTGCTTCCATGGCCGTGGCCCCTGCCGCCCGGGTGAGTCGAGGCGACATATTGGCGACGGCCGGCGGCGCTCGTCGCCGAACTGACGCTCGATGAGTATCCGTGGTGGCCGCCGTTGGTGGCGCCGTAGCCGGACGCGTAGGCGCCCACGGCGTACGAGCCTTGCGGGGGCTGCAGGTGGCCGACGTGCGACTGCTGGTGAAAGGGGTAGCTGACGGACCCGGAGCTCGCAAAGGACGGCGCGCCGGAGGAGCCCACCTCAGGGCTGCTGTATGAGGCGTCTAGTTCATCAACGGGAGTCAGGCCGATGCCGGAAATGCCGCTATCGTCGTCATACCCTGTCACATGAGAGCTCGTCTCAAGGCGATTGCGGCGCGAGGCCGCGCGGGCGGCGCTCTGCAGGTTTTTGAGGCCGTTGGACATGCACTGTCGGGAGCGAGGGTCTCGCGTCAGCACTGAAGTCCTCTGCGCTGCAGCGCTTCGCGCCAACAAGCCTCGATGGCTGGTCTCGCTCTACTCAGGATTTCTCACCTTTTGCTCTACAACGTTCCACTTCTCCCCAGTGCGCGCCGCGAGCCCACTCCAGATCTCCTTGCGCATGCTCATGTACTCCTTGGCCAGTTGCTGAAGCTTTCGGTTGTCCCAGTCATCGGCGCCCTTGCGCTCCATTAAGCGCTCATGGCGCTTCCGGCAGGCGTTGGCCGTCTTTGTGGGGAAATAGGCGTCCTTGATCTGGCCCCAGTTGAGGCCTTGCATCCGCGCGGTAAGAAGCTGCTGGTCGTTCTGCGGGCTCCACGCCCCGGAGCTGGCGCGGTGCTGCGTGGGTGGCGCTGGGACGGGGTCCGGAGCGTAGGACGCGTAGTCTGGCTCCTGTTGTTGAGGAAGCGGCATGACGGATGAAGATGACGAGGGAATGGTGTAGTAGTTGGCCGGCACGGTCACGCGTGGCTGGTCATATATGGAGGAGGAGCCGAGCGAGGGCTGCATCTGGCCTGCGTAGTGACTCTGCGGAGCGCCGGCATTATTCGTGTTTCTTGGCATGGTGGCCTGGTGTTTAAGTGGGTGAAAACGAGCGAGTGCTGAAAGTAGGATAGGTGCAGGGAACTAATGCCATAGAGGACCGCGAGACCGGCTCGCAAGATGAGGTAGAGGTAGAGAAGGAAACCAAAAGACTGAATTCCACAGTCAAGAATGGTTTCACGATGCTGTGGTCGGCCCAGGTGCAAGTAGAAGAGATGATGTCCAGCGAGACGTGGGAACTGAGACAGCTCCGGCGTGGTGGGAGCTACTGGCTTGAGAGGAGCAGAGATGCGAAAAGCGAGGGCGGAAGCGACGAGGAGCAGACAGCAACAAAAGAAATGAAGAGAAGAGTTGAAGATGGGAGTATTGGACGACAGCGGCTTGAATCCACAACCGAGATGCCAAGGGGACGAGATATCAGGCCCTGGCCGCAGAGATGGACATGAGGGTGTTTTAAGACGGCGAGACAAGCGGGCGGCGGTTGGGACGTTGAAGAAAAGAAGCGCGAGGCAATGCGAGGCCATGCGACTGTGCAGACGAAACCAACCCGCAGCATCAGTGGGAAACATGAAACGAAGCTGCTGTGTCCAAAGCGACGGATTTATCCAGAATGGGCCGCTGATATTGGCCCGCATGGCAAAGCGGCTGCTAGGCGACGGGCGGCTAGAGGCAGGGCGGCTACATGGACGACAGCGGGACTTGCACGGAGAACCATGGGACTGGGAGGGAACGTGGTCGGCAAACATGCACAGAAGATTTGTCAGAGGAAGCGCCGAGGTTTCCATATTGGGAGCCGCGATTCATAGCAGACAGAGCCGCATGGGGGGGGGGGGGGGGTAAAAGAGGGAAGAGGCTTGGACGAGATGTCGGCCCCGATGCCACCTGCACCCGAATTAGACATGAGGAGCATACCAAACAGAGCGAGATGCATGGGGCAGGTTCTTCCTCTTCTTTCATAAGAATCGCTCCACCAACACAGACAGGCGCTTGCCATTCTTCCAAGTCTCGAGTGGAAAGGAGAGCGAGAGGACCTGGACGCTCGCATGCTCGGGATGTGCTGCCCAGGTTGACTTGAGATTCTCAAGCGTCAGGATCGACAACTCAAGCGCTCTGGCACGACCGAAGAAGAAAGCGGCAGAGGGCGAAGGCGACGCGGAGATTAAAGGGGGCATTGAGCCGCATATGTCGGTGCCGGCAGAGCAAGGGGGGACGAGAAGGGGGTTCGCGTTTAGGCGCCGTCCTCGGGCAGAGCCGTCTTCGACAATGGGGAACGGACCATGCGGCGGCAGTCTTCCGCTTCAGGCGGTTTGCGCGCCTGAACGCTTTCCTGGGCCAGAGTGCCAGGCGAGGTGGTGATGGTGACTGGTGAAGTCCAAGGCTGCGAGAGGAAGCGGCGGTTGCTTGTGACTGGCTGGAACAACAATGCGCCGCTTCCGATGCGAGGCAAGGCGGTCGTGGAAGCGCGCGTCTAAATTCCTCATCTCGAAGCAGGCAGGTATGATGCTATTTTTAACCACGGAAGGCGCCAGCGAGGGGCAAACAAACCAACAAGCATCAAGCTGCATCTCTCTCTCTCTCTCTTCTCTCCCCCTCAACCACGACAAGAGGTGAAGCTCCCGGCGGCAATGAGGCCTCTGACTGCGCCGACCAGCATTGCCCTCGCCCCTCTGTCTACTCCTCCGTCTGTTCAAGGGCGCTTGGAAGCGGCTCTGCTTGCCTGCTTTGCCGGCCTCAGTCATCGTCGTCAATCTCGCCGCAGCCGCCGTCGATGCACATACGCCCGGTCCAAGTGAAGCACGAAGCAAGGCATCGGGTCCGTTTCGGTAGTAGCGAGAAGCAGTTGCTCGTCACTTGTTTTGCGCACCGCCCCACGCCTCCATGGCTCGGAAGCAGCCCCAACAGCGGCCCCCGAGACAACGGGGCGCTGCCAACCTCGAGGACTCGATCGATGGAGCGTCTCCAAGCATCAGATGACAGCAACGCAAACTGGACCAGCTGGCAACTCATGCAGATTTGGCCATCGAATCCATCGTTGATCAAGGATGCACACGCTTGGGGCCAGCTCAACGAGGAAGAAAAGAAGGTTAATCTTGCTCTACGAGGTTTCAAACACTTTGCTCCGCCATCCTTGCCAACTTGTCCCGCCTTGTCCCCAGGCCAAATGCCACGCCCCCCTCCCCATACTGCCATGCTGATATCTATACGGAGCGCAAGTCTATAGGTGAGAGATATACTTGACCTTGTCCGCGCAGCAGCTGCCCTTTTTACTCTCGCCGCCCTCGTCTGACGAAAAGGCGTTCCTCGACGAGCCGTCCTTGGTCAGCGCCGAGGGCGGTACCCACAGCGCCGGGTTCTGGCGAAAGAAGCTGCTAGCCCGCATCATGATGCTCACAGGCTCGGCCGGCATGATGGGAAAGTCCTCGGCACGCGGAAAGTGCGTCAAGCCAAATTGCACGTAACATACAATGTCCGTGTTGTCAATGGGCTCGTCGCGGTTGACCCAGTCGAGCACCGCCGCGTTGTCCGGGTGCTGCTCTTGGCCCGTCGACTGGCACACATAGTCGCCCGCCGGAAACAGCTCGTAGTCGCGGTACGGCAGCACCCAGAGGCTCTTCCGCGCAAACGCCGCCCGCTTGTGCACCACGCTGCCTGGCTTGGCCAGCAGCCCCGGGCATTGGTTGTTGACAATCTTGTAGCCCACGGGCTTGCCGGCCGACGGGTGCAGGCGGCTCGGGTTGACAATGTCCCAGGTCCGGCTCGTCTCGTGGCAGTAGTCGGCTGCGCCCTCCTTGGCCGTCTGCAGCGGCGTCTTGCGGCAGTAGAAGCCGTTGCCAAACGGGTTCTCGGGCGAGCCGACGGGCGCCTCGGACGGCACGGCGTCGCACTGCACCACCGAGTTGTTGGGCCCGTCAATCTGCGGGTCGACGCGCAGCGAAAATATGTGCTGGTGATTGTGGGCGGTGATGCCGGGTGCCACCTCGGTGCCCCACGGCGCCGCCTTCTCGGACGGGTGCAGGCAGTAGGTGTTGAGCATACCCGTCAGCTTGACCTCGAGCTTGTAAGTCCCGTCGAGGCTAAAAGTGTGATAGAAGCCGTACTCGTAGTTGGCGGCCGTGATAATCTGCGAGATGATGAGGCGCCGGTCGCGGGCCGAGACGACGGCGCCGTCGCGGAAGTCGGTGTGCTTGTACAGCAGGCCGTTGTCCTCCTCGTGGATGCAGACGGCGTTCTTGACAATGGCGGGCTGGCCGCGGCCCGTCGACAGGACGGCGTCGAGGTAGTGGATGGCGCCCTTGCAGTCGCAGCCGAGCTTGAGCGAGTTGGTCATGAGGCCGGTGCCGTATTCGCCCACGTCAAAGGCGTGCTTGCGGTGGTGCGGCGGCTCCGGGCAGCCGTAGGGCACCACCATCTCGACGACGCTGATGCGGTTGAAGAGGGAGCGCTCGCGGCCCTCGTAGGGGTCGTCGATGCGCACGTCGGACAGTACGATGCCCTCGCGGTAGTTGAAGCCGATGTGCATCTTGAGCCCGGCCCACGCAATCTCGTTGCCTCGCACCGCAAACGACACGCCCTCGGGCTGCGTCACGTCGATGGGCCGGAGCCGGCGCGGCCGGTAGCCGTCGCCGACAAACTCGGGGAGGTAGTTGTGGGGATTCCGGGGCACGGCGGTGCGCTGGCCGTGGACGCGGCGGACGTCGACGGCCAGTACCTCCTCGGCCTCGGTGTCTGCGACGACGCTGAAGTCGAGCGGGTGGGCGTACTGGTTGTCCGAGGGCGAGGCGCGCCAGTAGGCCAGCCCCTGCTGCAGGCGGCGCTCAAACCCCCAGCGCGAATCGACGCCAATGGCCCACGCATCGAGGTAGACGGTCGACATGTCGGTGATGCCGATTTCGCGGCACGCGTCGACGACACGCGGATCGCGCCGGGCCACGCGCTCCATGACGTCGAGGTCTTCGAGCGTCAACGTCGGCGCCACGTCCTGGAGGGCGCGCCAGTCCTCGACGGAACCGCGCGTCAGGTTTACAATGGCCTCGCGCACGCCCATGCCGTCTGCGCTCGGTGCCGTGGAGTCCTGATGCTGCTGTTGCTGCTCCAGCAAGACGACTAGGGCCCGGCGCGCCGGGCGGGGGCCGGTGCCGGACCGGAAGGCGGCATATTCGAGCTTGCGGGGCTCGCGGAGGGTGATGCAATTGAACTTGACTTGACTTGGGCTCGCATACTCGCGCACGAGCCGAGCGGCGGCGCTGATTTCCTGGGGACATAGCTGGTCTGGGAGGGGAGGGTGTTAGCGCTCCCATCATCTTCTCCGTCTCCCCCTCTCTTGCTCGGGCCGATGGCAAGTCTGACGCCTCAGACCACGGCAAACTCACCGAGGGGATGTGCTGGCGCCACTGTGGCCGCTGCCAACGAGTCGAGGCCGTCCTGGTCCGGCAGGATGATATAGCCCGGGATGGAGGTGGTGTCTGGCTCCTGGGCCGGCTGCGGTTGTCGTATCGCCGGGTCCGCCATGGCTCGGGCTGCTTGTCGCTGGGTATTACTTGTCGTACGCGGGCGCTCTTATCCATACAGGTGTGCATGCAACGAAACGAACGCTGGATCAACGATGGTCGCGTGTGGTCAAGGCACACAATGTATGTACTTCTCGACGTTGGGTATTCACAGTGGGCGTAGGGAGGCGAGCAGGTGAACTTCGGCAGAGGCCGGCTACTTGTTTTGTGTCACTTTTCCTTTCTCCCTTAGGCTCCGGTGCCGTGACGAGAAGGGGCTATATAAACATGCCGCCCCGGGCGGCCTCGGCCCCGCTGGCCTTGCAGGCTCGCGGGCCGCGGCGGCCGTTGAGCGGCTCCACCGGGGCCCCGGCAGAAGTTCCAGACCTGCCGCGTCGCCTCATGTGTCCCCACGCTTCGTCTCATCCTCTTGGCGCCTTGTTTCTTCGTGCCTCTCTACATAAATGGCGGGCGGAGAGGGAAGAGGAGGGGGCCGCGGGGGCTGGACGGGCACGCGTCCCGAAACCTTGTGTCAAGGGTCCGGTCGGTCCCGAGAACGGAAATCACCAAATGCGGGGGCTGAACATGGACGCCGGCTCGTATCCCAGGGTGCGACGGACGGACGGACGGGCTTGCTGCGCTGTGAGGCCCGGCGTGCAGCCGAGGTCGGAGGGAAAGAGACTCACGGTGATGACCTGGCCTCAGTGCTGCAAGGCAACATGACAAGATGGGAAAAGATGGAGGAGGGTCTGCCAAGGACGGGGCCCCGATCGAGGAGTGGCTTCCCTAGTTTCTTGGCATCGATGACGGGGCCCGTTTTGATGGAAGCGAGCCAACATCCGAGTCAAGTCGGCCGAAGTGTGTCTATTCGCCCTTACCCGAGCTACGCATACACACATACTCTGGCGTGGACTATAGGTGCATCCCATTTATGTATGTACGCGTGTCTCTTTAGGGCCTTCATTTCTTCACGTTAGTCAGAGTATGGGCGTCTGTACGACAGCCAAGCGCGGCGGTTTCTCTGTGACAGCTCCGGCTTTTGTGTCTCGCAGACTCTGCCATTTCCTCGCAGCACCCCTGATTTTGTCGGGCAGTGCACCAAAAAGGGCCCGCGCTTATTACGGGAACGCATATTGCATGTACATACTGTCCGTCTGCACGCGCATTGACCTGCCCTCCACGGTAGCTGAGTACCCGACTTGCAGGACGCAGCCCGCCATCACCCATCTGTTCGAGGTAAGGAACCCGGGATCGTAGTCGAAACGGCAATCCGTCCCGCGGCTTGCTCCCTGCTTCCTTGTTTGCCTCTCGGGACCCGCGGGCGGCGGGTCGAGTGCTCAACGTGCCACGGCAGTCTCTCCACTCCCACCGACTAGTCCCTTTGATTTTAGCCTGCCGTTACGTAGTAAGAGATAGAGAATGAAACAGAAGCCGTCGATAACAGGTCCAATGAGATTGTCAGAGTCGAGATGAATGGTCTGTAGCAGCACTGCGGGGGAAGAGGATGGCCGGGGGGGACTGAGGAGGGGAGGATGAGGGGAAGACTGGAAGAGGTGATGTGCGTCATGCGGCTGGGGCTGAGACTGGACAGACGTATGAGCACTCTGAGAGTCTATTCCATTGCTTGCCATGTGGAAGGCTTTTCAATTCATCCATCCCTTGCTTGTTCTGTTGACATATTCGGCTTTAAGTTGTTGCTTGAGCTGCCCTTGGCTCTGGATAAATTGAACGCTTCCCCCTTAACTCCCAATCCCGTGGCCAGTCCGACGATCGAAGTTGAATGCAAAAACATCCATCCTGTCTGTCTCTTGAGTCGATTTGTTCTCGGCCGAGGTTCATCTGCTGTAGAGTCTGCCTGGCTAGACGGTGTCGATTCTCGCGGCGCACAAGGACGGTCGTCTGCCCAGCATCACCCCCAAACCAGCATCGGCAGGATTGCTTGCCGACGCAGCAACTGTTCCTCCAGCATTCGGGACCCAAGCGAAAGAGAATGACGGGCCGTTGAGGGTCTCGATTGACGCTCTTCTTGGCCGTGTCGCGACTTCAACTATCGAGGTAGCTGCTTTACGCCTATGTGCATATTTCGTGTATGCAATTTTGACACTCGCCTCGGACCGCCTCTGACGACGACGACTTCTTCTGCTTCTTCATATGTCGTCTCCGCCATCAACTGGGCAGCCGCAGCAGCCGCAGCAGCAGCAGCAGCAGCAGCGACAATGCCAAAGCTCCGACTCGACGATGGCAGGTGAAGGCCGGGAAGGCCAAGACTGGAGGAAAAGAGGGCCGCTGGGACGCTGCGTCGATGTCGACGACGACGACGACGTCAACGATCAAGGCAGACGGCCAGACGATGGCGCCTCGTCGTCGATGGCCTCGCAGGCACGGCGCGACGCCGACGACCTCGCGGCGCTGGGCCACGTGCAGGTGCTGACGCGCAAGTTCAGCACGTGGAGCATGCTGGCGCTGGCCTTTACCGTGCTCGGCACCTGGACGACGTGCGCCCAGGGCCTCAACAACGGCCTCGTCAACGGCGGGCCCGTCGCCATTCTCTGGGGCCTCGTCCTCGTCGCCCTGTGCAACACGTGCGTCGCCGTCAGCCTCGGCGAACTGTGCAGCAGCATGCCCACGGCCCTCGGCCAGGCCTACTGGATCGCCCGCCTCGCCGACAAGGCGCCCGCCGCCCGCTTCGCCTCGTACCTGTGCGCCTGGATCAACACGTTTGGCTGGTGGACGCTGGCCGCCTCGCAGATTGCCTTCATGTCCGACTTTATCCTCGCCATGCGCCTCATGTTCCTCGACGACGACGCCGCCGCCGCCGCCGCGCCGCCCGGCTGGCTGCGCTTCCTCGTCTACCTGGCCATCACCCTCGCCTTCACTCTCTTCAACCTCGTCGCCTGCCGCCGCGAGTCTGTCTTGCCCGCCTTCAATAACTTTGTCGGCGTCGGCTTCGTCGCCCTCTTCCTCGTCTTCGTCGCCACCCTGCCCGCCGCCGTCGCCACCCACTCGGGCCTCTCCTTCCGGCGCCCCTCGTTTGTCTTCGCCGCCTGGCTCAACCGCACCGGCTGGCCCGATGCCGTCACCTGGTTCCTCGGCCTCGTCCAGAGCGCCTACGGCCTCACGGCCTTCGACTCCGTCATCCACATGGTCGAGGAGATTCCCGCCCCGCGCCGCAACGCCCCGCGCACAATGTACCTGGCCGTCGTCTGCGGCGCCCTCTCGGGCTTTCTCTTCATGCTCGTCTGCCTCTTCTGCATCCAGGACCTCGAGCGCCTCCTCAGCCCGCCCTCGGGCTTCCCCTTTATCGAAATCACCCAGTCCACCGTCGGCCTCTCGGGCGCCGCCGCCCTCATCGCCCTCTTCATCTTCAACGGCCTCGGCCAGGGCGTCAGCATCCTCACCTCGGCCTCGCGCCTCACCTGGAGCTTCGCCCGCGACGGCGGCATCCCTTTTGGCGCCTTCTTCGCCCACGTCGACCCCCAGTGGAGGGTCCCCGCCCGCGCCCTATGGCTCCAGGCCGCCCTCATCTCCCTCGTCGGCCTCCTCTACCTCTTTGCCAACACGGTGCTGCAGGCCATTCTCAGCGTCAGCACCATTGCCCTCACCATGTCCTACGCCATGCCCATCCTCGCCCTCGTCCTCGTCGGCCGCGACAAGATGCCGCCCCGCGAGTTCAACCTCGGCCGCCTCGGCCCGCCCATCAACGCCGTCTCGCTCGTCTACTGCGCCGTCACCACCGTCTTCTTCTTTTTCCCCAGCCAGCCCAACCCGCGGCCCGGCGACATGAACTTTGCCATTGCCGTCTTTGGCGTCATGCTGGTCGTCGCCCTTGGCTTCTGGGTCGTCCAGGGGCGCCTCACCTTTTTGCAGACGGGCGGAGACGTCTTGTACGCCAACAATCTCGCCACGGGCCGCGATGTGCTAGCCGACGACGGCGCCACGGTCACGCGCACGCGCGACGACGGCAGGAATCTGACGAAGCCGCCGTCTGTCGGGGATTGACGGCCGCGAAGCGATGACGCCAAGGGGGACATGCGAGGCCATATTTGAGTGGGGAGAGCGAGCGCTTGATTTGGCCATTCATCTCTATGCTATTTTCATTCAATCAAATCTTTTTTTTTTGGTATTGTCAGGGTCGAGAATGGTGTTTCATGAGCCCTTTGCAATCATATGGTGAGATGCCTGGGTGACGCGAACAAGACGGTGCTTGTGTGCAGTAACATGGGGAGACAGTCACGAGTTGGGCAGGCCAACAATGTTCCCTTCTTAACCATGCAAATCTGGCTTTGCTGAGCGTCTTATGAAAAGTGTCTGATGTACAGGGCGGAGCGTGTGTCTAGCCCATGCTGCTACACAAACAAGGCCCCTTTCAAGTCATGGGTCATCCATGCGTGCAGTCGTTTTGCAATTGTAATTTACATGATCCCTCGTTGCTGGGCCAGGACAGCCTCGCCCTACAGGCGGGAGCCCAGGTTGATGTGGACGGCCTTGGTCTCGGTGTAGGCGGCCAGAGCAGCCTCGCCGAGCTCGCGGCCGATGCCGCTCTGCTTGACGCCGCCAAAGGGCACCTGGATGTCCGAGTCGTTGGACGAGTTGATCCAGACCATGCCGGCCTGGAGGGCGGCGGCGACGCGGTGGGCGCGCTCAATGTTCTGGCTGAAGACGGCGGCGGCCAGGCCGTACATGGAGTCGTTGGCCAGGCGCAGGGCCTCGGCCTCGTCGGCAAAGGGCGTGATGGTGACGAGAGGCCCAAAGACCTCGTCGCGGAACACGTCCATGTCCTTGGTGACGGCCGAGAAGACGGTGGGCTGGATGAAGAAGCCCGAGCCGGAGCCGACGGCGGCGGCGGCCGACTCGCCGCCCATCTCGAGCTTGGCGCCCTGCTGCTTGGCGCCGTCGATGTAGGCGAGGATCTTATCGTACTGGGCGCGCGAGACCTGGGGGCCGTGCGTCGTGTCCTCGGAAAAGGGGTCGCCGACCTTGGCCCAGCTGCGGACGACGTCGAGAAAGGCGCGCGAGAAGGCGTCGGCGACCGAGGCCTCGACCAGCAGCCGCGACGTGGCGGTGCAGACCTGGCCTTGGTTGCTCATGATGCCAACGTAGGCCCATTTGGCGGCCTGCTCGAGGTCGGCGTCGGCGAAGACGACAAGGGGCGACTTGCCGCCCGTCTCGAGCGTCACGTTCTTGAGCCCCGCCGAGGCGGCCTTCATGACGGCGCGGCCGGTGAGGGTGGAGCCGGTAAAGGCAATCTTGTCGATGCCCGGGTGGGCGGCGAGGGCCTGGCCGGCGTCGGCGCCGCGGCCGTTGACGACGTTGACGACGCCCGGGGGGAAGCCGGCCTGGCGGACGAGGTCGGCGACGAGCAGGATGGACAGGGGCGTCTGCTCGGCGGGCTTGAGGACGACGGTGTTGCCGGCGGCCAGGGCCGGGCCGAGCTTCCACGCGGCCATGGCGAGCGGGTAGTTCCAGGGGATGATTTGCGCGCACACGCCCACGGGCTGGCGCAGCGTGTAGGCCAGCTTCTTGGCCGGCGTCGTCGTCGGGATGGTGAGCCCCTGCAGCTTGTCGGCCCAGCCGGCGTAGTAGCGGAGGCAGGCCAGCACCTCGGCCAGGTCCTCGTCGCGCGAGACGAGGTAGGGCTTGCCGTTGTCCCACGTCTCGAGGGCGGCGAGCGTCTCGCGCTGCTGCTCGATGAGGTCGGCGAGGCGGAGCATCAGCGCGCCGCGGTCGCCGCCGGGCAGCTCGCGCCACGAGGGGGTCTCGAAGGCGGCGCGGGCGGCGGCGACGGCGCGGTCGATGTCGGCGGGCGAGGCGGCCTCGACGGAGCAGATTTCCTCGCCGTTGCTTGGACTGGGGTCAACACAGATATCCACATGACACAGGGAAGGGCGGCCAGGGACATACATTGGGCTGATGCTGGTGAGCTTGCTGCCGGAGCTCGACTCGACAAACTCATTGTTGATGAAGAGCCCCGTCGGCAGGGCTATCTCGACGCCGTTGGGCACCCTGAGCTGCACTACCGGAGGAGCCATGGCTGCGGGAGGCGGCGTATGACGATGGTGATGGGTCGAGGTGAAGAGGGAGCGCAGAGGGAGCGCTGAAGAAGAGGTGCGCGCGCGCCGATGGCGGTTGATGGCCAAGACAGGGTGACGGAAGGGTGACGCGAGCTTGTGCGAGGCGAGGAAGCAGGCTTTGTTGGGGGCAGCTCGCGGCAGGGTGAGGACAAGGGCCGCGTCGACAGCCATCGAGGGGAAGCAACGAACGACCTGGGGGGGGGGAGGCTCCGGCGGTCTCGGCAGGGACACAGAGCATGCGGTTCGATACAGACACTCGTTGCCTATGCTTCACACGCGGCCCGGACGTCCAGTCCCGCTCCGCCGATAGGCTTCGGGCCCCTTGCGTGAGGGGGTGAGAGCGGGATGATGATAGCGTACTGCACATACAGTACGTAATGGGCAAGACAGGATGGATGGATGGATGGATACGAGGCCGAGGATGCGTCTCCGCGGCGGGGGTTCGTCCAGTGGGTGGACGGACCCCCGGGGCTGCGACACCGGAGAGGAGGCGTCAAGTCAACGTCTTACATTACACATATTACTGTATATGCCTATTCGGACGGCACAACATGTGCTGTGCTCCGATGCACACGCACGCATACTGTACAGCACACAGGTAACCATCACTAATCGACACAACGCCGCCTTGGCCCGTGCCGTCGCACCTGCACGGCTCATGTCACAGCCGCTTCTTGGCAGCGCCGCTCGGGCCCCGCGGACTGCCGGCCCCGGACCCGGCGGCGCCCGGCGGGACAGCAGCCACCACGAATAGTACAGTTAGCTGTATAAAGCCCAGAACCGCTGCTCTGTCGCGGCTCATGTCCATGACGGCGTGGCAGCTTTCGAACACCACGTGGCGCCTTCCTGCCGGTCAAGTCTCAAGGTGACCAGCAGGCAGGGTGGAGTTGATGGCGAGAACACAGGCCGGAAAGGGGAGATTGATTGTCAAACACCATTTTTCTGGGCATGTACTTGGCAGTAATTATTACCCGAGGTTCCCAGTCTTGTTATGGATCCAGATTGCGTCACTTACTCTCTCTTCTACTTCGCCTTGGCACGCAAGGGCCCTCTGCCAACGTGTTGTCTGCCTCCCTCCAAGCATCATGAACGTATATACCTAGATAGGATGACGAGTTGACAGCTATTCCAGCCTTGTCTGTAGTACCCGCCCTGCCCTCTCAGGGTATGACGGCGCTGTTCGCGGCTGGTCGCGCTCGAGAACGGAGCGCCTTCTCGCCCCGCGCCACGTAGCCATCGACGAAACCAATCCTTGGCACTGAACATGCTCGCCACATTTTGGCATATTTTTGTCATGTCCTCTTACTACAAGCCCGCCAACCAGGAGTTTCGCGCATTCCCGTGAAGAACTTCGGGTGCATGCACGTTTATAAAGGCTCCCAGTAGACCGGCTAACCCCAGAGAAGGCAGTGTTTCAGCCAGCCTTTTTTGGCCTTTCCGTGACATGGGGGACCAGACGAGGGCTCTGGACTTGACTCTGTTTCTTCCCCTGGATATTATACTCATTGCCGTCAACGCCGGTGGCCCCGTCTGCGTGGAGACCTCGACGTCCTCTGTCCGTTCTGGATCGCCGGTGTTGCCCGGTGGCATCAGCCGACACAGATCGCTCGGTTTACTGCGCGCGTGCGTTAACGGTCTAATACTGACGATTCAATGTTCAATCGAACTGTCCGTACCGCTTCTACCTCGCCATGAATGGTCTGAAAGCAGGTCAACTTGCAAGGCTATCGTGGTAATTACTGGTTATAATAAGACAGTGGGGTCTGTAAATGAGCAGCGACCACGGTAGCTTTCTCTAGGGGGTCAGTCCCCCTTCTGACCCTTGTTAGCCAGGCCTATACAAGGACACGAGTAAGGCGCACCGCTCCGCTCCTTTCTATAGCGTGAATGACTACGAAAACGAGGCTCGTCTCGCTCATATATAGGCAAGCTCTGGTCCCTGGAACGGTCCCCGAGTTTCATGCCTCGCAACATGATTCGTTTACCGCACATGGACCTGCCAGTCGCCATATCGACGTGACCCTACGTCCCGGCGCCTCGGGGTATCCCGTCATCTGAAGCATCACGAGTCATTCAAGGGGCCTCATAGCACTGACTCGACCAGCGGGCGAAAGTATGTACTGCGCGATATTACCCGGTTGGGTGATTCGGTGGCGGGACTTCTAGAAGGAACATTCTTCTATAACCCTCCAAATCCAATATGCAAAACCTTGCTCGCCGTGCTCGAGGCAGGGAGGCCGAGCGAGGCAATGCTCTGCCCGTCTCTCCTTTGCGCCTCCAGCAGCAAGCATGCACGTTTCTTTTCTGAACATTCTGCTCGGCGTCTCCTGGCTTCTACTGTTCCGGTACTGCCAGATACACTCATACGCCGATCCCGGGGCCTTCTTCTTCGACGCGGAGCGTGCCTTTACGCCATTTTACTCTGCCGCCAGGGAAACGGAGGCAGACTACTTTCTGCAGAAACTCCCGACGACGACGGCGGCTGCGGATCAACCGCGCAGAGACTCGTCAAGCTCCGACCGCATCTGTCTCGGAATACCGAGCATTCGACGACAAGGAGAACAGTTCCTGCCGCGGACGGTGGCCTCGCTGGTCGACACTCTGAGCTTGGAGCAGCGGAGACAGCTCGTCATTGTCGTCTTGTTGGCCGACGACGAACCCCAGATCAATCCTGCCTTTGGTCAGGCCTGGCTCGAACGTCTTACCGACGAGGTGCTCGTCTACGCGGACCCGTCGAGTCTCCCGGTTGCCACAAACTACCGCTCCATCAACGGAAGCCAGCAGCATGACGGAGCCAGCCGGGAGAAGCACGTGCAGCTCGACTATGCCAGTCTAGTCGACGCGTGTATCACGCACGATGCCGACTACTTCGCCCTGCTCGAAGACGACGTCATTGCGTCTCGGGACTGGCTCGCACGCCTCCGCAGCTCTCTCTCGCAGATCGAGAACATGGCCACGCCAAAGGACTGGCTATATCTGCGGCTGTTTTACGCAGAGAAATACCTGGGCTGGAACTCGGAGGAATGGCCCTCGTACTCGAAGAACGTGGCGTTGGTCTACGCCGCCGCCGCAGCTACCGTGGTGCTTTTCCGGCGAGTCAAGCTGGCCCTGCTCCAGCCAGCCAAGTGGGAGGTGCGCCTCCACGGATCCCGCCGGACGTTTCCCGCGGTCCAGTTCAACTTTTGGATGCTTGCCTTTATTGGCCTCTACTTCATGGCGGGGCGTCTGACGGTCAACGGATACCAAGCCGGGCTGCGTGAGATGGAGAGAAACGGGTGCTGCGCCCAAGGGCTGGTGTTTCCGAGCCGGCATCTGCGAATGCTGGCCTCGAGGCTGAAGGAGCCACCCCACGACCTGCCGGGAGACTCCTTTATTGAGCAGGTAGCAGACAATGAAGGCCTGAGCAGATGGGCCATGGTGCCCAGCGTGTTACAGCACGTGGGCGTCAGGGGCTCATCCGAGTCTGGCGGGGTGCGCAAAACGTCGTGGAACTTTAGTTTTGAGAGGCTTTAGCTACGCAGAGCTACAATTGTGCATGTTTTTCAAGACTTGAGAGATGACTATGTATTCCTTGGAACGTCGAAGACGGCGAGCGGTTCTCGGCGGATAGATGCCGCATGGCTCCACATCACTCAGCAGAAACGCACTGCAATCGTCCTCGACTGAAGTTGCAACTCTCCGTATTTGGTGAGATAGCCGCGAGTTGAACTTCAGTGTAGCCTCTGGGCAGACTTGGAACATGTAGCATTTGACGTGACCTGCTTGCTGCCTTCTTCAAGGCATAGAGGGAGCGCAGCCCGCGACGGACATTTAGCAACCCTTCCAACTTGCCGGCTCCGAGCGCCTTTGGTCCTTCAAGAACCAACTCAAAGCCAGATATTGGCCAGGTGACGTCCGAGTTTCGCCCATACTTTCTCATGCACTGGCCAGTGCTGCAGTATTGCCCATGAATTCTCAGTACTACCGCGAGAGCCTTAAGCTCGGAAACATACGGCACTTCCGCAAAGGAGTCCGTGAGTGGCCGCCGCACACTCTGCTGAGCTGGCTTCTCTGGTTTCCCAGTTGGCCGTGTCCGTTGGTCCGTTGAATGACACTCGGCTTGGCCACATACATGTAGAAGCGGGCACCTGATGGAGCTCTCCATTCTGTGCTCGGCCCATGTAGCAAGATGAGAGAGGCAGCCGGTACATTCCCAGTCGCTGACGGCTGTTTTCGAGCACTTTCCTCCTTTTCCTCCAAACACATCTTCTCACACTGAGGCTTAACGGCATGGAGGTTATCTCTGTTCCACCCACCACGGTGGGAAAGCTGGCCATTCTCCTAACTTGACCCCGGACTCGGCTTGACCTGGCAGGGAGAAACGAGCAACAGGCCGACAACACAGCCGGCCCGTGACGCCTCGGTCCGATGGTGGGCGTGGATCTGGACGCATCTGCTGCATGGACGGAGACGGACAGCGTGACAAGACGAGAGGGCAAAATCGGCGCCTCATCGACTCACGCTGACAATAGCGGCATGACGCCGCAGCGGCAGGCATCCAGAGCCCGGGACCGGACGCAAGTGCAGAGTCAAGCGAGGGTGAGCGGCTGCTTCGTCGAGTCATATCCCTTGTGGCCAGCTGATTCTCGTCCCGTCCATCGACTTCTTATTTCTCATCTCTGGTCCTCCTCTCGAAACGCCACCCCAGCCCAAAAGCAATACCGGATATCATGTCTGTAACACGCCTAAAGAAAAGACTGGCGTCCTCGTCCCTCTGTCCGCATTTCGCCTCACTCACCCCTGAGCAGCGCCCCGGCAAACTGCCCGGCCGCCTCGCGCATCTCCCCCATGACGCCCTCCTCGGCCCAAAAGTGCCCGGCCGACGGCACCTCGAGGCCGCGAAACAGCGACCCGCGCGCCGTCCCCAGCCGCGCCGTCCACGCCCGCAGCTTTCCGGCCGGCACAAACACGTCGCGGTCGCCAAACACGGCCAGCGTCGGGTTGCGCACCAGCTTGGCCTCTTGCGCTACATCATCGGCCTCGGCCTCGGCGTCTTGTCCATGCTGATGACGTGTCCGGCTGTGCAGGGCGGACGGCATCAGCGACATGGTGGCCAGGTGCGTCACGAGGCCCTGCAGCGGCGATACAAGGAGGTACGCGGGCCGTGGCACCACGAGGCCGGCCGGTTCGTGCATAGGGCTGGAGTCGGTGCCGTCGGCCACCGTCTCCGTCTCCGGTGCGCCCAAGGCCGACGAGTCGCTCGGAGCACTCTTGGGACGCGCGTGGCCGCTCACCGACCGCCGGCGAAAGATGTGGTGCCCACCTCCCTCATGCCTGGACCTTCGTAGCGCCAGGAGATCATGCACCCCCCTTTTCAGCTTGTCCTCGGCGTCGTCGAGCGAGAAGCTCCTCCGTCCGAAGCTCTCGTGGCTTCTTCGCAGGCCAACGCCCTCGTCGCCGCCGACCCGGACGCCAGATAGTCTGCTCGGGCTGGTTGGGATACGCAAGTGCGGCTGTTGCCGCTGCTCCTTTCTCTGCCGCCGCTGAGCCGTGGCCTCGGAGCGCACACCGCCCAGCATCGAGTTCTGCTGCTCGGCCAGATGCTCTGCACGCAGGCGGATCTCGGCGGCGTCCGAGTCTGCGGCAGGGGCGACGAGGGGCTCGAGCAGGGCATCGAGCGGGCCGAGCTGCGTCGTCACCATGGCGCCGTACGAGTAGCCGCACATGAGTAAAACGGGGGGGCGTTCGAGAGGCGCAGCCACTTGGCGCCCATCTTGCTGCTCGTCATTTTCGTCTTGGGAAGTTTCGGGGGAAGACTCGTGATTGTCGTGGCGGAATGGATCGAGGTTGTGGACGTAGTGCACCACGAAGCCGACAAAGCTGGCATAGTCGTCTCGCTCGGGCTTGGCTGTCCACGACGTCCTCCCGGCCGAGTGACCGGCCCCTCTAGGTGACTGTCAGCCTCGCCGCTCTCTTGGCCTGCTTCCCGCGCTCTCCCCCTGCTCCAGGACGCACCGAAAGTTAAAGGTGCCGACGAGGAAGCCCTCGCGCAACAGCTGCGCGGCGACGGCCTCGACGACGGCGTCATCGTAGCATCCGCCCATGGGCGCGTACGGGTGCGCCACCACGGCAGCATGGCGCCGCCACGGCGGGGAGCGCGGGTTGGCGGCGGCGAGCGAGGCCGGGTGGTAGAGGCGGCAGTCGAGCGTCGTTCCGTCGTGGAGGCTGGGGATGGTCAGCGTCAAGGCTGGGTCGGGAAGCGTCATTGCTGGGGCGGGCGCCGCATCTTCCTCGGCGGCGAGGCGTACGTGGGTGCGTCAAAACGTATTTGGGCAGCAGTGGAAGTGTGGACGTTGATGTTGAGAGGAGGTTTTTCCGGCATCGCGAGGCTGACCTGCGGCCTTCCGTGTTGATGCGGGTGGAGCGCTGTGGGGTGGGGGGGGGATCAATTACAGGGCCTCTCGGGGTCCCTGCAGTGGGGCTCTGCCCCGGGGCTAACCCCGGCCCACACGGAGGTACGAGCTGGGTGTACCTCCCCGGCGTCCGGGCCTCGACTCGGCCATCTCAGTCTCTCTATGCCGGCCAGCAATTGGGAGAAGGGGTCGGCCTTGTCGCCGACCGGGGTTTACCACGTAGATCAAGCCGACAGTCAGTAGCCCTGGTAGTTGAAACCGACACGATCAAAAAGGCGTCGTTGCCCATCTAACTCCCTTGACTCCCCCATCTGCAGTCCACTTGCAAGCCTCAACCATTCTCGGCTCGGGCCCTCGTCTATAGCATTTACGGGGGTCGGAGCCCTAGCATCAGACTCGGTCTCTGTCCTCACTACTACCGCCGTCGGCTATTGGCGCTTCTTCTCTCCTCCCGCCGCCTCTTCACGGCGAGCTCGCTGCTGCTTCCGCCTCCTCCACCAATTCTTCAGCTCGTTGACCAGCCCCAGCACCAGCGGCACCCCGACGGGCCCCAGCAACGGCAGGTAGACGGCAATCTTGTGCTCGTCGGGAAAGTACAGCTGGCCCACCATGCTCTTCTCGAAAAAGGCCCGCTCCGCCTCGGCCTCGGCGATGCGCGCGTGCAGCAGGCCCTCGGGCCCGCTCAGGCTACCGCACGCGCGCTCCAGGTGCTCGAGCGTCGTCGACACGCCCTCGGCCACGCTGCGCGGGATCGAGATGGATGCGAGCGCCCGCGACAGCCGCGCCAGCGAGCCCAGCGACGACGACGCCCGTAGCAGCAGGTCCGTCGCCCGGATCCGGGCCAGCGCCGACAGCCGCAGCGGCAGCGACCCCGTCTGCGGCGTGCCCAGCAGCGACAGCAGCTGTCCGCCAAACGTTAGCATCGGCTGCTTGAGCGTCTCACGCGACACGTGCGTCGCCGTCGGCGGCAGCGACAGCAGGTACACGGTGCCCCACTGCGGAATCGTCCACGACTGCGATGTAGCCGCCTCGAGCCCAATCGTCTGGTTGCCGACAAAGACAACAAAGTTGACCGTCGGCGCCCCGCCAATCGACGGCGACAGAGGCCACTCGGCCGCGTTGATAAAGGAGGCCAGGTGCTCCTTGCTCAGCACTTGTGACTGCACCCCGGGCGTCGCGTACAGCTGCAGTTGCGTGTCAATGGTGAAGTTGTGGATGGGGCCCAGCACGTCGAGCACGGGCTTCATGTACTCTTCAATGGCCGCCTCGACGTCCCACGTGTTGGGCACGGCGCCGTCGGTGAAGAGGGAAAAAGTGAGGTGGTAGGTTGGCGCGTAGCGGAGAGACTTCGTGGTGCGCTTCGAGAGCGCGTCGGCCACCTCGGGGCTCAGCGCCTGCGGGCGGACGGCCGACGACATGGACGATGTGGAGAGCAGGTACGAGATGATGGACTGCTCCTCAGTGAAGGCGGAGCGCAGCTGGTTGGCCACAAGGGAAGCCAAGGCTGACGAGCCCGAGTTGAGGGGCGGAATCGAGTTGGGGGCGTAGGTGACGTCGAGCACGGCGGCTTCGGGGTTGAGCGACGCCGAGCTCGCTTGGCCGGGGGACAGGCGGATGGCCAGGGCGGGTTCTTGTTCCTCGGACGTGGTCGTGTTGTTGACGGCCAGCTGCAGGCGCAGGTGATGGACGGAAAAGTCGTCGAGGTCGTCGAGGGCGTGTTGGGTGAGGCGAACGAGGTGCTGGGCATCGTGGTCGGCGAGGGAGGGGGCGTGGACGGATATCTGGAGGGGGAAGACGGGGCGGCAGGCCTGTGATGGGACGGCAAGTCAGTAAATGTTCAAGCCACCTGCCAAGACGAGGGCGAGAGGCGAGAGCAAGCAGCTTGAGAGGGGAGGACACACCTTGCCTTCGGCCCACTGCAGCATACGATCCAAAGGCAGGTGGGCGCGGTAGATGGTCGTCGTCTTCCACCAGATGGGCAGGCCGACGACGACGACGACGAGCCAAAAGGAGAGGACGACAAGGGACCGCCGTCGCGTCTCCGACGGCTTCTCTGGCGGCGGCTGCTTGAGAGGCTCCGCGGGCGAGGCGGCATCGACAGGCGCGGCGACGGCGGCGGCGGCAGCAGCCGTGGCCGCCGCGAGAGGCTGGTCCGACGTCATGGTTCCGGCCAGTTTGTTCAGGCGACGACGGCTTGGCCGGTGGTGGAGGCTGTCGCTATCGGCGGCACATCGACTAGGCGCGCGAGGCGTGACAACGGAGCCAGGTGAAACACGCCAGACAAGAGCTCCTATTTCTCGACGACGGTAGCGACGGCAATGGGCGGCGGCGGCGGCGCTGGCGGTGCGCGTCGTCGTCCTGCGTGTCCCCGTGATTGAAGATGCCAGTTGCACCACCAAGGGGGAGAGGGAGACGTGGTGGGTTCACCTACCCTAGAGCTCGAGCGCCTTTGGTCGGTACCTAGCTTGGTTGGTAGGTAATTACCAGGTGCATATGTGATATAATACCTAGGGTGTCGGGAGGTCTGTACTGCAGTAACGCAATGGGTTGTATTCAAGATGTCTTGCTAGGAAGGGAGGAAAGGGAATGAGGGGGCACACTACGTGCCCTTTATACACGGATCCCCGAGGTCCATACACGTGACGCTAAGGGTCACGTGTGCGTGTGTGCGCACCTCCCTTACAATCCTACTATAGCTATATGCTACATTCCCACATAGGGAGAGTTAGGTAATCTCCTACAGCTTTTTTCTCTCTAGTCCCCCCTATTAGAGCAATCATTCGCATGTAGAACAAGACAGATAGGTAGATATATATATATATATATATATATTACATCTTTCAGTACCGTATTATGCGTATCCATCTAGTCCTTATGCATTGGATTCCTGTCTCAATACGTTAGAAACAGACAACTGGAGCCATAAGTAACTCCTGTCGACTGCTGCATTCAGTGCCTCCGTCACCAATCTCCTCCTCTTCAAACTTTACAGTCCAACCAGGGAGCGCGGTTGCATAAATGGCGTGAGAATAAGAAATCCCTTCGTCCTCGCATTCCCGCGTCCTGGGCATAGGTCGATTCGCTAAGACTATGCCACCTCCGAGGCTGCGATGGCCAACGCCCAGGGCGGACTCTAGCATCAATTTCCCGTGCTTCACAACGCCACGAGAAAATGGACGGTTCCTCATATACTTCGTGGGTGGCCAGTGCGACGCGGTCTCGAAATGATTTTGCCACAACACGATGCCTTGCAACGGATGCCCTGGGGTGGCGATACTCGCAGCTCACAATCACAAATTCAACTCGTAGGCGTCCAGGCTGATACGGGAGCGGAGCCCGAAAGAGAGGGGGCGAACCCGAGTGCCGTGGTATTGACGGCGCTGATGTTCATCCGCGGGAACGTGGTCCAGGAGGCGCTCGCACAATCAACCGGGAAGCGGCTTATGCCTGTCTGCTTTTCCCTTCGGTTGGGTTAGCTATGCCCTCTCTAGCTTCAAGGATGTCTTCGGTGGTTGACGATGCCCCAGATGGCGAGGAGCCGGGTCGGACAACGATTCCATATTGAAAGACACGGCGAAGGAGATGCCAAAGGGACCCTACTGGGGCCCCTACTGGGAATAGGCCAGATACTGTCTTTGCTGGCAAGCACATGATATGGATGATTGATGTGCTCTCTGAGAACTACACTTGCACCTTGGCAGGCTCTACTACTCGAACCACAAAACAAAATTGACACCTTTTGTGCAAGGCATCGTTATGATACTGGCCCAATGTGTCAAGGAGAGGCTCCGGTACCACGCAACGCAACCCCGTGGCTATACGGAAGTAGTCATCATATCAGAAAGGGGCTTCTTACACTCTTTATTAGATACCTAAGGACCGAGGCACGCCATGAAATTTCCTACGTGATATCTGACACTTTCAGGTTCGTGGCTTTTCCCTTTCCATTGCTTTTGCTTAAGCACTCTATCTTATGCCTGTAGTTTCCTGCCCTTCCGCTGTTGCCGCCCAAGGGCCCCATCAATAACTCCACAGCGCTGGCGAGGCGTCGTTGTAGTGGCAGGGGCGGAAGCCCAGTCGATTCCTTCATGTGTTCCTGCCGTGTGACTTCATTCGGCTGTCCGTTTGCTGAATCGTCCAATTACTGGACCCTGTACCACTCGTTCAAGTCAGACGCGACAGAGGTTCCTAGAATCCTAGTATGGTAGCTGGATGAGAACGGGTGCAGGAGAAAGCGGATGGTAAACCCCAAGCCCTTTCACACGACTGAGCTCTGTCGGTCTGCTCAAGAAACTGAGGGGATCGGGATAAGCCATCTCATAGGCTGGTAACCAGGTTCTCGGTGCCCAGCCGAAACCTCGACGTTTTACCTTTGTACCAGGGAGGAATATCATGCCCGAGGGAATGGCTCCCTTGTATTGCTTGTGCAACTCATCCCAGAAGACGCAGCGAGTTCCTCGAGTCGATCGACGTTGAAGGACTTTGCCGAAGCATCCAAGCCAAATTCTTCGCTTTTGGTTCCTTTGCTGTCAAGATTTAGCAATCTAGCGAGAGCCAGGACTTCACGTTCTGCCTATCCAGTCGGCTCTTACATGAAATAGTCCATTTGGGCTTCAATATCACTCAAGCGCACGAGGTTGTCTGTTTCATGTGAGTCTTCCTCTAAGGGGAAGAAGATGTCGCGGCTGGGATAGGCTTCCTGCAGTGTCCACAAACGTCGCATCTAAACGCTGGAGAAAATCTTCGTGGCTGCCTCGTCCGGCCCACCTCGATCCATGCCGGAGAGGCCATTGGTGAGGATGATGGTATGAGTGACGACTGGAACACGCGGAATGTTTGCCGAATTGCTTTCTTCCTATATTCTTCCTGCCCCTTTGCACTTCTGGGGCGTCCAGATTTTGATCGTTTCCCTCTCGTCTCTAGACTTGACCTTGCGTCTGTGTTGTTTGGTCATGCGGGACGACTTCTGATACGCTTGGTATGCTGCAACAAGCATTGTCGCGTTGGAGCCGACCTGGTAATGCAGAATTTCCATGGCCCGCGGGCACCAACCGGTTTTTCCATGTCCTTGAAGGTGTATCTTGGTGGTCCCCATCCCGCATGGTTATCTTGGTGCCAACCCGTCATAAGCCTTGGTGCGGCGCTGAGGGTCTCTCCGAGACACACCAAGACCAGCACACTCTTGCCATTAACGTCGACGTGGTCGGCCTGCTCGTCCTTTGGCCCGGCGTTTAGTGAGTTGACGCCGTAGTCATCGACGACGGCCCCGTCCCCATTGCAGCCATGGTCGTATGCGAATGCCTTCTGTATCATGTGGCGGGCCAAATCCAGGACCCAGCCAACCTGAATCATGCGGAACCTCAACCCTTCTTGATGATAAAGGGTCCAGTTCGTCCATTGGTCGATGACATCGTGATGATGCCTGGTGGACAGCAGTTTGCTGTTGTGCAGTTTATCCAGCTGAAGAACTGGGCTCCCATCTACTTGAACGAAGGTGGGTATCCAGGTCGAAGAACAACCCGGCTTGGACGAGGAACTGCAAGCTCTATTGTTTGCTGGACTTTTTGGAGGGCACGAGGGCGAAGTCTCGACTGACGTCCCATCCGCACCGTTCCGGGAAGTCATAGAAGGCTTGGGAAGGCAGGGGCGGCTCAACATGGCGTTGCCCTTTCAGGAGATAATCGACGCAGAGAGCGCGGATTTCTGTGATTCCATCCCCGTGGTTTGCGGCAACCTGTTCCACGATCGGTGACGGTGGGTTAAGAGGTGACAGTTTGGCACTGGAATCAGCGTCCTGTACCATCCGCCACAAGTTGGCTCTTGAGAAGACGGCCGAGGAAAGCAATGGGTTCGCCAGGTGTACATTTCCGAGAGCGACCGCGCATGTTGGTCAGCCTAACTATCTGTCGCGTTGCGCAGATGCACGGCCTCTTTCGAGGCTTTTCAGCTCAAGTGATAGTGCACGATGCCGTGTGGTGGCGGTGTTCCAGACTGTCCTCTGCAGTACAGTACTACACGAATACGGCATTAGAAAGTGTACAGCATATGTATGCAGTACGTCCGGAGTGCCGACGCCCCTTGCACAAGGCGGATGAGGAGTGCGTGACCAACGTAACTCAAGACATCTGTTTATAGTACAGCACGTATGTATACATATCTTCGCACCCCTGGTGTGAGCACCAAGTTGGGTGGACAGGCGCAAAGGCATCTTTACTTGTAAAGGTACTTCTTTAGGGGTGTTTCCGGGATACTCTGTAATGGACATTAAATTCTTTACTTTTCTTGTCAGCTTCTTTACGCCTATTTCTTTCATTAAGATGATGCGCGAGCAAGGTTTCATGAAATTGGCACTAGATCGATTACAATCTCCAAGCAAGATAGACTCGGCCGGTTCGAATGCAAAGACCAAGGCACCTCTCGCCGGACAAGACGCCACGGAATAGATCCAACGGAGATTTCATCCAAGAGAACTCTGCCGCATGACAAGCAAACACGATTGGAAACCGAACCAGGCAAAGAGCTGCGAACCAAGGAGAGAAGTGTCCTGGTGGCAAAAGCCTCCATTGATCTTTGGCTAGCGACTACCGATCAGCCCTAGACGTTTCATCGGAGGCTCTGCATTTTATGAGAAATACGGTTGAGGTCTAGCACTTTAAGAATCTGGCTACCGCAACGCTCAAGGCATGGTGTTTTGCGTACAATGGTATAAACACTGAAGCCGAGATGCTCTGTTCCACCACCTTTAAAACCACGGCTCGAACCTTGGGCTGCCGTCATCCGCAGACTCTTGATGCCATGGGGTTTCTTGGTCTATATATTTAGGTTTCAAGGCCGGTTTGACGAAGCAGGCGGCACTGGAATGTCAGTGGATTAGCTTTCCGACGAGGGGATGGAGGAAATGGACAGACACCATCCGCTGCCTGTCCCGCAAAGTTCTAACTGGCCAAGTCCGCCTTGCCAATGGGGACTACAAGTCTGCGAAGCTCACATTCGACAAGGCTGTGGCACAAGCCGAGGAAATCACGGGCGACCTTCACCCCGAAACTCTCAGGTATAAGTCAGAGCAGGCTCGTGTCTACCTCTACTTGGGCAACGTCACCAATGCTGGAGATTTAGCTCTCCTTGCAGTCGCCCAACAATTCGAGCTTTCCACCCAAAGGCAGATCACTGATCTAGACATGGCGTATCTGTGCAAGCTGCTGCAGACCAGTCCTCGGGATGAGCCGTTGACACGAGTCAGCAAGCTCCTCGACTTGGTCCTCAAAAAGGGCCCATTGTCGGCAACGCTCCATCTCTTCCTCGTCTCGACTCTGCTACTTGTAGCCAGAATCGAAGTTTGCAGGTTCCGGTTGACCACCCGAAAAGGCTCCGGCGCGGACTTAGCCTCCGCCAAGCAAATCTGGGAGTCACTGCACGATTTATGGGGCTAATAAATCGGAGCCATGAACTTAGCCACGGCACACATGGGGGAATCAACTGAATCCGGCGAACCTGTCAAGGTCGTAAGACTTTTTCGCCAAGCTTACCGGAGCAGAAAGTCGCTGATTAATGGGGGACATCCACCTTAATGCCCTTTGCGCGCAACGAGATCTCGACATCGCGAAGTGTATACTCGACCCTGGTTCCTGTGTCGATGAAACCCCCCTGGTTCGAGTGAGGGTGTCAGGCAGAATTATGAAGGCCCTGGAGTCGCGCCTTGGCGAGCTTCACCCGAAACCCTGAAGTCGCTGCTGTGGGGCCTCACCCTGAGCCTGCTGCTGTCGGGCAGCAGCAGCATGAGGAACAAGTCATCGAAAACCCTCATTGAGAACTTGTCGGACTTGCAAGCTGCAAAATAGCGCCATGTCGAATCTCTTGTTATGAAGAGGCGGCTAGCTAGTCTCTCAAATGTGGAGGGCAAGTCTAAGGAGGCTCAGCTACTTGTTGATGGTGCGATTTCTCAGATAAACGGAGCCATGGTAGCGGATGAAAATGAAGGGTTAAAAGAGATACTTTCGGGCTTGTTAGAAACTTTCTATAGAGAAATATACCACAATACCAACCAGTTATCTCTAACGGAGGTGCCTCTAATTTTGTTAGAGGATAATATGACTGGTTTAACACTTTCCGTGTGGCTGAGGGAGTTGAAGAACGTCGAGTGACATGTCAGCCCGGAAAATGACGTGTAGGCTGCGCTTGTGTCGCGTGGATTGACCACGACAGTTGCAGCGATGCAAAAAGTATAGCAATCGAAAGAGAAAACTGCTGTTGTCGGAACTGTAGCTCTGCGGCATGCTTGATGATGCTATTTACAAGAGAAAGGGTAAGCCTGCTAGAGGATTATTGGCTGTTCTATAGGCCAGCTGCGATATATCTATGGTCTGCCCGGAGTGAAAGGTAGCACTGATGGCGGCTGGAAACCGAATGACTAGTAGACTGAGAGGCCAGTGCGACTTATGATGCATGAGTTTGGGGGGGGGGTTAATTGGGCGCTTTGAGTAACAAGCAGACGGCTCTACCTAAGAGGGAGGCCAAAAGTAGTAGGCAGAGCCGTCTGCTTGTCAGCCAAGGCGTACTTATATTGGACATGAGACGCTTGCCACATCCCTGTATTGTCAAGCCGTGCATAATGTATCCCTTTCCCATACTTATTTCGCGACAATTGTCGACTTGCTGTCTTGGGAGCAAAAAGCTTCAGAATTGTATTCTTTGTCGGGCAGGCTACACTATCTGGTACGTGGGCTGTCTCGCCGTGACAGGTAACAAAAGAGACCACTTCTGTCCGGCCCCGATTGAACCCTCGGCGGCTCGGCTGTGAAAGGCCCGAGAAACCGACTACTTTGCGCCCGTAAACAATGGATCCGCTTTGCTATCTAGCTCGGTGAGTTTAGCGTCCAGCTGTTGCTGTGTCTCATTGAACGAAGCCTTCATATCACTGATGGTCTGATTGATCTGGCGATCCAGGTCCTCGAACTTCTTATCGTTTTCTGGAGACTGCTCCCCTAGCTCGCCCACTTGTTTTTGCAAGTCAGCGAGCTTCTTATCCATATCCTTCTGTTTGTCGTCGAACGTCGCCGTCAACTTGTTAACGACGGGTTCGCTCTCCTCGTCTATCTTTTGGAGCTGCTTCATCTCATCCGAGGACAGCGGTTTGCCATTATCTTTGAGGACCTGCGTGTCCTGGACGGCAGGGGTTGCCAAGGCAAACACGGCAACTGATGGTAGCGTTAGCAGGGCGATGAGATGGCGAATGAGGGTGGTGATAACGCACAGGCCAGAGCGGTGACGGCAGCAATGCGAACCATTTGGATGATGTGTTGATGGTAAAAGTACTGGGAGCGGTGTCTAATTGTCCAAGAGATTTGATGTGACGTGCCAGAGCGTGACCGGACGTGCCAGGTAGAGTAGCGATGGAGAGAGTGTCGATAGTTCTCGTGAATAGTTAATGTTGTCGGGTGTTGTGTTGGGCCCTGAGATGCGATAATCCATCACATAAATATGCTCTCATTAATACCTTGCCGCAGCATAGCTTGACTGTCCTGACTCGTCGTGCCACGGAGTCGGAGCAAAAGGCGTGAATCTGAGACATGGCCGGCAGCGCACGTTTCGAAATATCCCGCCAAGCACGTCTAGATGATGGTGCTAGATTAAGAAAAGTTCTAGCTATTCGCTAAGTTATTTCTTATTCAAGATATAATCACCAGACAGAGTGAATCCCTGCTCTTACGGGTAGGATCGAGTTATTTCGTGGAGCACGTAATTATCCAAGAACCCTCGAACAATCAACACCTAGAATCCAGGCCTACGACTTTATTAGCCTTCGTTGGCCCCACTTCAGGTCTGCAAGGGATGATGTTAGACTCCTTATCCCCTATTACAAGCCGTTACAGCTCTCGCCACAACTTACCTGCTCGGTGTTTGAAAAGTTGGCTCACTGCACCGCCCCTGATCTGCCAAGAGGTAAGTTAAAACCCCCCTGTGTAATGTGACACGCTGATCCCCTCACCGTGCAGGCCTCCAGAAACGGCACCACAAGCACTGATTTCAGGATGACGGAATGCCATCGACTTAGACGTAGTAAGGCATAAATTCCATGGGTCGTTGAAAGGTCAGCTTAAGAAACAATGAAGATAGTAGACTTGGAAATACCTAGTGGTTTTTGCTTATAGGCTGCTTTGACGGGGATGAGGGCACACACCCAAAGCACGCGCAGCACACGGCTAAGGGTAAATAGAGTAGCTAACGTCTTGACAGACCGTGGGATCATCAGATCATCGACGTCGCAAGAAGTTTGAATTAACCTCGCCACTAGCCGTCCCAATCTCAGCAGCTGAAGCGCGGTTTGGCGGAAAGTGAAGCTGTTTCCGAAATATGTTACTCGGTACTCCGTAGTATGGTGCTGAAAAGGCGGTTATTAGTGCGCCGCCGCTGGTCGTTAGCCAGGCCTCGCTCATGCGACACCAAACTTGTCAGCTGGAACGGTGTAGCGATACGAGTAGTAACATGGCTAGAAAGTGCTGACGGCAAAGTAGTGGGTGCATGAGATTCATGCACCTGAGATGCAATGCCCACGAGAAGCTTCTCGCCTGGCTGTGTATTACGCTCTCTAATAAGGCAGAGTGATGTCTCCGGTCTCTCCTTTTATGTATGTATAAAGAGAAAATCCTGCTGCTTCTTTAAGAATAACTGAGCACCCGCGACAGCTTTCATTAAACTACCGGGTCTTCCTATAACATCACGCTGACATCGCTACCTACTATTATCTCCAGTACCTACCTACACACTCGCTGCACGGAAGTCATATAGTCATTCTCGCTGCTTCATCTTGTTCATTAATACCTTATCCTTAAAATGAAAATCGCAACGGCCCTACTCACTGTTGTGGGACTCACCACAGCCAACCCTATGGCGCGCCGAGATTATAACCAGATGACGGGTTATCGGGTTATGGCGACGAGTCAGATACTCCGTTGGGCCTTTATGAATGTGAAGATAAGAAGGGATTTAAGGACATGATGAGGGTTGTAAAAGGAGTCGGGTATTCCTTCATTTTTGTCGGTTCGGCCTTTGCTTTCAAGCAGATTCTTGACTCGTCAAACGAGATTCCTGAGTTGTCGGGTGACTCAACGAAGGATGCCACGGATGCAGTTCAGTTTATCAATGTCGCCACTGAACCGAACGGGGGATTTTCCAAGAAAGAGGCAGAACAGTTGTTGCAAGATGAAGCCCTTGAGAGCCTTGACCTGAGATTTTCGTGGCGGGACACTCAGCGAGACCCCGGGCAGTACTGAGATCGTTGCCGGAGGCCAGGATAGCAATACACCGAAGAGAAAGAGGGCCACCACCTCGTGCAAGGTAACAAAACTCCACCCGAACCCTAACGCGACGAATAATAACTCGAATGAATTCTAAGCAAAGGAAGGCGTTTAAGCAGAAGTATGGGCCGAATAAGCTATATAAGCCGACTCTGCCGTCTAAGTCGAACAAGGCGTCTGCGAAGGGCGCACCTAACAGCAAATCAAATATTGTCCCCCAGAGGACGAGCAAATACCGACTTCGCGTAAACCCCGGGGTCAAGCAAATAGCCCTTTTTGCGGTGGCTGAGAATGCGCATCAGCTACTTAAAATACTAAGAGAGTGGGATAATTCTATTAGACGGGCCGTCGAAGGGTTCAACGACACGATCACAGGCTGGCAGGAAGATACTTTTGGGCCGCCGGTAAAAGAAATCTACAGAAACGGGGTCAAGTTGTGGTGGATCTGTTTGTTGAAAAGGAGGACACCCCCACGATATCCGAATGATGTGGACCGGGAATGTCAGACGCATGGATACATGGACGCCGACGAGAAGACAACTGTAAAGATCGACGACGAAACAATGGTCCGAGGACTGAATGACCTTCTCTAGGGCTGCGAGGATTTGGACAATTCTAAAGAAGATGAACCCCATCGGGACGAGACATTAAAGCGATGTGACGCTCTTGTCGACAAGTTGCAGGAATCGGCAGAGAAGCCGAAGCCGAAGGACAAGCCAAAGGTCCTAAAACCCCTTACGAAGCAGGAGATGAGTCGGATGCATATCATGTGCAGATTCTCCTACGGGACGATGGATGACTGCGAAAGATTCAAGTACAAGAAGGCAAAAAAGGCCAAGGAGACCAAAAAGCCTGAGGAGGCGACCAAGACGGAGGCGACCAAGCCTCAGGATACAATAGATTGGATCGATGGCAATGATGTCGAAACCGAGAAGAAAGGTGGTCTAGGGGAGGTTGCCGAAGAAAACACTCGTCTCGATCCAAATTCGGCCGAAACTTAAGAGCAGTTGGAGAAGGAGGGCAAAGTAGATTCAGGAAGGCGGGAGGCATGATAGATGCCAGGCCTGGGCAGTTGGACGAGACATGTGTTTGCATTCATAGAGGCTAAGGTGTGGTCAATATACTCGTACATGAGTGGAAGGTCACATGCGTTCTGTTGGCACATTTTATTGGGACAACGGAAGCTGAAGAAACGGTTGGTGAAGTTTGCGAAAGACGAAGTGCTACAAAGCCTCAGCTACGGTTGCAGCCATCCTAGATGGCGTTGGCAGTTGGCCTTGAAAACTTGCCGGTATCGCATTCGTACGTACTGTCTGGAAGCCAACGGTGAGCCCGGAGCCGTCGCTACTACCGCATCTAGTCCTTCAATTACCACCATGAGCACCGCCGTCGACTCCACCGCTCCCATAATAGCTATTAGGCCCGTCTGGTACTCCGTATATGCTATTGCTAAACAATCAACTTGAGAGCCGAAACGAGGGGCCTCGATACATACAAAAGCACGTCAAGCCCCAAAAGTTGGGTTAGTTCGAGACTGCAAGCCACTGACTCTGAGTTGAGTGAGTTTCGGCCTCGGCATGTTCGCCATGACGGTTACTACTCTCGCGCCCGTGATTGCGCTGTCGCACGGTCGAGGCATGTCATCACCATCTGCCTCCCTCACGTTGGATTCATTTCTTCCGCAGCAGCCTGCTCACTTGCTCCAGGGTATTGAGCTCCGACATCTCGAGACAGGTCCTCCTCTCCAGCCTTCCCTAAAGCACACTCGGCAGAACCAATGGTACAACGGCGATAAACGGCAAATCATGTCTCACTACCCCAAACTGAGCAGAATAGCACTCCGACTCCTATGTCAACCGCTCCCCAAGCATGCCTAGGCCTTTCATCTGTTCGAAAATTCCCACTGTTCCGGTCAACAAGGGACTGGTCAACTACGTAGAAGCCTGCCTATCGGTTCCCACCACGAGCGTTTAGCACAGTAAGCCGTCAACCAAGTCCACAAGTCCTTTCGTAAGTGCAGCCATAAATGCTCTACCCTGAATTGGCATACTCTAGAAACTTCTCGTGCCAGTTGAAGAGCCATAGGCATCAATTACGGGGCCCCTACTACTCATAAAGCTTGACCTCGTAGCGTAACTACGAACTCAAGACTTGGTCCCCTTGGGGTCATTCTTTGGTTGTGAACGTAATCGCCAGAGAATAGATGCTGTTTTTAAACATGGTCTTGGTAGAGCCGTTACTTGTTGGAGACTTTGTCGTAGGGCTGCAGCTAGTTGGTGATGGAGTTGTCGAGGACATGCTGTCGCAAGTCATCTTAATACAGCCCATCTTGCAGGTATCTTTCAGATCACTAATTATATTATTACCGTCAGGTGAGAGAGTGTCGTTTAATCAGCAGGACAAGTTGCCTTTACGCCGCCGCAACGAGGCGCTTCGCATGTGACGCATCACGTTGGGTGACAATTGAAGTCGGCAGTCAAGCACTCGAGAATGTTATTTGATGGTTGGAGCCTTCCCGGCATTTACGTGCAATGAGGCGAAGGAGGCGTAGGAGGCGTTTCGGTGATTGGGTTTTTCCTTTCCACCTCTTTGTTGAACAAGTGAGGGCTGGCCACACGACTTGAATGTTGATGCACGGTAGAGACCGGTCAGAGCAGACACAGCCAATCATCCCGCTTTCTCGACCCAACACATATACACGCGTGTATCGTCTGCGCCGCCATCGGAGTTGCTGAATGTACATGGGATTCAAAACCTCCCGTCTTCCCCTTTCATCCTGCCGGGTTGCCGTTGAATGCAAGCAGGTTCTGGGTTCCGCTTGGAATGTTGCCGAGGACGTTGCGGGTGGCCAAGGCTTGGATGCGCTGGCAGAGCTCTTGGGCACCAGGATGGCCCTCCAGAGTAGCGAGATAGCTGCCCAGGCCGGTGATGTGGCCGGCAGACATGGACGAGCCAGACAAGGTGTTCTTGGTTCCGGCGCCCAGTCGTCAGCATCGATTTGAAAGCGTTGAAGAATCAGGGGTAAACCTACCGTCCCGCCCTTGATCCAGGTCGATTTGATATTGTGGCCCGGCGAGAACACGTCCACCAAATCCCCAAAGTTCGAAGAACTGGCTCGGTTATCAGACAAAGTTGTAGCGCCAACTGTGCAGACCGAAGGCTCGGAAGCAGGCGAGAAGCCTGCCGCATCCGAGTTGTCACCTCCGGCCGAGACGGTTACAAACACGCCGGAGCGGACCAGGGCGGCAGCGGCAGCATTGATGGACTTTGAATATCCGCCGCCCAAGCTCATATTGGCCATGGCTCCGTTGGGGCACTTGCGCAGCCGGGCATCTCGAGAGACAAAGTCCATACCCGCAATGATGCTCGAGTATGAGCCGCTGCCGCCATCGTCAAGGACTTTGATCCCGTATATGGCAGTCTTCTTGGCGACACCGTAGGACTGGCTGCCGATGATTCCTGCGACATGCGTGCCGTGACCATTGCCGTCGGTGGATCCATTTACGAAGCTCTTGATTTGATGGGCACGACCGCCAAATTCCTTGACGCCGTCAGATTCTCCTCTATTAGGGCCGCAATGGTTCCACCTGATATCAACACCGCCTGGGAGCACCACCTACTGGATGACTGTCCTCGATTCCGGTGTCGATGACGTAGGAGCACGTCCCCTGCCCGGCACTGCCGTGATAGACATAGGACGTGTTACCAGCACGGCGGTGAGAAATGCGAGCAATGCCCCATGGTGCTTCGGGTTGCACGACGTATCCGTTGATGCTGGCTACGGCATCGTGCTCGATGAAATCGACCTAGAGCCTTGTTAGGGACATTCGAAGACTTCCTCAAGTCACGCCCTTATTGTTGGGCGTCTGCAGTCGGGCTCACTTCCGAGCGGTGCCGCAAGCGCTGAAGCGCAGTGTCATCTAATTTTGCAGAGAACCCTTGGAAGGTATTGCTGTAGACATGTTCAACTATTCCAGTTGTCGTGCTCAATGCCTGGCGAAGGGATGCCGTTGACGAACTGTCCCTGAGCTTGACGATGTAGCTGCCGGGAATGGCCTCTCCAAGCGGCTCAAGAAGCGGAGCCAGCCCATTGAGTCTTTGACCGGTCGTTGCTAGGGCTGGAGCCAGAATACAAGGCAATATGACGAGGAAATGCATGCTTTATGTATGCAGTCCAGAGCTGGAGTTGCTTATGAGGCAGCGTTTCTAAAACAAGTCTCGAGTTTTGATGCTCAGCAGGATGAAAGAAGTGGGTTACATGTAGCCATGGCGACGAGAATGAAGCCCCAGCCTGAGCAAGATCTGCGGATAACAGTCTGTTCCAATGTGGAAGGTGAGGACGCCGTATATATCGATACATTGAGGCAGGGTTGACGGTGCCTTGAAGATAAAGACCGGAATCTGGGTATTACCTGTAGTCTGGCCTCTTCAACTGGCAAGGACAATTTTCAGCCGAGCTTCCAGCGCCTTCCTATTTCCTCTTGGCCTGGTGCGGGGAACTTAGCATTGCAACCTTCGCGTTGCCGTCGACGCCAGCCCCTCGGCTTTCTGCCAATGGCTGAAGCTGCTCCAGTCCTGGCTGGTCGTTGATGGAACGTTTCAAAAGGCCACTTCAACAAGCCAGTAGCATGGAATAACCGTGTTCAAGAGAGCCCCTGGCGCATACAAGTGCTTACTTGCCAACATCATTTGTGTACACGGCTCGTGTAGTTGTTTCGAAGCTAAATGCACATGAATCTTGAACTGCCTGTATCGCTTGGCTCTCAACAGACGCTCGTTCTAATGCCCATCATCGCGGGGTCTCCTTATATCTACACCTAGTGTGCTACAAACGTGGCTTGAACCCAAAGTTGGTGCCCGCAACATGCTGTGTGTTCTGGCCGAATGGACACACCTGGAAGAAGCGCTCTCTCGAACACTTGACCAGACTGGACCGCTTGTGCGGCAGATCGAGGTACTTGTCTTGGTGCAGCCCAAACATGTACTCGTACATGAGCACCTTGTCGTTGCTGAGACGCGGCTCGCCAACGACATTCTCGGTGCGGTGGTCGTCCAGGAAGAGGTAGTGCATCACGCTCGGCCACCATGCCATGACCCGGTGAAGCCCCCGGTACGCAGGGTCGCCGACAAGCGAGTGCCGGCCGCGGTCAAAGTCCAGGGCGGCGTAGTGCGCGCCCATCTTGTCCTCCTTGGCCCAGTAGACCTCAAAATAGGCAAAGGGGGCGTCGTCAAAGCGGCCAAGAACGGCCATCACATGGGGGTCTTCGTGCATCGCGCGCAGGTACTCGCGGTGCTCCTCGAGCGTGCCCGTTTCCTTCCAGCCCTGGGCGACCCGGGGGTCATTCTGCCACGTGTGGAACAGGTTCAGGTGCTCTGGGTTGGTGTAGTCCAACGCCAGGAGAGAAAAGTGCTCGTCGAGAGAGGGGATGTAGCGACTGTAGATGACGGATCCAGGCGTGGGTTTTGGATATCGGCGCGGGTGTCTCAGGAACGTCGGCCCTGTCGGCATCAGGGTGTATTCAAGGTGAGGCACAACGGCGACGGCGCTCCGACTGGGCAGCCAGATGGGCTGCGATCCCAGAGGCGAGGCACAGCCCTGCCAGAATGCGCTGCGGAGGACAAGCACCTCGTCTTGTCTCCGCTCAAACTGGTCCGGGCCGTCGACAGGCAGCGGGTGCTCGACGGCTACCATGGACAAGCATAGTGATCGGACCAGAGCGTGGGTGCCCGGACCGCATAGGCGAAGACGGAAGGTCTCGGTTTCGTGGTCGACGGTGAAGAAGGCGTACAGAAAGAGCCATACTTGAGCCACCGTCGGCAGCTCGGCGCCTTCCCAGGTCACGGTCCAGACCGGACTTCGTCGCGCGCGAGCCCAGGCAGTGTTGTCTGAGTCTGGCACATTGTCTGACTCCAAGGGCGCCAATCTGCTAAAGTGTATCTGTTCGTTGTGCAGAGGCTGGGCAAAGACTTGAGCTGGCTTGGATGTGTCCCCTTGGCGGAAGTGATACGACGGCACGTTGCCATCCGCAGTCTTGGAAGAGGGCTCGAGGTAGTAGGTTGTGAGGTAGGGATGGGGCAGGCGAATTTTGATCGGAGACCGTTTCCGAAGAGTGCCAGTGTCCATCTTCGATAATTTGCATGGGAGACTTCAAAGATGAGGCTAGTAGATGGCCAGCAAAGCACCGCCGCTCGGTCTCCGTCTGTGCTAATTTATCCCTGGGGGATATTCTGACTCGACTGCTTCCAGAGTTTTAACAGGACAACGTGCCGCCTGTGTGATCGAGCCCACTCGATGAGTTGGGCAAAGTTCTGGTTACATTAATAACTCTGGTGCGCAAATTTCGTGCCGGTATCAGGCGTTGCGAGGGCCCCACTGGACATGTATACTGACTGCACTATAACTAGGATCACCTTGTTTGGCAAGCAGCAGCGACTGCCCATACCGTGTGAAGTGTAAAGGTCAAACGTTGGACATAGAGCTCGCTGGCTCCGCTCAGGTGCCACGAGACTGATAAGATCGGCGTCTTGGGATTTCACCGGCTCCGAGTTCCTCGTACTTACACCCCTTTGACATGCCAAGGCAAGCAAGAGCGAGTACATGTATCTTAAATGCCGCAGTTGCACCTTGTAGGTCTCGGAAGATGACATCTTTGCTACTGGGGTTATTCTCGACAAGGATCAGGGGCTAGTGGAATGTGAGTAGCATTTATGGGATGTAGCAGGATAGAAGGGAACAGAAAATACCAAATAATACAAGATACAGTCAATATCGTTGTGCAGTGTGTTACTGCCCGTAGCGGCAATTAGGGGTCAATCGTTGTGACAGGCAGCTGAAACCTTTCCTGTCGAGTTCTCTAGATTAAGGAGAGCCTGTATCAATGAACACTAAGAATTGAGCAATACTCAACTTCTGGAGCCAGGGCGAGGCCGAACTCGTCTCGTCACGTTACCCCTTGGAGCGCTGCCTTCGCTTAGATATGGTCTATTGCGTCCCTTTGCCATTGCGGCATGAACATTTCACCACTGAAAGGTTTCTTGAAAATAGTCTATCTGACACTTGGCGCCTTTCAACATCCCCACGACCGCCAATCTCGCGTCGTCTACTATTCCTTTAGGCCCACAGGCCACAACGGCCACACTCTCTCGGCCAGCATCCACAACCGCTGAGGCGACTATTCTTGCTATATCAGGTCGGCCAGTTTGTCGGTGCATCCGAGGGGGAAAGTGGTGTCTTGAAGCATCTCCCGCTCGGGACGGCATGTACAGCTTTACCGCGAGCTTGCCTGTGCTCAAAGTGTTGTCGAGGTACTTCGAAAGCACTGCTTGGGCAAACGCTGATTCCCGTACTGCCTAGTGTATCTCTAGAGACCTGGGTCTTTGAAGGGAGCCAGTCAACGACGGCAGGTATAACAAGGGAGTCACGACACCTGCCCCTCCGGCGATGAACACGACATGGCCGTACTGATGGAGCGGGTGCGTGTGGCCATAGGGGCCTTCTATGAGGACTCTCAAGGACTTGGTGCTCATTGCCAAACTTTATAATCGTAGCGTAAAGCTATTATAAGGCCGTATCAAAAACGTCATGTAAGATATGTCCAACTTCGTGTCAGGTGGAGTCGCATCACTACTTCTATGAGTCACGGGGATGGAATCAGCGTAAAGCAACGGCCTTTGCTCCCTTAAGCATGAAGCCTCCGGATCAGGTGGTGATGGGGTTAAGACCGGCATAGACGCAACGGTGAATGGATGGCTTTCCCAGTAGTGGGTATCACCGAGGAACATAAGGTAGTAGTAGCTGCCAGGTCTTGGCTTGCAAGCAGTTTTCTTGCCGACGGGTACGCAGAGCTGAACAACGTTGGCGGAAGCATCGTAGACTGCGAAGGCGTTGGTCCATAGAGACTGGGGGCTAAAAGCAACGATTCTAGAAAACCGCAGTACTATCGAGTAACCAGATGAATGCCGAGACCTAGAGCAGTACATTGTATTCTCCCCGGAATATTAAAACGTGTCTTTGCAGGTCCTTTAGTTTTATCCTGCCTTTCACATGTCTGGTGGGCGTTGAATGTCTCGACTTACCCGAACAATGCGATTAGCATCAGTAGCGATAGGAGGATATAAACTATCAGGAACGTTTCGTAGTGTCGGCGGCGCATCCAGTATATAGAGCCTGAAACCAGCAAGCACATGCACGCCATGGCCTGTAAATACACACCGTCAGCAAGACGAGGCGATCTAAGTGAGCTGCTCACGCGGGCTTGTCGTACAATGACCCCCGCGGTCCAATACCACTCATCAAACTGTAAGAAGAGATAGCTTCTGCCACCCTCTGAAGATGCAGCATTAGCTATTTGAGCTCCATTAAACGACGTTAAGAGGCCTATGGTTTCGCCAAGACGGCAACAAGCGTGACCTACCCCGAAGAACAATGACCAGGTACCCAATGGAATGTATAGCGGCTTCCATGGTGCTTATTCGAGCACCCCAGCGGTGAAAGTTGCTATATATTCCGTAGTCCCAACCCGTCAGCCGTATAGCAACGTTGTTCCGCATGCCAAATAGCCATATAACAGGAAAGTTGGCAAGGGCCACAACTCCTGTCCGGTCGGACACATAGCGAAGCAGCTGGTCTGTGACATTATCAAAGCTTTAATTGGATTAGAGAGGTATTTTGCGGCCGGGAGATACGGCGAAGGACAGTTAGGCAACCCACTAGAAGTTTTGCGAGGTGATTTTATAACCATTGACAACGAAGAAGACATTGATAGTAAAAAACACTGCTATTATAAGTGATTGGATGCGAGGGGGAATTGTGGACTACCAGACGCTCCGGGAACAACTATATCTAAAGGTCGCGGGAAGAAGAATATGGCGCTTGACCCATGGCCGGGGGCCATTGGAGATTTTCGTAGAACCCAGGCTATGTTGCAAGCCGCGCGAATAGTAGAACGCCAGGTATATCCTATTGAAAATTCCAAGCGCAACGACGAGCACCCAAAATGTTGTCGTGGCAAGACTAGGTGTTGAGAGTAAGTCAGTAGCATTCTATCATGTCGTGGTAAGAGGTAAGACTAGCAAAAAGACTTGCCCGCATAAGAAGTGATGTTTTCGGGCATACGACCAAGCCTCCTAGAGATGAATGAGTGAAATCTGGTCCCTATGTATGTATAACTTGCCCACGACCCGTGGAGTGTGCCTACCAAAGTCTCAAGCCAAGCCGTAAAGAACTCTAATAAGGGGAGGACGACTTCGCAGAGGGGCTTGTCGGGACCGAGTGAGTCGTTTCGGTCGACTCTTCGAATTCGTTTAATATTATTAGGCTTTAAGTCGGCGACTATAGAGAAGGGCGGGATAGAACCATCGAGCGTCTCTTGGCATGTCGCGTTGAGCTCTCGTAGGGCCAGGCGGCGAGACTGTGTCCCACAGTTAAGATCGAGACACAGGTACGTCGACGATAGAGCAAAGCGGCTTCGACATAACTATACAAAGGCCGAGTCTGCGGGGCTTGAGTCGTTAAAGCGCAGCGACTAAAGACAGTTGTGGCAACTTTGCGCGCACAACAACCCCCAAGGCTCGGCGGTCGACGCAGAGGCCGAAGCAAGAAGGAATATAAGGGTACGCTTTGGTCGCAGAGGGAGGTGGCCCATTGCGGCGACAGATAAAGCGGCAGGCGGGCCCGGCGTGACTTGGATCTGGGTGGGATGGAAGTTTTCCCCTTTAGTGGTGGGTGGTTGGCAAGCTTTCACTTTCAATCCAGGACGTTGACCGACCTATCTGATCTGATTGATAATGAGACCCGCATATGCGTGCGTAAGAGGATCGTACGAGGCTCCGCCAAGAGGGTGGCCGTCAAGGGGTGTGTTAATATTCCAGGCACCCCCTCGATGTGGGATCTCCCAGCATGATGTGGATCCCCTGAATGGACGAGTCATGGATGGCAGCAGGGACGGGTACGAGCAGGTTTCCGCGGCCGCGGAGCTGGCAACACAAGAAGCGAGACGTCCTACTGACGTCCTCGTGGAGGTCCACTCGAACGAGATCGTTTGTAGGACAGACTCATCACGGTCTCGGCTGACGCATGAGATAAGAGTACCATGCAATAGTCAGACTCGAAATGATGAGCCCCAAGCGCGTCAATAAGAATAAGCTACCGGATCACTGGCTCTGGGGGCATCAAATAAAACAGAGAGAGGAGAGCCGGCTCAAGTCGATTTAGTTGCGCTACATATATTCAGTTGTCAGAGTTTGTCCACAGTACATCTTCAAAGCCTAAAGTACCATTCCCTTAACCCATTGAATCTTCTTGACGTTAATGTCCTTAATCATCATCATGAAAACCAGTGCCAGCACCATGATGGAAGTATCGGCAATGAGCATCAGTCTCTGCGTGGACGCGTAGGCGGATATAATGCTGTCTCGCACGTCAGAGCCGATAGGGTAGCTAACTGCACCTCCAGGCTGCTATAAGTGTCACTCCACTGATCTTGAACGCTCGCCGGCAGCGACTCTTGAGCGAGTTGGTCCAGATGGCGCCCGAGATGCTGTTGCCGATAGGCACCCCAATGTAGCAAAACAGACCGAGCAGGGCCAGGACGGCGGCCTCGTCGTCGTGGAGACAGGCTGCCATGGCGGCGACTTGCTCGCCGATGATAATGACTCCGCCGCCCAGGGCAATGAATATCTGGCATATGACGACATAGCCCAGGCTCTAGCTGGGCTGGCGAAACTGAAACATCAGTCGACGCCGAGGATGTATAGCGGCACTCCCCACATGAGCACCCACTTGTACCGGCCGGGGATCAGGCAGCCGACGATCAAGAGCTCGACGCCCGAGACAACGTCGAAGATGCTCGAGATATAGCCGACCGAGGTGATGGAGATATTGTATACCACCTGCAGGTACGAGGTGAAGTAGACGTTCCAGCAGTAATAGGTAACCTGGTAGGTGAAGCTGAGGCAGCAGGCTCCCATGACGCTGCGAGACTTAAGGAGTGACCAGGGAACAAAAGGGTGTGCGCGCGCCGTTCTTTTCTCAGAGGCCAAAGGCAATGAGAAGGAAGAAGCCGATGACGAGCATGGCGATGATGTATCCGGTCCCCCACTGGTCTTGGGACGAGGAGGTGAGGGTGAAGGGGAGCAGGAAAGCACAAAGCCAGCGCAGAGGAGAAAGACGCCAACGACTATAATCAAGCGTCGGGTCAGATACGTGCCAGAAAGTTGAAAGGTACAGCTAGCTTACCGTCAAACTCGACCACGTAGTGCTGGATGCTTTGGGACAGGGCACGGTCGCTCTTAGGCTTTGACAAGAAATCCTTCTGCTTGGCCTTGCGCTTGCCCAGCTGCATCAAGACGACCATGGGCGCCGAGACGGCGGGCACGACGATTGCCCAGGCGCCAAAGGCCCATCGTCAGTTGTCAGCTCAGATGGTCTCTGCCGCCTTGGCCCGCCAAAAGCAGTGATCATGAATGGCGACGGGGTGAGGGCAAACGCGAGACCCCTGCTCCGCAGCGACGAGGTGTCCGACGTGACGGCGTCGATGGAGAAGATCATGCCGGTGAAGCCTACTGAGTAGAACACCTGGACGTCCTTTCTAGCGATTAGCGGCACTGGCCATGAATGGACGCGGCGGGCGTTGAAGGTAGAGACGGTGTCGAGTAGCACAACATGATCCAGACGAGACGACTGAGGACTTACGTAGGCCGCCGCATAGAGCTCAAACGTGTTGCACGCGGCCATGAACACCATCCCCAACGTCGCGAGCGCCGCCATGGCGGAGAAGCCGGCGGTGCGATCCCATAGGCTCAGGATCTTGGCCAGGGGTATGTAGGTGGCGCCGGTCATGACACTCGTCACGACGCCAATGACGGGCAACAGCGAGTGCTTCTGAAGACCGCTGAGCACAAAGGGGCTGAGGTTGGCGGTGGGTAACGACCGGAGCGCGCTGCTAAAGTAGAGAAGCCACATGCTGAGGCCCAGTTAGTGCTTGGCCTGTGGTTTGTCATGGAGAGTGTCTGAATGCCGCCGGACGAGCATCACATTCGACCAGGCTTACCAGATGTAGACTATTATCAGCGACGACCTCGACCACGACAGAGTCATGGACTCGGCGATACGCGCCTCTTCTTGCGCATTCTGGTCGACTGCGCTCTCGGCCTCGAGTTGCTGGGCTTCGAGGCTCGGGTGCCTATCCCGAGGCATCGTGGACTATTCGTCAACTTGGTCCGCCATAGTCAGGGGTATTGACTATCAATGGCTTCGACAAGGGCGGCTGGAGGGTTTTTAGTCAAGCACCGAAGGCGTGGATGGACGGGGGTGGGTTTCAACATGGGGTCTGAAAGAAATAGAAAGAAATCGATGCTAAGCTTCTAGAGCCCGAACCGTGGGCGTCGCTCTCTGTACCGCGTCAGATCTCGCAGCTGCAGATGATCAGATCGCCCATCCATACATGAGCCTCAGTCTTCCCGGAGCTATTGCCGCACCCGGTATTAACATGGATCGATTCTGTCTCGACCTCGATGGACTGCAGGGTTGGGCAGCCGGGTCATCCATCGGCCAACCGTGTTCCACTGGAGCATTTGCGGTATGCACGGCAGCATGGAGTCGGACTCGTGGGGAGGACGATTCCTTGAATGACTGTACAGTATATGCCCATTCAGGTCTATATACACCGCGGGATAGAAGAGCCCCCTGGGTTCTGCATGGGAGCACTCTGCAGTGCACATTAACGTCTACGCGAAATACTCGTTGATCATACATCATACCTTCAAAATACCCTGTTATAGCATCCTAGCCGTGAATGTGTCAAGTCTTTGGGACTATGATACTATGGCTGCTGATGAACATGCGAGATGGAGGTCCAATCACACTGGCTGGGTAGTCGAGGACAAGTAAAAGATGCGCCTACACTTGTCTTTTCTATGGCCATGTAGCCCGGCTGATCACAACTTACTATCTACCCACCGAGGAGCCCTCTTCTCCACAAAAGCCCTGACACCCTCGTGGAGGTTGCTGCAGCCGTTCAACCTCACGTCCCACGTCTCGCTCAGCAGGCGAGTCGCGTTCTCCGCGCTGCCGTGCTCCCACCCGGCAATGATGCTCGCGCGGCTTATGACGACGCTGTCTGGGCTGTTGCCGGCAATGGCCGCGGCATATTCCATGGCCGCTCTGACAACGGGGCGCTCGAGCACGGGACAGTCTTGCGCGGCGGCGTCCTCGGTGACGGCGTTGATCAGCCCCCATTCCCTGGCCTCTGCCGCTGTAATGGTTCTCCCCGTGAGAGCCAGCTCCATGGCCCGGGGCCGCCCGATCGTCCTGGCCAGCCTCGGCAGGGAGCCCGCGTTGGCGACGACTCCACGCTTGACCTCGGGAAGGGCGAAGCTCGCGCTCTGGGCGGCGACGACGAGATCCAGATTGGCCAGCATCTCCAGCCCGCCGCCATAGGCCAGCCCGTTGACAGCAGCGATGACTGGTTTCTTGCCGTGGCGACGGGACAGGGCGCCGAAGCCGGACGGTGGGTTCATGGGGCGCTGAAGGAGGCGGCCGGCGGCCCGATGGGCGTTGAGCTGATTCCATTCGTCGAGGTCCATGCCGGCGCAAAACGCTCGACCGGCGCCGGTGACGACGGCGCAACGGAGAGACGGCTCGCCGTCAAACCAGGCAAAGAAGGACTCGAGCTCGTACTGCGCCGCGCTGGTCATGGCGTTGAGCTTTGCGGGCCGATTGAAGACGACGAGCACGATGTGCGGCGCTGGGAAGGAGACGGCGCCGTACGTCTGCGTCGGGGGCTGCTGCTTGAAGGCGTGATGGGCCATGGTTCTGATGCAGCCAGCGACTTCCGACGAAGCGTCAAGGTGCTGGTCTCTTGTTGACAAGAACCGAATTAGTCGGTCAACTGATGGATGTCTGATGGTTTCGATCGACCGATGATGGTCCCTGGAGCGCCAGCATCAAGTCCTGTAGTCGGCCCTGGCGGCTTGAGGGCAAGGGTTGCCGTGTTGGCATGTGTTCAATGATGTGCATATCCCGAACAGCCATTTCCGTGCGTGAATTCTCGAAAACTTGAACGGAAACTCTCTCCCGGCAGAGATGGAGCACAGTGCGAGCAGCTTCGTGGGTCGGCGCGTCTTTGCTATCGGCTCAGGGCCGCGGTGCTAGCTGTGCTAGCCGCTTTTGGAAGTAGCCGGCGCACGTGCCTCTGTGCTAATGCACGCTATTGCCGTATAAGGCTCCGCAATCTAATCAATCAAATCTAATCAGATCCGACGTCGGACGTCGTCCACCACTGCACATCAACGACGTGGATCAGCTGGATACATGCGCAGCCCACAAGCAGCGATGTAGATTGCGGCGTCGGCTGAATCCTCGGCCGTAGGTTCAAACATTGGGGGGATACACTGTGTCGCGCATGGCGACCGAGATTCACCGCAGCACCGTCAAGACGTGCTGCGGGCCGGCCTCGTACCCTTCGAAGCTCGTCCCCACCAGATCCCAGCATGTCTTGGGCGCGAGGGTCTTGAAGAGGGTAATGATGACTGCAGCTGCTGTGCTGGGCACCCAACGCCGCCTCAGATCCGCCCCCGACTCGCAGACCGGACAGGAGTCTCAACCAGAGCGTCAGAGCGCGTGCCGCAGCCATAGCAGACTCAGCGCCGTTAGAACACCGGCCGCGATGCATTGACGGATCCCAGATTCTGTCCAAGGTGGGTGTCTTGCTCTCTGGTCCAGCTTGTTGCTGGCGCTCGAGCAACATGAATCAGCGCTGACCAGCTGTCTCAACATCACAGCTCAAGAAGCTCCTCGGATACTTTGCCATCTACGTCCGGGAAAAGCCTACCAGGCTCGACATTGCTCCTCTCGTCATCGGCATCATCACCGCCATCGCCTCCGGCGTCCCCTTTCTGCTGCTAGGAATCTTGTTTGGCCAGCTCATCGATGACTCCAACGACCGTACATGCGAAGCCGTTGCCTCGTCTCGGGGTCTTAACCCGGTGATCCAAGATTCGTACCAGGCCACCGTGAATGGCAAGATCCTCTACATTGTCTATCTCGCCATCGTCCAGTTCGTCCTCATCTACGTCGACCTCGTCTGCTGGTCCCTTGGCGGCGCCAGGCTCGCCCAGCGTCTGCGGGAGCAGTATCTTCGCAGCTTGCTGCAGCAGGAGCCGTCTTTCTTCGACCACCTTCCCGCCGGCGAAGTCGCCTCTCGGCCCAGCGGCGACATCCAGACGATCCGCGCGGGCACCTCGGACAAGGTCGGCATCTGTCTCTCCAGCCTCGCCTTCTTCTTGACTTCGTACACGGTCGCCTTTGTCAAGAACTCGAAGCTCGCCGGCATCCTCATCTTGCTGGTGCCGGCCTACTTTTTCATGTCGCCCGTGGGCGGCTGGTTCATCGAGACATACTCGTCGCGCGCGTCCGACCGCTTTGCGGCGTCCTCCTCCATCGCCCCCGAGTCCCTATCCAACGTTCCCGTCGTTCACTCATTCGGCGCAAATAAAGGCTTGAAACCAGCTTCTCAGCATATCTGCGTAAGGCCAGAATCGAGGGCCTCAAGACGGCCGTTTCCCACGGCATCCAGGCCGGCCTCATGTACTTTATTGCCTATGGAGCCAACGCCCTCGCCTTCTGGCAAGGGAGTCGCATGATTGCCGATGCTGTGGAGAGAAACGGTCAGGGGGCGACGGTGGGCTCCATCTTTACCGTCATCTGCATTCTCGTCGACGGTGAGTAGAGCCTAAACAGCGGCATAACATACATAGGCCGCGGCTAACACGCAACCGACAGCGACGCTCATCCTCAACTAGGTTGCTCCCTTTGTGAACATCTGTGCCGCGGCATCTGCATCATTTGCAAAGCTGAAGCGAGACATGAACCACAGGTCCGCCATCAACGGGTCCACAGACACGGGACTCAGGCTCCCTCCCAGCACGGCCGGCCATTTTGAGCTCGAAACGTTTCCCTCTATTACACTTCTCGGCCAGAGCAGCCCGTACTTCAGGACGTGTCTTTGGAGTGCCTGGCCGGGAAGATGACGGCGATTGTTGGATTATCAGGAAGTGGCAAGTCCACCATTGCCAACCTGGTGCTTCGGCTATACGATCCAACCGAAGGCTCGGTTCTGCTGGATAGCCATGACCTCTGCTAACTCAATACACGCCAGGTCCTGGGCCCAGTCGGCATGGTTCAGCAAGAAGCAACTCTGCTAGATCGGTCCATTCTCGAAGATATCGCTCATGGACTGGCCAACTCGACGTCGCCAGAGCACGGGCGCGCTAACACGACGTATTGCTAGGGCCTCAGCATTCTGCCGTCGCCGCCGCGGCCCGAGAGGGGCGAGACGTGTCCGAGGCTGCCCAGGAACAGGGACCGACAGTGGTGGAGATTGTCGACATGGTCGAGAAGGCGGCGGCTCTTGCAGACGCCACGCGCTTCATTCACAACTTGCCCGAGGGCCTGGGCACTATTGTCGGGGCCAGCGGGACGCGGCTCAGCGGCGGCCAGAGACAACGCATCGCCATTGCCCGAGGGCTCGTCAAGGATCCCAAAGTTCGGATGCCTCGGCGTCGCTGGACTCGAAGAGCGAGGGCGAGATTCTCGCGGCCTTAGAGCGTTGCTTAGAGGGCAGAACCGTCATCTCGGTGGCCCATCGTCTATCCACCATCAAAAAGGCAGGCAAGATCATCGTCATGAGCGACGGCCGGGTCGCGGAGCAAGGCACATATAGTGAGCTCATGGAAAAGCACGGCACGTACTCTGGTTTTGTCGAGCTTCAAAACCGAAACACTCGTTCCGCGGGCCAAATAGTTCACGACGGCGCCTCGATCTGCCTCGTGAAGCGGCGCCAGCGAGTGATGCGGTCGAGAAGAGCGGTAACAGCAAGGAGCTCGTCTCCATTAGTGAGACTGAGAAGAGTCATGATGAGCCCTCGACGCGTCGGTCTTCCAAGGACACAGCCGAAGCGCCCACCGACAAGCCCGTTTGGTTCCTAATAAATTCCTTCGTCTCTTTCATCCGTCCATATGCCCTGATCACTCTCCTGGCTCTTGCGGGCGTGAGCATCGTCGGCGGCGCGTGCTCGGTCGAGGCGGTCATCTTCGGCAACACCATCAGCAGCCTGACGCCGTGCCAGTCCCCTGACTATATCCGGTCCCGCGGTAGCTTCTTCGGGCTCATGTTCTTTTTACTCGCCGTCGTCGAGTTCTTTGCTAATATAATAAGCTAGGTCGGCTTTAGCTGGGTCTCGGAGCGGGCTATATACGCCGTCCGCGTCCTCCTGTTTCGCTCTCCCTTCGAGCAGGACGTATAGTGCCATCATTCCAAGGGCCGCACTCTAGCGGGTCTGCTCGGATGCATCACAAACGGCGGCACTTAGGTTGCTGGCCTAAGCGGGTCCGTCATCGGCACCGTCTTGTCCATCTACACCAACCTCGTCGCGGCCATTGTCCTGACGTTTGTCGTGGCCTGGAAGATTGCCATTCTATGCCTGGCCATTATGCCGCTCCTTCTAGGAGTCGGCATTACGCAGCTGCGCACCCTGGCCAAGTTTAAGGAGAAGCACGAGCATGCCTTTACTAAGTCCGTCGGCATTAGCGTCGAGGCCGTCGACTCCATTAAGACCGTCGCCGCGCTGTCGCTCGAGGACGCAATCTTAGCAGAGTACCGCCGCACGCTCGACAGGCCGCGCCGCGAGGCGATGGCAATCAGCTTCTACGCCAGTCTCTGGCTGGCACTGCAGTATCTTATCGGCAACCTAACCTTTGGGCTGGCGTTTGGTGGGGCTCGAAGCAGATCTTTAGTGGCCTCTACACCTAGACGCAGTTTATCATCGTCGTCTTTTCGCTACTGGTCATTCCACAGCTATAGAACCAGATGTTCTCGCTCGCTCCTAAGCTAACTAACGCTTGGGCTGCCGTAGCGAGAGTTAGAAGCATCATAGAAATTGGATCGTCGGGCCCTGGCCGGGCGTTGTCGCCTCCCAGCATAGGGGACGTCGAGGCTGCCGCAAAGACCAAGTCTGCGTCGCCTCACGCACAAGGCGGCATCGACTTGGATCTTCGCGAGGTTCACTTCTCGTCATCCAGCTGCGAGAGGAGTCGGCCCAGACATCCAGTATCAAGCTTCAGTGGGCGACGACCTTCCGCTCTTCCGCGCACAGGACGCCGCGCTCGAGGCGCTGCACTTTAGCACGTACCCCTTGATGCTCGCGTGTTCTCTCTAAAAGAGCGGCTTCCGCGTCGCGGCGAGCTTCGATTCACGCCTCGTCAGCCCGCCGCAGATGCAGCGGGTGCTGTCGCAGCTCGAGTGCGCCGTGTCTCGGCTAAGCGAGGATGTCAAGCAGCCGCTCAGCCACATCTCATGCTTAGGTCGCGGCGAACTCCAAGAGCTATAGAGGATAAATAAGACGGCGCCGGTTTCGCCCGACCGACTGTCGAGCCTTTTGGTCCAAGGAGACGAGCACCCTACCATCCGCTATGTGCCGTGGGTTGTACATCCTGCAAACACCGGTCTCCTCATGCCCATAGGGATTGTTAGCGAGCTTCTCCTCGAGTATATAGGCGAAGCTGCAGATCTGGATGCTCCGGAGTGGCTCTAGCGAGGCTCCGACGGGGTACTCGGACGTCATAGGAAGCTCTAACGCATAGGTGACTTAGTTAAATACGTAGATAACATAACACTGATATTTATGGGACGCAAGGACGGCCTAGCGAGCGTCGACGGCCACTTTATCAACCTCGTCATGACTAATATCGAACTCAAGCGACTGCTCCTAGACAACGTGGATGCTGCCAGTCAACTTATCCGTCTAAACAGCTCGACCAGTTAGGCCTCGATGGTCGTCACCTTTCTTTAGGAAAGCTATATTTAAGGAGAGCGGATCCTTGAGCTAGGGTTCGACGCCGAGAGCTCACCCTTGCCTCTATGCTCCACTATATCCACGCCGCTCGCCAGGGCCAAGGTCGGTCTCGATAAGGCGTTGGCTAAAGTCTTACCTCTATATATAATTCCCACCGTATATATACCCGTCGCCAAGGAAATAGCCCTCGGCGAGCATGTATATGTCGGCTCTCTCGACGGCATCAACATAGCGGAACATGTTATGGCCGAGCTAGTGACGTAGTTCTATAAGGCCTTTGCGAGTCTCGGTCCAAAACTCGATTCATTCGATCCGTTGCACATAAGTGCGAGTGAACGCACACTCCGCTGCCTCTGGGCTAGCTTCCTAGTAGTGCAAGAGGAAGAGCTGGCCTTAGACGACAACTTCTTCCGGCTAGGGGGCGACTCTATCATGGCCATGCGGACGGTATCGGCGCTGCGTTTGGCTGGCTATGGCTTATCTGTGGCGGACATTCTTCGCTACATGCAGTTGTGGAGCATTTCCGGCGCAATGGTCGATGTTCCTCCGGAGGCGGAGCAGTTGCCTAAAGCCTACGCCTCCTTTTCGCTGTTGGACTCTGTCGATGTCGACAACTTTATCTCTGCCAACGTTTGTCTCCCCTTCGCGGACGCAAGCTGGGCCATTCAAGACGTCCTGCCCGTCACGGATCCGCAGGAACGCGATGTCATGGCGACCGTCTTTGCGCTTAGGAGCGCGGTCCAGTATAACATGCTGTACGTGGACAAGTCGATCGAGACGTCGCGACTGCTTGAGAGCTTCCAGCACCTGGTCGACAAGCACCCGATCCTGCGAACCGTCTTCGTCCAACACAATGGTCGAATCCTATAAGCCGTGCTAAAGCACCTGAACAACCCCTGTCTCGGGGTATAGAACCGACGAGCCCGTAGATTCGTACTGCAGGGAACTCGCCGCGCGAGACATTGAAGTCGACTCTTCGTTCCGCTTCGGAGCCTGGTTCCTTTATTTATTTGTTATCTACGGCTAGAAGGACGAGCATTGATGATTCTCAAATCTTATGCGCAGTATGACGGCGCTTCGTTCCCCGAGTTCTTTTGGCAGCTCGAGCTGCGATATCGCGGCATAGACACGCCCTCATCAGCTCCCTTTACCAGTTACATCCAGCCCTTGGCCAACTCGGGAATCCAAAACATCCAGTACTGGTGCCGCGTGCTTTAAGGCTCTTCGCCGACCGAGATTGCGCCCCCCGCAGATCCGAAGAGCAAGTCGTCCTTTATCACCAAGCCCATCGACGTGTCCGGGCGCCCTCTAGACATCACGCTCGCGACCTTCCTCACGGCCAGCTGGGCCAAGGTGGTGGCGCAGCTACACAACGTCTCCGACGTGATCTTTGCCGGCATCGTCTCTGGCCGTAGTGTCGAAGTCGCGGGCATATACGGTAACATAAGGACTTGTTACCGGTACATGCCAGTCCGGGTCGTTTTCGAGCCCGGCTGGACGGCTGGACAGCTTCTATATCACGTACGCGATCAGTATCTCGATGGCAGTCGGCACGCGACCCTGGGGTTCCGGGAACTGCTGCAAGAGTGCGCCACCGGCTGGCCATCGATAGCGTCCTTCTTCCCCTCGTTTGTAAACCACGTCGACAAGGGATACTTTGACGCGATTTCGTTTGCCGGCTCCCGCTGCCGCGTCGACTACACCACTCCTCCCCCCGAGCCGTCGACTCCGCCGCGCGCCGTGTCGTTTGTCGAGGCTGGGAAGACGTGCGTCGGCATCGAGGCTGACGAAGCCCGCCGAAAGTTCTGGGAGGCGAGGTTGGGCGAGTTGGTCAGCGCCAAGGAGGGGTTTGTCGAGCATCCGCAGGCCATGGCTTTGTGATGGCGATTCTTGCCAGTCAGAATCGCCGTCGACGGCCACCAAACCTCTTTATCAAGGTTGATAGTGTCCGGGCAGAAAGGGGCTGGCATCACCTAGGTTTGTCGTTCACGTATAGCCGGGAGTCTTTCTTGGGTCAGCTTCCCGTTGTACTTACAAGATTGAAATGACCTTTTGCTGTCGCCTGCGTCACTCATTAATCGCGCGCTGGGGTCAGCGTAGATGTCCCCTCATGTCCCGACTGAAGCCGTGTAAGCACAAGTTCTCGCCCCCTCACCACGCGGTCGCAACTCTTCAGATCAGTGTACACCACCCGATCCCGGCTTCATCTCCACGACAATGTTTGCGTCCGACAAAGATCCCGGGACAATGACGGGCGAGAAGGTCGCTACGATCGCGCCTCGGACGGACAATCCAACAGCCTCGGACGCAGTCATTGACCCCGAGGCCGAGCGCCGACTCCTCATGAAGCTGGATCTCATCATATACCCTCCCTTCTTCGTCATGTACACAATGTCTTTCCTGGACCGCATCAACATTGGCAATGCGCGGATCCAGGGCATGCTCGCGGACCTGGACCTATACGGCAACCGCTTCAACATTGCTCTCTTTGTAAGTAAACGGGAGCCTTGATAGAGCCTCGCGTGTACAGCTTTGGGCGTGCACTCACGTCCCCAGGTCTACTTCATCCCGTACATCATTCTCGAGATACCCTCCAACATGTTCATCAGGAAGATGCGGCCGTCTCTCTACCTCTCGTCCCTCATGTTCATCTGGGGCATCGTCAACATGTGCATGGGCTTCGTCCGCTCGTACGGCGCCCTCGTCACCCTGCGCTTCCTCCTCGGCGTCTTCGAGGCCGGCGTGCTGCCGGGCATCATCTACGTCACCTCCGTGTACTACAAGCGTCACGAGTATCAGAGGCGCCTGTCCTTTTTCTTCAGCAGCACCGTCGTCGCCGGCGCCTTTGGCGGCCTCCTTGCCTACGCCATCACGCGACTCGGCGGGGCGCACGGCGTCGCCGCCTGGCGCTGGATCTTCATCGTCGAGGGTGCCGCGACCTCCGGGCTGGCCCTGGCTGCCGCGTTCCTCATCGTCGACTGGCCGGAGCAGACGAGGTATCTCGACGCCGGGGAAAAGGAACTGCTCCGCCGCCGACTCGCGGCCGACGTGGACGACTCGTGCCGCATGGACACACTGACCAGGTTTTCGTTCAAGCTCATTGTGCGCGACTACAAGATTTGGCTGGGCGCCGTCACTTACATGGGCGTCGGCCTGGCTGGGTACTCGGGTGCTTTCTTCTTGCCCACCATCCTCGTCGAGTTCGAGTGGAAGGCCGAGGAGGCTCAGGTACGCACAATCCCCGTCTACGTCTTCGCGGGCGGCATGATGCTGCTTGACGCCTGGGCCTCGGACAAGCTCAAGCACCGGCTGGGCTTCATCCTCGCCGGCGCATCCATGGCACTCGTTGGCTTCGGCATGCTCCTGGCCCAGGGCGGCAAGTCTCGCGACTACAAGTTTGCGGCCGTCTTCCTCGTCTTCGGCGGCTCCTACATGGTCACTCCGATGGCCCTGGGCTGGCTCCAGAACAACCTGTCGGGCCACTGGAAGCGCTCGTTTGGCTCTTCGGCGCAGGTGACGCTCGGCAACTTGTCGGGCATCATCGGAAGCAACATCTTCCTGGAGCGTGAGAGGCCCAGCTACGCGACTGGGTACGGCGTTGCGGCCGCCGCCATGTTCTTGGGCGCCCTCTCGGCGCTTGCCATGTTTGTGCTCATGCGGCGGGAGAACAGGAAGAGGGCAGCGGGCGAGCGCGATGACAGGCTCGATCTGCCCGAGGAAAAGCGCGACAACCTGGGAGACTGGCATCCAAGCTTCCGCTTTACTCTGTAGCGACCACGACTCCGTTCTTTGACAGAGTTGCGGTCCTCCGACTGCGGCAGGACAGTAATGCCCAGGTCTAGCTGATACAACGAGGAGATACATGTGTTCAAGTGGCTGGCTCGCCAACACGATGTGAGCGTAAATATCCTTACCATTCGTTTAAGTTTACGGGACACGGGGACTGAGGCCCTCCCTGTAGTTTCAAATCCAGAGTTGCTATCCATACAGCCGTCCTTCGTACTGACAGCCAAGTACATAAGAATGTAGGGATTTTTCTCAAACCAGGGCGATATATTGGACGTTGGGCGTGAGCCCACAGCTCAGACATGATAATCGAGAGCGAACGTCCTGCGAGGGCCAGAATGAGCTGGCGGAAACACGCCTCCCCCTTTCTGCACCCGAGTCCAACGCAGCCGAGCCCCTTGCCCGATACTCTCAAAAGGATCCCGGGAAAAAGATGGTTAGTACCTACCGTAGGGCTAGTCCAATGGCCGAGTGCTGCGGAGAAGACGGACAAGACAGTAGTAGCTAAAAAATAAGCTTAAAGCTCGCATCGAGCGGGAACCCAGGGGCTGGGTGGCGCCCGTGATGACACGATGACGCCTCGGTGAAGCTTGGGGTCGCTGACTTTGAGCCTCAGCTGTCACGCGCATCAGTTCCGAGATCGCCGCGGCAGCCTCGACATTCAGCCTCTCGTTCACCTCTTCCCGCTTCTCACTCAGCCAAGATGCTCGTCACCAAGGCTCTCGCTCTGGCCTTTGCCGCCCTCGTCACGGCCGCGCCCCCCCAACCCGGCTTCAAGGGCGACAAGTTCATGGTGAGCCTCAACTCCGGCTCGTCCAGCACTGCCATCGCGTTCTGTTGCCTAATCGAAATTTGTTCCTAGGGGACCATCTTCCGCGAGAGGCACTTTCATGGACCCTACCAGACAGTCACTCATGAGAACCGCTGCTTTGACCTCAGCATGATGCGAGTTTCCCCTCCCGGCTCCTCGTTTCGCCCCCCTCGTCAACCTTCTAATGCTCACAATTCACACACAGCGGCTTCAAAGTACGCTCCGTCGAGGTCGATAACCGCGGCCAGTGCAGCCTGTATCGGTACGTGGCACTCCTCCTTTCTCGACTCCCTCGAAAACTCCGGATGCTTATGTGCCTCCCCAGGGGCGAGCAATGCGACGGCGACGAGAGGTTATTTACCCAGAGCGAGATGCACATGGACGACAACCAGTGGCGGTCTGTTAACTGCACCCGCGGACGCCGCCAGGAATAGAGGGCGATATCTCGACATGCACCTTGTCACAGATTGGCATTGAGGAAGTGATGCCCGAGCAGCGAGTTAGCGAAGCAGTCGCTTCGGGGATGATGGCAAGACTTGCTCGCGTGGGTCGAGGACATGGATCTCCGTCTGTCACGGTCAACATTTCTTCCGTCTTGAATAGTCCTCACAAATAGACCTTGGTCCCCTTTTTGCACCCAGCTCTACTGTACCTGCGTGCGGAAACGTCTTGTGTGGTGCTCGGCGCATGGTCGACTTCTAGCCAGTCTCCAGTCCTTGACACTGCGACTTGTGATGCAGCTATGCGTTGGACAAGGGAAATTCCGGATGGGTGAGTCTTGGCATCGACAGGAGCACGCCAGTGTTCTCCCCTCCTCTTATCCAGAGGCCTTGGATCCCAATAGAGTCCCGGCAGCAGCGCTGGCTTTTGAGCTTGTCGTTGACTCTCCTGCATGCGTGTAGTAGACGAGGACCGTAACACTCGCCCGTCGGGTCATCTGCCGCTGCATTACACAAGAAATGAGACAGAGTCTGCGCACAAGAGATGGCCGTCGATGCCATGTGTTTGAAGAAAGCAGTACTGCTAGACAAGTTCCGCACCGGGAGAGGAGCGTCGTACGCTTTGAAGAAGCCGGGTACGAGGAGGGCGTCCACCTGCTGTCTTCTGCGAGCTTCACGCCGAGAGGAGGCCCGGGCTGGGTGCGCCAGAGTGGATGGCTCCAATATCATCTCCCGTCTTGTCGGACGTCGTGGCATGCGTGTCAAACACGTCCTTTTCGCACCTGCTACGCAGATTCGTTGCTACAAGGTGAGATGCCGAGCGCCGACGGCCAGCTCCCTGTCTGTGTCCGGCAAATGAATGTCTCGCCTTATCGTCATCGCCTCCTGTCTCACCAACCAGCAAACTCGATGACACGGGACCATGTGAGTCAGTCCCGACGCCCGTTTGCACCAACCTCTCACCGTAATAGCCAGCCAGGCTTCCAGCAAAATATGCCCCTTTTCACTTTCAAAATGGCAAAGGGGGGGGTTAGCAAAACACCGAAAATGGGCCTAGCATGCCATAGGATGCCTTTGCTTGACTCTCGTGGCTGCTGCTGTTGAGAAAGGGGGCATCTGCTTCCTCAGTTTGCAGGCGACGGCAAGGGGTTTGTTTTTTCTTCTCTGCCGCTACCCGGGCCAGTAGCTACATCTTGGCACCGCCCGACAGACACGCGGCAGCAGGAGCTTATTCGCAGCAGCAAGCGCAATAACAAAACCTATACCGAGGAAGTGCGCAGGCTCTCCCCGCAGATCCATCTCCAGACGGGGCTTGGGGGAGGGGAGGCGGAACCGGCGGGTCGGGGCAACAAAAATAGGGAAGGGGGGGGAAGATGACCGAGACACGGCCGCCGAGCCGAGGCATCTCCATTCCTCACCCTTGACAGGCTGCTCTCGCTTGTTCGTTTTCTGTGCGTGGCCGTGCCGCCGCCCGGCGCCCACGTGCCGAGGTGCGGAGCCCCCCTCCCTTGATGATGACGCCGCGTCGCCGCCGTTTGATGGGCGGTCAAGATTGCATTGCGTGGTCGAGAGTTGAGAGCCAAGGATGGTGCTGGTGAGAGAGAGGTCCGACTTGCCCAGCCCCATGGCCATCAGCCGGACGTCTGAACCCCCGGCTCCAGCGTTCAAACCGGCCCACGGCCCTCTCGACACGAACCGGGCTTTGCTTCCGCCGTTGAAACTCGAGGGTCCGCGCCCCGTCTTGGCCTAGGCCATCGTCGTCACTCCCCCCTCCCCTCCCCTCTCCCTCCCCCGTCCCCCTGTCCACTTATATGCTGCAAGGACGCGGAGCCGGTGCAGCCAAGTCGGCGCTCCTGGCAACTGTCGTCAACTGTCGTCACTGTTTCATCTCGCTCGACCTTGACGAACCCTCTTTTTCTCTCCTCGCAACAGCATCGAGGCGAAAGAAAGAGGGCGAAATTCCTGATCCGCTCTCCTCAACGGGGGTCGTCGAGGACCAGAAACAAAAGACTGGGCCCCCCTGCATGGCACGCAGCCGGGTCCCACGCCGCGGCAACACGATTGTTGCGCGTCGACAAGGCACGTCCTGGGCAGACGAGGACCCTGGAGCGTCCTCGGTCCCGCCCCCGTCGCATTTGACCCGATCCCGCCGGCCCTCCTCCCCCCGGTCCGTCTTTTTCGTCCTCCTCTTCTTCCTCTGCAATTCCAACCCTCCTTTTGTCTTCACTCTCGGACCTTGTCACAGCCGTCTCGCCGCCTAGCCTCTGCGCACCCGCGTCCCGCAATCCCGAGAGACCCCCGCTCCGACTTGGCCCTGGGCCTCGAGCTGCCCGCCTCGGCGCCTCCCGGAGCCCGCTGCACCCAAGGCCCCCGTGTCCCCCCGTCTCTCGTCCGGCAACAAACCTCGACCACCTCGGCTCGAAGCCCCAGCACTCACCCCTCTCTCCTCCTCACACCGTCTGCTCACCAGTCAGTCCAGCCTCCAGCTGCCGAATCCGCCTCCGGTCACGCAAGGCCGACGACGGGTCACCGCCGGCGCTCGACCATCCCCGGTTGCACGAGTCCCCACGTCATATTCAACGGCGCCGTCACCGCCGGCAAGCAGCATTTGAGTATAGACTTGTATACACCCATCTATATATACCGCCGCCGCATGTGTACACCATACTCGGCGTATGAGGTGGATTTCGGCGTCAACGGGCGTACATGTATGAAGCCATACGCGGCTCCCACGTACACTCGCCTCGGTTGACCCTCTTCTTCCATCACCATGCCCGGTACGTCGAGTATCCTGTTGCGTCGTCGCCTGTTCCGTCGTCGTCACTCTGCCATTGCGTGTCGTGCCTCGAGCGCCACCATCTCGAACATGGCATACATAGCCTCGATCGAGTCGACTTCACCATGCTCGACGTCCTCACTCATAAACAGCAGCATAAACAACAACACACGTAAGAAAAGCAGAGCCAGCTAACAAAGCCCCCAGTCCCCCTCGCCCTCGCCGCCCCCGCCGCCGCCGCAACGCTGGCCTACCTCAACGCCCGCACCTCCTTCTGGTACGACCGCCTCCTGCTCGCCGCCGCCGCAAAGGCCGCCTTTCGCCTCTTCACCCGCCAGCGTCGCGGCCGCCTCAACCTCTTCTACGTGCTCGAGGAGCGCGCCGCCGCCTCGCCCGCCCAGGACCTGCTCCGCTTCGAGGGCCGCCGCCTGTCCTACGCAGACGTCTACGACCGCGTGCTGCGCTGCGGCGCCTGGATGCGCGAGCGCCTCGGCGTCGGGCCCGGCGACGTCGTGGCCATGGTCATGGTCAACTCGGATGCCTTCATCGTCGTCTGGTGGGCGCTCTGGAGCATCGGCGCGAGGCCCGCCTTCATCAACCATAACCTCGTCGGCCAGCCGCTCGCACACTGCATCGCCGCCGCCGACGCCCGTGTCTGCATCGCCGACCCGGCCATGGCCCCGGCGCTCGAGGCCGACGACGTCCGCTCCGCCCTCGCCGCCGCCAAGGAACCATCGTCGTCCCGATCCGGCCCCGGCCCCGGCCCCGGCCCCGGCCTCGGCCTCGACGTCGTCGTCCTCACCCCCGAACTCGAAGCCGAGGCCCTCGCCCACGCCCCCGAGCGCGCCCCCGACGCAGACCGCCACGCCGACGACCTCTCCGCCATGGCCATGCTCATCTACACGTCGGGGACCACGGGCCTCCCGAAGCCCGCCGTCGTCTCCTGGGCCAAGTGCATCGTCGGCGGCACGGTCCCCGAGGTTCTCATGGCCCGCGGCGGCCCGGACGACGTCATGTACACGGCCATGCCGCTCTACCACTCGGCCGCCGCCGTCCTGTCCTTTTGCGCCACGGTCCAGGCCGGCGCCACCCAGGCCCTGGGCCGCCGCTTCTCGGCGCGCTCCTTCTGGGACGACGTGCGCGACTCGGGCGCCACCTCGATCCAGTACGTCGGCGAGACGCTGCGCTACCTGCTCGCCGCGCCGCCCGCCGGCCTCGACCCGGCCACGGGCGAGGACCTGGACCGGCGCCACGGCGTGCGCGTCGCCTTTGGCAACGGGCTGCGGCCCGACATCTGGAACGAGTTCAAGCAGCGCTTCGGCGTCGACACCGTCGTCGAGTTCTACGCCGCCACCGAGGGCCCCTTTGCCACCTGGAACGTCAGCCGCAACGACCTGACGGCCGGCGCCATCGGCCGCAACGGCTGGCTCTACAACGCCCTGCAGCGGCTGCAGGTCGCCCTCGTCGACGTCGACTGGCAGACCGACGCGCCCCGCCGCGACCCGGCCACGGGCTTCTGCGTCCGCGTCCGCCCCGGCCAGCCCGGCGAGATGCTGTGCCGCCTGCCCGCCGACGACCTCGAGCGCCGCTTCCAGGGCTACTACCGCGACCCGGCCGCCACCCGCGCCAAGGTCCTGCGCGGCGTCTTCAGCCCCGGCGACGCCTGGTTCCGCACCGGCGACGTCACCCGCTGGGACGCCGACGGCCGCGTCTTCTTCTCCGACCGCATCGGCGACACCTTTCGCTGGAAGTCGGAGAACGTCTCCACCGCCGAGGTCAGCCACGCCCTCGGCCTGCACCCGGCCATCCGCGAGGCAAACGTCTACGGCGTCGCCCTGCCCCATCACGACGGCCGCGCCGGTTGCGCCGCCGTCTGCTTCGACCGGAACCCCCCGGGCGCCGACACCCTGCGCTCCCTCGCCGCCCACGTGCGGGCCTCGCTCCCCAAGTACGCCCGCCCGCTCTTCCTGCGCCTCGTCCCGGAGGTTGGCGCCGCCGCCCAGACCACCGGCACCAACAAGCAGCAGAAGCACCTGCTCCGCGAGGCCGGCGTGCGGCCCGAGCCGAGCCCCTGTCCGGGACGCCATGACTCGGCCAGCAGCGACATGTACTGGCTCAACGGGGACTCGTACGTTCCCTTTGGCGACGACGACTGGCGCGCCCTGCAGGCGGGGAGAGTGAAGCTGTAACGGCCAACGGGGCCCTGATGATGGTCATGGCCATGACGAGACGACAGCCCGTTGCAGATGGATTTGGCCGCGCCTCTTTGTGTATCGCTGGACCACATCTTGTTGCTTTCCCTGCTTTGTATACATCTCAACGTCGAGCAAGCCGTCATATACAATAACAACACACGAACATAGCCACTTACATGTATCTCATTTTTGTCAAGTTGATGTTGACACTGAGTTGGGCACATCACCCAAGCTTTAAACCAGGGACGATAACTGGGGGAATCCACCGGTTTCCTTACTATTAACAGTTCGTGACTTCGTTGCCCTATATCCCACCAGACAGATGGCTCTTCCACCCCTTGGGGGGCAGAGCAGCCCGTACTCACACCCACCCTCTCCCTCCTTCACGACCCGGCAATTCCCAGCCCGACGCGCTGCCCACCCCCCGCGCCACCCGCGTACCCCGGAGACCCGCCCGCGTTGGCCGTGCCCGACGTGCCCGACCGCTCGCGCATCCTGCGCCCCTCCATGAGGCCGCGCAGCCCGCGTTTCTGCAGCCCAATGACGCTGCTGAGCTCGCCGTTCCACACGAACCGGTGTGTGTCGCTGCTGCTGCCCCTCTCTGAATCCCACTCGGACCCGCTGAAGCTCGTCGACGCTGATAGCTCGCCGCTCGGCGTGCGGCTGTGCGGCTGCGGCGCCAGGTTGGTCGTGTTGAGCCGCGGCAGGCCCGACGAGGCCGATGTCGGCTCCGGCTCCGACGGAGGCAAGTTGCCCGCCACGCCGCCTAGCGAAAAGTCCGTCGTTGACGCTGGCGACAGGATGGGGTCGAGGCTGCCGACGAAGAAGTTTGGGTTGAGGGACCCGTCGATGCCGCGGCCTCCCCCCGCCGCCATAGCCGTCGCGTTGAAGACGGCGGCGGCGTTGCGGCTGTCGAGCAGCGTGTGTAGCCGCTCGACGACGGCTTCGAGCAGCCCATCGACGCGGTACGGCCGCGCAATCTGCAGCAGCGAGCAAAGGATCTGCGGCGTGCACAGCGGCGATGACGGCGGCGGGAGCGAGCTCGCGTACAGAAAGTGCAGCAGCGCCTGCACCGTCAGGTACGTGTGTGGCAGGTACAGGCACCGCGGCCGGGCGCCCGGCGGCAGCGAGCGCGGCGTCGGCGCCGTGTTGACGGCGGCGGGGTTGATGTCTTCGCCCTGGCCCGGGGAGCCCGCCGACATGGCCGAGGGGGCGGCCGATGTCAGCGACGCCGCCGCGCTCGACGTGGACCCCGACAACAGCGACGAGGTGCCGCTCGTGCCGCTGCCAGTCGTGGCGCTGTCGCTCGCGTTCCTGGTGGAGCTCGGGGTGATGGTCATGGCCGAGACGCGCATCGGGTTGCTCGATAGGCCCGACCGCGGCGTCGGGGCCTCGGGCACGTCCAGGGTCGCGGAGCCCTCGCGCAGAAGCTGGACAAAGTAGGGGCCCCATCGGCGTGCGACGATGCGCGAGTTGGCCGGGATGCGCTCGCCGCCGATGCACAGAATGTCCATGTCGGCCAGCTCGCGCATGCCGAGCGCCTTCTCGCCCAGCTCCTCGCTGGCGCGCGAGTGAGAGCGGCCGGCGGCCGTGTAGCCGGCCTTGCGGGTGATGCTGAGGCCGTGGCCCGAGTAGGGGCTGCTGGCGGAGATGAAGCCCGACATGGGGCTCGTCTTGCGCGGATTGTCGTAGAAGCCAAAGGCCTCGAGCTCCACCATGCAGACGTTGGAGAAGTTGATGCGGCGGTGGTTGTAGTCGTCGACGAGGCTGCGCTTGCGGTTGCCGAGAATGACAAACGTGTTGCGCCGGTTCCACAGCACGCCGCGGTTCCAGCTGCCCTGGCTGAAGACGCTGCCGCCGGCGTCGATGCGGCTCCACGTCAGGGTGCGCAGGTCGAGCGCCCACAGGGCGTACTCTTGCTTGGACGAGGTGAGGTAGGTGCCGCTGACGACGAAGTGGGTGTCGATGATGCCGCCGTTGGGGAAGCGGAGGCCCGGGGGCGAGTACGAGCCGGACATGGGCCGCTCCGTCAGCGTGCCGTCCGAGGCCCGGATCTGCAGCTCGAGCTTGACGTCGAGGAAGTTGTAGTTGGAGTAAATGAGCATCGATGAGTTGGCCTCGCGCGCTTCGGGCCCGTCTGGTCGCTGCGACGACGCCGGGTGCTGCTGGGCGGCCCTGCCGATCCTGGTCGCGAGTGACGGGGACAGCGGGGCCGTGACGCTGCGGTAGGCGCCGCAGCTCTTGCCGAGCGGCTGCGTCGAAGTCCACTTGAGGCTTCGCAGATTGAAGACGCTGATCTGCTCAATGTAGTGGTTGCCGCCGTCTTGGCCGCCGACGACGACCATCTCGGCGCCGCCGGAGCCGTCGATATTGACGCCGATGCGGCCCTCGTTGGGGTTGCCAGCCGGCGGGTTGTGCTGGAGCGCCGACAGCGGCGCGCGGGGAGAGGTAAACGTGGCCGCCGAGGGCAGGACGCAGGCGCAGTGGGCGTAGCGACCCTGAGGCGCGTCCTGGGCGGGCACATGCGTCCACGTTTTGGAGGTCACGTCGAAGATGTGGATGTCGGACATGACGGAGATTTCGGGTTGCTGGGGGGCGAGTTTCTGCTGCAACTGTTCCTGCGGTTGTTCCGTCTGTTCTTGCGCTTCTTGCGGCTGCTGTTGCTGGTCGGGGGCCGGAGACATGCCTCCGTAGCACACCATCTTGGTATCACCAAGCGGGCACATGGAATGAAAGTACCGGGGCGGGGGTACGTTGCCCGTCGTGTCGAGCCTTGACCAGTGGCGGCGGATCAGATCGAGCTCGTACAGGTCCGAGGTCAGGGAGGCGGGGCGGCTGCGGGAGATGACGCGGCCGCCGAAGACGTAGAGGCGATCGCCGAGGATGGTGGTGGTGGCGCCGACGAGGGGCGGGGGCTCGCGGCCCGTGGTGCGGTGGACATTGCACATGAGGCCCGATAGGTGGGCCGAGGAGCCACGCGAGGGGCCGCCTACGTGGGCGGCCGGGGCGGGCGACCTGCCCTGGACGGTGGCGGGCGACGGCGTGGTCGAGGCCGGGCCGTTGGTCCGGGGCGCCAGGCGGTCCCTCGTCTCCTCGGCGCTGCTGTCGCGGCGGGCGGAGCTGGCCAGGCTGCTGGTGCTGCTGGTGCTCATGTGTGCGAGGTATCGGTCAGGGCCTGTGTGCAGGCGGCCCGAGGCGGCCGAGCTGGCCGAGTCCATTGTGCTCGTTCGGCCGTCCATGGCGGGGGGTTCGATAGTGGGGTTTCTGGGGTCGGGGTCTCGGGTGGCTCCGGTGCTGGAAGCGGGGGGGGTCTGCGGCAGAGGCTTGGCCAGACTGTGGTGCAAGCTCAGCCTCCTGGCATGCTGTGAGGCCGGGTTGGGCGACGTGTGGGCGGTGGGCAGCGGCTGGCGCAGCGAGAGGCGCGAGGCACCGGTGGCCGAAGTCGACGAGGGATCGATCAAGCCGGGGGCCGAGTTCTTGCGCGGCTGGTGGACACCTCGGTAGAAGGGAGGGGAGGCGTCGAGGCTGTGGGCGTCGATCGATGGACGAGGCTCATTGGCCCCGGGCCGGCTCCAAGAGAAGCGAGGCGGGTTCTGAGAGCCGGTTAGTCCTGCGGAATGTGCCATGGCACCGCCGACGGGCGCCGAGAGGCGCGAGAGGAAGATGATTCTGGCAGAGACGGGGCAACGACCGTAGAACACGACGATGGGGTTATGGAAGAGGAATTAAGGGTGGGTAGGGGTAAGGGGAGGCGACACGGCAGCCGCCAAGAGTAAGCGTGGGGTCCAAGGTACGGTCTCCGGCTTCCCTTGGCCAAGCTCCGATAGGGCAAACGAGGCAGAGGTCGGCGGTCTGGACAAGAGCCCCCGCGGGCCCAGGCCGGGCGTCGGGGGTGAGCCAAGGGAGATTGGGCGAGGGGCGAAGTGAGACTCGAGGGGGTCAGGCCACTCTGGACCGGACCGGGGGGGGGGGACGGAGGAACGAGATCGGAGCTGGGCAGCGGGAGGAGGGAGATGGAAGGTTGTGTCATGGAGCCGCTGAGGAGAATGTGCAGGCCGGTATTTGCAGAGGACAGCGAGCCATAGCACGCCGGTGTCTGCGTTTGTCTGTGTCTGTCTGTGTGAGGTAGGGAAAGAAGTGTAAAGAGAGAGTACAGTACAGTATCAGGACCAAGGTTTGTGGGTGCACCGAGTTTGCATCTGCGGGAAAAAATACTTGGCACAGAGTATAGAAGTAGCTGCTGTATCCGCAATGTGCCTCAGATATCATAAACTCCAAGCTGTACGCCGGGAGCGAGCAAGGGTTCGGCCAAGACGAAGAAGCAACGTAAACAAGGCGACAAGGGAAAAAAAAGACTGGGAAAAACTGGAGACGGGGGTGGATATGGTGGCACGTTGTGCTTTGTTCGCCTCGAGCGGAGGCCGAGCAAGACAATGCATCATCCTCCATCGTGGGTGGTGATGATGACGACAGAAGCTCCGCCCACCAGCTACTACTTGGTGGAGGAAGGGGCCAGTCTAAGAATAGTAAAGGGGAGGGAGAGTGAGGGAGAGAGAGAGAATGAGGCTACGGGCAAGCGGAATGCAGTGGTGGTGAAGAGCAACATACCTAACAACCCCAGTGGGCCCCAGAGTCGGAAGAAGATGAGGAAAAGCAAGCACCAGGAAACAAGAGAGGTCGACTGTGCGTGCGTCGGAAGAAGCAACAAGGAGCTCTCGGTGATGGAGGCGCAGAGGGTGAGGGGGCCAGCTGGAGGCGCACGTTCTCTGTGCCGCCCTGTGTCTCAATTTCCTGGAGAGACAAGAGCGGTTGGCGTCCTGGTATGGTATGGCGTCGAGTCAAAATGGACGTCGGGGAAAGAGGCGCGCGAGAGTCGGTAGAGGGCATGTGACGTCGTCGTGGGATGCAGGAGGAGAAGAGTGGAGGACGAGTGCACAGGACTGGCAACGTCGTCGTCTGTGCGCGCCAGCTTCTCTCCCTCGCCGCGAAATCGGTCCACAGAGCCTCGACGAGTTTCGGTGGCCGGTTTCTGATCGGTTGGTCGAGTTGGGGGAGTGTTTCAATTTTCAGTCGCCGCGGGCATCTCATCAGCCACGACGCCGCCTCGGATCTAAATCCCCCTCTCTGGTCTCCCTCGCTCTCGCGCTTCTGTGCGCGCTCGTGCGGCGTGAAATGCAACGTAGCGCGGGCCCCGAGGCGGCGACAGAAACAAGCGGGCGTGCCGTACCGCCGAGGCCTCTGAGGGCACAGACGGCTACCACACCGAGGGACCTGAAGCGGATGGGTTTTGTTTGGGCTGGCGTGCTGGTGCTGGTCCGTCTTGCGTGGTCGGATGAAGAAAAGGACTGGGGGCTGTTGGGAGGAGGAGGCCCCGTCGCTGCTGCTGCTGGGGTCTCTGTTCTCGTGTTCCGTGGACCTTTGTCGTTGGTCCGAGTCGAGAGCGAGCAAGGGACAACGGGCGGTGGGCGGTGGGCGGTGGGGTGGGCGGTGGCCGTCGACGGCGGCGGTGGATGGGCAGTCTGGTGCGCGTGCTTGGGGACGGGGGTGATGCTCGCTCGTGGGAGTCGATGAGAGTCTGCCCGTCTGCCTGACGGTCGGCTCGGGGGAAGAGGCGACGAGATGAGGAAGAGCTGCGTTGGGCGTTGGGGAAGAAGGGAGCCGGGGCGGAGGCACAGGCTGGGCACGCATGGAAGTACTGATAAGTATCTCAAGGTGGCCACGACCAGTTCCTGCTCTCTGCATCTCCAGAACTTGAGGGGACACTGTCGACGGTACATCTGGCTGGCCGCAGATGCGCTAACAGGTACCTGACAGATGACGTGATCATACGCGGGGAGCGAGTATTCTGGAGCATTAGGCCTTCCGCACCAAAGTACCCAGACCCGGCATCACCTCGGCATCTCGGCTCAGCTGAGCAAGCCAGGGCTGACAGGTACAGGTTACAGGTAGAGGTACACGGGCAGTACACTCACCACGCTGGTGTTGGCCATCAAACAGCTTCTACTCCGGCGAGGACCTCGAATCATGACCAAATGGCCATCAAGTCAAATCGTGCCTTGACTGAATATTTGATTCACCCAGCCTTGTAATAAGGATGGCGCAAATGTAGTAGAGAACAGGCTTCATCCAGCATGTCAGTCCCCGTCGTCTGCCACCATGGCCTCGCGACAGTCCCATCCATCCTCTCCCATCCTCTTGACCGTCCATTTCACACAGTCATTGATTCTCCGTGAATGCATCTTGTTGGTCTCTTCTCCTTTGATTCGTCACGGTATCCGGGTCTAGCCGCTCTTTGGCACCGACGTGTAGCGCAGATACGGCTTGACGGCGCGAAACTCGGGGAACAGGCGGCGGGCCTCGTCGTCCTTGACGCTGTTGGCCACGATGACGTCTTGGCCCGGCATCCAGTCAATAGGCGTCGCTACCTTGTGCTTGTCCGTCAGCTGCAGCGAGTCGACGATGCGCAGCACCTCGGCGGCGTTGCGGCCCGCCGACGCCGGGTACGACAGGATGGTGCGGATCTTGTGCTTGGGGTCGACGAAGAAGACGGAGCGGATCGTCAGGGGGAGCTGGTTGCGGTCGATGTTGGAGGGGTCTTGGTAGTCGATCCTGTACGGCCAGGTCAGTCTTGGACTTGATGGTAGAGAAACGGCCAGCTTACATGTCATACAGATGGGCCACCTTGCGGTCCGGGTCGGCAATGATGGGAAACTTGACGTGCCCGCCCGTCACCTCGCCAATGTCCTTGATCCAGCCCTGGTGCTCGCTCAGCTGGTCGGCCGACAGCCCCAGCAGCTTGACGCCGCGCCGCGTAAACTCGGGCTCGAGCTTGGCAAAGGCCCCCAGCTCCGTCGTGCACACGGGCGTGTAGTCTTGCGGGTGCGAGAAGAGGATGGCCCAGCTGTCGGCGACGTATTCGTGGAACCGGATCGGGCCGGTCGTAGTGTCGGCCTCGAAGTCGGGTGCGTCGGAGCCCAGGCGGAGCGGCGCAGAGGGGGCCATGATGTGTCTGTCTTATCTGTGATGAGGGGGTGATGAGGGAGTGATGAGGGAGTGATGAAGGCGCGAAAGAGATGTTGATTGATTCAATGGCAACACGCAAGTGAGGGAAGCTGTCAAGAGCGGGGGGGGTAGGAGGGAGAGAGGGGTCGAGGAGAGAAACTGGGATGGAAGAGCAGAAGAAGTACAAGCGCAGAGCACAGGCCGAATCTAGTCGACGCGGGCAGCTGGATCCTTAAATATGCCTCAGCACGCTTCCTCGGTCGGGCAAGCTACAGTACTGCACAAGGCCCTGGAAAAGGCATACTCACGCTCATACTGTGCCAGCCAAGCACATCATCATGGATCCCCGTAACTTACAGTACGTGTCTGATGCTGATGGCCATATGGGGTGAAGCTAATTAATTTGTAAGCCATAAACAGCCTCCGAAGACGCAATCGAGCCTTTTCTTCTTCCTGTATCCGTACTGTAACTTACTCCGTAATAGTTACTTTACGTAATTACCGATACCGAGTAATAGGTACGGAGTTCCCCTCTCGAGGCTGGGAGCTCCCCCTCTCGCCCACTGGAGGTGACGCCATGCATCTTTCCTTTTCATAGGTAAGTAGGTAAATACTACTACTGTACAGTATCTTTATCAAGCACGCTGATAACTTGATGCAATTGCCGTTCTACTTGCGTAGGTACTACACCTAAGGTAGTTCTCCTTGTTGGCACCTAGACCTGGACCAAACTCAGACACGCACATAATTACATACTGTACAACATACAGTACATAAGGTACACACTTCCTCGTCCAAAAGCACAGTGTGTGCCCGATTGCGTGCTGCCCCAGCGGCCCCATTGGCCCGCGCCACGCAATTCTGCCATTCTGGGCGCGACTGACGCAATCCGAACCCACCTTCAGCATCCATCGGTGTCGCTCGGTTCGTCGGCCGACATCCGCCATTGTCCTGCCATTTGCCTCATGTCCGCTTGGCCTCGGAGAATTCACGATGCGGCTGTTGGCTGCGCACCCAAAGAGGCACATGTGCCCACCGGGGAAAGTCGACGAGCGTCAAGGCCAAGTTGCCTCTACGGAGTATTCATCACTCGCTTTCAAGCCACGACCTGTAGTTACTCACGCCTGTCGGTCTTCGTCCAGCTTCCATCCTGCGGAGCGTTGAAACAACACAGCTCCGTGTGGCCGACGGCCCGAACCCCGACTGCCCTCCGACAAGCCGCCGCCGCGGGTCTGGGCTTGATGCAGCAGCGCTTTTCCGCCTGAGAAACACAGTCAGTCGAGTCAAGCATCATCCCGCAATGCTTGCTGGTCCAGCCTTCTCTGGAATCGACCCGCAAATACACAAGCGGCGGACTTTGCCCTTGTCGCAAAGCACCCAATCATTGACGTACTATATAATACCGGGGTATATATAATGAGTATTACTATAGTAATACTCTGTATAATACCGGGAGACAAATGCCATTCTGCACTCTCTAAACGCACGCCATGTGGGGTCTTACTCCGCACACGTCTGAGCTTATCTTGATTGGTTGCCATAAACCCAGGCATCCAGGCTCCAAACACACCACCCGAACCCTCGTCCCAAATAGTCGCGCCTGTGTGCCCGTTGAATCCGGGGAGGAGCTACACTCCTCGTACCTGCCTGGGACCAAGGGCGCGGTAAAAAGGTGGTGTTGTGTCAACGAAGCCGTCCACCGCAGCGCCTCTGCGAGGCCCTCGCCAGCAACCACCAACGGTTCCACCGTCAAAAATTTAATCCACCGACCACGCCAGGAGTCGAACCTGGAATCTCTAGAGAGAATCAGAGATATAATAACCGAAATCTAGCGCCCTAACCATTGGGCCACGCGGCCATGTGTTCCTCCCTGTGGAAGGGACGACCTGATGGGTAGCTCCTGCCGATTTGATGATCCGCTCGCAATCAGGATATATATATGTATAGGATCTGTCTCTATTCCCTGCCTGCCGGTGCGGATCATCACGTCTACAGGGCCGGTGGATATAACTGTCCTACATCTGCTATCTGCTTGCTATATCCTTCTATGTATGCATGGTAAATCCGCAGCCCTAAATCTCTCTAATTCATCTTGCAGCTATACACTCGTGGCTATTTATCGACTTTAGAGACGGCAATTTCTGCAGCTGAGCCATCGACCGGGCCATATGCCGTTACCGTGACTTGGCCGGATGCCCCGTTTCTCCTCCCAATATGTTGGCATGGGGTCCATCTGGATGGCCCGCCTGTCTCGAGTCTGGAGTCGGCGCGTAACAATCCATTGTGCGTACGTGGCCGAAAGACGAGGGCGCAGCGGACACAGACAGATATCTAGATGGATGGGCGACAGGGTGCAATGGGCCATGCGAGTTTGCTCTCGAGGTCTACGTTGGCGGAAAACATCTTCATCCCGCTTTGATCGTGGAGGGAGGGGGGAGCGACGACGGGAAGGAGCGACGACAGGAAGGAGCGACGATGGGAAGGAGCGACGACGGGAAGGAGCGACGACGGGAAGGAGCGACGACAGGAAGGAGCGACGATGGGAAGGAGCGACGACGGGAAGGAGCGACGACGGGAAGGAGCGACGACAGGAAGGAGCGACGATGGGAAGGAGCGACGACGGGAAGGAGCGACGACGGGAAGGAGCGACGACAGGAAGGAGCGACGATGGGAAGGAGCGACGACGGGAAGGAGCGACGACGGGAAGGAGCGACGACAGGAAGGAGCGACGATGGGAAGGAGCGACGACGGGAAGGAGCGACGACGACGCATGTGGCAGGTGACCAAGCACCTACTTGCTCAGCACCCGACCACAAACAACACGGACACATACTGCGAGGAGACAAACAAGTCCCGGTCAAAGGAGGAGAGCGTGGCGACCAGTGTCGATATAAAACCTCGGTGCAATGCATCTGTATAAATCGTCTTCAACGCCTACTCCGAGGCCATGCAACTCCAGGCGCGCCTCACCGCCAGCAGGCGTCGCACACGTCCCGACTCTTTCAAAGAAAGCAAGCCAAATCTCCCTCATCTCCCATTCCCATCCTTCCCTTGCCCGTCAGCAAACGCTGCCAATGGCCCCCGTGGACCACGTGTGTCCGTGGTGCTTGGACTCGCTGACCGTCCGGGACTGGCCCTCAAACGGGTCCGAGTCGCTCTCGTCGGTGCCCTGCTCCGCGTCGGCGTCGCTCGAATGGCCCTGCTCGCTCGTCTCCATGTCGTCGGTGGGAGACGTGGCGGTCCCCCGCGGCGACTCAGCGTGCTGTGCCCACGCCGACAGCTTCGCCTCGTCGGACGCGCCGTGCCGAGAGTCCCCGGGCCCGTGCGGCGTCACGGGCAGCGGCTGGGAAAAGTCAAAGTCGAGCGGGAACTCGCTCTGGTGCGCCGACACGGGCAGCGACATGCGGCTCAGCGGCACGTGCACGTGGCTCCTGCTGGCCCTCTTCAACTTGGGCTTCCGCGACGCCGGCGGCGAGTCGACCTGGCTCCGTCGCGACACCATCTCGGAGCGCTCCTCGTCGGCCGTCTCGTCGTCCGTGATGCCCAGGTCCATCATCATGCGGCCAAACGACCGGATCTGCACGCTGCCGCCGGACCGTCGCCGCTGCCGCCTCGATGCGAGCCCGGTGCCCAGGGGGTCCGCGAGCGGCGGCTGGCCCGAGACGCAAAGCGGCAGCTTGGGCCGCAGCGTGGCCATGCCCGAGCCGAGCCCCCGCAGGTCGCGCTGGCTCTGCGAAAAGACGACGCGGGTGCGGAGGCGGTGGACGGCGCCGTCGAGAGCGAGCTCAATGGCACAGCGGTCTCGGATGCGGCTGAGCTTGGGCCAGGTGGCGCGCTCGCCCAGGACCGAGGACCTGAGCATAAAGTCGGCTGTCGGGTTGCGCATGAGGCGCGGCAGGTCATGCATGGTGATTTCGGGCAGGATGGTGATGTCGCCCGAGTACTTTTGGCTGAGGATGCCGCGGCACTTGGTCATGAGGTTGGGAAAGACGCCCACGTCGGCCATGAACTGCAGTCTATGCAGGGCCTCCTCCTTGGCCAGCGACGCCAGCGTGTTGGTCCAGTCGAGCTCGGCGGCACGCTGCCGGTTGCGGCTGGGCTCCGCGTCGGGTGACAGGTGGTCGTCCTTTGAGAGAAAGGGGATGACGTGGGGGTTGACCTGGGAGACGATGAAGTGGTTGACGTTGAACATTTCCGAGAGTCGCGTCATGGGCAGGTCGTTGTCGACGGAGCCGTCGATGAAGCGCTGGGGCGTCGGATTCCAGGGATGGTGGTCGCCGGTGACGGGGTCCTTGACGAGCAGGGGTGACGACGAGAAGAAGAGGGGCACTGAGCACGAGGCGGCGACGGCGGACCAGATGAGGACGTTGGGGGCGGTGACGTAATTGAGGAGGCGTGGGAGCTCGTAGATGGAGGCAGGCGAGACGCAGATGTTGAGGATGCGGCGGGTGCGGTTGTAGGCCTCCTGGAAAGTCAGGTCGCCGGCGAGGCCGCGCATGACGCGCGTCAGGTTGTCAATGTCGGACCAGCTGCCCTCGGTCAGCAGGCGGCGCAGGTGGTCGAGGAGGCCGAGGCTGCTGTCGGCGGCCTCGAAGACGGCCAGGTCGCCGTGAGGAAACTCGTCGAGGACGGCGGGGATCTCATCGTCGGTGCGTGTGCACATGACGGCGCAGACGATGCTGCCGGCGCTCGAGCCCGAGATGATGCGCGGCAGCAGGCGGGCCTCGAAGAGGGCCTTGAGGACGCCAATGTGCGTCATGCCAAAGGTGCCACCGCCCGAGAGCAGCAGGGCGCTGCGGCCAAAGCTCTGGCGGGCAAAGAGCATGCCCTCGAGCAGGTCGCGCGAGTCGGGGCCGTGGTCGAGGGCGACGACGGCGTCGATGGTCTGGATGGCCGAGTCGACGTAGCGCTCAATGAGCTTCTTTGTGCCGACGTACGAGTTGCGGTAGAGGTCGACGTTGCCCATGCCGGCCAGGTCGCGCGAGAGCGAGGTGCGGATGAGGTGCATCATGGAGCGGATGTCGCGGCGGAGACGGGCGTCGTCGAGGGCGCGCAGGCGCTGCTCGATGAGCCCGGGGTTGTAGTCGTCGGAGCTGACGTCGAGCTTCCACGCGTCGTTGCCCTCGAGGGCGTCGAGTTCCTGGGCGGCGGCCTGCCACTGCTGGAACGAGTCGGCCTGGATGAGATGGCGTCAGCATTTGCTCGCCTCGAGAGGGAATCGAGTCGACGGACCGTCTTGATGCGGTGGCACAGGACGTTTCTTCGCTCCTCGCGCAGCCTCACGCGCTCCCGTTGGTCGGCCGACAGCCCATCCTTCCACGACAGCAGCAGGTCGTTGGCGCTCTTGAGCTGCCTCGACAGGGTGGCGGCGAGCGAGACGGGCTGAGCGGGCGACGGCTGGCTTGGCTTGGCATCCGGCCGGGGCTGGAGTTTCTGGCGGGGCTTGCCGTGTGTCGAGGGGACGAGGAGGCGGTCCATGACTGAGGTGCGTTTGCTCGGCACTCGTTGAGGGTCAAGATGAGCACTGGGGGCCTTCAGATCGGTCCATGGTAGACCGTCGGCAGACGGACTGCAGAGCGCGCAGGGGGGCGTGCAGCAACGGCCGAGGATGCAGAATAGAGGAGAGGGTTCGGTTCGTCCGACTCGGAGGGACAGGCGGTTGTCGTAGGCGAATCCAGGGCGGGAGTAGGGACGGCACGTGCAAAAGGGAGCGAGGGAGGCTCTGCAGAAATGAGGCGGATGATTTTGGTGATGCGAGATGGCGGCAGGCCCGGCGCTGCAGCCTGCCCCTTGCCTACCGATTAGGCAGTGGCTGCGGAGGAGGTAGTCTCAACTTAGCAAGTGCCTTGGGGTGTGTCTGGTGACCCGGTCTTTCCCCGCGATGACGCCCTTGAAACCAACCGCCCCTGCCCCCCTTTGTGCCCATTTCGTGCCTTCCTTCTGTATTCGGTTCTTGGGTTACGTACACGCGCCTGGAAACAGACTTTTCCTGCCGCTCGATATATTGGCGATTGAATATGCGTAGGTTGGGCCAGGTAGTGGCAATAATATGTACGTCCGGTTGCAGGTTAGGAACCCCGAACACTGCCGTGTCAGCCAAGGCGCCCGTTGCTAATTTTAACCCAATGCCCGAGTAATGATCCTGTCTCTGTTCAGCTCATCCACCCGGGGGGAAATGGAGGGCTCGCAATATAAATCTGTACGAGGTGTCCATGCCCCAATCAATGCTGGCGTTCAGTCACATTGCTGCGCCGGATATGGTAAACCAGGTAACAATGAGCGTCCGTCACATGTCTGGTCAGCTCATCAACTTCCAACCTGCGTCAGATCCAGCCTCTTGGTATGGCCCTAGAGACCGGATGACCTCGACATCGCTCGTGACGGCCGTGTCCTCTATCCCGACCAACGGCTCGGCCTGTTATATGTCCCCCCCCCCTGGGCGCCTGGAAACCTGGATTGCTGCAACCTCGCGAGACTTTCTGTCATTAATCGCCCTTCAGCCCCTCGCCAAGCATCCACTTGGCAATTGCGGCCTGTACGAACTACGGTAGATGCAGTGGCAACTGGGCCCCCTTGCGGCCGGACCTCTTTGCGTTGGTCCACCTCCCCCTCGCGGCAGCCAATCGCTGCGCCGTGATTCGCGGCCACGTCTTCTGAGACGTCGTGAACAGCCGCTCAGCTGAGATTGGGGCACTCCGGCGCAGCTCTTCTGCATGCACCGGCGGAGAGCTATGCCTTGGCTTATTCCCATCCGAAACAGGCCAATCTTGTATGGATCTCTTTTGCTTCTCGTGAACCCGGCGCATGGACACCCCCTACCCTATACCCCAGGCGTTGACACTGGGTGGCCGAAAAATGCCAGGAACAGGGGAGAGAGCAAGCCGACTGACCCGATACGAGCTTTTGAATTTATTATCCATTGCATACTGCTATTAGCAGCTGGTGAGCTGTCCTGCGCCGCTCTTGGGGCTAGAAGGAAACAGCAGCTGTCACCTCTTCAAATATACGTAAAATCCTTGTCGACGTAGAGAAAGTACAGTTCGCCAGACCATCCGAAGATATAGAGTAATAGTAAATTGGGGAAAATAGTGTTAAAACCTCCCAAAAAATTGCAGCCGGTGTTCGCTGGTCGTCACCGACCTAACTATTAATTTGCCCTATTTAGCCGAGATCGGAAGGGTATATTTCTAGAGCCGGGCTGCATAAGACGACTACTATCGGCGGCGGCAGACACGAGAAAAACCCTGACGGTTGGCATGCTATCACGGCTTTTCAAGACAAAGACTGGGAAACGCGAAGCTGCTACTTTACATCTCACGGGCACACTAATGGGGAAAACGACAGTATCTTGAGGAAGGCTACTTGTAGTGACGAGAAGCCCGACGACACACCACGTGGCCTTAAAGGCTCTAGCAAGGTGGAATGGCCGGGAAACAAGAATCTCATCGAGTACAAGGACAGCCCGATCGCGTACTCCCGCCTCCCTGATCCGAAGGCGAAGTCTTAGAACCATCGCTCTCGTCTCACTTTTGAAAGTCTTCTGTTTTGTGGCTTGCTGTGGTATAGCTGGTAGTGATGAGATTTCACTGCAACTTTGGCTTGTACACATGATCGTTGCCGTCCCGTTCATTGTATGCCCTGAAGTTGTGGGAAAAAAATTACCTTGCCGCTTGGCTTCGTTTATAATCGAGTCGAGCCCATTTGGCCATCCACTTGCATTCAAGCACCTCCTCTATTGTGATCCGTTCTTGGGGCTTGGACTTTAACATCTGGCCCAACATGTCCAAGATGGCAACCATTTCCTCTCGGCCGAGCTCACCCATGTTATCCTCCCGCCGGAATTGTTGCACGCGGTCCTCGAAAGCCTCCCCCATCTTCGACCATATATATCTTCCAGACGTTGGGGTGCCATCATCATTGAAAAAGTCCGTCTTTGCTTCCCATTTATTAGACCAGTCGCTCGGCAAGGGCCCCAAAACGTCGACAATCTGACACATGACCCTATCTTCGGAGGAGAAAGCAGTACTAAAGAGTGGCTGCATACCAAGGATATCCCAGATAGCAGTGGCAAGACTCCAAATATCTGCAGAGAAGGACAAAGGAACGTTTGGCTCGAAGCGGGCGTCTGGCGGGCGAAAGTCCACTGGCGTATTACAGTGTGCTCCTAGCCGCGACTTCGCCGCTGGGGTGAAGGCCTCCCCGAAGTCGTTAAGAAGAAGACGCGCGTCTGAAAGCGCAAAGCTCTCTGCTCTTTTCCCCATAGAGAGCGGAACTACTGCCGTCTTGGGGACGTTCGGCGGAAGAGCACTTCCATCCTCCCTCTCGACGGGATACGTGACTGGCTCGCCATACCCGTTGCGAAACTGCTGGATGGACAGTCGGTTAAAGGCCGATGGAGCTTTGATAAGAACATTCTGGAGATGAAGGTCTGCGGTAATTGTTAGTGTATCAATAAAGGAACGGCGGCAGTAAACTTGCGGCCCACCTCCGTGTGCATAGCCGCGCGAATGCATATAAGCAACTGCGAGAGCGAGCTCGTACGCCAAGGCGCGAGAAACATGGAGCGGGAAAAGGCGGCTAAACGAGCACTCTCGTAAAGTACAAAGAGCAGGCTCGGTAGTGTAGCAAAGGTGAGAGCCGTTTGGGCCCCGGACTCGAAACTCGTCGAGGATACGTGGGATCGCATCGGAACCATTAGCCGGGGGAGATGACGGCTCAAGCTCGTGAAGAGCCTCAATCTCGTGAGGCAAGAAGTCTGCTATTCCCACTTTCAAAGCGACGTATTGTTTCTGGCGAGAGTCGCGCGCCAGCCAAACGGTGGACCAGCCGCCATAACCGAGCTTGCCCACGATATCGTATCTGTCGTGGAGGACGTTCCCACTTTCGATGGGATGATAGCCACATTTTGTGTACCCCTCCAAATCCTCAGTACCGTCGATCCATCGGTATTGAGGAGTATGAGCCATTCTGACGACCGTCGTGCGACAAGGCCACGGCTGCGCGCGCGGCAGCCACAAGGAAACGGTAACCGGAAATGCCTTGGCGACGACAGCTGTGGAATGAATGAGCTTGGACCAAAAGCTTTGGCGCTGCATGGCCGTTTGTGGTGAAAGATGGTTCTCATAGAGAGCCAGCGGCTACTAAAAAGGAATGTTTAATGTTTATACACACGCAAGTCTCTATTCGTACGGACCACCGTAGGAACTTAACAAATTGGAACGGGCTTGGCGGTCAGGGGAAGCACCGCCTGCAAGTGACATCGAGACCCTGATGCGAGCAATCTAACACAATGTTCAACCCCTCTCAGCGGGCAGAAGGAGAGCTAATTATACGTCAGGACAAAAAAAAAGAGCAAACATAAGTACGAAGCATATTAAGAGCCGAGTTGGTTGACAGGGCGAGGCAAAAAGAACCCAGGAGCAAAAAGTGTAGGAGGCTAGCCACTACTCTTCCAGTAAGGCTCGAACTTACGACCTCCTGATTTGCTGATAGACGCTGCTCGTTTGAGCGAACGGCGCTACGTAACAGTCAGACGCTCTAGCCAACTGAGCTATGGAAGATTGGTGATTACTGCTTGACTAAAACGGTTTGTATAGGTTTTGCACTTCTGGAGGTATCACGCTGCTTCGCGATTGTTAACAATCGCCCTTGGGCAAGAATACGACACATTTTACAGAGGCAGGAAGAAACCAGGCGAGCTGTGCCTAGGTACAGTAATTTGTAGACGCTGCGGAGACTCGGCCACATCGAGCTGCCGAGGGCAAGAGCCTTTGGGCGAGTATCTTTTGCATGTCCGTCATCGGACCCTTTATTATCGCCACTGCCGACCGGCCCTCTTCCGGCCGCTGGCTTCTGTCGGCGGCCGAATCGGCAACGGACCGACACGAAGCGCGGCGAGCGTCGGAGATGCTCGGATTTGCGCAGACGGGCAGCAGCGACGGGGGTTCTTAAGCCTCTCGCAGGGAAAGCGCGCCGGCCAGGTTCTCTTGACTCTGCAAAGCGGCAGGAAATGCCCAGCCGCCATTGCTCCTGCCCTGGCGCGCAACCGAGCTTTCGCCTTCCGCTCTTCTCTCGGACGGCGGCATCGTGACGTCACGGCCCATCGGCAACCGCGAGCCGAAGACCCACAGGCCCCCGGTTAGCAGGCAGGGCAGGTGCGCCGCCGCTCGAGGGTCCGGTCCTCGGCCGGCAGCTTGACTGACGTCCCGGCTTATATCAAGACGGCCCCCCCCCCTCGCTGCCGTTGCCGAGGCCGCCGCAGGTATGGGGTGGCTGCAGGTTCTTGTTTCCGCTCCCCCTGACGGTTGAATGAATGCATATCTCTGGCTCTACCATGTCGGTTGTCCCGGAGCCTCGTGCCTCACCCCCCCCTCGACGTCACCATGTGGAAAACACAGGCCCGACGGGCTCATCAGACGCCGGATCCTCGTCCTCGGACATGCTCGGCCCCGCGGAAAAGGAGGTGGCCCACGACGGGCACCGGCCGACGCTGCGCGAAATGACCTCCCCGTCCCTGGCCCGCGGCAACTCGGCCGTGTCGGCGTCCGGCAGCGGCGGGGTCGCGCGGTCCGTGTCGCGGATCCGGTCCCGGCCGGTGCCCCGGTTCACGCACCCGCTGGCCCACGTGCCGACGACGGCGGGCGAGCTCGTCGACTTTGACGGGCGCGACGACCCCTACCACCCGCTCAACTGGGCGCGCCGCAAAAAGGTGGCCACGACGCTGCTCTACGGCCTCGTCACCATGACGGCCACCTGGGCCTCGTCGGCCTACTCGGCCGGCACCGCGCAGATTGCCCGCGAGTTTGACGTCGGCCCCCAGGTCGTCACGCTCGGCACCACGCTCTTCCTGCTCGGCTTCGGGCTCGGGCCCTTGCTGTGGGCGCCCCTGAGCGAGGTCTACGGCCGCCGCCTGGCCGTCATGTTGCCCATGGCTGTCGCCGTCTGCTTCAGCTTCGGCAGCGCCGCCGCCAAGGACCTGCAGACGCTCATGGTCACCCGCTTCTTTGGCGCCTTCTTCGCCTCGGCCCCCGTCACCAACACAGGCGGGGTGCTCGGCGACTTGTTCTCGCCCGCCTGGCGCGGCGTCGCCATGGCCGGCTATGCCATGGCCGTCGTGGGGGGGCCTGTCTTGGGTATCTGCCATCGTCTCCCGTCTCGCCGCTGCCGCGTATGCTGACGCCTGCAGGCCCGATTGTATCGGCGGCCCTGGTCCAGGCCCCCTCGCTGGGCTGGCGCTGGACCGAGTACGTGACGGGCATGCTGCAGGCCGCCGTGCTCGTCGTCGCCGTCGTCTTCATCGACGAGAGCTACCCGCCCAAGCTGCTCGTCTACAAGGCCCGCCGCCTGCGCCACGAATCGGGCAACTGGGCGCTGCACGCAAAGTTCGAGGAGTGGGACGTCAGCGTCGCCCAGCTGGCCCGCAAGTTCCTGCTGCGGCCCGTCGAGCTGCTGTGCACCCCCATCTGCTTCCTCGTCGCCCTCTACGCCAGCTTCTGCTACGGCATCCTGTACATGCAGCTCGGCGCCATCCCCATCGTCTTTGGCGAGCTACGCGGCTGGGCCCCCTTGGTCGCCGTGCTGCCCTTTCTGTGCATCCTCGTCGGCGCCGTCCTCGGCTGCGCCCTCAACGTCTACAACCAGCTGCTCTACAACAAGGCCTACCACGCCGCCGGCGACCGCGCCGTCCCCGAGAAGCGCCTGCCGCCCATGATGCTCGGCTCCGTCCTCTTCAGCGCCGGCCAGTTCCTGACGGGCTGGACCGCCGGCCCGGGCGTCCACTGGATGGCCCCCTGCATCGGGCTCGTCATGCTGGGCACGGGCTTCTTCACCATTTTCCAGGCCGCCCTCAACTATCTCGTCGACACCTTCCAGACCTACGCCGCCTCGGCCGTCGCCGCCAACACGTTTCTGCGCTCGTGCTTCGCCGGCGCCTTTCCGCTCGTCGTGGGCCCTCTGTACCACAACGTCGGCGTCGGGCACGGCTCGAGCATCACGGGGGGGCTCGCGGCCCTGCTGATACCTGTTCCCTTTGTCTTCTATGTCTTTGGGAGGAGGATACGGATGAGGTCAAAGTGGTCCAGAGCGTCTGTCTTTGACTGACTGCCGACTGACCGAGCGACTGAAGGAGGCGAGACGGCCGCTGAAAAGCCGGCAAGGGACCAACGAGCCACCGGGGAAAGGGGGGAGCATATGTATTAGCGGACGGCTGAAACACGCAAGCAATGAACCCTCGACAAGCACCCAGCCTGGCATCTCGTGGCCGGCGGTACTCTCCGGGGAAGTAAGACTCTGTTGTCACACGCAGTCTCGGCCACTGGGCTGGAAATAGCTCGCTTCGTCCAACCTCGCGAGCCCGTTGCTGCCTAGCGCCGGGGTGCAAAGAGCCGTGGCGGAGGCTGTCAGCGTCATCTGCATGCCCTTCGGGACAATGTCGTCGTCTGCTGGTGAGACACGGCGTGGCTGGACGGACGGAGCCGCGGACGGGGGTGCAACGTCAGCCTGGCTGTTGAAGATAAAACCCAGGGGCGGACTGATGAATGAACATATCGACCCAAGTTCTTGTCGTCCAAGATCCTACTCTGTCAGGCCCAGTCGGCCCTGAGAGCACAAGCACAAGCACTACACGTGAACATTGCCTTCATTTGAGGCACCAGTTTACATACGGTCGCCATCTATACCTGCACTGCTCGATCAATCTCTCTGTCCATGGACTCTCTTCATACATACTGCATAAGAGCAAGACCCTGAAAATAAACAATACCATGTGTCTGTCTCTGAGGAGGCATCATGCGCCGCTCGACAGCCACGAGCCCAAGGCACGCCCCGTCACGAGCTCGCCGCACAAGGGCCACAAGAACAAGGCCTACCGCTACGGCAGCCGACGCCACGGCGGCGGCGGCGCCAGCAGCTGGATCGGAGGAGGCGCCATGTTTGGCGGCGGCATGGCGGGCACGGACGGAGGAGGCGCGTCGGGATGTGCAGGAGACGGCGGCGGCGGGGGTGGATGCGGCGGAGGCTGAGATGGATTGGCAACTGGCATTATTGCGAGGCAGTGTCTGTGATTGATAATGGGAGGCGATGGATGATGCTTGGTGTTTGCTGGATGATTGGATCATGAGAGCCAGCGTTGCTGGAACATGCCGGGCAAAGGCTTTCTTCACTTTATTCTATCTGGTTCCTAACTACTCCGGCAAGTCTGCAGCGGGCCGAGTTGTGTATCGCAGCACAAGATTGATCCAAATCGCTACCGCTCTGTTCTGTTGCTTTACTTGCATCTATTCGTGGGACATGTTGTCAACCCTGTGCCATTACCGTTGCTTAGAGGCAAGATTGAAATGGTTCTCGTCCAGGACGCCCTGACTATACTTGATGATATCCGGGTGAGCAAACAGCTAGTAAGGACAACCCAGCCATTTTGTAAGGCCACACGCTCCGGTTCGCTCGTCGTCTTTTAGTTAATTATTAGCTGGCGATGAATGGAGAACTGCAAGCCGGGTATTGGAGGTAGGCTGTGGAAAGACAAATTGTAAAATGTTGGTAGAATGATGGCCAACAAGGTAAAAAGAAACAATGTGGTAAACGTCGGAGAGAGAGAAATGACTTTGCCCGTCAACGGTTGTCAATCCTCTCCCTTTCGTGTATAGGCGACAGTCCATTCCTGCTCTTCTAATCAAAACCTGCGCAGCCAGCCCTGGGTCTCTCCGGTCGACGACAACATGGTTTCCCGGAAGCTGGTGACGAGGAAGACGGTGTGGACACCTGCGAGCTTTAGTCCCTCCCTGATGCCTTGGAGCTTGAGGATCCGGGTGACCAAGCCCGAAGTGCTATTGCCTCGCATCTGCTCTTCCCTCGCTGGGGGAATGGATTTGGCTTCATGTCCGGCTCTTCCTCCGTGACGTTTGCCATGCTCTAGGAGGCACTGGACTCTCAATACCAGGGCTCCTCCTTGGGCCAAAATTCGGGGTGTAACGACGACACTTTTGTTGAGGTAAAAAATATTCAAGTTTGTGTAGAGAGGGCACCAACAAATCTTAGCCATTAAACGCCCAGGTCTGCATCACAAGCGGAGGTTCAAATGGTCACCGCAACTCACGTCATGACATTGAATGCGATGGCAGCGCCAGACACACACACGTATGTATATACAAACCGGCGACCTGAATCCCTACAAGCTCTGGCAATATATCGGAACGCCGCCACAATGGCTGAACCTCCAACTTGATACCGGCTCTTACCATCTGTGGATCTTCAGGTCTAAGTTGCCTACGAGTCAGATCAAGGACCAGATGATCTATTTTCGACCAAAGAGCAACACGTCACAGAGGTACGCCGGAGAGACGTGGGATATACAGTATGGGTTGACACTTGAGGCGACCATGCTAGCGACAGCTTTTTAATGGAACAAGGTTTCTTCTGTTGGCCCTTGGCCGTTCAAAATATGAGCTTTGGGGACGCCGACAACGTGAGCGGCGATTTCACCACAAATACCTTGCTTCATGGCATTATAGGCCTTAGTATCGACCATTATAGTAGCTTCTCCAAGCCCAAGAAGTTGACTACCTGGTTTTCCAATATTCGAAGCTTTTTGAAGGAGCCTTCGTTCACCGCACACTTGAACTACCGTGCAGGTAGGGACATACCATCTGTCCAACAGATCCTCAACAAAGTGTAATGATGCTGAAATCTGTGTGTGCAGAGGGGAATTTCAACTTCGGTTACTTTGACAGGCTCTAGTACAGTACCATACTGTGAAGCGTCATGCAAACAGGGGCATGTGGAGGGAATATCTCCCGCGCTCGCAACGTGCCCTTGAATTTCGAAAAAAAAAGCAATCGATAAACAGGCAAAGCTATTTGTTCTGTCTAAAGTAGGACAAGAGCTCCACAATCTAAGAAAACAGCAAGTGGCGAAGCAGATGTATGGGACCAAGCGACGTGTCGGGGCACTTGTCGGTGAGACGGCGAGTTGTCGAGCGGGCCCTTGTGTGGCCAAAGATGAACAACCCCTCCATGCCGGAATCGAGATGGACGCGGAGGAGATGGAGAGCCGGGGCGAGCCGCCACACTGAGTGCCTCCGCTGGTGTATGGTCGTACGGAGCGGAACGAGGCTTCCACTTAGGAGAGGATGCAGACGGGGCAAGTCGCTCCGTTGACAGAGCGCGCCATGGATGACGAGGGTCGGTATATATTGAGGAAGTGTTACAGGCGTCGACGTAGAGGATGACAGCCAGGCAGTCGCAGCCGAGTTCAAGGTTGTTGGCGGCTCGGCCGACGCCGGTGGTGAGGCCGGTGGTGAGGCCGAGGGGAAGCGCCACCTCTGACGCTCAACGAGGCCGTCCTGGTGGACGGGAGAGGGGGCATCCTCGGGCTGGACGAGCAGATGCCAGCTCAGTGGCATTATGGCGTTGGACGTGGCGGTCGGGGACACTCACAAGCTGCTTCTGCTGGGCAACCAAGGCTTCCCTTTGCTGTGCCACCAGCAGCGCCTCCTGCAGTGTCTCCTGCAATGGCGATGCCGTGACCGTGATGCCCTCCTCCTGAGACGTTGTCCCCGACGTCCTCGAGACCCGAGCAACGCGCCTGAGATGGTCGAGCTAACCTCTCCCATCAGCGACAGGGCACAGCCCGTCACAATAGGCAGCATCTCGTTCTGAAACGGCATGGGCCGCGTTACTGCAGCGGCCGCATTCTTGGTGCCCTCCCGGGTTATCCCTCTGTTCTTTGCGACGAACCACAGCACGCAACGGGATCTAGTCACCGGGAGCGTCTTGACCAGTCGCAGAAACCCCGATCTGGCTGGTCGTAAGAGGTGCAAGCCCGGTGATTGAGATACTTGGCATGGATGGGCCAATAGCGTGTCAAGAAGGACGCGGTTTTCAGTTTGGGTTCCTCGACGTTTTCTCAAAGACAACAACTCAGAGACCACTTTTATTATGCCGTGAGACAGGAGTCGAGCCGTGATGGCTTAGCATACAGGCCGTCTGAGTTCAATCCATCAGAGCCGGGTACTCCTTGCAGGGAGCGTGTCATCAGCGACTGATGTGCCCAACTCTAGTACCCTCCGGACCGGCCGCCTCCGCCGTATCCTCGGTCGTTCCTCTCGTCGCGTCGACCGTAGCCTCCACCCGACTGGTCGTTGTTTCTCTGACGCTCAGTACTCTGAATTCTCGTTAGCAGTGCTCCTCGCGGCGCTTGGCTTGATTGAGCAACGGGAGCTCAGGCCCCACGGAACGGCAACGGCTTACCTGTGCGACGGAAATACGTCGGCCATCCACCCTGTTACCGTTAGTACGACGCCATGGCAAGGGAGCAAAGTTGAAATTTCATGCGCACTCCATTCCATTGCCCTCAGCAATGGCCTTGTTCGAGCCCTCTTCATCCTCAAAGGTGACGAAGCCAAATCCGCGGCTGCGGCGAGTTTCCCGGTCCAAGATGACAACCTGTATTGGCCATGAATTAGCCGAGCTCTCCACCGAATGCCGCGGCCAAGATGGGAGAGTGCTTACCGCGTCGGTGACATTCCCGAATTTCTGGAACTCTTGCCTGAGGGCGTCGGAGTCGACCTGCCAAGACAGGCTTCTGCCGTGATGTCAGCATGCGGAGAGAGAGAGGTCTTTGGATTGGAAACGAACCCAACGAAAACTTTGGACATGGTGAAGGCGCGGCGGAAAAGTCTGCTTGTCGTAAAGTGGCGGCGAAGTCCAACGTGAACTTGAAACATATTTGTTGTTGCGCGGAGGAAAAAATATTCTTGCAGGAAGCGGGCCCAGGATACAACGAGTACGTACAGTCCGCTGCTATGTACAATAACTCGGATAAGTGCATCTTGCCCGCCAAGTCGACTGTGATGGATGAAAATATCGTCCATGCGGAGTGCGTACCTACCTAGGTAGGTACCTACCTTATGTAACTGATGTACAGTACTCCGTACCGTACGGAGCAGAATAGGTACAGAACGGTAAGTACCTGTAATACTCTAGTACTAAATCGGACCCGCCTTGGCGCAATCTGTCCCTCTAACAGAATGTACGATATTATCCTCTAACAAAATTGGAGGCACCTCCGTTAGAGATGACTGGTTGGTATTGTGGTATATTTCTCTACAATTATTAACTTACGCCCTCTCGTTACAGTACGGAGCAGTAATTGGGTAATTACTCCGTACTCCGTACACCTCTACACCAATGCCGATCGCCAAGACCGGTCCGATTAAGAGAGTTTTACGGTATTAGTCAGGCCAGTGGGGGGTAGGGTAACGAGGAAACGAGACATGCCCCCTTTTTCCACGACATTAAGAGAACCATTTCCAGCCGTAAAATACGAGGAAAAATTCTAGAAATAATTGCAGTAGATGCATGAAACGAATAATACGATGATATATTTAATTTTCCAAAATTTTTTTTTGGCTATCTCTGGCGAAACGCTTCACCTGCTAATATTTATGAGCTCTCGCTCGGTATGTGTGGGCGGGAGGGGGTTTTTTTTTTACCACACTTTCAGGTTGTCAGGGATTTTTTCCCTTTTTTCATCAAAAAAATCACTATGCGTATGTGGCCTCGCCGCTAATGGCCCGGCAGCTTCAAGGCCCTGGGCAAGGCTGACATTGAAACGTCGATCGACAGCTAAGCAACCGCATACGCAGTGTCGACCCCTGGGGGGTTACATACATCCGACGGAGGAATAATTCACTTCCGCATCCCGCCCTTTTGCAACGCCGGATACGACGACTGGCCGGAGGTAGTGTTCGGCCAGGTTATGCCGCTGTCCTCCTCTCCCAGCATCCGACCTCCGTCCCAACCCCAACCCCGGGCGTCACATTCTTCTTCTTTTCCTTGCCATCAGCTCCCTCACCATCGCCCGCCGTGTCCTGCCAGGTACCCCTGTTCGTATAAGCCTGTCCGCGGCCGATCCAACCTCGCTATTTCGGTACAGAGACGCCGTGCTTCCCAAAGCTCGAAAGAAAGCGCCTTCTCCCTTGGGACTTCCTCAGCCCTGCCTTTCAATGCAATTAGGGCACACTTCGTTTCGACCTTACACATATATGGCTCCTCTTTTTACCAGTTGCGTACCCGCGCCACTCGCTTACAGATATGGTGGGCATAGCTCACGTCTCCTGCTCCGTGTGCTGCACGGACGGAGTACCAGACCGGCTGGCTCCTCCAACATGTATAATCGTCCAGTGACGTCCCTGCTTTACCCATTTCTCCCTCTCTCACTCCCGTCTTTCTACCCGTCTACTTGATCTTCCGACAAGTTCTGGGGTGTGTGCTCGGCATACCAACTACCCAATAGGTTCGCATGTAAAAACACCGCCGACTTTACCTTCACGGAACTTTTGGAGCTAGAAGCAAGTCAGTTAGCACGAAACTGAGCATGTGGATGGATAAAGCTCAGACCGTTGCTCGCTGAAGAGGAAGAAAAAGGAGAGAAAACTCACAATATCGGCCATACTAGCATATGTTCCACAGGTAAAAATAACAACCCCAATGATAAAGGTAAAGGCGCACAGGAGGCTTCGAGTAATATTTCCCCTCGCAAAACAACTGCCCTCGCGGAGGAGCTGAAACCACATTAGGGCAGGAAAGTAATAGGCAAAGCCAGAGACAAAGAGAGAAGAGAGGAGGGAGAGGAGGTCAGAAAAGAATGGAATAATCTCGGCAGTGATATAGGATGCGAGGGTGACAGAAGTAATAATAGCAAGCCAGGAGGCCCAGCCCTTAGGCGTGTTAATAAAGCGAGCAGCCGAGTTTTCAAACATACGGCCATGAAGATAGCGGCCGACAACAGTAATGTTAATCGATCCAGAAATAAAAATAACGGGTAAGGCAACACCAAAGGCGATCTTAGAAATAGTCGTATCGGCTGAGAGTAAGGCTGGGGACTTAACGTCGCTGCCAACAAAAGCGTAGATTATCCCGCCGGTAAGGGAATAAATAGCAATCTCGACAATGCCAAGAATCCAAATCGACTTGATAAAATCGCCAGGGGTATGCATCTCATCCATAAAGGAGAACTGAGCTATACAGAAAGTATAAGAAAAAACGATATTGGCAATAGCAATAAAGGCATCGATAAAGGTTATCCCGGGCTTAGGCCACGCAGACCAATCGATGGCAGAAAGGCCACCCTGGGCGTTACTAGCTTGGATACCAGTAGCAACCGTAATAATGCCAATGGCGCTAAAGATGGAGATACAGTCCACATAGCCGAGGATTGCGACCTCGGCAAAAGAGGGCGGGATAGCTAGGACCAGAAGGATAATGGCAGAGGCGAAGCCAAGGGCAGCAGAACAACCACTGTTACTGGTGAGATTAAGAAAGGCGATGGTACCGGTTAGAGTATGCGAGCCGACAACTAGGATAAGCTGGATGGCAAACATGGCGCCGAAGAGCTCATAGCCGAACTTGCCAAATAGCAAACGCCCGCTATCGGCATAATGGGCTACCTCTGGATATTTGAGCTTGACCTCTCCGATGATCTTGCCCGTAAAGATGGCGACTAGTCCGAGGCTGACGCAAAAGAAAACACCGAGCACCATTCCGAGGGTAGCGAAAGCGGCCGGTAGACTCAGGCTGCCGAGAGCAACGGACTGGACAATGAGGACGACGGTGAGCCGCTTCCATCCCAGCTGGCGGAACTGGGCCTCGCCGTCGGACTTGTGCATCTCCTCATCGACGAAACTCTTATCCAAGTCGCTGACCGAGTCGGCCATGACGGTCTCCTGTAGGCCCCCTTTCTCGAGGACAATTTTCTGCGGGGAATACTGCTGGTGTGCACGCGGCTCGGGCTGGCTATTGGCCATATTGGAGTTTCCGGCCGGCCGGAAGCGAGGAATGTCGGATCGGCTGCAGTGCGCGAACTGGGAGCGGGAGTAAAGAAATGGCGGGGGAAACCGTTTCGGAAGGCCGAATGATCCCAAGTTTTTGAAAGATACGGCAGACGAGATCGCGGTGATACCAGATCAGTGGCTCTCTCTATCTTGAATTCGCGGTCGAGGGGGTGGAATGGGGTGTCGGAAAGGAAAGACCAGCCAACAAAAGTGAGGGCAGAACGGCGATGGAAATATAACAGATCAGTAGCGGAGTTGAAGAGTGGAAAAGAACTGTTGGTCGTATCTCAAGCGCAGGGCTTCACTTTGAAGCCATGCACTGAGGGTTGGAGGGGATGCTTGAGATATATATCATTGGTCAAAGGATGGACGGGTCGGAAGGAATGAAGCAGATAAACGGCTTTTCTTCGATTCTTCCGCGTCTTTGATGCTCCCGTTGTTCCGCTGATCGACCGTATGAAGCTGAGGCGAGGCTACTCCTGTCGCATGATTCGTTCCGTGCCAGGAGGGATTTTCAAACAACGGCGACGAAAGCTTACCTCATGAGACGGCAGGGATCGACGCGACGGATGCCCCAGGTTTGCAGGAATCCAAGTCTACGAATACGAGCGTGTGCGTGTGTGCGTGTGTTTATCCCCGCCCAGCGCCCGGAAAGCCGCTCAGATCGTGGTAGGGCACAGGACGCGCCGAGTTCTTCCCCAGGAACAGGAGAGGCAGCGACAGGACAACCCCTGGCCATGGCAGTCTTTAAAGACGAGCACGCAGAAAGCTTATAATAACTGCTCAGAGCGCAAGTCCGCGACGCCAAGACACAGGGGGCTGCGGAGGAGCTTGATACGGCCATCGGGATGATCAACTAAGCCCTAATGGCTCCTACTGTCTACGTCAAAATAACACGGCAGTCGTGAGGAGAATTAGGCCATAACTAGAGAGCATACACGCATGGAAAGGGAGCTCTCAAGCAGAGTCTTAAGAGCATAGTAGAAGAAATAGGGGCTTAGAAAGGTAAATTTAGTAATATATATCTTAGTCTATCTATTAAGATAAGGGAGGGGCTTATATAGGTATAGTAACTATAAATAGCTAGATAAAAAGGGGTATTAAGATATTCCTATACTTAAGTTAAGCCTATATTCTCCCTTAACTAGGGCGACCTAAGAAAGGGAGAGGACTTACGATAATATAACTATAGTATCGGCTAAACCGGACCTAGACTAAGCGTAAACCTCGCTACTTAAACTATAGACTAAATAGAACTAAGGAGACCTAACTAAGCCGGCCTTAATAGCTATAGAATAAGATCTACTACTAAAAAACTATAACTAAATAAGACCTAACCTAAAACCGAACTAAGACGGCACCGATAACTAGCCCCTAAACCGCGACTCTATCCTAACTCGTCGATAGTACTATCTATTACGGCTAGGTATATATAAGCCTTAACGGCTATAAAGATATATTAGCACTATAAATAAAGACTTAAAGCTAAGGAGTAAGAAAGAAAGACTAGACTATACGACCGAGCTAGCCCTTATATATATATATACGAGGTTACCTTAGCAGCGCTTAGGTAAGCATAAGGTCGCACGTAGGCACGTGATGCTACTTAGGCACGCGATACTAGTAAGGTTCTACGCTAGTGTCTCTACGCTAGCGCGTAGGGTCGTAATACTACCCCCCGTTTAAGGCCTTAATATACATATTAAGGTAGTTAGTCGTAGCGGCGGGTTCTTAGTTTTACGGCTTTCTCTGCTATATTATTATCGTCTCGTTCCTTATAGCCCTCCTCCGCTATAGTATATTCGATCTAGTATTATAGGTTAACGGGTAGGCCTACTATATCTAGATATTTATCGTAGAATACCTTTAATACTATTAGTACGTTACGGAAATTCCTAGCCGGGTACTAGGTCTTATTAGGGTTATATCCCTTTTATAAGACTTAGTATTCTAGTTATTAACTCCTACCGGTTACTCGAGACTACTAGACTTAATTAACCTCCTACTTAGGTTCTCCGTTAATCTCCTTAGGTAGCGGAGGTGTTTAGATCTGCTAGGGCAAGGGGTTATTAGCTGCTTTTTAAAGACGGTCGGCGTAGAATAGGTTCTTTATTTTATACGACTCGGGCAGCTATAGTATATAGCTATAACTGCGTTCTTTTAAGATTACGAACGGACCTAACTATTAGTTATCTAGCTAAATAGTTAGAGCGTTTATAGCGAAGCCTTTCCTACTAAGAAAAACTTAGTTACCGATAGTAAAGTTAGTTAGTCGTTGTTTCCTATTAGCCTATTCCTTTTAATATTCTTAAGTAGCGGTAGTAGTATTCCTAGCGTCTTCCTAGGTTTCTTAGGCGGTCTATATAAGTTCCCTAGCTCTAGTAGCGGGTCTAGTAGCAGCGGTCTTATTAGTCGGGGGCAGTAATAGGGGGTTCTAGATATCTTAGCCTAGGGCTACTTTTAACGGTGCTATATCGATAAAAGAGTACTAAGATAAGTTATAGGCAAAGTTAAGGGTAGGTAGTAGGGAACTTTAGTTATCTTAATACTTCGTTATATAGAATCGTAGCTTTTAATCTAGGTATTAATTTATAACTTCTATACTACTTTAAGTCTAAGGGTATAGGGAGCTTTTATAATAATACTTCGTTCCTATAAGCTAGTTAATCTTTATAAGGAAGGTAGAAATAAACTATTTAGTATTATCGGAAATCTATATAAGGGGCATACTAAAGAAACGATAGAGGTAGTAGAAGTAGCGGCTAGCTAAGACTTCTACTATATCGTTTTTCTTTCTTAGGAGCATAGCGATAATCCGGCTTAGCTTATAGATAAAGGTCTAAATATAGTTATATCTATAACGGTCTTTTAGTATATCCTTCCTATTATATTCGATATACTCCTAAATAAAAGTTAGTATAGGTAGTAGATAGAGTAGTCTAAGGGTTATATCTTAAGGGGTTTTATTATAGTAGTAGTTATAAGAATATACCCTTATATTCCTATTTTACTATTATAAAGAAATAATAGGTATAGGGAGGCTTTATAGAATAAGCTAGTAAAAAGAGGCTTTATAATATAGTCTAAGGGAATAACCCTTAAAGATAAAGACCTCTTATTATATACTAGTCCCTCGGTATAGGGCTAGTACGTTAACCTTACCGTCTACCCGGATCCGGTATAGGTCTAATAGGTAATTAAACGGACTAGCTACTATACGTAATTAAACGTATTATATAGACTAGCTACCGTACGTTATTACGCGCGTTAAATACGGACTAGCTACCGGTCTTATAAGTTAAAGTAAGAGTAATAATAACTATCTATATTCTTCTCTACCTACCTAAGATCTAGTAGGTTCTCTATCTTCTATATATACTATAGCGAGCGTAAGACCTTACTTAGGGCTTTAACCGAGTAATATCTTAACCTTATAATCATGCGATAGTAGTACGGTATATTAGCGGTATTTCCTAGTATTTTCCCTAGGTAGGCATAGGTATTTCTTTATAATTTCCCCGCTATATTCTTATAGTAACTTCTTAGGGAAATATTAATATAGTCCTTAAGGAACTATTATTACTTAGGAAATTATAGTATATTCCCTATATAATATATCCTTAAGGGAAATCTCTATAAAATATCTATATAATCCGCTTAGTTATCGTTTCCGGGAATTCTAGGTAATTTCTTAGAGTTTGCCCGGTAGCTTCTAGGTTCCTTCTTCCGCGGGGAGCCTTAAAGAGTTAAGGGTAACTTCCTTAAGGGAAGTAGATATCGTTCCGGGTACCTAGATTATCGACTATAGGGTATCCCGTAATAAATACCTAGGGCGAAAGAATTAACCGACGTCCTTATTAGTTTCCCGCGGTATTTAGGCGGGAGTCGCGGGGATTATAGTAAAGTTACGTAGATTTCTAAGGTTAGTATAGGGAATAACTCGTTTCTTATCTAGAACGCAACCTAGTGCGACTAACACCGGGGGCGCGAGGCGGCTAAGCCGGGAGTAAAATACTACTAGGACCGGGGGCGCTAGGTAGCTAAACCGGGGTAATAAACGAGTAGGGCTAGGGGCGTAGTAGCTAAGCCAGGGAAAACTAATTATAACTAGGGGCGCTCTATAGCTAAGCCGGTAATAAAATAAATAGTGCCGGGGATACTACGAGGCTAACCTAGTAACCGACCGTCTTACGCTATAGGGGCAAAGGTAGGGTAGGGGATCTCTTCCTTAGCTTCCTCCTCCGTTAGTTCCTCGGGGCCTACCGGCACGTCGGCCGGGGCATCCTATATATCGGAGGCTCTATAGATAGGCACGCTATAGGCGTTGTTCGGGGCCGGTTCTACTAGGAGTATTATAGCTAGTCCGTCGCGAGAGGCTAGAATTTAGTTATAGATTACTACTACTAGTGCCTATATAGTCGGGCCTAGGTTCTAGAATCCGCTTAAGTATACGTTAGTAAACTTTTAGTCTAATAAGTTAAAATAGGCTATTACGTTAGCCGTATAAGGGCGGGCCGCGGCTAGCGTATATAGGGGGCTAACGCGGGCGGCTCTCTAGTATACCGTAGCGAGCTTAGGCGAGTCGTCTAGGAGGTAGGCGGCGAAAGCGAACTAATAGATAAAGCCGGCGGGTACTCTAGCGAGGGCGGCGTACTAGCCGAGCGAGAGGTCGGCGTCGGCCTCCTTATAGATAGCGGCGAATAGATTTACTTAGATTACGGCCGTATCTAGGGCTCTATAGACTAGCGCTTTTAACCTAGAGTAAATAATACCTATATAGCTATCTATATTGCCTAGGTTATCGTAGTATACTACGAATAGTGCGATAGGGAATAGTCTAGGCTTTCCGCGGCTTAGAACCTAAAAGAGGTTAAGCTTCTATCGGACCGGTATTAGGGCCTAGTCCTCGGCGAATAGGTTAGCCCGCTTAGAGGGAGTAGAGGGCGGGGCCGCGGCGGCGGCGAATAGGCGCC